AGGGCTTGATTTCACTCGCAAGTCGTTGGGCTTCCAAAGTAGGGGAGCTCTCCATACGGTAGAAGATCAAAATTCAAATGCGTGTCTCCGGATCATCCTCAGGGATGTTTCCCTGATCATCTCCATCAATACTTCCTAGAAGATAGAAAGCCTCATCACGATTTACCATGAACAAGAAATTTGATACTTTAGTAATCCAAACGTAATGACATCTTTCTCATAATCCCCCACTGCGCAGACTAGTAGCCCAAACAAAGTGACATCTTTCTAATTTTTGCTCCACGGCGCAGTTTATATTCGTTACGTCGGAATACTCTATTGGGAAGATGTTGCTCTAATACTCTGTTGTGCAACTCTAATGAAATATAAATAATGTACTACTCTTTTTTTTTCTTGCTTGCCAGGTAGCCGAGCGGTCAGCATGCCTGATTGTGAAGCCAATGGTTGTGGGTACGAATCTCGTTCAGGGCATGGGTGTTTCTCCCTGTGTGCTGTTTTCTATAGTGTGATGTGTTACCTCTAGAGGTACTGATCCAGGAGTTTCCTTGTCTTCTGGATTGGTTCAAAATTACAAGGCTACGGAGTTGAACGTAAGTAGTCGTAAACCCATGAAATTGGGTCGGCTGTTCNGCATGGATGTTTCTCTCTGTGTGTTGTTCTCTATTGTATGATGTGTGAATGTGGCCCACCCTATAAACGGGTATCTGTGGCAGTGTGGCGTGGGTATTGTTGCTCGCCTCCGTGATTTAGGTTCGCAGGTGCCCACTGGGTAACGTTAAATGAGCAACACTTCCGGCATCTTCCGAGGTGAGGAACGAATGTTCAATGCCTGCCGTAAAAAGTAAATAAATAAATTCAGCATAAATACATTAAATAAATAAATAAATACATTCTCAATATTACATTATCTGCTTCTGGTGTTAACCTTCCACATTCTCGTTTTTCTTTATGCTCTCAAAGGATTCTTATACCTATATATTGGGCAAATTAATACCCTTATATGGGGCAAATTAATACCCTTATATGGGGAAAATTAATACCCTTATATGGGACAAATTAATACCCTTATATGGCGCAAATTAATACCCTTATATGGGGCAAATTAATACCCTTATATGGGACAAATTAATACCCTTATATGGGCAAATTAATATCCTTATATGGGGGAAATTAATAGTCTTATATGGGGCAAATTAATACCCTTATATGGGGCAAATTAATACCCTTATATGGAGGAAATTAATACCCTTATAAGGGGCAAATTAATACCCTTATATGGAGGAAAATAATACCCTTATATGGGGCAAATTAATACCCTTATATGGGGGAAATTAATACCCTTATATGAAGCAAATTAAAACCCTTATATGGGGGAAATTAATATCCTTATATGGAGCAAATTAATGTCCTTATATGGGGTAAATTAATGTCCTTATATGGAGCAAATTAATGTCCTTATATGGGCAAATTAATGTCCTTATATGGGGCAAATTAATACCCTTATATGGGGCAAATTAATGTCCTTATATGGGGCAAATTAATACCCTTATATGGGGGAAATTAATACCCTTATATGGGGGAAATTAATATCCTTATATGGGGCAAATTAACACCCTTATATGAGGCAAACTAATACCCTTATATGGGGCAAATTAATAGCTATACAAATTAACATTAAATTATTCAAATTAAACCCGAAATCAGAATTTCTACAAGTTTCCGACATAAACTAACAGAACTAAAAGTAGTAAATATTTAAGAAGAAAAAAGAACGCATTTTTTAATAAAACTGAAAAGGAGAAAATCATTTTACTTTCGTCAGAAAACTGAAAATGTAAATTAATATCGTGGCACTTTCGAAATAAAGTTTTGTAACCAAAATATATCAAAAACTTAAACAAACAAAAACAAACAGGACAATAAGTTAGTTTTCCATCATTTCAGGATTTATTAAACAAGAACTTAGGGGGAGAAGAAGAGTGAGAGTGAAAACTTATATTGGCTGGCTATCAGTTGTTATGATCTTGGAAGGCGTAAAAGCAGCAAAAGAATATATTCGTTCATGATGCTGAATCGGTCTTAAAATTATTTTTAAAAATATGGTTGACGGCTATTTTACCACAACTTATTAGCTTTCACCCTTTAGCATTTATTTACAATAGTGGGCTCCACGTCCTGTTCGTTGACGCTCCCTAAGATTGCGATCCAATTTTGTATAGGTTTGCCTTACACGCCATGTTCGTTTCGCTCGCTAAGTTAAACCCATTTGAAATGTGCTCAGGCATAAAATTTTAATTTAAATCAATTTATAAAATGTTTAAATCTAATTCCTCTTTTAAAAAATTGAACTTTTTAATCAATAGTAAAGGATAGAAAAGAATTAATCGAAATGAATTACAAGCAATAAAGAACTTTTAGAAACAAAACGATTACTATTAAAGATTCGCAACTTTATTAAAAACACGATTAAAAGTTTCAGAACTTTGAGATAACATTGTAGAGCCGACAAATGAACAAACTATTAAGAAGTTAAATTGAAATAAATGACATGCAATAGAAAAATTTGAAGAAACTAAGTCTGTTTTCTTTTAATTTAAAACTTATTCTTAGAATTTCACCAAGAAAATATTTTTTTAAGGATAAGTATTCAATAAATGCAACCATATGTGGATTTTTTTCATAAGTTGTTCCTATCTAAAATAGAAATTTGTGATAAAATGACTCGTTATATTAAAAAAAATTTAAAACAACGTTTTTCCAGCGAACAGAAAAGAGGAAACAATTTTATTTTTTACCACACCTAAACCACATAATTTTTTAAAAGACGTTGGATGCTGATTATCGTTAAAATTAATGTGCTCCACGATTATTGTTTTGGGTTGGACGAAAAAATTTGGTATCAGTTTTTGTTTTAAAGAGGTCGAAATTTCGATTGACGTTACATCGTTATCATAATGATTGAATAATTAACATACACAGAGCTCCAGCACTCGTTGCACCGAGATATTAAACAAAACTCGCTAAAATTAACATTGGCTGAAACATTGGTTAACATTGGCTGAAAAGATGTTTGCGTTTGCAAGCATGAGTTTTATCTCCTTTTTTACAAACTAGCTTAAAATAAGATCTCAAGTTTTGATGTCGAAATTGAGCTTTTTTGAGTCCCTAAATTACCGAGCAAAGTTGCGTTTTTCAATGTAATGTATATAACTTATAGGTTTTACTGCTATCACTTTTTAAATACGGAAAAATTGTAAGGAAAAAAAAGTTACAATTTAAGTGCAGTTTTAAAAATCTACCCCATATCTTATTATAGTGACTGTTAACCAGCCAAGCATTTGAGAGCAGCTTAAATATAATAATTCCCGATGAATGATCTCCATTATGACATCGTGAAGTTAACTGAGCTTTTTATAGCACAATTTTCCAAACACTTTGACAGTTGTGAAAAAAATAAACTAAAAGATATATTTTTTTTACAAAACTTTCAATTCGACACAAGATTAAACTATACCAAGTTAAAAAGCTAAAAATTCTTTGTTCCCTTTAATCACTTCAACTATTCAGGAACTTAATAGTATGAAAGTACGTGGATACAAAGAGTGCTGAAATAATATCAAGTCGAAAATAGAAAGAAAATTTTATTGTGTTTTAAATTATAAATTTATCAATAACTTAGAATGCAATAGATGCCAAATTAGCTTAACACATGTGATTTCCGTATGTGTCCTTACAGAGAGTCTAGTTAGTTTTCTGAGAAAAGAAGACATCTTCAGATATGTTCTTCAAACTTTTTGGAATATCAGATATAATTTTGTGACAGCGAATATTACAAAATAACTATAAAGAATAGAAATACTTTTTTTCTTTTTTTTCGATAATGGGAGAAATATTTAACTATAGCCTGTGTTTAGAGAATAACAAAAATATTTCTCCAAATGCTTCCTGCTTTGTATAACAAAATATTTCGGCAAATGCTTTCTGCCAAGGATAACAAAACATTTCTGAAAATGTTTAGTTAAAATTATTTTAGACTGTTCTTTCAAACGCTAACTAAATCCGTGGTGTCTCAGGGAATGGAGTACTCACCCCCAATCAGGTAACACGAGTTCGAATCCCAGCGATGGCTGGTCAATATGATTTCCTCCCCCAGCTGACACCGACCACAGTACTGACGCAAAATATTCTAACGAGATTTCGTCACATTCGGCACGAGGTTCTCGCGATTTTTCTCTCCATGTAACGCAAATGTAGGTTAGTTCAATCAAAAATGTCCTCCTCGAAGGCAAATTTCTCCCAATACTTGATCCAGGAATTTCCTTGTTTTCAGGGTTGGCTTCAAAATTACAAGGCTACGAAGTTGAACTTTGGATGTAGTAAGCTCAAAACTGAGTCGGCTGTTTAACGCCGGTGATTTTAAAAAAAATGCTAACTGAATCGTGAAAGTTTACAATTTTACCATTGCTCACCAGTTACATTCTTCGAACCTTTTGGAATTTCAGATATAATTTTGCAATACCGAATATTACAAAATACCTAATAGAAAGAAGAATAATAATTGTTCATTTTTTCGATAGTGTGATGAATATTAAACTGTACCTTGTGCTTAAGGGAATAAATCAATATTTCCGAAAATGCTTCCTTTATAAATATGTTAAATTAAAATTATTTTAGACTCTTCGTTCAATCGCTAACTGACTTGGGAAAGTCAACAGTCTTACCATTACTCAACAAAAGTTTCCAATGAAATATTTTAAGTTTACACAGGGGCAAGGACAAGTCAAAAGCGAAACCAAATTAAATATATCTTTAACCACTTATTATATCTTAATTTACAATAAAATGATTATTAGAAACATAATTTTATCAAGTAGCTCGAAGTCTTAATCAGTTATCTAGCAGATCGTATTACGAGAAAACTAGTGCATGATGGTATATGCAACAATCCGAATTACTATCTCTGATTCACTCTTCACGTCATCCTTTCATACTTTTCTAATTAAAACAAAGTAAACGATTAGTGTTTAATTGAATCTGTTTAAGCTTGATTAGCGATAAGAGTACGGTAATGCCTTAACTGTTTCCAGCTCATTTGTGTACGAGAAAGGTTAAAAGTCCACTCCACTTCATTCGACTCATTATCAACTCCTCGATTCATCAAAATAGAGAAAGAAAAAAAAAATCGAATTGAGTGGGAAATGCACTATCTGCATAAACAATCTGATTTTCAATTTTACTTCATATATAACAATTTCGCATGAGATTCAAGATTCCTCTTTTCTCAAAATTCCAACGGTGTTACATCATGGCCATCGCCTTGACTTACAAAGTGCTGATCGCCTATGCAATGGCCATGATGGTAAGCTGCCGGCCACAAAGTACTTCCCCACCTGTTACTGATTTCGTGACATCGACACCCGAGATTTCTGATCCAATGAAATCCGTGCAGCCTCCAAATCATCGGACAATTTTGATCGAGGAATTTAAATCGAAAGTGTTACGGCACTTAAATAGAACGACAGAACCTGTCAACGATATTTCTTCTCCGAAATTGCCCGAAGAAGTCATTGCGCATTTGAACCAGCAGCATCTTTTATCTGATGCGAAACAGAAAGAAGAAATAATAATTCGCCCTAGAAACAGTAAGTGCATTTTTTTTTCAATTACTTAAAAGTACAAATTTATTCTAAAATTTGGTAGTTGTCAGTCGCATTTATCATTGCTCAATGACGAATGACAGTCGTTGAGCATTCATCGTCGTATTTTATTTTCCTTAAAAGTCTATAATATTAAACTACTATAATTGAATGTAAGTACATTTTATTATACAAAATGAAATGATATCTGGATTTAAAAAATAATCAACTGTATTTGGAAAAAATTGTTTGGAAAAAAATTTAGCTTAGAAATACAGAAACCCACAACAAAAAGCAATGAAGGAGAAGTTATTTTACTTATTGACAATATCACGGATATCATATAACAGTTTGCATTGGAAATAGTATTTATCTCAAAAGTCTTTGTATTTTTAAATATTTCTCTCTTCCTCTCTCTTATTATTATTACTATTTTAAGATCACGGGGAAGAGAAATTTTTCTACAACAAAAGGTAAATAATTATTATTTAAAGAAAAAAATTGCAGAAAAGCACTTCAAATTGCGCAAACTTTTAAACAAGTTAGTATTTCAAAAAGAAAAAAAAATCTTTGTTAATTTTCTATACAAATATGGCCCTTACAACATGCAAATTTCAAACCTGTAGTTGCATTCTTGCGGCTCCTGAGCGGCAGTATGGCGTTTTTTTTTCCACTAGTTTAACAGTTTAATATATGACAAAACTAATTATCGAATATTAAATGTTGAATTTCATCATAATCTTACTACACATTTAAGTAATTTCAAGTTTCTAAGTCTTATAATGTCAGCGCAGCTAGCTAAAATGTAATGTTAAAAAAAAGTAGCGGCCATTACGTTTTTTTAGTATAGAGAGAAATCAACTCAGTCATTAAATTGAAAATATTCACTTATAAATTAAATAAATCATTTTCAACATATTTTTTATCTTTTACTTATTTAATTTTTGGGGGGAGGGGTGATACGACGTAAGGTTTCATGTAGTTCACGTTTTAACAAGATTACTGTAATGAAATATGAGGGCAGTCATGGGTACTGAGCGTTTGAAAATTAAAGGACTCTATTGTGAACACACTTTTCATGGTAAAAGTTAAAACTCATTCGAAAATGGCCGAAATTTCATATATACAATGAAATTTTAGCACAAAAGTTCTCTGCAAGATTATCCGGTCATGATACTTTGCATTTTTTTTATTTCATTATTATTATTTCACATTTTAATTTTTTAGATGAGGAGCATTTTTCACGGAATCAAAATATTCAAAACAATCACCAATCAGTAGAAAATTTAGGTATGGGTCCCATGTGCCTATGTTAAACTTTAAATCTTCATTTACGATGCCTACTTGATCTGATAGAAAAATCTGATTTAGAAAAAGACAAATTTGTAAGCGAAATTGTTCCAATAAGAGAAATTGAACACTGTTCGTTAATTGTCATGTTACGATAAGTTCCATGCTGCAAACTTGCATTTAATAATTTTCATTGTGCCCAGAATGGTTTGGTTTATAACTTCAAAAGGATTCTTAAGTATCATCATTAAAAGATATTTAAAAAAAAATTTTCGCTGATTTATACGAGCCTACAAAATGCCTTTGTAAATTTCATAAAAATACATGTTTAGCAATTTCGATCTGAAATTGCTATGCATGTATTTTACTCAAATCATTTCTACTAAATTTCGTTCCAAATTGCATTTTACGGTAAACATCTATTTTTTATTATTATTATGTTTTTATTTTTTTATCGTTATTATTTTTTATTGTTATTATATTTTCAATGAGATAGATCTTACATATTATTTTAAAAAGACCGATCTTTAATATTTTAAGTTCAAAAACAAATTACATCAGCTTTAATTTTCTTTGTCATGCCATAAAATAATATGCATAAAAACTATTATTTATTATGTACATTCAGTTATGCTTTAACGTAATTTAATGTTTGGAACTATGAAACTTTTTGCGATATTTTGCCACTAACTCTAAGAGGGTTTTTACAAAAACAAAAGAGGAAGTAGTGACTAAGAAGTTTCTTAAACAAAAAACATTTTTTTCTCAGTGATACACCTTGAAGATGAACACAAAAAATGAATAAAAACATTTTCTGAAATATGAATTTAAATTTCCTTCAAACACACTCTAGTCTTTATAAGGAGCCCGATTTTAAAATAATTGACTGATTATTTTATCTCATTTTTTAGCCTTGAATTAATCATAGGATCATATTAAGGTGGTTATTTTTATCTCAGCAGTTAAAGCACTTCTATTTCTAGAACTTAGCATCAGAAACGAGTGAGGCGCTAAAATGTATCATATTTAAAGCTTTCACTATAACGTTTCTAAAATTAATTTGAAATTCTAGAAAATACTTTTCATTCTTAACTACGCTTAATTTATCTTCTATACTTTATTTGTGTGAATAGTTTTTAAAAAAGTGGATTTTTGTATAATATCAAACACTCTAATCATTTTGTCTAATATATTTTGTTATGAATTATATAATAAATCTTTCCATAACACTAAAATTCTTTTTACCCATGCTACATCGGCTCATCCTGCTGCCCTTGAGTCTTATATTCATTTGAAAGTCGCCTTTCTAATTCGGGACCTTTGTTCTGCCAATACGCTGCATTTTGCAAAGAAACGTATTCTGCCCTGATTTACCGCCTTCGGTCAACGGTCCGTGGTTTCACTTCCATTTTGCTGGTGGCAACAGTGACTTTTTGTGGTTTTAAACTTCTTTGTTTCATTAATATCTTGGTGTCACCTCGAAATATGAGTGCCTTTGTTTCAGTTCAACAGCAAAAAAAAAAAAAAAAAAAAATGCAGATGCTAATTTTTCTTCTTAAGACCTTGTTCAAGAAATTTTTAATTCGGTCAAAAAAAATAATTTTGTTCCTTTGTATCTGAATATAATTTTACGACTAACTGCAGATAGTCGTATTGTGAAAATTCTATAACATTCATTATATGAAAAAAAGGGCTATAGCCGTAAATTATTTAACAGTTATCATAAGTACAGAGATATATAACTAGCCACGGTGATTGAAAAAGAGAAAAATCCATCAATAAATATTTTATGAATGAATTACAGTTATGAATGAAAGAAAAATGCTGAATTCAAAAATAATTTAGGTTAAAGAATGATTGATTAGATTTGAGAGCGGCAAATAAAAAAAAGCAGGTACTAGTCAAAACATTGTCTACCAAAACAGTTGCAAGAAAAGAATTCGAAGATAAAAAAAAGTCGCACTTCATTGCAATAATACGTAAAACGTTTGTAAGTAAATTGAGATTATTGTTTTAATCTCAAATTTAAAAACTTAACGAAATTTCTAAAGCATGCTTTTTCTTAATATTCAACGTATCTTAAAAAAAATTATTTTTTATGTTCATTTTAAAACTGGAATATATTTGCTCCTGGGACTGATTTCTGTGATAGTTTTTGTAATCTTTACACAACACAATTCCACTTCAACCCCTAATTATGAGCTTACAGTTTGATTTTTTAATACAAAAGGAGCTAGAGCTGCAGAATTGGTAGCTTTCTCAGTCTGTGAGAATTTTCTTTCGAGTAGTAGTTTAAGTTATGTTTTAATTTTTTATGTTTATTTTTAAAAAAATTTGATATAAATTATTTTGCTCACCTCTATGTATTTATAATTCAAAAGTTCACATAAAATACAGCTTTGTTCCAGTTATTCTGTGGTGAGCCGTTTTATGGCTTGGAGCCATAAGCCTTATCGAATTTCGAACTCATTCACTGCTCAAATTTAAAAACTGAGTAACACTTTTAAAAGTTGTTTTTAAAATTTATTCGTCACAAAACTTTTCGCGATCATTTCAAAACTGTACAGGGTCTTTCGTAATCAACTCCCTTAACCATGTAAATTTGATAAAATTTAAATATGACATCTGTCTCTGTTGCAAGACTCAATCAGAAAGTTTAAAATTCTGACTTCATTTCATAAAAGAAAACATCACACTTTTATTTACATAAGTTGTTCCATCATATCGCTATAGCAACCTGAAATTCACATCGTTTTCTTTTTAAAATAAAACGTGAAAAATTCTAGCTTATAGCTCACGCATAAATCATAAATAAATGGAATCTACTTTTAATAGTCTTATCGAACAGGTATGTTACCACTCACCAAAGCATGGTTCAGAAAAAATAACTCAAGTAATGCTTAAATATCTGCATCTCACGTTCGATTTAACGCAAAGCAAATATTTGACTCAAACAAAGTGTATAATTTTAAACTAGCGTTAATAAAACTATTGTTCGTACTTCATTTAGCATTGATTCCTTCTTACACAGATAAATTGCTTTAGTGTATCTTGTGATGAAGTCGTGAATGATTTTTTAATGACATATTAATAATTAGATTTAATAATTTAATTTTAAGGCGTCACATCAACTAAATATAGGCAAAAGTAGTGAAAAATAATTTATTGCTTTTGCTAAATTTTCAAATAATTCCAAATACACTGAAAAAAATTCATTTCTCTGTCTGCATTATTCATTAATTTTTGAGCGTTTTTTTGGAAAAAAGACAGTGGTTTTTTTCAGAAAAAAATGGAGGACCTTCCCTTGCATGTTTTTTTATGTTTACATGCTATTTGAATCCCTACCACTTTTTTTTATGTTGAAGATGGAACTTTAAGTTAGTTTTTTTTAATAATCAGGTTAAAATAAAATTGGGGATTGAATAAGCGTTGTAAAAGTTAATGAAGTTTTTATAAAATGTTTCCTATATCTTTGCATTCGATATTTTTTTTTTTCAGTTTTACATAAAGGGGATCATAAATGTCTTACTACAAATATCTAAACAAATGAAAGCGCAGATTTACTGCAGAAACCATAATGTTGAAAGTTTTTTTTTTCTTTTTTTTTTGCGAAAAATATTGCTGAAATTTATCACTTTAAAAAGGTTTGGAAGGTTTTTATACATTTTTTGAATTTTTAATAAAATCTGAACTATATTATTAATTTTTGAAAATTAATTTGACAGCACGTCATGCAACTGAAAATATGTTTATTTTGGTTTTATTTTTAAAATAATTGCTCTGAGGATTCTTGGACTTCTTAATCATTAAGGAGTTCAAATCAAATTTGCATTTTTTTTTTTTTTTTTTTTTTTTTTTTTTAAGATTTGGATGAGTTCTGGAATTTTATAAAGAATTTTGGTCATATACTGTAATACACAGTGTATTCCATAAATATCACCCATAATAATTTTATTAATCCTTATCAAAGATGAGGATTAAAAGGTTTACATATTTTCGCAAATTAAAAAAAATCGAAATCTGACAAATAAAAGTTGAGGGATAGGCAGCTGAATGAAACACCTAAACCTGTTTGATTGCTGTAGGAGACAGAAAAGAAAGACATTTATTAACACTTTCATATTTCCACCTGAAATCAGATTTTGATAATTTAAAATTTAAATCTGTTAAAATTCTATTAACTAGATTTCTTTTTAAATGTAGTTAGACAGATTTTAATGTTTTTGTTTTTTCCTAACTTGAGAATTTCTTTAAATGTTCAAGTGAACATACTTTTTTGTTTTCACTTTTAATAAGAATTTTTAAAATAAAACTATATTTTTATGCGAATTAACATTTCATACAACTTGAGAACTGAAAATTAAAAAGAGCTAAATTTAGTTTTGAAAATAATAAATTCTAATTTGAAGTTTTACAATTTTAATGTCAAAATATTCAGCTGAATAATTTTAACTCATTTTTATATTATATGCGTCGTTCATTTATAAATAATTGTTGTGTTCCACTTGAAATGAATTTATATGTTTTTTATATGGTTCTAAAAGAATTCTTTAGAACTTGTTTTAAAATAGTAATTTTACAAATGTGCCAAATAATTTCGTCTCTTTTCTAAAGTAATATGACGCGTAAGGTAATGCTAAATGTCCCTCAATATTGACTTTTTGCCCCTAATGTGTATAATTTCTTTGACTTCCTTACCGACAAGTATTTTAAAAAAATATAAAGAGCAATTATTATGGAACACTCTGTATATTCGTTCATAGGGCTGATGCTCTATAAGATTTGTAATACTACCGTCGTGTGTTAAGGATATGCAACTTTGTCATTAAAAAACGCTATGACGTTTCAATATGCGGAAAATAAATGAATAATCTTATTCTTCTTATAAACGTGTTAAATTTAATAAGCTTTTTAAGTAACCTCATTAAAAAAAAATTTAATTATTAAAAATAGGCACTTAAAAATCTATTGTTAAATTTTAGATTCAAAATAATTCTATTTGAGGTGCTAAAAATGAAAGCTAAGAAAGGGGGAATTAAAAATGTAATTAAATAAGAGCCAAGCCTTAGTTAATATTTCAATGAGTGTTACTAGGAGATGTTAAAGTTCCAAGAAAGATAAGAAATTAAGCAAGCACTTGCAAAAATCAATGATATCCGTTTTCAAGTTAATAAATATTTTTGACCTCTAAATGCCAGCTGTACTTGAGGTAAGATATTAAAAACTGACGTTGATAAGTTTCATTATTTTAAATAAAATTAGAAACCTGTACTCTTAAATCTAATGAGATGAAAGAGAGAATAGCAGCAATAAAACAATATATTATTAATTTTAATGCAATTAAAACCAAATAAATATTGAAAAACGAGTGCATAAGTTATTACTGTAGACTAGTTTAATTGCAACGTTTTTATTAACTTACTTCCTTGTTCTTTGGAAAGGGAATCTTGCAATCATAATTTCTGTACTTGAGGTAAGATATTAAAAACTGGCGTTGATAAGTTTCATTTTTTTTAATAAAATTAGAAGCCTGTACCTGGCACTCTTAAGTCTAATAAGATTAGAGCAAGAATAGCAGCAATAAAACAATATTTTATTAATTTTAATGTAATTAAAACCAAATAAATATTGAAAAACAAATTCACAAGTTAATACTGTAGATTAGTTTAATTACAACGTTTTTATTAACTTACTTTCTTGTTTTTGGAAAGGGAATCTTGCAATCGTAATTTCGAGCCAGAGTACTCGGATTTCAACAACAAACACAGTACCTTGAAAATACTGATTTCATAAGATTTATAACCGCTATAAGCAAATTTATCCCTCAAGTAGTCAATAAAAATTCCTACACCGCTTTTCGCATAACCGGAGTTCTAAAATTTCCACTAGAGCTCTGATGACATGATAAGTTCCCATCATTTTCTGACCACTGCAAGCAGAATTTTTTAGGAAAGGAAATTTATTGTTCGACCACTTTCCAAGAAGCGCAAATTTTAACTGTAACTTTGTGAACTGGAACTTTTGGTGTCAATAAAAATCTCGATCACTTTCTGACTCTTCAAGATAACGCCAATTTGTCTCCAATAAGTTCAACCACTATTCAACAAAAATCAACAATTTTCGACAAATTATAAAAACTTAAATTTTTAAACTAACTAAAAAGGAGAAAATAATTTTATTTTTACAAGACCTGGAACAAGAAACGAAGAACTCATCATTTCTGTAATAACCTTCAATCATCCAAGAAAATTTAATTTCAACGAAGCTTTTCAAAAGTGATGAACCCCAGATTTTTTGTTTAAAAGTTCGCAAAAAAAAATTTTTTTTTCGTTTTTAAACTATTTGAAATATATAATCTTTAACATTTTTATTTCATTTTACTACATACATATTTTTAAAAACATTTTTTTGCGATAATACCAGAAAGAATTTTTATAGGTGAAGATTAAAAGTGTTCGATTTTTCATGAGGATATGAATGAAAATGATATTTTATTTTAAAAAAATGTGAACCAACAGACCTTCGAAAATTTATATTCTTAACTAAATTCTTATACATTTTTTACTACATAGATTTACATTTTCAATTTTTTTTTCCAGGTAGTTCTAGTTGTCTTTCCAGGACAAACTGCACCAGATTTGAATTCATAACTGCTCAAGATATTGATACTCTGCTGTCGGTTCAACTCTTATTTTACAAGGCAGATGTCCAGAAAAACTTATCAGTCACTATTTATTCGTCAATGGATGCAGGAGCAGATCCAGTAATCCACCTAAAAGAATACCATTCTAAGTCAAAAACCGATTCTGGTGTCGTTGCTTTTGAATTACCGATGATATTGGCTCTGGATGCCAAAAACGGAGAAGTCTCGTGCACAGCAGAAGTCGAAGGTAAATTTTAAGTCCAATTTCTACAAGTAGGTATCTTCTCATATGTGCAGTGTTGCAAAAGAAATTAGTAAATAAAATAAAAATAAAGAAAAAAGATCACTAATTCTTTGTGGCAAACACGATCCTTTATCGGACCTCAGCATTCCATTACGTTTCATTGCTTCTTCAGAAAATGTGGTTGATCTTACTTTTTTGGTGATTTCACATCTAAGATCAAGATTTGATTAGATTTACAGGCTTTGCAGTTACCACTTTTGTAGAAGTTAAAAGTAAGAACAAATATATATGCTACTTTAAAAAAAAGTTCATTTACACAAAATAAAATGTGCAATTCCTTTTTCGGTTTACTCAATATTTCTCCAAGCACTATAGATGAGAAATTCGCAAACTAACGTTAACTTAATACAGTGCAAAAATATAGAAGTTACACCTTGAATAACTTTTGATCAAGTGATTTAATTTTATGTAAAATTTATGTAAAATATATAATAATTTTAAAAGCTCTCATCTCAAAGAGATTTTTCTTGCTGAGTTGCTGTAATGAAGTTTTTATAATTATAAAAGTAATAGTTTAGATAATTTTACGCTTTACGCTACTTACCTTGTGACTGAGGTGCCCGCTAATAATAAGTGCAGACATTTTTAAAAACCTTCTTATTCCCGCTCCTGATAATATCGAATCTTTTATTTACAAAATATGAACTGGGGAAAGCCACAATCTCGAAAATATTGTTCCAATAACTTAGTCAGAAGATAGATCGAATGTTTGGGCCTCTATATTATTTTTACTTTTTCATACGTTACAAATTAAACACTTTTTGCTCAGGAAACTAAATAGTATTAATCGTTTAACCAATTTTTAAACAAGTTTTATAAGTGCAAGTTTTGAAGCGTAAATATATTTTAAAAAACGCAATGTAATTTACAGCGAAATGCGTAAATAGTAAATGTAACAAAGAGACCCAAACTTTAGACCAGTCTCTTGATAAAACTGTAGACTATATTTTATAAGATAAGGGGTTAAAAATTCGAATATTTTGAAGGAAAGTTCTATAGATTCAGAGAAAGTACTGTTAAATAATCATAGATAGATAGATATGAGAAAAATAATTAATAATTTTTTTTCTATTTTTACAGTTTCTTCTGTACATGAAGAAGGTGACTTCAGTCCTGTTCTAGTTTTAACAAAAACCATTGTAAAAGAAGAAAGAAGTCGACGCAAGGTTAGATCCAATGGAAGTTGTAACGATTGCTGTTTGGAATCATTTTTCGTAACAGTTGAAGAACTAGGGTGGGAAGCTTGGGTACATCAACCGCTTATATTTAACATTGGAGATTGCGTTGGACATTGCACAGACACGCACACATATTATAAGTCTCAATATCAAACAATAAGAAACACATTATCTAAAATAAATAGCACACACTTTCAAAGACCTGCTTGTGCTTTTTGGACGCCAAAATGTAAGCCTACTCAACTAGTAGCTCAAAATATCATGTACGATAACAATGGAACAATAATTTATGATACAATACCATCCATGGTCATAGAATCTTGTCAGTGTTCATAAGACAGTCTGTGCGAATATAGTATTAAATTATGATTTGGATGTTAAAAACACAGAAATGGCAATATAAAATGTTGGAAACAGAGCATAAGCTATGAATATAAGAATTTTCAATGGGAAAAATAAAACCACAAGATCTATTAAAATATTGAAATATATCCAATACATATTAGAGATAATATGGGAGCCATTTCAAAGAAGAAAGTTAAACGAGAAAATAAAAGCATTTTAAAGATAGTGTAGAGAGGGTATAGTAGTGAAATCTTCTTGAGTGAATTTGGAAAGATTCTCAGGTTTCAGGAGTTGGAAATGCTTGATCGAATGCGGGGAAAAAAGGCCAATACTGAATGCAAATGCACGTTGCATACCAATTTTCATACACATCGATTAAGGATTACACATCTGTATAAAAGCCTCTAATACACATCATATAAATAAAGATAATTATTTTCACTAAAATTTAAGGGCTAATAAAGGTCTAAAATCAAGATATGAAGAAAAAAAATTTAAAAAATTAAGTCCATGAAAACGTGCTTTTATAGCACAGGTGACACAATAAGTGACTTTCTTCTTACAAGTTCATTCTAGTTTGATTGAACTTTCCAACAAATAGAAAAACTTTGTGTTTTAAATTCACTTTTATAGGGATTATCAATAATCAAAGTCATAAGAGCCTCAGTGGCTCAGAAGATAGAACATTTGCCTCCCAGGTGACTGGAGTTTGAATATCAGCTGTACGAGGTTGATGCAAATTCTACAGAAGGCTCGCAATAACCACAGTGGTGACCTAAAATATCCTCAGTGGTAGATAGATCATTGGTTCTTTGCCATTAGGCTAACCGTGGGAGGTTTTCATTATTTTCCTAGCCATGTGGAGTAAATGTGGATTAGTTTCATCAAAAAGTCCTCCAAGGCTAGTTTGTCCCAGCCTGATACAGGAGTTCCCTTATATTCTGGATTGGGTTCAAAGTTACAAGGCTATAGAGCTGAACATTGAAAAATTTAAATTCATAACTGAATCGAATGTTCAACGCGGGTTATAAAATACAAATTAAAAGTCAAGGCATGAGTTAATTTTTTCAGAATATCACACAGAGAGGTCCATCTAAAGATGATTTCAAGGTTAAATTCCCACTCAGGAAAAAGGCATTACTTGTATCTTTCAAATTTCTAATCAATTTTGAATTATTTGAACAAGTAAATTTAATAAAAATATAAAAAAATCATTTCAACTTATATAATTATTAACATTTTCAAACAGAAAAATTTATGTAAAATATATAATAATTTTAAAAGCTCTCATCTCAAAGAGATTTTTCTTGCTGTGTCGCTGTAATGAAGTTTTTATAATTATAAAAGTAATAGTTTAGATAATTTAATCTAAAAATTAATTATAACCTTTGTGTAGCTAAAAAAAAGCTAGCTTATGCATCAAATTAAAAATTAAATTTAGTTCATTTTGATTAAAAAAATTTCTGACAAAAATTCATGATAGACAAATAGCAGAAAATGGTATTGTTAATTTCTCATGAACAGTGATGTGTACAAAAAATATACAATTGCTACTTATGACTTTGTATAATTGTTATTTATGACAACTGTTATCATGTCACAGCTATACCTTCCCTACACTACAATTTAAACAAAGCTAGCGATATCTAAGCTAGATGTGATCTTAAAGTTCAAAGTTAGTGCGAAAATCCCACCGTTCAACAAAAAAAGTGCCATTCTAAAAATTATAAATGAGAATAATCTGCCTAAAAAATACATATTTGAACTACTTAGTGAATAAAATGTGTATTTAAAATGATGCATTTGTCAAACAGAGAAGTTACAAAACAAAACAAAAATTGTGCCAAGTTGGTTTAAAATTTATTTAAATGCATAGGATAATTTTATGTTGTTGTTTGAAAAAGAATCATTGTAAATATTGTAATCTAGTAGCTGTATATAACTAATTATTTAAACTATTGTCATTTCTTACAATAAACTCTCATGATTCCAAGAATAAGATAATTGATAGGGGTGATTGCAAAGATTTCAAGAATAGTTTAAGTTAATCAATAACAATCAAGAAAATTTTTAGCAACATAAAATGCTTACTCTTTTTAATGTCCTTTGCTAGTTAAGCACCTGCAATGACTAGTGAAATGGGAAACTCGATTCAAATTTAAACGAACAGTTACTATTTGTTTATTTTTGGTATATCTCACACTTATAAATTAAAGCGATAACATGAAATAAGTTTCACATTTAATATTGATGGTCAGAATAGTTTATCTTTTAACCCTTAATAAGGCAATTATAAAAAGAAACTCATTTAGTTTATTATCTAAAATTATTTTCATTTTAAGAGCATTTTATCTACAACAAAAAAAGAAAAAAATTAGTCATAAACTACAATTTATATACTTTAAAAGAACCAAATTTATAAATTCTGTGTTTATAATTATAAATAAATCAGGACTACAATAGAAATAAAAACAATTAGATATGATCAAATGAATAGCTTACCAGCATTGGCCACTCTTTTTGGCCCATGCTAATCCTTACAGTTACCCACATTTATGTTAACAAGGCTCTTATTAATGATAATAGGTTATCTTAATGACATTTAATATGCAATCAACCCTTATTTTAAGTAGTAAGTTTTATTATTGAGTACAAGCAAAGTATGTATTGTACTGCATACTAATACACAGCTAAGTTTCCCTTTAGTTTCATTTTTGTAGCCTGTATAAAAATGTTATATTTATTTAACTATGTAAAATGTATAAAAAATTAAATAAATTCATTCATTCATGCTTGCTGCTTGGTCTTGACTGAAATAATTTTATAAAACAAGCAGAAAACTCTTCTTGATAATTGAATAAGATAATAATTATATTTTTTATAATATCTTAGTAATTCATTGTAATATTGGGTTTTATAAATGAAATATTGAATGATTTATAATTTTTGTAAATTTAAACATGGATAGAAATGTTGCCACTCTTCTATAATTTTCCATACTTAAAAAACATTGATGCAGGGACTGTCTAGACATAAGAAATATGTGTTTGTTCACTTAATTATCGAGAATTATTACATGAAACTAATATTAAAAAACTAAGAATAATTTTCTTAATTATCCGTATCTTATGTTCTTTTTTTTTTTAGCAATAACTGTTAAAGATAAAAAATAAGATGAATTAAGTACCTAGTTCCATATTTGAAATATGATAGGTACAAGCAATAAATCCTTATTTATCTCATTTTCATTATTTATAGTATTAATTTTATAATAACCAATAGCAAACATAAAAAAATTAAACCTTTATAATACAGTTATGTTATTAATAGAACTTCTACCAACAATAACTTGTTTTAATAGTTAAAAATGTCTTTTTTTTAGAATAATGCTTAATAATATACATTCTCAAGTTAATAGGGCATTTTTTTTAATAAAAAATAATAAATAATCTTAACTATAAGGTAGATTCTCTTGAACATGTTTTTCTTTTAAACTTAATCGTTTTTATTGAATATTTTTTTAACAAATGATTTAAATTTTCTTTAAAATATAATATATATTATTACCACAAATTTTTTCTTCACCAGGTAAATGGCAATTTTATAAAAACACTTGTTATGCACAGTGGTCAGAATTAAAACTTAAATTAACAACTGTGAATAAGTCAGAAAACATTTTAGAACTGGTAAAATAATGTTTTTCAAGAAAGAAAGAAAAAGAGTATTAATTTTTTCAAAATTTTAAAGCATATATACCTTATTATGCAGGAAAGGATCAAATTGAACTATTTACACAAACCTACCCATTAATAAGATAAAAGCGCTTAAAAACGAAACTTACATATGCAATTTTATTGTTCCAAAAAAATTAAAAGTAAATTCAAAATAACATATAAGCACAGGTTTATTTACATAAAGTTAGCATTTAAGTTTCTTCTCAGGCAAGTTGGCTTCGAGAAATCTGCTCTTTTAATATTAAAATACTTTGCCTCTGGTCAGGAGGCAGCATCGAAATTTGTTCATCAGAAAGTTGAAGAACTTGCATAATTAGGGCAGCCTGAAAAATATAAAATTGCTAAATACAATAATGAAGTAAAAACAAAAAATAAATATTAAATAAATATCAGTTTTGAGGAAAACATAATTAAATTTTTCAAATGCTGACCTCAAACTTTAGATGGATAGAACATAATAGCTGTACAAATATAATCTAAAATTTTTAATCAAAGATCAATTTTAAAGATCAAAAATACCTAATAAATAAATGAAAGATCCTACTAGAAAAAAAAGAAGAAAAAAAACAGAAATTAACATTTCTAAAATTATGATTTTTAACAACATATCCTGGTATTTTAGAGAATTAAGACACGATGTCCAGTCGTTAAGTGGTTTGTTTTCCAGCTGTGACAAAGGTTTGTGGTACTATCCTCGGTTCAAATTTTAATCAAACTTTTACTATTGTGGTACTATCCTCGATCCAAAGTTTAATCAACCTCTTATAATACCAACCACACTTGGAAACTAAACGCTGGGGGTTTGGTGTTTGTCTAACCACCCAACTTAAACATTTGCTCCTGCACAAAAGTCTTAGGTCAAGAAAACTGAAATAGGCACAGTACACCAAGACCCTTCATAGGCTGTTGCACCACTGCTTTTAGTTTTTCAAGAGATGACTATAATCAAATTACGATTTCTGTTTAATCTTAGAAATTCGAAATGAAACAAATAAAAAGTCCTATAAGTGAAAAGCATAAACAAAACCAAAACTTTAGTTTTTAAATAATAAATCATAAATAAAAACATTCATACTGCCCTAAAATAATAACTTATAACTAATCAATCCTGATACTGACAATGATGTTGCTAAAAAGCTATCAGATGAGGAATGATTAAATTCTATTCATAAAAATCATAAATAGAATAAAACTAGCAGGGAAAAAGTTCGCAAGATTCTTTCCATTCCACTAACAAAAGGGAAATAGCTTATATATGATTGATATTTTTTATTGTATTATTTAAAAAACTTTCTTTTTTCATAGAAAAAGGTTTTAAACTTATGAATTGATTGATATATCATTCTATACATCATCTATTTATTTCCTTCTCAGTAATCATTTCCTTTTCATTGTAATTCCATGTTTCATCTATTGATTTCCTTCTTTATTCTCTTCTCAAAAATAGCTGAATGATTTCTTTTTTCTTCAAAGGATGCTTTATGAAAAATTTATTCTTTTCCTTAGTTAAAATTAACAACTCCTAATGCAAACTGTCACTTATTTAACTGAATATTGGAGAAGATACAGGCAGTTGTGAAACAAAAATTGACAAGAAAAGGAAAGAAAAAAAGAAGAAAAAAAGAAATTTTCATACAATAGTATTTTGCAATGCAAATTTGTGAACATAATGGTTACATTTTTAAATCTGTTGTTTAAGACAATACCATCAGACACAATAAATGTATTTATATCAACATTTTGAAAAACATAATACAGACTCAGGGTTTTGTGCAGACTGCAGATTAGTCAGCCACTCTGAGTCTAAATCAAAGATTGATAATCTTATGACTGTTAAAAACAAATTGGTGGGCTCTAAATTAAGAAGAGTTTTAAGCTTTATGTGCTTTTTAGAAATAATATGTTTAGAGTTGAATTTATCATACCTTCTCTTTATCTTGAGGCATTGATGTTGGAAACATTCCAGGAAGAATATCAGGTGCATTTGAAGGAGCAACAGTAGTTCCAGGTTCACTTTTAATAATAGGTACTCTAGGACCCTAAAAATAAGTATGTATTAAGTAAATGGAACAAATCACAAACCTAATAAAAACACAATAAATATCAAAAAGATTTTACACAAACAAGTGTACTAAGGAAATTTCAGTACAACACACTTTTTAATGATAGTAATTCTTTGGAAACAGCTCATTTTTTTCAATTTAAATTAAACTAAACAATGCGTTTCATATTAGTCAAAAAGTAAAACATTCTCGCATGGGGACTGGTAGACAATGCTAAGTGCATTGCTAGTGGCATTGTAGTCAGAACTTTAAACTCATAGATCTGAAGCTGGGTGAGCTTTCTAACGCTGTCAAGGATAGAACCTGAGTCCTTCAGAATGACAACACAGTGCTTTAACCACTGTACCATCTGACTCTTGAGTAAACTTCACATTTAAAAATCAGGGTTGGCAGGTTTTTGACATGTGACAGTTTTTGACAGTTTAAACCATGGTTTAAACCGTCACGTCAAAAACCTCACTGTCAAAAATGTCAAAAACCTATATTCATATGTGAAATTTAATTAATACATAAAATTTATATATTTTTTATAAAGGATAGTGTTTCTAAATATGTTCTAGAAAAAATAAATTTAAAATTTTGAAGAAACACTTATATTTTGAATAGTAACCAAAATCTTGTACTTTTGAAAGCTCACATCTTTTGTAATATTATGTATTCATTTTCATGCCTTATTGAAAATCTGCAGTGATATTATTAAGAAATTTATTTATAACCAAATTTAGTGTATAGTATAGATTATACTAAAAATTAGACATTTTTAAAGATAAACATTAGCAGTTTTGTACATTAGACATCTTTTAAAGAAAAATCTTTTTAATATTCTTTTAAATCTTCTTAATAATCTTTTTAACATAAGACAATACAAATTTAAGTGCTTTCTGTTAAATACACAGAGTAGTTAGTGTCGATTTACAGTATATTCAGCCTATTCATTTACTATGCTGAAAATTTAGTTTATCCAAATACTTGTGAATTTCATTTTGCTGAATACTATATAGTTTTGTTGAATATCTAAATATTCAGCTGTTGAATAATTACTTCTTGCTTTCAAGATATGCATTATTTGTATTCTTAATACAAGTGGGGGAAAAAAATTAAGAGGTAAAAATTGTTTTAAAATGATAAGTGTAATAATTATAAATAAATATAATAAACAATATGAATTATATTTATCATTATTCACAAATATAACTACTTTTAAATTCAAATTAACATACTGGATAATAAAGATATTCGGTATAACATTAAAAAAAATTTTTATACACTTGTATCAAGTTTGTATTTATACAACATAACTTGTAAGTTCCTTATAAATATTAGTTATATGTTCCTTATATGTCAAAAATGCATAGTAATAAACTTTTAATTTTCTTAAGTATCAAAAAAAAAATTTTTTTTTTCAAAATATAAATATTTAAAAAAATTTTGTGCAAAATTTTTCTGCACATGCATTTGAATATAAATTTCTGAGATTTTAAATCTGTTATTTTACCTTAATTTTAATTAAAAAATATTTTAAAACCTGCTGATTACCTATAGTATAATTAAATTTCAATATAATGCATGGCAACTGTTGGTAGTTTTGAAGTTTATATATTTTTTTTGGCAAACTTTAGTTTTTGACGGGTTTTTGACGGGCTTTTGACGGTTTAAACCAGTATTATACCCTTGTCATGTCAAAAACCACTTTTTGACGTCAAAAACCCAACCCTGTTAAAAATATGACCACTACTTATGGAAATATATGAATATAAATATCAATGTTTTGATAAGCTTTTTAAACAGAATCTAACAGTTTAATTCCTATCATGATAAATTGATAGAAAATGCAGAAGTACAAATAGAAATAATATAAACATATTTAAATTACAAATACTATAAAAAGTGTTCTTATCTTTAAATTTACTATACATAAATTATTATTTAAAAAAAAAATTAAAAAACGCATTAAATATTTGGGTCAGATAAAAATTACACCGAAATTTTGTAACAAATAAAAAAAATCAATTACGTCTTATTCATTCTAAAACGACAAAGCCTAATGTGTTTAAAATATTAAACTTCCTCACTCTACTAAATTTGTTAGAACTCATTTTTTGTCAATTCCATCATTTAAGATATTGCAGACTTTAAAAACACATGGCTCAATTTTAAAAAAAAAACGGGGCAGTTTTAATAATTTTTGTTAAAATAAGTCTTGGTGTCATTTACACTTATTTCAATTTTAGTAACTTTCAGTATTTTAAAAAATTAAAAACTTGGTGTACCAGATATATCACAATAAATCCTTGCAAAGTTTGAATTATTTTTAAAAAAAATTATTTTTAAAAATTTGAATAAGTGTTAATAACAAAAAATCCTAATTTTACAAAAATTATTAGAAATTTTAGAATTTTTTTAACTTTTTTTACAACTTTCGTAAATGGTGGAATTGCCTTATACGATAAAATTTTAAAATCCTTAAATTTACTATGCATAATTTCCAAATTCATTCTTTTGCAACCTCTTTATTTCATTAAAATAAAATATATTAAAGTTTTAATAATTAAAATAAATAAATAAATAAAAATAATAATAATAATAAAAAAAAAATTTAAAAAAAAACAGAAATAGCACAAACATAATATAGAAAAACTTGCACTAACATTTGAACAAAGTAATTCTCGTAAACTTAATTTATTCCATTGGCTGATTTGGAAATATCTACAGAACATATATGCCTCAGTAAGACAAAAAAGGTTTAAGAACCGTGAAAAAATATTTACATCAAAAATTAAAATTTAAAATCTTAATTTCTAGACAGCTTATAAAAATTGTACAAGTCTTATTCAATCAATAAAAAAAAATGTTAAATGCATTTAAAGCTTCCTCACTTTAGATAGAATTCATTACAAAAAAGTGCCCTTTTATTATGAATTAATTATACAAGAGCAAAATCTTAATAGGCTTTTGTGAAATTGAGTAAAAATGCAATTGTAGAAGCACAAAAAAAGTCAAAATTTTTTTATCATTTTTAGATTCAAATGAAAAGTTTTTAATTATTAATATATTAAGGCATACACAACTATGAAATTATTAAGTAACATAACTACCAGTTTACTCCTATTTGGCTGTGAATGTTCAAGATAGTACTTAGACTCAAAAGGGTAAGAATTAATAAAGTATTGTATTTGAAAAAATTAATGTAAAAAATAAATTATTCAATTTTCTTCTCAGATCTACAAACTAAGATTGAAAATGAATAAGTTTTATGTTTAAAGGAAAATATGTAAGTTTCATCTTAAATTTTCAAAAGTAAATGAGCAATTAAATGCCAAAAAAAATTAAAAATTTTATAAATTTGAAGATTAAATTTTTTGTTAATTTTGACAACTGTATAGAATTATTAAGTATGGTCTGATGTTTATCATAATACATAATAAAAAAAGCAAATAAAAATAACAATGAAAAATCTTAAAATATGTTTTTAAAAATATTGTTAAAATGAACATACTGCAGGTAATCTAGAAGCAGATGCTGAAGCACCATCTAATATTGGTGGTTTACGAGGATCTTCAATTGGAGCAGGCTTAACTCTCGGATCAGAGCCCTGTCGAGCTCTAGGATCCGAATTAGAAAGTCCACGAGGATCTCCTTGCAACATTCTGGGGTCTGCTACTCCACTCATCATCCTGGGATCTGATCTTCCTTCCATTGCACCAGCTTTAGGATTTTGAGCAGAGGAGATTCTTGGATCAATCACTGGTCCTACTCTTGGGTCTGGCAACTGGCCACGCATTGCTCTGGGATCGGAGGAGTTTAAGGATCTAGGATCTAGATTTTGCAAAATTCTAGGATCAGGATTTGCTGCAGCTCTGGGATCAGAATTTGGCACTGTTCTAGGATCATGACTAATCATAGTGCGAGGATCGGTACCAGACATTGCTCTAGGATCAGAAATGGACATTGCTCTAGGATCTGAAATGGGCATTCCTCTTGGATCTGAAATGGGCATCCCTCTTGGATCAGAAACTGGTATTCCTCTAGGATCTGAATTAGGCATTGCTCTTGGATCAGAAACTGGTACTCCTCTAGGATCTGGAAAAAGCATACCTCTTGGGTTGGAAGCAGAAATTCCCCTAGGATCTGGAACAGGCAATCCTCTAGGATCAGGAACAGATATTCCCCTTGAATCAGGACCTGTGATTGCTCTTGGATCTAAGTTTGAAAGACTTCTAGGATCCATACCAGGCATTCCTCGTGGGTCAGGGCCAGATATTCCTCTAGGATCAAGTACAGGCATAATCCTTGGATCTTGCATTTTAGAATTAGGTCCTTGCAGCATTCTAGGATCAATACCCGCACGAAATCTTGGATCGAATAAATGGTTATTACCTTCTGGGATAGGCAAGTTTCTCATATCAGAATCTCTCATTGGTTGTCTCATATCTTGATCAATGTTCATAGAAAAACCTAAAAAAAAAAGAGAAAGAGAACACCAAACTATAAATTATTATTTAAGAAATGTATTATTAAAATAAATATTATTAAAGATTTTCATTGCATATAAATAGTTTTCATATATTCTTCTATTTGTTTTCAAAATAATAAAAATAACTCTGTTCAACAGTTTTTCTTGTGATATTTTAGCTTTTCACATTCTTAAAACTTAACCTTTTATTGTTTTCTCAAGAAAATTATCCATAATTAAATGAATGTGAATAAAATTTAAGTACTATTTATATAAAGTGTAACATCAATATCCAAAATTTCTGCCAGCAAAAAAAAAAATACAAAAGAAAGATTTTTCTCTCTATTTAAGTAGTTATAAGCAATGGCATAGTCAAAAAGGGTTCTTAGAGGTTAATCTCCCTTCCCCAGAAAACAGTTTTAAAAATTAAATCAGTTTCCGATTTGATCTTCCTTCCATTACACCAGCTTTAGGATAATTATAGAAGCTATACCATGCTAATAAGAAACATAATAAAATAACAGTAACAGCAAACACAAATTTCACATCAATCTAACAGTATTTAAAACAATTTCAAACATTTGAGAATTTTTAGCTTTAATTTTGAGGTATCACATTTCTGTGATACATCACTAGTTAGGAACTGCATAATGACATTTGAAATAGGGTACAATTTTTCCAATTATCAGAAAATGCAAACGGCTTAGTAAGAAAGAGAATGTAAGAAAAATAGAATAGTATGAGGCTGATAAAAAAAAGCCAGTAAAAAAAAAAGCCAGTTATGTATGATTCGAATAAAAGATAAAAATTTAAATTTTAAAACAAAAGTACAAGATTTATTCAAAATGATGCTTAGAATATATTTTTACAAATTGGTAAATATTAACCTCACTAATTGTCTCTCCTCAACTTATAATTTATAGAAATTATTCAATAATTAAATTTAAAAGTAGTTTAATGTTTAAAAATTTTCTTATTTAAATTACCATGAAATTAAAATTTATGAACAGAATTAACAATTTTACAGTCACACCCAGAAATATTTTCTGCTGGATCACAGGCCATAAATATTAATATAAAATTATTATAATGAAGCAGTACACAACCCTTAATAGCACAAATGGCATAGATTGTTCTTTCATATTAACTTATTAAACAAATTACATATTAAACAGATTAACTTATTAAACAGATTCCAAAGATGTACTTAATATCTACTACTATTTAAAACTTATTAATTTCCCTATCTCCTTGAATATTTGAGGAAATGATGCCTAAAAAATGATGATACAATTGCTTCTTATAAGAAAACAAAAGAACTTGCATAAAACTTTCTCAAACTTCTTGAAGAAATTAGACTATTACTTGTGTACATTTAGATTAATCAAATCACATTTTTTAAAAAAAAACGATGTTCGAAAAAAAAGAATGTTCTGCAAAATTAAACTGTTTATAATTAACTCTTTTTATAAAGGTAGAAATTTATAGTATGTTACCAAAATGCACCATTTGTGAAACTAAATAAGGATTTCCAACATTTAAATATTAATCTAAAATTCAGTCCTTTAATTACTTATTTATCTTTATCTTATTATCTTATTATTACTTATTTATCTTAATTCATAAATCTTTGAACTTATATTAACAGAAAACAAAGTAATTGTAGGACATAATTATTTTTAAAAAAAGTAAATGTAGGCATTCACCATCTTTTTAATAATTTTTAGAAAGAACCCAATATCACAACTCTAAAGGAGAAAAATCTATTGATTTTTCTCCTTTAATGAAAGATAAAAATTACGTCATGAAATAATACAGAACAAACCTTTAGCCATCATATTAGATAGCATACTGGGAGGTACTAATGCAGGTGTTTGATTTACAGCAGGAGGATTAGACTGCACAGGTATTCCTACAAAAAAGCATAAGGTTATTAATAGCAGGGGCAAAACCAAAGGGGGAATCATGGGATTAGCAGAAAAACCTCTATAAATTCAAAAAATCTTTGAAATTTTAGGTAACTACTCATTTTTTTGCATGTTTACAAATTTTCAACAATAATTTAAATCTTTTTTATACTGTGATGAACGTGTAATAAATTGGTATCTCCTAAATTTAAGTGTAACTTCATGTGAAGGAAAAAATGGGAAAATTTCTTATCTCAGTTATGTAACAAACCAATAATATTCCATAAAGAGAAGAGGTATATAATGGTTGTAAAACCACTGGCGATTTACTAATCAACTAGTTGATTAGTAAAATTAATTTAAAGCAATTATATTTTTTAAAATCTATTTTCAATTTTTTCAGTTGCAAGTAGAGAAAAACTGATTAACTTCCTCAAACTTTAGAAACAGGATTGAATTTTTGTTATCAAAAACTTATTTTTGACATGCCAATCAAACAAAACTGTTTTAAATCATCAAACATCTAGGTTCAGACATGAGAATATCATAATAGAAAGAATGCAGTGTAATAGCATAAAATCCCAATTACATTAAATTGAGTGCGTATTAAAAATTTATTTTATTACAAATATAAACTTAAAATGTTTACTTGGTTTCAAAAATGTTGAATGTGAGGTTTCGAGCATTAAATATCTGACAAAGGGTTTTTGACATGACAATTCATCCACGATTAAAAATGTCAAAAATTTGTCAACCCCGATGAGTAAAATATAACAGTTCCTAATAAAAATTATAGTAAAGAATCTATTTACCTCCAGGGAAGAAAGCTGTATTTGTTTCCATTGCATTAGTCTAAAAATTAAAAATTATATACATTATTCAAGAAAATGAAAATTACACATAACAGCAAACAGTTTAAAGATTGTGCTGAATAATGCAGTTGACATGCAAACTGATACTGCTATTCACTGTTAAAAATTAATTATTTTCCAAACATTAGCTTCAAAATGTGGACAATTTAAAGCATTAATACAACTTACGGGAGGTGCATCTCCGGGAACAGCAGCTGCTTCTGAAGCTGGTGCATTATTCGCAGCAGTTGGAACTACTAATGGCCTGTCAAGTATTTTCTGAAAAAAGAAGTGAAAAAAAAACTGATGAGAAATCTGTATATGCAAAAAAAAGAATAGAGTCACTTTATTTTAATATTTGATAGAATTAATAGCCTTCTTTTAAGTTTTGTTGTGAAATGTATCTAAAAATACAAGTTTTAAAAACATATACAATTTCACTAGATAAAGATATTTTTAGTTCCTTTAATCTTGATGATGATTTATGAAGAATAAGACTCTTCTTTCATATTCTAAAACAGTACAAATATTATTTAAGATTATATTTTCGTTCTACAAAAATTGTCACTTTCACTTAACAAAAGGCAAAGAGAAAAAAAAAATCTTGAAGAAAAAATCTAAAGTTTGAAAGTTTACATTAGTCATTTACTTGCAGTCTAACTAATAAATCATAGTGTAAAGAATGATATAAAAGCTTTTAGCTGCCAATATTAATTTCAATTAATGTGTTGACAGAATTTTGAAAGAGATATCTCCAATACCTTTTATTATATGTTATGTTGTATTATATAAAATAATCAACGAAGCAATAAAAAGAAAATAAATTAAAATATTATTTTAAAAAAAGATTAGCAGGCCTTTAGATGAAGGAGAAACTTTTAAAAGGTAATTGGTGAATTTCTTTTTTTGTCCAATGTACCATTACATAAAAGGAGGCTTTTTAATAATACATACAATAAATACATATTTTAATACACCTTTTTTAAGCAATTCTGTTGAGCAAATATTTTTAAATATATTTTCATTGTATTTTTATTTTATATTTCTTTTTATTATTTTTATTTTATTATATTTTTATTATATAATATTCTTATTTTTAAAAAAAAAATTACACACTTATGGTATTATTTTATATTAGTTTAATTTTTCACTAAGGTAAACTCTTTATTTTTGAAAGCCACTTTGATAAAAATTTACAGTTTAAAAGCTAAATCAAAGGTTTTATTTTAATCATTTTAGTTATGCAGTCACATAACAAAATTAATAACCTTTGATTCTGGAAGCTGGATGATTTGTACACATTTTCTCATACCTACATATAACAAATTTTAACATTTTTTATGAGTTGTTTCCTTTAATCAATTATATTTTTTATGTAAGTATTAAGTTTGGTCACTTAATATATATAACCTTTTACTACAAAAACATGTAAATGGATTGAAATATGCTCTTAAATATTCAATTTTACAGTGAGTTGTCAGTAGTCACTACAGATCTAAAGTTATCAATGGTCATTTAAATTACCACTGAATCTTGAAGCATCAAATACTTTTTAATCACCAGTGAGAACTAAAACGATGCCAATTTAGTGAAGATTATTTAAATTTTTGATTATTTTTAATGAAATTCTTCAACTTTGAGTCCTGAATAAAATCTATGAAAGCCACATAAAATGTGTAACAATTAGCATCCATAAATAATATTCACTCCTATTTTTATATAAAATACATAAATGTAAATCTAATATAACAATTACAACAAAGTTGTTATACATTCAGCCTGAGCAAATATATCATTTATATTTGTTATAGCCTTTAGAAGATGTATATAAGATAAACATAAGGCTTCTTAAGGCCAAGTTAAGCTAAAAACCCCAGAAAAAAATATTTACATTACAAATTCTTAACATTTGTTTTCAGGAAACGCTTATGCTATAGATTTTTAAGAATCAAAATAAACAACAAAAAAATTCTTTTTCTTCAAATAAAAAAAAAAACATTTTGTTTTTCAACCTAAAAAAATTTTTTAGGCCTTTAATCTTCAAGTTAAAGATTTAATATCTGATAAATGACTGAAAAAATTATTAAGTCAATCTTAATACAGTAGAACCTTGATTAACTGAAATAATGGGACTGACACAGATCACCAAAGTAATTAATTACATCAATAAACAGTAAAGTTCCTTTTTTGATAATAACATACTTCTATTTTTTGCAGTAGAGTAAGCCATGATAGTCAAATTAAACTACACACTATGAATAATGAAAAGAAAAATGAAACAATGAAAATAACAATTTTAAAATTTCTTTAGCAAAACAAAACCAATACTGTCAATTTCTCTAACTCACAATATGTTTATTTAAAGATATAGACACAAAGTTTACATTAGAAGATAAAAAGGTTAGAAATAATGAATATAAAAAAAAATTTATTGTGGGCTTTATTATGGCAGTGTGTTACTGAAAAATGAAACATAAGAGTGCATGTAAACAACAACAAAAAAAACTTTGGGATCAAATTCTGTTCTTTGAAATCTTGGATAAAAGAGATTCTACTGTATGTATAAAATATTAAAATGCACCATAATAACATTAATAAAATATACTTTTACTAGAATATTAAAACAATATTTATATTGATACAATTTTAAACAATTTTCAATTTGAATACCAATTACTAGATGAAACTTTATATTAATAATTTAGCAACAAAACAAAACAAAATAATTTTAATCAAATGAAATTTCTCTGAAGTACTCACAAGAGCAACTTCAGGGTCAACTATGTGCATTATCACTTGAGCTTGAAGCAAAGCATATGCGAGTTGGGGATTCTGAAGAAGTAAATTTCGAGCTTCATGAGGATTGTTTTCGATGCACATCTAAAAAAAATTATAGTTCATGTTAGGAAATTAAAACTTGATTTAAATTATGAGCTATAAACACAACTTCCAAAAAGACAGACTTAAATACATACTTTCATTTGTTTCATTAATTCAAACATTTGCTCTGGCGGTAGACTTGCCACAGCTTTTGATATTTCTTCAGGAGCTTTTTCAGTTGTAGCATCAAGTGCTATATTTTCCTGGAACAGTATGACCACTTGAGTTATTAAAGAATAATAAATTTTTAAAATTTTATCTACAACAAAATTTTAACTCTTAATTGCTCTTTAGAAAATAGATGTTTAACTCCAAAAATTCTTATTTATTTCCTCTTAACCGTACAGCATAAAAAAGAAACAAATAATGTGATTCTAAAAAATAAAAACAATTGTGATTAGAAATTTTTAAAAAAAATTATAACTGAAAATTTTGAAATAATATATCAAAATAATTCAGTTACAATATAATATTAAAAATAATATCTACTGTTTAAAGTGAACTCAAATTCATGAAAAAAAAAGTAATGTTTTTTTTCTTTCATGAGTCGAAAGAAATTAGTCACTTAATTATTCAAAACTTACGAATCTCGTGTATAAAATTTTATGAGTAATGTAAAAAGAAACTCCAAGTAGATAATATGGCATTTACATAGTACTGTTATGAATGTATTGTTATGAATGGAGAGTAATTTTGAAATAATTGTAGCAATAAATTTTATTCATTTCTACATGCTTCATTCATAATGAAATATGTACCTTTACAGCTTATTCAAAAAGAAAATAAACGAAAAGGGAAAAAGAATTAAAATACTTTACATACAGTATCCATTTTTGATATGCTAAGTCCACCTTGAAGAAAATCTAAGTAAAAAAAAAAAAAAAATAGTTTTTCAACAAAGAGTGAAAGAAAGTTGTGGAAGTCAATAATATATTAAATATTTAAGATATATCCGAAACTTGTAATAGCTTTAAAAAATGGTGCTGTTATACTAAAAGGAATTTTTGCAATAAGTAAATTTAAATGAAAATTCTCTTATCACATAAATATATTTTTAAATAACTAAAAACAATTTAATAACTATGAAAAATTTCATACAGTGAATTACTAAAATTCAAAAATTAAATATGTTATGACATAAGAAAAGTTTTAACCTTTTGAGCATAATAGAAATTGAAAATTCTCTTATCGCATAAATAAATTTTTGAATAACTTAAACCAATTTAATGACTATGGCATATCTATAATTAAATAGGTTTTGGAAAATGTTAAAAAAAAATATTAATCTATAGAGCATTTAACCTAGAAATAACCTGCTTACTTTCCAAGATTACAAACATATTTACAACAATGTTATAAAATATAAGGGTAATGGAGAGCAAATTTACACAAATTTTTAACGCTAGGTTATGCTAATATTTTTAAAATAAAAATTAAAAGGTCTTACTTTCTAGCTCTTCTTTACTTTTACCACTTGCAGCAGAATCAACTTTTATCAGTTGGCCTCTAAAAACAAAGTCATTCAATGCATGAATGGCTCTTAAAGCCATTTCTGGGTTTTCATATTCACAAAAGGCATATGCTATTTGGTTAGCAGAACTTTCATTAAAAAATCTGAAAGTAAATAAGTTCAGGAATATTTTTATAACAATGCAATTGAAATAGAGAATAGATATAAAAAAAGATCCATAAAATAAAATTACATCTTAATAATTTCTATGACAAAAAAAAAAGAAAAAGATTTAATAAATTTTGAATAACTTCAATATAACTTTGCTTCTAGCTCTGTAATTTAACTGATAAAATAGATTTTTGAAATAAAATTTTAAATTTCTTTTCCCTGTTTAATAGCATTTATGAACAAATTAAAACTAATCATTTTTTGCTGAGTTATTAAATTTAAAACATTTGTTTTAAACATTAAATTAAAAAAATGTATTTAAAACACTTTTTTTAAATTACTTTACCTATCCCTTTCAAAATTAAAAAATTACTAGAGATTACAAAATTAAATTAAAAGTACTTAAAGCGTAACTAATCTTTCAGTCAGAAAAACAATCTCATTTTCTGTACAATAACAGTGTCTAACAAGCAGTTGTTTTCCACTTTAGTAACAGATGGCTATAAATTTGCAAAAACCTAATTTTTTTTTACTATTATAATATCAACTATAAGAAATAAGTTCTTTTTCTATAGTTGTATAATTTTTGTGAATGTTCTCAACATTTAGTTTTGTACATAGTAAAATAAGTAATCGTTTGGCCAAGACTTCAAAGCTTGTAATCATATTCAAAGCTCTAAATAAATTATTTCTTTTTATTCTTTTAAACATTTTAGATAATGGTTCTTTTAGATTTTAAAAAAAAAATAAGAATGTGTCTGAAAAACAACATATAGTAAGCAATTCTAAGATTTAAAAAAAAAAATTAAAAATAAATGCTTTAAACAACAAAAACAATGTTTTAAACACACAAAAAAAAACTTTATTTTCTAAAAAATAATTGATTTTTTCAACTTCGATTTTTGACACTATATAGAAAGTTTTATCCACTCGGTGTACAAACTAGATGTCGGTGTACAAACTAGATGTAATAAGTTTATTTATTTATTTTTTTTACATTCCATTGGTTTTTCTCTCAAAAATTATATTTTTTTCCCAAGATACTAAACTACATGGTAAGCTCAAAATATAGTGTCTCTGATTATGGAATTCTATTATACTTGGAAATCACTAATCAAGCAATAAAAATTACTCAAAAAAGCCAGTAAATAAATTATACCCACCTAAAGTCAACAATTGATCCAAACTCTCTCAATAAAAGAGTCAGCATGTCTTCAGTGGTATCTACAGGGATATTACCCACTGAAAGAAAAAAATAAACTTATAGAAAGTAAAATATTTCCTCTAAATTTGAAATATACAGTCAACATGTGTTGTACTAAAGCTTGATAAAAATAAAATTAATCTAAGTAATATTACTATAAAGTAAGTGCATGAAACAGTATTTCATGGCTAAAAATACTAAATAAATTTGTACTAAATCCTTAATTAATTGTTTAAATTAATAAATTTCAAAAACACTTAAATTAAGAACAATCAAAAATAAAACACTTGTTTTATATTATGCAAATAATAATAGGGATAGCCAACTTCGTTCAAAAACATCTAGATAAAAAATATATAATTTGAGCTAAAGCTGATTTAAAAAATAAACCAAAAAAAGTAACAATGACAAGTTTTAGTTGGAAAAAAATGGTTTACATGACCATTTAAATTTAATATAATACATACTAGGACTAGTAATACATCAAAAGCATTGATTTTATGCAATCGTTTTTGAACCAATGTTTCTACTGGCATCTTTCTTCCTTTTTTTAAAAGCACTGGAAATTACGATTTTGCCACAATGTGTACAGTGTTTTCAGATGCATTAGAGACAGTAATGCATCCTGATGCATTGCTACACGCATGATGATGAGCATTGTTCCCGATAGTACATCGATGGTTCCAAGCAAATGAAGAGAGACTCCTGATTAGATAGCTATGACCTCAAGGCCATGCAAAGAGAATTTTCCTACAATTATAAATTAACAGATATTGCAAAGGTGAGTATCATCATCTTTCCCCATGTTTTTTCCATCATTACTCATCAAGCAGCAGAAATACACATTTTGCTGTTACAATAAATCTTGGTGTGACAGAGAATTGAAATGCTATCGAATCTCTCAGCTTTCCAGACATGCTTTTTTATCTTCAATTTGTGAAAATTCTATGATGTTGATTTTTTTAAACCGCTGTTTCTTAACCGCTATTTTGCAGGCATCCACATCTTTAACTATTGAGAAATAATAATTATTGTTAAAAAATATAAAAAATGCAATACTATAATGAAATAGTGAGTTCACTTAAATTTATACATTTTAATGGAAGTAAATATTATAATGCTATTAAAATATTAGGTATAAGATTCTAGACTTTTCTTTTCAATTTGTTAGTCGTTTTGAAGAATAAATTGGGAGTCGTTTTAAAGAGATCAACTGTAATGTATGTAGGAACAATTTTGACAATAAAAAAGTGATACTAGTTATTTAAAAGTGATATTTTTACAGAGTTTTCATATATAATGTAGAAAATTTCATATTCTTATTTTAGTTTTTGAAAGTGTAGATCTTTGCCCGGGGGATGGCTACGAGTTATACTTTTCGAGTTGCTCCCTTTCTGTGATGTTTTTTTTTTTTTTAATTTNAGTATTTAAATGACATATGCTTTATATACATATTTTATTCACTTAAGTTATTTCTTGTTTAAATATATATTTTACACATTTTATTTTCATTATGTACTTATCATTTAATAACATTTAACATTACATATCTGAAAACTAAATATACGATGTATCTGAAACCATATGGACATACAATGCCATCTTATGGAAGAAATTTTATTTTTTATAACATTCCGAAACGCCGACACAAATGAGTGACGGCCAGGGGTGAAAGAGAAAACGCTCTGGCACGCAGGTGTGTCGACGGGGAAGTGAGCGTGTTTCTTGCTGGCACGTATATGTGACAGTCGGAGCGAAAGGGTTAAACCAGGTTCGCTACTAAAAACTCATTTAAAATGTGCCCTAGTTTGAATTTTAAACAAGTTTCCCTCTAAAAAAAAATTAATGTATTCAGTCAATAAATTATTGAAATAATTTTTTAAAAATTGGCATGCAATAGAAAAACTGACAGAAACAGGTTTTTAAAAAAAACATGTAAGATGGCACGGCTATGCATTATTTTAAGTCTTTCATAACTGCTATCAATGTTTTTTTTTAAAAATTATACTTGAAAATCGTAACAATATGACTAATACTCATGTGTGAATGAATAACAATATAACCAAAACAAAATATGACATTTAGTTGATATGAATAATTCACTTTTAACCTTTCAATTCTTTTCAACTTATAACTCTGTTTGTTGCAGCTTTTTCTTCATGTGAGAAAAGAATTTTCATTCATAAGTTTGTAAACATGTTTGTTAAAGCATAAGTTTGTTAAATTCTTTGTTGCCAACGCAAAGAAGTGTGGACTTTCTCACCTTTTAAGAGAATATATATATATGCAACATAAAAAGCTTCTATTAATCTTTTTATGTTAGTTTCTTCGCTATAAAACAACTCCTATTTTATTACTAATTAATTATTCAAATAGAAATGCTTTCTCACACTTTCAAAAGCCACATCCTGTTCTTAAATCCATTTTTGGCCCAATTATGCATAAATTTAAATAAAGACATTTTCCCCTTTAAACTTCGTGAGAATCGCTCGAACTATTTCTTAAACCAATAGTAGTATCTAAGATTTCTCTCTTTTCCCTAAATACAAACATTTTCGGATTTTCCCTACCAGAAAGACTGATCGTTCATGGAGATCTACACTTCTCTCTTGCCACTCAACAAAGTATGACATAAATAAATTTCTTTCGTTTTCATTAAAATCCTGTGTCTGTTTTCCTGCACGGTCCGACTGCATCATTTTACATTATATATATACAGCATGGAAAAAAATACAGAATAATGAAAAGAGATGCAGAAAATTATTAAAATAAAAATTCTAATAAAAATTGGGGGGGGGGGAAAGATATAATCTTTTCATTAGCTCACATGATTATACCTGCAAAAAGGAGTGTTTTCTAACATTGTATCAATATAGCCAAAGCAAAATATATCAATACTATAGTGTGAGGAGCACTCAGAATTTTTTTTTTTTTTTTTTTAACAAAATCGAACACATTAAGTATTAAATATCACGTTAAAACGGAAAATAAAAAATAAAAAAAAATAAAAAAACGAAATCTATAAAGCGGGTAGCGAATTCAAATAAACTTACATGTAAATTTCCAAGAATTATTTAAAACATTTTCGTAATAAGACTTTGTTCTGTTTTTCCGAGTTTTCAATAAAACGTAACGGAAAAACAGAACAAAATCTTATTACGAAAATATTTTAAATAATTCTTGGAAATTTTCCCGTACGTGTAAGTTTATTTGAATTCGCTACCCGCTTTATAGATTTCGTTTTTTCTTTACATTTTATTTTCTGTTTTTTACTTGATATTCTATCGATCGTATAGGTCCTGAGAAATCAAATTTTAAATATCTGACTCTTTTGAAATTAATTTTCTCAGGAATTATTCAACCGATTTAGCTCAATTTTTGTATTTTGCCATGTAAAATTATGTTCTTTAAAATAATACAAAAAATCGTATAAAATTCAAAATTTTTTCGACCATTATTAAATAAAATAATAAAAAATGATAAATCTTAAAAATAAGGTTATATTTTGCATGTGATTACCTTTGGACAAACGAATTTTATAATTGTGTGCGAAAATTTATCAATTCACTTGAAAAGTTTGCGATATATAGTGAAATATGAAGAAAGTAAAATTAACATTAAGGGATCAAAACTTTGGACTGCTCTCCTGACAAACTATGGGGATTATGTTTCCCAGCGATTGCGAGTACCTCCTATATTTTGGGGGTCAGAAATCCAAATCCGTCGAAAAAAAGGCATATTCATTGAAAGAAAATACGCTTTTTTGTCTGATTTCGTATTTTAAAATATCGTCTGCACTTAGAAGTCACCCCGTCGAGCCATTAAGATTGAGTCCTAGAAAGTGAAGATCCGATCATTAGATCAAAAGTTATTCAGAGTGGTCACTTTTTTTCTTTTTTTTAAAAAAAAATGTGGATCCCTAAATTTTAATCTTAATTTATGCGTATTTAGTCGTATCTCAAGAACTTTTCAAGCAAAATGAAAAATTTTTAAAAACGATTATAAAATTCGTTAATCTGAAGATAACTTAATGCAAAAAAAATAACTTTTAGTAAGTATTTATTTATTTTTAATTATTATTTATTTTTATTATTACTTATTTTTTATTATTATTTTATTTAAGAATAGTAAAAAAAAAGGTTTAATTTGTTCACAAAATAAAAAATTAAGTCGAAATGGTTGTATATTTCCTGAGAAATCAAATTTTAAAAGTACGACTTTTATTTTGCTCACTGTGCATCTTAATTAGTAGTATTTAAAATTTATTAGAAACAAAGCTAAATTTTTTAACTCTCTCTACTTTCTTTAGGTTGTTTGACTAACTTGACAAAAATTTTTAAAATATTTGAAACTTTTCCTGCTCGACGCTATTCGAAAATTTCAGATTTCTACAAAAAAAAAAAAAAAAAAAAAAAAAAAAAAAAAAAAAATTGCTGTAAAATATCAAACAAATGAACTTGCTCTGTCTTCCGATTGCGATGATTACCAGAAATAATGTAATAATTTCACTTTAAATAGAAGTTCTTTTTTATTATTTTAAGTAATCCTAGTTTAACAACTCTGGGTTCTACGCATCGTTAACCGTGCATGAACGAAATTGTCGGATTATAATCCACACATTGTAGATGTTTCCACTGTCGCTGAAATTAAAGTTGTGTTACGCGAAAAATGATTATATCATATTAACCGTTTTCCTCAGAAGCAGAATACAGTGAACTCAGTTTAGGAAGGCATAGTTTATAGAGGCTACGTGACATAACGTTTTAACAAATAAAGCTAAAATTTGTACATTTAATGTAATATGTTTTTTGTTATTATGGTTTAACTTTTATGAGCATTTTCTATCAGCCACATGAATAACTTTTGATCTAAGGATCGTGAGCTTTACCCAATAAATTACTTTCTTATTGCGAAGATTCCAAGTTTTTGTGTAATATAAAAAAATAAAATTCTTTTTTTGTCCTAACAAACAAAAACATACAAAAAAATAACTTTAAACTGTTATTTGTAATCAAACTTTATAACAATTAAACAAATTAATTATTAGATTTAAAAATTTTAGAAATTCACATCAAGTTAAGAGTTCATCTCAGACAGAGTTGGTTTTATTTTTTAGTTAACCAATGGAGCATTATGTGAACGAAATTTTTACTTTTATTAATTTTACTAATTAATATTTTTGAATGTTTTTAATCCGTTTCATTCATTGAAATGTGCTCCATTGAATCTAATTACCAAAATTTAAGGTTGGAAGTAGAACTCGAAAAAATTTTAAAAATTTTTTACAGCATAAAAATATAACATTTGGTAAGTTTAACAAAATATATTTCAATGAATATAAAATATTGAAAAATATTAATTAGTTTCTTATTAAATAAGAAAATTGTGATTGAAGTATTCTTCTTTAACATTAAGAAAGCTTAAATTCCTTTTCTGTTTAACCTTTAAGCAGCTTAAATAAAATAAAAAATTAAAGGATATAAAAAAGAAAACTTAAAAAAAAAATTTAAAAAAATAATTTATTTTTATGAAAGGAAAAAACTTATATAGGGAAAAGAAATGACGTACTGACTGAAAAGGGAAACAATTATCAAAAAATTCTATTAACTCTATCTTCATTTTTAACAGAGATTCCCAATTTTTTTTCGGGTACAGAACCCTGAAAGGTCGAGCTTCCTTTGGCGGGACCCCGACTGAAATAAAAAGAAGCTCATTAGCAGATGAAAATTTGGTAGGAAAAAAAAATGAAATTAATTTTAAAATATTTATTGGGAAGAAGGAAATTTATTAATTGTTTCATTAATAACTGCTTTCAAATTTGGTTTTATACAAACATTCATATGCCAGCTGTGACGTTTTGCCTAGTAGTTTTTGGCGTTACTTAAGTCGCATTGAGTAAAATAAGTTGAATTATGGTTTTTAAAAAAAGGAACTGTTTTAATCTGTTAGAATGATGATCGAAAAGAAATTATTCTTTATTCATGAATTTGGTTATTTTATTTCACGTTTTAAAGTTCGATAAGAAATACTTATGCATCAATAAGATGAAATAATTATGGATTTTTTTTTTAAATTTTATCAGTCTATTTTTCATTGAATAATTTCATAAAAATAACCAAAATATTAAATAAATAATAAATTATTGGTTTGTCAATAAAAAGTTTCAGAAATGATTACTGGTTTGAAAAAAAAAAGAGTCTTAACTCACGGAAAATCTGTCATCTTTCCGCGGAGCCTTAGGGTTCCGCTGAACACCTTTTGGAAACCGTTGATCTATAGAAATGCAAACATGTGCATTCTTCTTTAATGCTTTCTATGCAATGTTTCTTTCTTTTCAAATATAATTCTCCCGTTAACACGGTATCTTTTTCCTATAAATCTAAATCTCATAACAATCAAAAAATACTTTTTCCGACTTTCTTTTCCAGTAGTTTATTGCATAATTATTTTATAGTGCACAAGTGCAAAGATGTCCCTATCCATACTTATCAGCGGCGGGTTGCCTTTGAACTGTGTAATTTATTGCTTCTATTTACCTGTCAATATTTACTAAATTGTTCTATATTCTTCTCACAATGTTTATTTCTTTGATAAGCCGCTTTAGCCACAGTCATATCATTCTTTCTTTAAGATGATAGCACAGCACTTGTGCTTTACAATACAATATGTTTTTTTGTTGCTCGACGCATGTTCTTACTTTATTCTTCTTTATTACATTTTTAAATTTTTTGTTAAAGTATTAAGAATCCCTTCAATTCGGAATTAATTGAGGAGATAGACAAACCAAAGTCAAACTAATATAGATATTTTGTATAGTCTTATGTAAACCGTAACGCAAACTTATGCACTTTAATTATAACTTCATGCGCAGTAAATCTCAAATTGCGTTAACTTTTTTAGGGAACAATAGCTTTTGCAAAATTCTAAATCTCTATTTTAACTTAAAATAAACACGTTATTATAAAGAATACAACTGTCTATTATTTACTTAATCATCCAAAGTTGTTAAATTTGAGAAAAAAATATTGTTGGCATAATGACGAGCTACAATTAAATTTATTCTTCCTAATGTCAAAGTGTAACAAAGCACTACATCCATATTATTTTTAAGATTTAAAATAAGCTTTTAAATATGGTTCAGTTTTCAAACTATTTCTAAAAATAATTTGTTGCTCAAAAAGTGAGAAATGTTACCAAAAAGTTAAATAAAAAGTAAGATTGATCAAAATTGAAAGAGTGATCGAATTGGGGAAAATATGATATTTAGAAGTAACATTGTAAGAAAGTTTATTCCATTCTGATACGCGTTATATCGAAGTAATTGCAAACATTCGTGGCAATTTGAAATGAAATGAAACACAACACATTTCCATTAAAAAATTATTTATTTATCAGTAATGTATTTTCCAACACATTTCCTATAACTGTCATTTTTTATTTCCCTTTACACATTTTTGATTTCCTTCTTTGCATAAAAATCTGCTTATTTATTTATTTCTTTTCTTTTTCTTCAAAGCCGTAAGGACGGTTTGTCCTTCTTCTGCAGGACGAATTTTTCCAAAACAAAGTAAACGAAAATCAGATCTAATAAAGTCACATGATTACGGAGAATTTTTCCTTTTAACATCTTATAAGTTTTGTTGTAACGACACGTGGTTAAAGAAGTTGAAATTTTCATTGATCAAATCTGGATGACTAAATAGTGAGTGCTCACGGTACTTCTCCGTAATTCTGATTGTTGATTACATTCTTCTACAATTTTTTGGGCCATGCATAAGACTTTTTTCTTCCTTTAATATAATCTAATTGGATACAAGCAAACTTTTGCAATAACTTGATACAAAATGAGCTTCATTTTGGAATTGATTGACAGATCTTACGACTCAAACCACAAACTTACTTGAGGACCTTTTTTCTAATGATTTAGCAAAAACAGTATCATTTTTTTTAATGTCCAATAGCCCATCAGAATATTTTTTTTTCATTCAATTTCATTGAATACGGTGATTTTTTTCCTAATAACGTAGTAAAAAAATTTTTTAAAAATAATTAGTTACCTTAAAAGTTGAGGTTCTAAGCACCTAGTAGCCGTTCAAATGTTACGTTATAGGTGAAAGAGTATGAGCAATCCTTACGTAAGACATTAAAGTTATATTATTTCAACATTTTTCTTAAAATTCGGAAGAAAATTTATAGAATTTTAAAGAGAAAAAAAATAGACGTGATGTTTGAAGTAGATGTTAAGTTTGAAATAAGAAATAGTTACACAGAAATTTCTTCCAGCAGTTTAAGAGGCATGAATTTTAAATACTACCGGAAAATAGAAAAGATTCCTAAAGAATATTCTACTCGAAAATTTTATAAAATGAATTTAAACACGAGTTTTGCGGAGCTACATCGTTCATTTGAATTTATTCCCAAAATTAGATTACTTCAGAAAAGGTCAAGTTTACGCAAGGGATTATTCCGACTTTCTAACATAGACGTAAGCATAGGAGGGGTTTTGTGATTTGCTAACAAAAGGGGGGAGGGGGTCCAAAATTGATTAAAAAAATAATAAAAATCATGCTTATACATTGAAGAAAATGCTCACGAAAGAGCATGTGCATTTGTAAAATAATAAAATAAATAAAAACCGAAGTGCGTAAATAATTTGAAAGTTTCATTATAATATTAAAGTTTTTTTTAAAAAAATCTAAGAGTACATAAGTCTCATTTCCGCCACTGGTTTTCAGAAGGAAACGTTCTATACCTTCCATAGAAGGATTATAACTTGTCGTCCGTAGTGAAATTTAAAAGTCAGCTATGAATTTCACCAAAAAATTGAAACTTTTGCACATATTATGTTGAAAAATAAATAATTTTGACGAATCTCTTATTAAAACACAGTAATAAATGAGATTCAGAGGAATTACATGAAAGAACCAAGGCTATCGCCATTCTTAAGCTTTAATCCGCCACGCATTCATGACCATTTCCATATAATAACTACCTCACGTGGTTAATAAAAACAGAGGCAACAAACTCTTGTTACCATAACAAATTATTATATTTGAGGATTGAGAACTTCAGGTAAGATTTTGGCTTTCGTAACTTGATTTTAAAATAAATTATTTGTGCCTTACCTTCTGCTCCGCTCTTTTTTTTTTTATTGAAATTAACTTTAAATTTTATTAATTAATTTTAAAATAGATTTCAAATTTCATACTATTCGAGATCCTTTGTAATGAATATTTTAAGTAAATTTTTAGTGAATGAGTAACTACGATTTGATAGTTAACGTTTCACTAGAGCTACATTAATGGGCGATTGGCGATAGCAAAGGATTCTATCCTCAGACAATACTGGTCCAATACTCCGAATGCAATTCTAGCGCATGAGCATTCTATACTACTGAATTCTTTAAAAAAAAGAATAAATAAATAAAAAATAAAATAAAAAAGATTTTTGTTCTCATAAACCAATTGTAGAAAGAATCATGTGAAGTTTGAAACAAAAGTTAAAGTTCATGTGAAGTTGAAACGTATTCAAAAAAGCAATATATATATTATTATTATTATTGCTTTTTTTATTTTTTATTTATTGATTTGTATGAACTGTGCACCAAATTGAAGGAGCACCCTGAATAGCTTTTGATTTAATGATCTGATATTCACGTTCTACGATTCACGATTGAAACCTAATGATTCAAAAAGGGGACCTCAAATATGCTAATTAGTTAGTGCAGACGATATTTTCAATTACGAAAACAGACATAAAAATGTAGTTTATCTGAATAAACATATATTTTTTTCGATAGATTCGGATTCCCATAGTTTGGACAGAAGAATGATCCAAAGTTTGGGGTGCTAATGTTAATTTTACTTTTTTCGTATTTCGCCGTATCTCAAGAAATTTTTAAGCGAATTGAAAAAATTTTGCTCGCAGTTATATATACGAGTTTATATTAAAATTGCTAATAACATCCAAAAATAATTACATGCGAAAAATAAATTTCAGTAAACATTTATTATTTTATTTAATAATATTAGAAAAAATTTTGACTTTTAAAGTATGAAATTTTTAAAATTATTCTAAAGTATGNACCAATTGTAGAAAGAATCATGTGAAGTTTGAAACAAAAGTTAAAATTCATGTGAAGTTGAAACGTATTCAAAAAAGCAATATATATATTATTATTATTATTGCTTTTTTTATTTTTTATTTATTGATTTGTATGAACTGTGCACCAAATTGAAGGAGCACCCTGAATAGCTTTTGATTTAATGATCTGATATTCACGTTCTACGATTCACGATTGAAACCTAATGATTCAAAAAGGGGACCTCAAATATGCTAATTAGTTAGTGCAGACGATATTTTCAATTACGAAAACAGACATAAAAATGTAGTTTATCTGAATAAACATATATTTTTTTCGATAGATTCGGATTCCCATAGTTTGGACAGAAGAATGATCCAAAGTTTGGGCTGCTAATGTTAATTTTACTTTTTTCGTATTTCACCATATCTCAAGAAATTTTGAAGCGAATTGAAAAAATTTTGCTCACAATTATATATACGATTTTATATTAAAATTGCTAATAACATCCAAAAATAATTCCATGCGAAAAATAAATTTTAGTAAACATTTATTATTTTATTCAATAATAGTCGAAAAAATTTTGACTTGTAAGGTATGCAATTTTTTAAATTATTTTAAAGTATGTACATTTACATGGCAAAACACAAAATTTGAGGGAAATCGGTCGAATAATTCCTGAGAAATCGAATTTTAAAGAAGTCGTATATTTTGTATGCAAAATTTTTTCAATTTTTATGAAACGTTCTCGAGATAAGGTGAAATACATAAAAAGTATAATTAACATTAAGGTGTCCAAACTTTGGATTGCTCGTCCTGACCAAACTATGAGTACCATATTAATTGTTACTCATTAATGTCAATGGTCCCATTTTTGGGACCGTTTCAAGATTGCATCATAAACTCATAGAAATTAATTTTTCGACTTAAATTTAACATAAATTATTTTTAAATATTATACTATTTTAAATTTTATAAATGTCAGCATACCTTAACTTGATAAGTGATATTGCAGCCTTTTATTTTTATTCAAATAAGTATGAATTAACCGTTCGTAATATCACGAAGAAAGTACTAATTATCAATTCAATTAGCACTAATTTATATATTAGAATTATTCAGAATTATTTTAGTTAATACCATTTTAGGAATAATTTTTTCTTGTAATCTTACTTATTTCATAAGATTGTTTTTTAAATATTTTGCATCTTACAGATTTACTTTTTCAAATTAAACAAAAAGCTTTAAGACAAAATTTTTTTAGTAGCTTTACAGTTGATTTCATGGCATGTGTCTTTAAGGAGTTAGAAGAATACGCTTATAAAATGTTAACAAAAAACAGCAGAAGAAAACTCTTTACTTTTAGTAATCGACAACGAAATCTTCCAATTGCTTACAGCATCTAAAACTATTCTATATTGAGAAATTGCAACTTATATATTAATGTATTAAAAGTAAAATAACTATCCTGTTAAATATTTTATGTAGTTTTCTGCCGCCTAATTCACGTATTCCTAGAAAATTAAGACTTTTAAGAATACAATTCCATAACAGTTCCATATCAGCAAATGCTGTTCATAAAAAAACATGCTCGTCATAGCTTTTTCTTTTTACCAATGCAATTTATTTAACGAATAAAAATATAACTTTTTTATTAGAATGATGTAAAATACGAGTCGTGTGTACAGGATGTCCAGTAATTATCACCCTTATTATAGATTTTTTAGAGTACTAGTCAAAAATGGAGTAAAATAATTTACACATGTATTTCGAACATAAATTATTTGAGAATATAAAAAGTTGAAAAGTGATTCTCAAAATCTTCAAGTGTCTTTCAGCTTTCAGGGAATTGTTGGTGTTTTAAACCTCACCTTTCTCACTAGTGATTTGAATAGCGTTTATGAACTTTACGTTAGACTTATCCACTTTACATTACAGTTATCAACTTTAGGTTACATTTCGTTTTGCTGCGCAATAACTATTAGACTTAGAAATCTAAAATTGGGATGGTTTGTAAAAAAATGTTTAGAGAGTATGTCGGAATAAATAAATTTAACATTCGTTAATTAGTTAGAGTAAAAAATATTATGCGAGCCAATCTGCAGCTCGTTGATATGCAATTACAGATTTGAAATCTGATTGGCAGGTTCATTTCTATTTATGAAATTAAAGCAAGATTTTTATTGCTATTAAATTTTTACATATCTTTTTATTCATTATTTTTTATATTTAAAAAGAAAACAATTGTTTGTTTGAAAATTATAACAATTTCAAATACTTTTCCCGCAATTGTTTCTTTTGCTTTTAATAATGACTATTTATCCACAACTGTAAAAATATTTCTCTCGAGATTTTCGCCCTCTATTGTCAGTCTGAAAAATCGTTATTCTCCTGTTTTTAAAAAAATATAAGAAACTTAATTTGAGAGAATTAAAAGCCGTTTTCAATTTTAACTATTATTAAAATATGAGATTAACTTTGAACAAGGTTAGCACACTGATATGAAGTTATCATTAACGAGTAAAATTACTTCTCGTTTATCTCTTATCATTTATTGTTTCGCTCAATCTGTATTCCTAGTCTAATTTTTTTCAATGATAGATGATTATTTTACAAGTTTAAGCAATCTTTTATTTCGTTACAATTAATATATTAACAAAATGCTCTTACATCTTAATTTAAAAAATTACATATTTAATAATCTAAGATATCCTTGTATTATTTATTTATTTTTGAAAGATAACAGACTTTAAGAAAAATATATTGATGAGTGAGAAGCAATCACGTAGGCAGGTGAGAGGAGCGAGCAGGAGGGGCAGCCTCTAAGTGAAGACCATATTTTCGACCGAACGTTTGATTCCTCATATAATTCACACAATTTGATAAAACTAGGTCATTGTCATTTAAGTAAAATATATGTTAAAAAAAACAATACTTAAATAAAAACTTATAACCGTTAGCTTTTGATTTAAGTTTAAAAAAGTCTAAAATCATTAATATGGGTTTATTGTCGGTTATTAATAGATATAGAATAATCCATAGTAGAAAAATATTTTACCCAATCAATGTTTGCAATGGAGAAAAACGATTTGAAAACTATTTCTTTATATCTATTGAATTTTTTAAGCTGATTTTCTTGAATTCACTAGAATATGCGTCACTTTACATCCTCTTCAAATTAATAAACTTTAAATATATATTTCTCCTACACCTCAACATTCACCATATTTTTTTTTTAACAATAAATATTTGAAATTGAATTTTAAACTGCCTATGACATGCAAACTTCAATTGATTCAAAACAATTTATAGCTCAAATCAAAATCAATATACTTTAATTATATGTTTAAAAAAACTTTTTAAAACGAAAAAAACAATGTCATTTTTTGGGCTGATGATTCTACACATAGAATCATTTATTATTTAGTAGCTTAAAATTTATCCTGTTAACCAAAATTTCTATTAAAAAAACTATTAATATTTGCTACTTAAACATTTTGTATTTATTACATAATTGTGTGTAGTTTCTGAAAGCGTGAGAAAGCGAATTTTTTCAATGCTGCGCCCTCCTATTCCCCCCCCCCATTAGATGAATAGTAAGTATAACTGTAAAAATTGTAAGAAATTTATTAAATAATGGCATGTTTGTAACACTAATTGCTGAAAAACCATATGGATTTACAGAGAAATCAATGCAAAATCGAACGAACGTGATCGCAAATCAATAGGTGATTACCCATATGCGATGAGTGAATGAAGAAAATATCGGAATTTTAAAAATTACGTAGGTATAACAGTTGCAAAAGTAGTGCGAAAAAAATTGTGAATTCATGACGAAGTCGGCGCAAATCGATCTCGTAAGTAAAAAAGTTATTATTCAAATACGCGATTCGAAATTCAGTAACCGAGATAATATCCCATTAAAAAAAAAATCGGGATATCAAAAAATCATGAGGAAATCTAGGAATAAAAAACAGCATGGATTTACGATGAAACATGTGCAAAATCGAGCCCATCGAAAGGTAATCGATTCGAAATTTTCGTAACGTATTAATTTGGTATGAAAACAAGATGAAAAAACCCGCTTGTTCCATTCACATTTCTTTCAGCAAAATAATATTAAGAAACATATGGTTTTATCCATAGCAATCGTGTAATTATTGTGCGATGCCCGAGGTTTCAGAAATTTCCTTCATAATTTTTCGGATCCCGCTGACTCGGAAGTTAAGTTAGGACGAAGTTGTAATTCACTTTATAAATTTGTTAAAAAAAAAATAATAAAAAAAAGACACTATATTGAATTTTAATACGCGTAACCGTAAATTCTCGGATAATATTCATNTAGAATGATGTAAAATACGAGTCGTGTGTACAGGATGTCCAGTAATTATCACCCTTATTATAGATTTTTTAGAGTACTAGTCAAAAATGGAGTAAAATAATTTACACATGTATTTCGAACATAAATTATTTGAGAATATAAAAAGTTGAAAAGTGATTCTCAAAATCTTCAAGTGTCTTTCGGGAAATTGTTGGTGTTTTAAATCTCACCTTTCTCACTAATGATTTAGATAGCGTTTATAAATTTTACGTTAGACTTATCCACTTTACATTACAGTTATCAACTTTAGGTTACTTTTCGTTTTGCTGCGCAGTAACTATTAGATTTCGAAATGTAAAATTAGGAATTTAATATTAGGAATTTAATTTAATATTAAGTTTGCAAAAAAATGTTTAGAGAATATGACAGAATAAAAAAATTTAACATTGGTTAATTAGTTCGAGTAAAAAATATCATGCGAACCAATCTGCAGCTCGTAGATATGCAATTACAGATTTGAAGTCTGATTTCTCATTTCTATTTATGAAATTAACCCAAAAGATTTTTATTGCCATTATTATTAATTTAATTATGTATTTAATTTTTATTAATCTTTTAATTCATTATTTATTTATTATACTCTTTTTTAAAAAATAATTGTTTCTTCGAAAATTATAACAATTTCAAATACATTTTTCGCAAATTTTTTCTTACTTTTCTTTCGCTTTTAATAATGACTATTCATCCACAATTGTAAAAATATTTCTCTCGAGATTTTCGAGCTCTATTGTCAGTCATGAATCTTAAACTGAAAAATCGTTGTTCTGCATTTTTTTAAAAAAAATATAAGAAACTTAATTTAAGAGAATAAAAAGCCGTTTCCAACTTTAACTATTATTAAAATATGAGATTAACTTTGAACAATTAAGCAATCTTTCATTTCGTTACAATTAATATATTAACAAAATGCTCTTAAACATCTAGATCTTCTAAATAGAAAAAATTACATATTTTATAATCTATGATATCCTTGTTTTATTTATTTATTTTTGAAAGATATCAAACTTTAAGAAAAATAATGAATATAATGATTTATATAATGATGATAATGATTTATATAATGATGATAATGATTTATATAATGATGATAATGATTTTTATAATGAATGAGAAACAATCACGTAGGCAGGTGAGAGATACGAGCAGGAGGCGCAGCCTCAAAGTGAAAACAAGACATCAACCACATTTTGGAACGAACGTTTGATTCCTGGTATGATTCACACAATTTGATAAAACTAGGTCACGCAAAATATATGTTAAAAAAAAAAAAATATTTAAATAAAATAAAAAAAAAACTTATACCGTTAGCTTTTGATTTAAGTTTAGAAAAGTCTAAAATCATTAATATGGGTTTAATGTCGGTTATTAATAGGTATAGAATAATCCATATAAGAAAATATTTTACCCAATCAATGTTTGCTATGGAGAAAAACGACTTGTAAACTATTTCCTTATGTCTATTGAATTTTTTAAGCTAATTTTCTTGAATTCACTAGAATACGCATCACTTTACATCCTCTTCAAATTAATAAACTTCAAATATATATTTCTCGTAGACCTCAACATTGACCATATTTCTCTTTTAACAATGAATATTTAAATTGAATTTTAAACTGTGTATGACATGAAAACTTCTATTGATGCAAAACAATTTATAGCTCAAATCAAAATCAATATACTTTAATTATATGTTTTAAAAAAACAACATTTTAAAGCGAAAAAAATTTCATTTTTTGGGCTGATGATTCTACATATAGAATCATTTGTTATTTAACAGCTTATAACTTATATTATAAACCAAAATTTCTATAAAAAAAAACTATTAATATTTGCTACTAAAACATTTTGCATTTACTACATAATTGTGTGTAGAAACTGAAAGCGTGAGAAAGTGAATTTTTCCAATGCTCCGCCCTTCTATTTTTCCCCCTTTTAGGATAAATAGTAAGTAATTGCAAAAATTGTAAGAAATTTATTAAATAATGGCATGTTCGTAACATTAATTGCAGAAAAACCATATGGATTTACAGAGAAATCAATGCAAAATTGAACGAACGTGATCGCAAATCGATAGGTGATTACCTATATGCGATGAGTGAATGGAGAAAATATCGGAATTTTAAAAATTACGTAGGTATAATTAGAGTGCCTAGAGTAGGCAATACAGGCACTCTAGGTATAACCGTTGAAAAACATTGTGAATTCATGACGAAGTCGGCGCAAATCGATCTCATAAGTAAAAGAGTTATTATTCAAATGCGCGATTTGAAATTCACTAGCCGGAATAATATCCCATTAAAAAAAAATCGGGACATCAAAAAATCATGAGGAATTCTAGAAATATAATTACAAAAAAACAGCATGCATTTACGATGAAATATGTGCGAAATCGAGCCTATCGAAAGGTGATCGATTCGATATTTCCGGGTAACGTATTAATTTGGTATTAAAACAAAATGGAAAAACCATTCACATTTCTTTCAGCAAAATAATATTAAGAAGCATATAGTTTCATCCACAGCAATCCCGTAATTATTGTGCGAGACCCGTGATTTCAGAAATTTCCTTCATAATTTTTCGGATCCCGCAGACTCGGAAGTTAGGACGAGGTGGTAATTCACTTTGTAAATTTGTATTAAAAAAGACACTATATTGAACTTTATTACGAGTAACCGCAAATTCTCGGATAATATTCATATTCAGTAGTAAAAACATACTTCGAATACACATATATTTTTATTATTTTGATACATCTTAAAATAATTGTTTTTTGTTATAATAGGTACTTTATTTTGTAATAAAAACAAATGTAAGTATTTAATTTTTATGCATAGAGGTATTTATTTTTAATTTTAAAAAAAAAACTAGAAAAAGTGTAAATATTTTTACTGGCTAGCAACATTTGTTAAATTCTTGGATAGATATAATTTTTTAGCTTAAAACATTACTTCTACATATCGGTTTCAATCTACTCAATAGATAACTAAGATTATATTGATAATAAATTACTTCCATTAAAAAGCATTCATTTTTTTTCTTCCTCACTCAGCTTCTGACAAAAATGGTAAAAAAGACTCCAAAGTACGTTGATGTCGATGGCTACAAGTATTGTGAGTGCTTTGAACCAGACATAATTAGAGCAGCAATGAAATACAAGCCAACTTCCAAAGACATATTTGTAGCCACCTACCCAAAATGTGGTACAACATGGATGATTCAAACGGTAATGCTGGTTCTCAACAAAGGGCAAATTCCTAATACTGTGAAGGATTATTTCTCTTTGTGTCCTTTCCTGGAAATGTTAGGCCCAGACGAAATAGGCAAAATGCCAGGACCCGGATGCATAAAAATTCATTTTCCATTTAATCTTACACCATACTCCCCAGATGCTAAGTACGTTTACGTAGCAAGAAACCCAAGAGATTGCTGCATATCATTTTATTACCACACCAAGTTATTTCCTGCTTATTATTTCAATGATGGTACATTTGAAGATTTTTTTGAACTTTTCATTAAGGGAGAGACTGATTTCAATGATTACTTCGATAATTTGTTGTCATGGTATGAGCACAGAAATGATCCAAATGTATTTTTCGTTACTTTTGAAGACATGAAACAAAATCCTAAAGAGACGATTAAAAGATTGGCGAGATTTCTCGGAGAAGAATATGAATCAGACGTCGCTGAAAATGAAGAAGTCTTAGATGAGGTTGTCAATAAAAGCAGCTTCGAATACATGAAAAATACAACAAATAAATTATTCACCGAAATGCTTGATCGCAGTGAAGAGTTTGCAGAGTGGAAAATTGCTCCAAAGGGATTCAGACATTGGGCTAGAAGCAATGCAATGGCACTCAAAGCCGGACAAGGGTCCAGTGGCACCTTCATACGTAATGGTGGCATACATGACATGAAGATAGAGCTCACATCAGAACAGGAAGAAAAGTTACAAAAAAGAATACAAGAAAAAACTAAAGGCTCTGATGTTATGAAATTGTGGGAAAATTCAAAAGAAAAACAGCTTTGAAAACATCATGCATTACTATTTATATTCACATTTTTTCTTGAACGCTCGATCACTATTCTTTAGATTTAGTTCACATATATTGTAGCTCCCAAATCACCTGAATAAAAAATTATTTCTACAAATTCTTTAATGCAAACTCTTTCTTATTGCATGACACAAACTTAGAAACAAAAAAAAAGCAAATACTAATTAGAGGAGTGTCTTAAAATTTAATAACATTACCATAAAACAAATAAGCGATATGATTTCTCTGAATGCTAAACAAAGAGAACAACCGTAATATAAAATTTTTATATCCAACATACACTTTTGTTTAAAAAATTTTATTAGCCAAAATTAAATGTTACTTCATTTGAATTGTTTGAATGGCTCCAAAATTATTTCCCTCGAAATTTATTCAGATAGAATTTTAAGCGCTGAATTTGAACATAATATTTATTTTAAGACTACTTCAATGGGTCCTAAATTATTTCCCTAAAAATTTATCCTGCATTAAACATGAAAAATAGATAGGAATGTGCATTCAGTTTTATTGGCATAGAGAAAAATTTGTTCTTACGGTCGTGACATTTTAGATCTAAAACGACATTGGTTACTTTCATTTTTTCTCATTAATACCCAAACATTTGCAGAAAGTATTCAAAATGTTATTCACATCAATTTTTGTTCATTATTGAAAATTTAGCTGCTGCAAAAAAAAATTAATTATATTTGCTCACTATAGAAAAATACTCTGCTTAGATCATAACATAGAATTTTCCCTTTGATTTACAAAACTATAAACTTCAAAAAGTAGCAAAAAAAAACAAGGAAAACAAAATGAATAAATTAATATAAAAATAGAGAGAACTTTTAAGGACAATTGGAAAGCTCTTAATATAAAAACTAACAGTTTTTAACCTGGGAACATGTGATAGGCATAGACAGCAAGAAATCTTTTCTGTATGTCACTTTGTCTTACTGCATTTGCTAAATTATCTTTTTTACTTAATCCAGCTATCTTTTCTGTAAATATCTTTTATATTTGGTTAAATGTTATAGGAATTACTCAGGATGGAATGAATAAAAAGGACTTAAAATACATAATATAGAGAATTCAGTTCTAAAGTGTGCATTTCTCAGTTTCATAGTTCTATTTAAAGTGTAGATTATTTGTCAAAATAAGTCCAGAATATATGAAATATAAGTAAATATTTGCACTAATTTTATGTACTCACGGTATAGCAACCTAGCGTTAGAATGTCCTTTTTCGTTTTGACACTTAGTGGGTACAGCAAGCGGCAACTGAAGACTGTTCAGTTCATCTTGTTAAGGACAAGAGGTACAAAGACTATGCATGCATTTTTTTTAAAAATAAGCAGTAGTATTTCTAATTATTATATTTGACACTTAATTATACACTTAAGTTAGAAAAAAATATTTAAGCTCGAAATTGTTACTATTTATCATAAATATTTCAAGTTATTAACAACTTATAGTTTTACATATTTATAAGTCAGGGCTCGAAAAACAGCCCGCCCGCGGCATTCAAAAATTCCCCGCGGAATACGAATTTCTCCAATCCGACGTCCGCGCAGACGGCCATTTTCCCGTTAATGTTCGTGATACATTGATTTTTGTAATCTTACAAGAGTCTAGCGCCTCACTTCTAAAATGACCCTATAATCTAGAAATACAGCAACATACTGCGCATGGTGGAATTGATGTTTTCTTTGACTGGGAGTACTGCAGCGGGGCATTTCAGGAATGAACTTACAAAAAAACACATTACGTACTGGTCTTAATTAAGAAGCGTTAAACGCAATTATGAACATCTACCAAAATGGAAAACCCCTTTCAGATTTTTATGCAGAAATCTCTGTAAATCATTGACTTGATTGTGGAACTGGCAAACGTCATATTTGATTCATTTAAAAGAAAAGAACGCAGTACCCTCGGATAAATTGACATTCCAGATAACTTAACCTTTGTCATTTAAATTATTTCATAAAAGAAATAAATGATTTCATAAAAGAAAGACATACTAGGTTACTATTAGTAACCTGGTATTTCTTTTATTACTGTATAATGTAATCCTAGTAACTACTAATTCATTGTGCAATTTATATAAATGTTTGTAATAAATAAGAGAAAATTATATTTTTATTTATTTAGAAGCTACGGGTTAGTTTCAAAGGAGGACGGGTACATTGTTGGAAAAGCCGTTCTCGGGGACTGGTAAAATTTCTGAGTTTTTTCGAGCCCTGTTATAAGTTATATCACCATATTTCCCACATCTAGCTAATTTTTTCAAACTATTCATTATTTCAACTGAGTTAGAGCAATTTTAATGTAAACTTTCCTTTGCAAAAGTGAGTCTTACTGCTATTTCTGCTGAAAGTGGAATTTAATGGCATAGGAGTCAAAAGTGGCTTCATGGCACCAAGCATAAATATCAATATGTACTCCATACGAAGAAGTTGAACAATTTCAAACAATAAGTTGTTTTNGGGGCATTTCAGGAATGAACTTACAAAAAAACACATTACGTACTGGTCTTAATCAAGAAGCGTTAAACGCAATTATGAACATCTACCAAAATGGAAAACCCCTTTCAGATTTTTATGCAGAAATCTCTGTAAATCATTGACTTGATTGTGGAACTGGAAAACGTCATATTTGATTCATTTAAAAGAACGCAGTACCCTCGGATAAATTGACATTCCAGATAACTTGACCTTTGTCATTTAAATTATTTTATAAAAGAAATAAATGATTTCATAAAAGAAAGACATACTAGGTTACTATTAGTAACCTGTATAATGTAATCCTAGTAACTACTAATTCATATTGCAATTTATATAAATGTTTGTAATAAATAAAAGAAAATTATATTTTTATTTATTTAGAAGCTACGGGTTAGTTTCAAAGGACGATGGGTACATTGTTGGAAAAGCCGTCCTCGGGGACTGGTAAAATTTCTGAGTTTTTTCAAGCCCTGTTATAAGTTATATCACCATATTTCCCACATCTAGCTAATTTTTTCAAACTATTCATTATTTCAACTGAGTTAGAGCAATTTTAATGTAAACTTTCCTTTGCAAAAGTGAGTCTTACTGCTATTTCTGCTGAAAGTGGAATTTAATGGCATAGGAGTCAAAAGTGGCTTCATGGCACCAAGCATAAATATCAATATGTACTCCATACGAAGAAGTTGAACAATTTCAAACAATAAGTTGTTTTGTAAAAAAAATTCAAAAAAAAAAAAAAAACATGAAAGATTACTTAAGAGTTTCAGGGTTGCACCATTTATCTGAAGAATTTTTTTAGGCTTTCTGCGACAAACCACTCTAGCACTAATATCCTTCTGCAAGAAACTATTAATAATAATTAATGTACATGTTATTAATTAAATTTTTAAATTTAATGAAACAGAAACTCTGTATTTACAAAAAAAGCCTATTTGGATGTAATAAAATTGTATGTATTTTTTTAAATGATTAAGTAATATTTTTTTATTCTAATATCATGGGCAATATTCTCATATTTTGTAAGAGGAAAACACACAAATTATTTATTTTTTCGCATTTTGTAAATCATCATCACATAAAAAAAAATAAAAAAATTTAAATCGTAAAATCCGTGAAAGAAAGGAAAAGCAATTTTTTTCCTTCCAAATAAGAATTAAAAAATCACGAGTATTTCATCCCCTCTGATGCATGAAAAAGACATCTATTGAATATAATTGTGGAGGAAAAAAATCCTTGAAACATTTTTGCAGAAAAGAAATTTTTTAATTTTTTGCTTCAATGTTTTTTATTTTTCATTCTTCTCAAATAAGAATCGAAAATTTTGAGCATCTCTTTCCCCTCCGAAGCGCGAAAAAGGCATCTTTTAAATATAATTATAGAAGAAAAAAAAATGTTAAACTTTTTGCAGAAAAGAAAACCAAAATTTTACTTTCTAAAGGAAAATTCTTTCTGTGAGAACTCTGTAACGTTCTGCGACAATGTCGCCGTGTCACTGCGATTCTGCCACGGTGCTGAAGATGAACTTTTTACCCAGTCACAATCCTTGAGAAGTCTTAAGACAGGACTTCAAAAAGTAAACAAAAACAAAACTGTTTTGTAAACCTGAATACAATTCTAATTTGAATATAAATTAGACGGTTAAAAGATTTTTCTGAACTCTGCAGTTTGAAAAAAATTCCATGGAAATTAAAAGAAATCAGCAATTGAACAAACTAAATAACACTAAACATATTCCTGCGATAGCGTTATAGACAACTTAATCAATTAAAAAATTACACTTGTAGTATAAAATATTTTATTAACCAAGTTAGAATACTTTTTTTGACAGGTCATTTTTTTTAATAATAAATGCTTTTAATTCACACATTTAGAGAATAGAAAAATTGAGAAACAAATATACATAGGCTCATATGTTTATTACAAAATATAGAATAAAACTGTGTTTTACTACAATTACTTGAAAAAGAGCAAAAAATTAGGATGCTTGAGTACTGCGAGCAATTTGTTCTTTTAATATCAAAATGCTTTGCCTTTGTTCTGGAGGAAGCATGGCTATCTGCTGATCCGAAAGTTGCAGAACTTGCATTATTAAAGCAGCCTATATAACACACATATATATATAAATATTTATATTAAATAAGATAAAATTAGAAAATTTAGTTTAAAAATAGATTGTGAAATTTTCTTATTCATATCTTTTAAAAAATAGGCTTAAAGCTGGGAAATGGTAAACAATTTCCTATCTGATTGTTAATGGAAAAACTATAATTTATATTAAAAAAATATTTTACCTAAGAACACGAACTTTAAAATTGTGAATGTTACTTTTAATTTTGAAATTAAATATATATTTTTCTAAGTCAGACTCTGCTGTGGTATATATAATTACAAAAAATGTTTTAATTTCATTATTGATAATAAAAGTGACGAAAATTAAGAAGAAAAAAATGCAACTAAAAAATAATTTATGAAATACACTATTAACTATGAATATTTATGAATTACACTATCAAATAAGTCTATCATAAAAATTTGGGAAATAATATTACCTTTTCTTGGTCGTGAGGCGCTATAGCAGCAGCTGCTGCAGCTAATGCCTGATTATTAGAGCGGGATGATGAAGCAGGACTTGGAGATGCCCCACCAACTGCAGGAGAGTTACCACCAACAGCATTTAATCTGGGATTCTAAAACATTAATTAATTAAAATATTGTTGGCTGGTGAGATCTTACTTATAGAAAATTGCTTACATAGATATACAATGGAGCCCCAGTTTTACATTGTTCATTTTAAACATTATCTTGCTTCCTACGTCATTTTCTGCTGGTCTGTGAAAATTGACTATACCGATAACATTAAATTATCCAGGATTTTATGTTACTCTTTTTGAAAAAATCCTGCTTTACAAGTCTTTCTAACTGATCAAAATCATTTTATCTCTTCAATGTTCGCACAAACTTTTCCTAACTTTTCTCTTCCTTTCAAAAAAAAAAAAGGCTTGTTTATTAGCTTTTTGTAGCTCTTTTCACATTCTATCTTATTTTCCTTTGTCTGTGAGAGAGGAAAGGAAGTATGGGAGCTTAAATTGTAAAAGTTGCGAGTGGAATTTTCTCCAGCAAATCTGAACCTTTGAATCGTTGTATGTATCCAATCATTTAAGAACACACTAAACAACTAGTTGAGAAATTATTTCTTTTTCTTGATTTTGTTTGCCTGCATGATGTTTCTAAAGCAAAAATAAATGTTCTTTAAGCTCTGAATTTGATTTACACAGCATTGGACACTATGGACTCAAATACATTACAAATGAGTTCATTGAAGCTTCTAGGGGGGTTAATTGCATCTGAAGATCTTCCAGATTCGATGACGTCTACATCAACTGCAAATATGTCCTATTACTTTTCAATTGATTCAATATCTAAATTTAATGCCTGCTCCCAATGATATCGACGAAAGCGATCAAAATAAGCAAATAATATCAAGGGATATAGATATAACAAATCTTAAGTTGCAAAGCATAAACCATTAAGCAAACATGCAAATAATAGTAAATATTGAAATCGACATTTTTGAAATTGTATCTAAAAACACGCAAAGATTGAAATGTTTTTTTTTTATAATTCATATCGTAAGTGTCAATGTTTAAAAATATACATAATTTTTTTTTTTTACCCTCATATAGTTATTCCGCTTCATGTGCTTTTAAATGCTGGTTCAAAGTAAAATAGGGTGTTCCACTATCTGGTATATATAATTTAAATATAAAATTATATAAAAGCTTTACAATGAATTCATACAAAGAATTAAGAATCAACAGTCTTCATTGTGTGAATAAAGCAAACTATCTGTCTTCAATCATATCATTAACCGCAAAAACTTTTGAGATGTAGATAATTGAGAATAAATATAAGAGTTAAAGAAAGACTTTTCTTTATATATACAGGGTGATTCTAAAAAGATGGGGAAAATTTTAGGAAGTGATAGTACACACCCAGACAAACAATTTTAATCAAAGAATGCATGGTCGTAAACAAAACGCAAAAGTGCTGGCACATGTGGAAAGTTTTTTCATGCAAACGAGAAAGCTCCACTCCTATTGCGAGATACTGCGCTACGTTTTTTGTCGCCAAGCTTTAGGCCGCTGCAGGGAAAGTTCGCCTATCTTTTCTTCGCCGTTGTACCAGCATAGCCGCTGCCGGCCACTGTTTTGAGCACTTAGTGTAATCACAAGCCATTAAATTTGCTTTTATAACTTAATTTCATCGTTCTTTGTGTGTTTTTGCCTCATACAAGAACATAAACTTCGACGCCCTATAGCGGTTTTGGGTTTTGTTTTCGACCCTGCATTCTTTGATAAAAATTGTTTGTCTGGGTGTGTACTATCATTTCGTAAAATTTTCCCCATCTTTTTAGAATCACCCTGTATAGGAATTGTAGTGGACCAAAGAACGTCAGGATATTTTTAGAACAGTATACATATATTTTTAAAAAAGGTAAACGACAGACCTAAAAAGGTAAGTTAAATTATTAATCAAAACTCATGAATTTGAAATATATAATTGCAAATTTTATCAAAAAGGAGAAATAAAATTAACTATTTTTAATTTTTGCAACAGAAAGTTTTAACAGTTACCAATATAATTTTATTAATGTGGAATACAGAACAACTAATAGCAGTTTGAGATCAATAAATATACTATGTATTATAACTATAATTAAAATACACAGTATATTTAATTTGTGTATTATAATTATAGTTAAATTAATTCATGTATAAATTAGTGTTCCCTTATACCTGTTATTTTACTAAAACTTGTAGTAGAATCCAAGACTTCCTCTATTAAATAATTTCAATGTATGATTTTAATATTCTCAAAGAGTGAATATGTGGCTAAACATTTTTTCACAAAAGTAATTCAGAGGATAATCCCTCAATTCAACATTTAAGAGTTTTATGATATGATTACTGTATTATTGACTGGAATTTTTAATTTTTAAAATCGGATGAAGGAAACAAGTCAATAATTTTGAAACTACAAAAAACCATCTACAAAATTTATTTTATGATATGATTACTGTATTTTTGACTGGAATTTTTAATTTTTAAAATCGGATGAAGGAATCAAGTCAATAATTTTGAAACTACAAAAAACCATCTACAAAATTTATTACTGCAATTGCTTAAAATAATAAATAATTATATGACAAACTATGAATTTATCAACATAAAAATTTAATAATGCAAAATTTTTGAAAATCTTTAAATTCTTAAATTTTTATTCTTAAAATTTGTATTTTTAGTAAACTGGATATTTTGAACACATACAAAAGTCAGGAATATTTGGACAAATAGCTAAAGATCAAGATAAATAAGCATAAATTATTTTTATAAGGAAAATAAGAAATATGAGAACAATTACGAACTCTGATATTTGCTGCACCATGAAATTAATTACATCAATGAACATAAAATGTAACTAATTAATGAACACATAGCTTAAGAAATAGCTTTACCTGAAGGGGCCGAGCAGTAGCTGCATTAGGATTCATAGGAGGTATGTGATCATCCATTCGCCCTGGACCCATTGGTCTATCGAAATGGGGTCCTCTATTACCATGATCCCCCATAGGCATACCACGAGCATCTACAGGAGGTATATTACGACCACCAGGGTTGGGAATATTTCGAGAGTCCATAGGAGGCATATTTCGTCCACCAGCTGATGGATGAGGGTCATGAGACGGCATACCTCTACTTTGTGGCATCCGATGCATGTCATTAGATGGCATATTTCTCATATCTCCAGGTGGCATGTTGCGCATGTCTCCTGGATGTGCAGCGCTTCTACCTCGCATGTCACCAGGAGGCATGTTGCGCATGTCGCTGGAAGGCATATTTCGAATGTCACCATGAGGCATGCCAGGATTATTAGAGTAACGATTATCAGGCATTCTTCCAGGCCCACCCATTCCTCTAAAGTCCTCATCAACCGCTTGATGTCTCATATCTTTATCTCCACCCATCACTGGAGGACCACGCATATCTCTGTCAACCATGGGCATCTGCCTCAGATCGTGATCGCCAAGTGATCGAGGATTCATACCTAAAAATTAGATTTAAAAAAATTTTAACAGTAGTATCACATATTTAAATAATTATAAGATCTTAAGATTTGAAATTGGTTCAGCTCTGTTATCAGAAAAACTTTATATATATGTCTCCTGATTTAAATTATTTTGTTTTAATTGCACGTGTTGAATTAGCACATTCATAAATAAAATTTATTAAGAGTTAAATATAATGCATGTAATACTTTTAAAAAATAATTTCAAAAATATAGAAATATTTCTTGTAGTGTTAAGCATCCAATCTTTACTAATAAATGATGTTGAAAGTAACTTTTATAAGTTTTATACTGATTACACTAATGATACCTGTAGACATCAAGTTTACCTAGTTTATAGGATTGCTATGGCCAAAGTGAAATAATTTTTACTTATTAAAAACCACTAGAACTTTTAATTATTTCACTTATTTATTATTCCAAAAACAAAGAAAGTGATAAATTCAGTAAATGTGGTTGAATATTGAATATAAACTTCTTATAAAATAGATTTGTCTAATTCCAAAAGGCGAAGGTAAAAAGCAGGGAACCTTTGTAAAATTTAGCATATATATCAGAATGTAATTAATTTTTTCAATAAAAACTTTGAGTATTTTGTTATTAATATTTTAATAACATGTTAATTTTTTCATCCAATATATTATGGATTTAAATATTTTATACTTAACTATCCTTTTAATAAATAAAATAACGAACTATTAAATAAATAATTATAAAAAAAAGGAAAGAAATTAATTCACAGCTAAGATTATGACATTTTTCTCTATGCTACAAACTGAATAACAAATCATTTGGTTTCTAAATACTACTTTACTGCGGCTCTTTAAACTCCGGGATATACAACATTTAAAAAATATTATACTTTTTGGTGTGTAATTAAATTGATAATTTCTTTTCTCTCAATTTCTGATAAAACCGACTCAAATGTATTCAGAAATAAGAGCTTCATGAGGATTGATTGAAAAAATGGGTTTGAGCTTTTCAATTATGTTGTTCAAGATTCGTTGAGGAAGATATAAGAATAGTGAAATGCATACCTAAATGAATAAAAGGAATCATTGCAAACCAAGCATGTCAAATTCGAGCCTTGCGTGACATTTAACATCAAATTAGTTGCTTCCGAATTTGAAAAATCATATGAAAACGGCACAAAGAACAAAAAAAAAATGGTTTAAAAAAAAAAACTGGAGGGAAAACAATCGGAAAACGATGCGGATTTATGACAGAATGACGAACCGCGTGGTTAAAAGTGATAATATTGTTAACCACACAGTCATTCTACACATGTCAGTCATAACATCATATTAAAAACATCAGCTTTTCAAAAACCGTGGAAATGGGCGATAAAATGATAATAACTGAAAAAAAGCGATTGAAGAATGGAGGGAGTGTACTACATCATTGCAAACCAAGCATAACGAAAAGTGATAACTCAAATTCATTTGTTGAATAAACATCATACTAAAATTGGCAGAACTAGAAAGAAAAAAAACCTTGCGGAAATAGATAAAAAAAAAGATAAACAATCAGTAAAAGATGTGGATTTATGATAGAATCATTGCATGTCAAAAAGGATGACTCAAATTAAAAATTAACGTGTTGAAATAACATCGGGATTTGAAGGGGAAAAAATGTGCTAATGGCTGAAAAATAATATAAAAATGATGTGATCAATTGGAACCGTTTTTTTTTAAAATTAAGAACAGAAGTTCCTTTTTCAAATATGGAAAACATTTAAGTATAATGTACATTAAGTTTTAGCACATTTAAACTAACCTCTATCAGGATATTGATTTGGTCCAGCAGCAGGAGCTGGTAGCAAAGATGGTCTTGCAGGTGACACATTATGAGGAGGTGGCCTTTGAGGACCAGCTGCAGTATTAGGAGGTATAGGTGAAGAGCCAGGTGCATCCATAGGTATAGCTAAAAGGGATAAAGAAACAAATAGTTAAAAAAAAGTTTTTGAAAATAATGGGCAATCAAGGGGCCAAAAAACAAAACAATTTCCAGATATGAGTTTCATAAATCACATAAAGTTTGTAATAAGCAATAAACAGTAGAAAATTGGATTAAAATACAAAAATTTAATAACACAATTAGCATAATATTAGTGTTTTCCTATTATGAAAATTTCATCGTCAAAATATCATGGGTCCAAATTTTATTTTTATTTTAGATAAGACTTTTAAGATTGAGAAAATCAAACAGATGTTAAAACTTATCACTAAAAGAGATTAATAATACAGAGTACTTCAAATAATAGAGGATACTGTACGAATTTTTTTCACAAATACCTAGCAAAAAGTCCATGAATGTTAAAAAAAATCTAAAAGTTAAATATGTTATGTAAACATGTCATATGTAAAATGTATGTGAACATCTACATTTCCACCTCTTAAAAAAAATTTATCAAACACAGTTGCTAAAAAACTGTAGTTTCTTGGCACATTATCAAATGTTGTAACTTCTCAACACTGCTAAGCTATAATGACGGAGAGAATGTTGCAAAAAAGTTAGACTTAAATGTAGTAAGTAAAATTGAAATCAAACAAAGGAAAAACAAAAAATTAAGATATTTTTAATACCTTAGTTTATTTAAAATTTTAATTTTTAAAATTTAAATATTTCAGAAAGAAAGAAGAGTTGAATTCAAAAATTTAACCAGAAAATTTCAAATTTCTTAATACATTAAACTTTATTCAGTTACAATAATAAGAATATGCCATTGCATATAAAGGCTATTAAATTTTTATCGACACAAAGGAAATCTTTCAGTATTATGTTTTAAAATTAAAATAAAGTTGCATAAATTAATAGAAGAGATAAAATAAAAGTCAATGGCAAAATGAAAAAGTTTCTACAAACAAGATAAAACACTAAATCAGTCAATAGGATTTCTTCTCATACACTTGTTTGTAAAAAAGTAAAGAGTTTTTTTTCCCAATATTTTTTAAAAATAAAATTGTAGCTTTTGTTTACAATTACTTTATTTTAACACATTTTTATAAGATATCAAACATCTAGAAGTCTAAGACATTAGATTTGATTGATTATCCCATAACTAAATTAGGTATATTTTAATGTAAAAAAAAAATTCAAGTATTAATTTTCTCTGACAGTCCAAATTAATGCAAACAAGCAATTATTAATTGGATTACTTGTCATTTGTGTTCAGATAGCTTGTCATCTTTCTAAATTTATTCATAAATATAAATATTAGTCATCATACTTTTTCCACATGAATTATTTAAAATATTTCAATAAAACATATGAAACACAAAAGATATATAGAACACATTTATAAATGAGTAAAAGTAAGTACCTGGTGCAAATTGAGGACCTTCATTTATACCAGGAACATTCTAGGAGTAAAAGTTATAAAAGAAAACATTAGAAAAAATCTTAATATCTAAAAAACAAAAGAAAATTTTAGAGAGCCTTATTTTGTATTCATCTTGTTTTGGACAAAATTTATTATACATTCACTTTTTATATGCTAAACTTTTGATGATTTACTATGAATAAATATATTATGCATTCACTTTAAATATTTATAATTTTAATCATGTAATAAAATTTAACTACAAATTTGATTATAACTGAACATTAAAATCCTATATTGGAATAATCTATCACTAGAGAGAGAAAGAGAAAAAAAAAAGCAAATATTTTAGCAAGTTTTTTACATTCTTACAAGATTTTGGCCTCGTTTAATTTCATAAAATTAAAGTCTTGAAATAAAATACAAAAACCCTGAATAAATTGGGATTTAATAAGATTTTTTCACTAGAACTAAGTCTTACTAGTTTAAAAGTCTAACCTATACAAATTATATGCAATATAATTTGTATAGACAATGCTTTAAGCTACAAAATCAAACACAAAATCTTACTTTCTTTGAATAAACATACACCTTCTTTTCTTTTTTACACATTTGGATTCTTTGATATTCAAAATAGGGAAAGTAGTTGCAATATGGAAAACATTAATCCTATTGTTTGCGCAGGAGAGCAGTCAAAAGTTCAGGCCCCTTAGTGTTAAGTTCGCTTTTAGAGTGTTTCACCATTTAAATGAAATCTTATTTTTAATCATACATATTTTTAATCTTTTCAAGAGCTATTTGATTACTTCCTTACAATCATTGAATTTTATTATTTGAATTTATGTATATTAAATTGGTGTGAAAATTTATAAGTCTTATAATTTATTATTTTTCTAGCTATAAGTAAATCAAATAAAAAAAAATAGCAAATAATCATTTAAAAATAATAATAATAAAATTGCATGATATCTTTAGATAAACAAGTTTTAGAATTTTGCAAAAAAAAATTTCTTTATTCAATTATTAACAGAGATTTTCTGTGAGAAAAAGTATGTTTTCATGTCTGATTTTTTAAATTAAAATAAAGTCTGCACAAATTAAATTGCATATTTAAAGTTAGATCCTAAAGTCATTAAGATTGAGTCTCTAGTATGTGAAGATACAATCATTCAATCATTAGATAAAAAGTTATTAAAGATATATATATATTTTTTTTTGAGGGGACGCACTCTACTATAACATTTAAATAAAAAGTAACATTAATGTGTCATCTATTAATATAGACTCCTTTCCTTTTCTTTTAGTATTTCAATATATTAGCAGTAAACATTTGTTTTATATTTTAACGTATTTCCTTTGCAATAATAATTTAATGTAACTTCTGTGGTTTCAGATTGAAACTCTAGCTTGATTTTGTTTTTTTAGGCATCAAAATTCAAATTGTAGTGGTAACATTGATTAAAATGCAAAGCATTAATCTATGTCTAATGTTAAAGAAACCTAGTGTTATTTTTATTATTATGATACAACAGCTAAATTGAGTAATATATGAGAGCATAATGTTGGCAAAAATTTTTACACGCTTTAATTGAATTATTATAAAAATTATATTGTAAAAAGAAATCTCTTTTTTAAGGTTCATGAGCATCTATAGTACTTAGTTATGACATAGGTTTTGTAATTGATTACTAATCGAAGTAGGAAGGAAAATCAAAAAATACAGTCTTTAAAAAAACGTGCATTTGAAAAAAAAGGTTGCAATTTAGAAATAAACATAGCTTTTAAACAAAATAAAATTATCAATTTTAAAAAAAAAAAAAACCTAATCCAATAGAGAAACTCACTTTTATGGAAGCTGAACAAATGCTTAATATAAAAAAAATACACAATTTCACAAGAATTGCATTGAAAGTTTAAATAATATACAATCAAATGTTTAACGGGATAAATGAGGGCATTTTAAAGTTCTAATTGATGATATTAGTTTTGACAGAGACTTCTAAAGCTTTGAGCTCTGTAAAGCTAATTAAGAAAATTGCAAGTTCAAAAACTTTTAGCAATAGCAAAACAACAATAAAATAAAAAAAAGCATGTAAAGAAAATAATAGTAGAATATTTTTATTTTAGAATTGAAAGTGAAATCAATTTCAAAAGCCAAGCTGAAAAAGAAATTTATAAATACATCAATCTTCCGCCCTTTGCTTTTGCACTAAAATTTTCTGAAGGGAAGTAAACAAAAAAATAAAGATATTTCACATCATTTTCAGTACCATGAAAATTTTGTTAAGTGTTGATACGACACCAAGTGATTTTACAAGGTTACAATGAAAACCTCTAGAAGTCGAACTGTTTACAATTATGTTTAAGAACTTCCTATACAACGAACATCAATAGCAAAAATTTCAATAGAAAAAGATCTCAAAATTTTACATCTATTTTTAATCTAGAACTAAAATATCTGTACTTTTATTTAGCTGACTGATAATCAAATTTTTCTCGCATTGTTTGGAGTGTTTCATTCTGTGTCATATACCAAGGCCCTAGTGATACATGAGAACCTTTACTTTTTATTATTTTTCAAGCACAGTAGAGCGTCGATTATCCGAGCCGCTCGGCACCGAACGTGGTTCAGATAATTGGAAAGTTGTTTAAAATCTAGTTTAAATTATTATTATTCATGCACTAACTTTCCTTCACACTTTTTCTAGGCTTAGGACTGTCAGTACTATCTAAAATAGCTCTGGTATGTTTAAAACCTTTTTTTTCTTTCAATTTTTCAATTTTTTTTTTAAACTTTTTTTTTTTCAATTTGAATTATTTTTAACATATTTCAGCTTTTCTATAATTTTTTTGTCAATTACTGATCTTACCACATTTTCTTTATTTCCCATTGCAAAAGATATCCAGCAAAGACTTTTGTTTCAAAGAAGATGCTCTTTTTGTGCAGCTATATCCCTTTTTCTTTTTAAATAAATCAACTGAACTGGATCAACTTCATTTTAACCTTCTAGCCAATTCATTGCAATATCTAATGAATTGCATGCTTCTATACGAGAAGGTTAACTATCTTGAACTTGACCACCTACTTCTTCCACTGTGGAGTTCCGATTTTGATTCAAAATATTTCAGCTACAATTTAATCATTTAAAATTTGAAATCCTGAGTCATTTTCAGTGTCTCGACACCAGTCTTTTATTTCGTCTGCTGTATAACCTGGCTTCTTTTCACCCGAAAGATCTACTGATTCCAAAACTTCAGTTTCGTTTTTTTTTCTGTTAAGAATTTTATTCCAAGATTTAAGATTCCAAGCACTATAATCACTAATCATTAAACATAGGTGACAACTACCCATCCCCCAATTGTAGAGCTTCAACACTTATATATTCATAAACACCTTCCACATTCCAACTATTATAGATTGTTAAAATGAAGCTCGCATTCTTTGAAGATAATTTTCAGTTGAAGAGGGCTAAAGGAGTATGTAGGTTTAACTGTATAACAATACATGTACGTATGGCTACTATAAGAAAACTGCTGAAAAAAGTTGTAAATTAAATATGGTCTTCAGATGTAGTGGATGTTATTTATTCTTCTAAATTTGGAAAAATTGTCAATAAGTTAAAAAGTAAACTAAACTTTAAAAAAAAAAAATAAAGAATTCGAACACAGTTTGGATAATTGGACGTTCGGATAATAAGGGTTCGGATAATCGGCGCTCTACTGTATAATGATATTGATTAGAAATTTTTTGAAAAAATTTATTAGGCAGAGAAAACACAAGACTAAAAGTGTGCACTAATCACATTTTTGCACATTCAATATTGTGACTAGGAAAAAATTAGTAGATTATGTTTCATTGTATCAAGTTTTTCTCAACCCTTGATCCAAGAGTTGTAAAACATGTTAAAACTAGCAAAAACTATAATGAGGAAATATAAACAAAAGACAAATTCTAAACAATTATATTAAAAAAAACAATGCTATATAAAACGATACAATTACACAAAATTCTTAAACATCTATACAATAAAAATAAAATGGAAATACTTTTAAGTACTGTGGAGTTGAAAAGGCAGAATGCTAAAAAAAAATTAGAAGAATTATTTAACAAGCAAAAACATTTTTTTATAAAATAATAAAAAAAATTAAATGCTAATTCAAAAGCTATTTTCAGCTAAAAAAATATGTATATATGTTTGTTATTTACTGTTGGTGCTTGTGTAGCATTAGTTTTCCCTTCAGGTGTTGGCAACAGTGCAGATGCTGATAAAGTAAAGGGGTTCTGAGCATGTAGCATAGTCTGAAATAAGAATAAAAATAAAGTTAAAACATGATCAAATAATATGACTCCTAAAAGGTAAAATAAAAAATTTTTCTTGATTAGTAGAATTTTTTATAGATCATAAATATTTCCTAAATATCTAAATCAATATTTATGAAATGTTAAAAGTTTCACTGATCAAATTAAAAAGATATTGAAACATATTATAAATATGAAACAACTATACTGAGCTGATTTTCAACATATACAGCAAATATTATTACTACTAGGGTTCATGCAAGTGTGTGAACATGGCGACAATTGTCATCAAAGGATCTACAAATGTTACTAAAATCATATGCAGGGGCGACAAATTTTTGGCCTTAAAATATGTTTGGAATTGACAAAATAATAAAGAAAAATAGTTTTCTGCATTGAATTCCAAGCATTTAAAAGAAATATGTTGCACTAATTTTATTGTCCTAAGCGTGGTATTCAAATTTCAAAATTTTATAAATTAAAAGTTGGAACTTCAAATCTACATGTTGTGCTGCGCTTTGCATTCATGTACTGATAGTATAATTACTCATTAATGATATTTTTATCATCGATGGTATGATTAAATATTTTTTGCTCTTTTTTTAATTTACTTATTTAAAATTTTATAATTCTTATAAAATTAAATTTTAATAAACATTTTGTTAGCTATTACTTTCTCTGTTTATACATTTATCTGATCTCTGCCTTTTAAGTTCTAAGTTGAACCTATTTATTAATATTACCTTTTTTTCAAGTAATTTTAATAAATATTCATTATGGGGAAATAGACCTAATTAGTTTTAGGGTGTTATAGATAACAATAAAGAATTTTTGATGTATACCATAACATCAATTATGCAACTGTGAAGTTGAATTTTTTTTTCAAGTTTGTCTACTATATTAAGTTTTCTGAACCACTAAATAAATACCAAGATGGTCCTATTGGACCACTAAAGTTTTATTGTTGTGTGGTGCAAATCCTAATTACTTTTTCTTTAATTAAACAGAAGTTTAAATTTCTCCCCTCTTCTTTCAATGTAACTGTTTAAATTTCAAGTTTACCAAAAAAATAACTTTTTTTATTATTTTCAGTACTAAGAAAAAATACAAGGAAAAAGGGATTGAAATTTTATACATAAATTATCGTCAAAAAATGAAGAAAATAGAGTTTTATAAGAAAAAACTTACTTTTGCTTGAATGGGATCAACTAGCTTCATAATAACCTGAGCTTGTAATAAAGCATAACACAGTTGTGGATTTTGCATTAATAAAATACGAGCTTCGTTGGGATTATTTTCAATGCAAACCTTATAAATAAAATAAAACCAAATACATTTTAAGAAATAATCAAAAAATTCAACTATAGAGGAAAAAAGCATTTTTTTTTCTTCAAAACTTACCTTCATTTGAATCATAAGTTCATACAACTGTTCTGGAGGAAGACTACTCATGATTTTTGCTATTGCATCAGGAGCTTGATCTCCAGATATTTCAGGGCCATAAGGGCTCTAATAAACAAAATGGTTAAAAATAATGAATTTAAAAGTATTAATACTTAAATTTACTTCACAAGAAAAATTTTAAAAATAAAATTTTTTCGAGAAACATCTCCGAAAGAAAATATTGTAAGGAGATTGATAAGTTTTAAATATAAAAAAATAATAAAGCAAAAACTTAACTAACTCTTAACAAAAAAATTTCTTCAAAATTAGGTGAGGAATGCGATAAAAAAATTATTTTTGTTTTTTGGATCAAAGTAGATTATAACCACAAAAAAAAGAATAGGCGTATGAAAACTAACATATATATTGCTCCGTGTACAATGAATTAAATTAACTCAACCTTTTCGTACGGACTGTCACATGCCAACAGGAAACTCTCATCTCCCAGCCGAATAACTGGCATGCTAAAGCGATTTTTCATTCACTCCCGACCTTCAGATATTTATGACAATGTTCAGAAACTTTTTCAAATCTACAATTTCTGGCACAAGGTGACATTATATGTTCATATTATAAATAGAAGTAGATGCTGTTAAATATTAATGCAGAAAAAAAATTGAAGTACCCAAATTAGAGAACTCACAAATTGCAAAAAAGTTATATAACAGTGTTTTCATCATAGAAAAAAAATGGGTGAGAATTTCTCACCCTTTCTCAAAAACAGGGTGAGATTTCAGAAAGTTAAGTGAGATTTCTAAAAACTGAAAAAATACAAATAGACTTGGAAAAAAAATGTCTTTTGTTATAATACATTTTAACGTCTTCTATTTTTTAAAGCATTGACTATTTTTGCTGCATCATCATAGAAGATTTTGCCTTTACTAGGTATTTGTCCATCTTACATTAGTGCATAAAAAAATTTGAATTTACATAAAAAACCATACCTACAGTAAACACGTGGTTGCAGAGAAATGTGTTCTGAAAGGGGTTCCGTGGTTCGGAGGGGTTGTGTTCTGTTGTTCGAATAGGTTCTGAACAATGCCTACTGGTAAATAGGGAAGCTAGATAACGGGGCAAGTGTTGAAAATAATGAAGATCCAGGTAGAAAAGTGAAACAGATTTTATTCTAAATGACATAATTCGAAGCTTTTTCCAAAATGCGAGAAATTCGCAAATTTTGAAATTGATTTATAGAATGCGGGAATTTCTCGTGGTAATAATTTTTTAATGTGAGAAAAGAAAAAAATATGCGAGATTCTCACGTTCTCGCGCTGTAGTGAAAACACTGTATAATAACATAATTTGTTTACTGTCCGATAGCCGCTCTCACAAAACCAGTTGTCAAGCTTGCTTTATTAAGTACTAATTCCATAGAAATGCAATTTCAGCTGTAACTAAAACAATTTTAATTCGATAATTCTAGAAATGAGTAGAAGCAAATAAAAATTATTTTATTGTTTATTATTTATTGTGTAATATTACAACCCCATTTTATAGTATTCCTAACTATAAAAAAAGATTATAACAGAAAATATTATTTATAATATTTTAAGATAAACTAGTATAAAATTCATTTTTGCATATGCTTCTGTATTTTTAAGAGATTTTTTGGTACTATTGTATAACAGAAAGATATTAAGATTTTTTTTAAATAAATTTAAAAAAGAAAGTCAATATTTAGTGCAAAGTGAGCTTTAATTTAACAAGGTTAGTAAACAGCATGTTAATAAATAGAATAAAAAACATGAGAGAATTTCATTCAGTTCAGTTGCATTTAAATGTCTGAAAGGTAAAAATATCTCTGATTTGGGCATGGGCAAAGAGATGGTTTTAGTCAAAAATAGAGGGTTTTAGTTTATAAATCTAATTGCTCAAAACAACATTGATATTTAAAGTGTTCATATTAAGACAACTTAAAATAAAGAAAATCATTTTCCTGTTTGACAAAAAAAAAAAGAAAAATATTATAAAAAGTCATTTTTACTTAAAATTTTTTGCAAGAAATATGTTTTAGTTAGAAACATTTTAAATAGACAAAATAATATGTTGTGTTAATTGCTTCGCTCAGTTAACTTTGATTTACTTTATCTTGCAGTTTAACACTTTAAATAAATTCCTTCCTACACAATAGTTTTGAAGAAGAAAAAAAACTATACAATACAAAGCAAAAAGGTTTTAAAACAACAACAAAAAAATGGGACTCAAGTAAAAAAAGTAAATTTTTAAATGAAAAATAAAAACCTGAATTTACCTCAACCGGTGGGCCACCTAATGATGCTTGCAAATCTAGAAAAAAGAAAAATTTTTAATATTACAATTAAAGATCAATAAATCTAGAAAGAAGAACTAAGTCCAAAGATGACTAATGATACCTAAAATGCTTACTTTTTAATTCTTCTTTACTTTTTTCACTAGCAGCATTATCAACACGAAGAGCTCTGCCATTAAGTTCATAACCATTCAAATTACGCATAGCACTGAGAGCCATTTCTTGATCTTTATATTCACAAAATCCATAGCCTTTTGGTTTTCCTGTTTCTCGATCATACACTAATCTGAAATTTTTTTTTTTTAAAGGAAAAAAAATGCTTGATTATAGCAATTTTAAAGGAAAACTAAATGCTCATAAAAAGCTTACATTAAAGAAGATAATCCATATAAGTTTAAAAAATTATCTTTCTTTAGATATATCAATCAATTATAAACAAATAATTTATCTTGTTTTTGTGCAGAAAATTTTACTAGGTTACACATAATTTTCAAATTTTAAGATTAAAGAGCCAGAACTTAAAATGTGTAAATAAGCCTAATATTTGAAAATAATAAATCAGGTAATATTTTTGTATATTGTTTTAAAGCTTTTTATATTTTATATGTCCCTCGCAATTTTTACTAAATTTCGCAATATACTTTTCAAAGAAAGATAATGGTAACAGACTTTAAAAATAGTAATATAAAATTAATTTGTTAATCTAAAAAGTTCTGAAGAAGATTAAGTATTTTTCTTTTGGCATTGAACCTAATATTACTCAAATTTTAAAAATATTTTGTTTGTAATGCAAAAAATATCATTAATTATTTCTTATAAAGTAAGATCATAAACATACCAAGTTATATATATACTAATATTTTAAAATTTACTACAGTAGCCGAAGAAAATATCTCACAGGACTGATTTAAAATTAATTTTTTAAAGCTTTAATACTGTCTTAATTGTAATATTTTTGTCATCTCTGCATATGCTAATGCTGTTACCACCCTGACGAAGACAATTTAGTCTAGCTGCGAAGATATTAATTTCGTCTTGCTACAAAAACAATATTTATTTTGTGATGTTGAATGACATATAGCAGTGTTTTCACTACAGCGCGAGAACGCGAGAATCTCGCATATTTTTTTATATTCTCGCATTAAAAAATGATTACCGCGAGAAATTCGCGCATTCTATTAAAAAATTTCTAAATTCGCGAATTTCTCGCATTTTGAAAAAAATTTCTCTTTTGCGCCATTTAGAATAAAATCCGTTTCACTTTTCTTCCTGGATCTTTTATTATTTTCAACATCTGTCCCATTATCTAGCTTCCCTATTTACCAGTATTGTTCAGAACCTTTAAGAACAACAGAACACCATCCTTCCGAACCACGGAACCTCTTTCAGAACGCATTTCTCTGCAACCACGTGTTTACCGTAGGTAAGGTTTCTTCATGTAAGACGTTAAAAGTTTTTGCTCGTTAATGTAAGATGGACAAATACCTTGTAAAGCCAATATTTTCTACTCCGAAACGGACGAATGAAAATGAAACAAATGTGGGTAGAAGCGATCAAAACGAAACAAATGCGCATTTGAGCAACCTAATGAGAATAGCTGAATGAAAAAGTAGATGTAGAACATTTTCCATATGATGATGAAGCAAAAATATTCAATGCTTTAAAAATTAGATGTTAAAAATGCATCATAATTAAAGAAATTATTTTTTTTTCTAGTTTCTTTGCGTTTTTTTTTTTTTTTTAATTTTTGAAATCTCACTTAACTTTTTGAAATCTCACCCTGTTTTTGAGAAAGGGTGAGAAATTCTCACCCATTTTTTTTCTGAGATGAAAACACTGCATATAGCAAATGGAATTTATGCAAGGAATTTCACGATTTTATGCATGGATTAGCGCTGAAATGTAGAAATTTTCTTTATGCACCCTTTTTCCCCTGGGGACTTTACGCTTCTTGAAGATTATTTTCAGCGAGACCTATATCAGTTTGCAGTCGATATGCAATTTATTTAGTCGGGATAAAGTTTTTTGTAAATTAGTTTCAGTGGGACTTCTACCTAGCGATCATTGCGCATTGTTTCATGACTTTTTGCCCTTCTTTTTTTTTTGTCTCCTGAGATTCATTGTTATTTGTAAATTCATTTTAGTAGGCCAATTGTTACTTTGCGATCGATTATTTTGACTTATTTTCATCCTGAATTTTTGTTCTGAACTCAATCTGTTAATGAAAAGAAATTATAAATTAAAAAAATTCACCAGATTTTTAATCATTTTTTATTTTATTTTAAACGATACAATTTTATTTTCAACAAAAAAAAATTCTTAAAAAGATTAATAATAAATAAATTAAATAAATAATACCTTATAAATAAATTAAATAAATAATAATAAAGAAAGAAAACAAAACTTACTCTTGTTTTGACATTTATTACATTTGGTCATTAGTCAATACAACATTATTATTTTAAATAAATAAGTAAAAGAAAGTCTAATGGTTCAAAAGCAAGTTTTTGTTCAGCAAATGATTTAAAAATTGCCTTACAAATGTACAATTACTCTTCTTTTTTAATGCATGTAAGTAAAATATTTTTTTAGAATTTTATTATTTTTAAAATAATAAATCTTAAGTCATTTTTAATTTAAAAATAATAATAAAACAAAGCTTTTGCATCAGTCTTAAGTCAATCCATCTTTATTATTTTAATTGAAAAAAATAAAGCAATGCTATGGATGTTATAGAAGAATTTGCTTTTTTTTTTTCAATTAACAATTTTCTTTGTTATAGATTTTCTCATTTATTTATCTTTGATTGATTTAAAATTTCGGATAGTGCAGCCTTGATTTTTAAAAAAAATTCCGATCCTATGTTATGGCGCGATACATTGCTATATTGTCTATCATACAATGTATCACAATATAAAATTTCTAACATCATCTAGTCCTACCATATATAATAAAAATACAATATAAAATGGTAAAACAATATAATAATAACATATAGTATTATAATATAAAATATTAGCACGGTAATATAAAAACATTAGCTAAATAAATACTAAGATTGATGAAAATCACTTAATAATTGAAAACAAATCATTTTAAAAAGAGTAGGAAACCAACTTCAATAGTGAAAATATAACATACAAAGTTACACAAACCATATTGGAAATTATGGAAAAGAGGCTCAAATTTGAGTAAAAAGAAGTGTGAAATATGTTATGAAATAAAAATGCACACTAACTACTAAATACTGACTTCAATTTTTAAAAAAATAAATTTTATAACAATACAGAATGTATGTTAAAAGTTCAGAGTAAACTTTTCTAATCTTAAAAACAAAAACTTAATTTAGTTTAAAGTTAATTTTATTCTATTTACGAAATAAGAGAAACATAAGAAATCGACACATCAAGGTAAAATTAACGAAACTAATATAAATTGTCTTAAAACAGTTTATTTAAGGTGTAAAACTTATACACACATTTTATTGATACAAAAGTTTAAAGAAAAACTCTGTTCTTAAAATAAGCAAAAAGGAGACTCATTTGTCTTCAAATTTGTTAGTTTTAGCTGAAAACTACCATATTTAGTGAAAAGATTTTATTTGAAGGTCAATTTTAGAGAACGCATAACATCACTTTTGATTCAACAACATGTGCACAGCAGTTAAAGAAACATTCTAGTAACACAAAATTATAAATTTAATTGCATGCTAGTTACACAAAATTGAGAAAGGGGTGAAAATTACATAAAAATCATAATATATAATCACCTAAAGCTTACGACAGGACCCACTTCAGCAAATATATCTTTTAATTGTTCTTCAGTGGCTTCATATGGAATGTTCCCCACTAGAACAAAACTTCTTATAAATTTTTGACAAGTTTATCTTTCAATATAATAGAAATATAGCAATATACATATAGCAATGTACATACAAAAATCCTATTTTGGTTACAAAATATTACAATAAATAATTTGTCCTCGAAATAATTAGAAACTTAACTCTACAAAAAATCAAACACATAGTAAAATAGAAATAAAGCTAATAGAAAAAAGAATAAATAAGAGTACTTTATTCTTCGGATCCTATAATGCAAAAAGAAAAAAAAAATTCTATAGGTAATTGCAAGCAATTCCAAATTAAAATAATAGTTGAATAACAAAATGAGTAACAATTCTAACTTCAATTTAATATCTGTTTAATATCTAAATTATTGAAATAGAATTTGTTCTAAAGAAATACAAACCAAACACAGATCGCATAGATCTTTCAGCCGCTGATAATGCTCCTTGCATAGCAGTCATTTTTACTTTAATAAATATGATCCTTTTATATTTATCAATAAAAAAAAGATTCTTTTTCTTTGTTAGAAAATGAGAAAAAAATAAGGCAGTAATATTATATTTTTATCTGCATTCTTAACAATNGTGGACAGATACGCTCTATGATTGGTTAAAAATTTGATCGGTAAGATAGCAAAATGAATTTTACTGCGCCGATAATCGGTGCAATAGACACTCCGTTATTTTAAGCTGCTGAGATAAATTCATACGCTGCTAACTACCTATTTCTGTCTTACTCAAGTAGATTTTAATGAATAATAGTTAAGAAAGGATAATTTTCACTACATGTATAAAATTCGCGCGTGCGAGTTCGAAAATACGAGTGCTCTAGCTTCATTGTTGAAATATTTGACGAAAACCGCAAAAAACTCGCCAATTTGGTTCCTGTCTGCATGCTTGAAATTTTCGAAGGAAATAAGGAAGTTGCTGTTGTTGCAATTCATTCACGTCGCACTAGAGCTAAACAATGGGCTACTGGCGATGGTCTGGGAAACATTTCTGAGGGTGATCTGAAGACATGCCATCACAATTTTGATGCTCTGCAGAGGAGATGCACCCCCACTCCGGTAGCCCAATGACCTGCACGTGAAGTCGAGCACTTTGAGGACAGTTTAACGAGGACCAACACCGCGCACCCTCGGTCCCTACGTAGACTGATCCAAGTGGTCACCCACCCGCACACTGGCCGCAGCCAGTGATGCTTGACTTCAGTGATCTGCTGGGAACCGTGTCTGAATGATTAGTCCACTGCGGGACGGAAATAAGAATTTGATTGATTGATTTGTTCATTTACGTCGCACTAGAGCTGCACAATGGGCTATTGGCGACGGTCTAGGAAACATCCCTGAGGCTGATCCGAAGACATGCCAAAACAATTTTGATCCTCCGCAGAGGGGTTGGCACCCCGCTTCGGTAGCCCGACTACCTGCAGGCGAAGTCGAGCACTTTACAGCAGAACAGTTTAACGAGGACCAGCACCGCGCACCCTCGGTCCCTACGCAGACTGATCCAAGTGGTCACCCACCCGCACACTGACCGCAGCCAGTGATGCTTGACTTCGGTGATCTGCTGGGAAACGTGTCTTAATGATCAGTCCACTGTGGGACGGAAATAAGAAAGGAAAGTACATAATTTATATATTTATTCCATTCTCACTGGATACGATTTTGACAGCAGGTGTGGGGGGGGGAAGTGCATTAAAATGAAAACGGATTGGTAAGAGACATTTACCCGGGAAAACTCGCCAATCAGGCTACCGTTTGCAAGTGAAAAAAATCTTATCCAGTATGAATGGCCTTTACAATTTCATGAACGCGACTTTTAAGAATTTATAAATACTAGGAGGCGCCATCCCCTGCTCGCTAACGTTCACTGATCACTAAAACTGCTTTCGCAGTTTCCTTTGGATTGCTTCACAAGCCAAGATCGTCTTACTCACTCACACTGATTAGATGAGTTAATTCCGTCTAGCACGCAATGATGCTCACTACGTTAGGCTACGACGCTCTCTTGCGCGTCAAAACCTATTAGCATCATTCCTGGGCAATCTCCGATATTCTTCTACTGTTTAATTAGAATACCACTCTTTTTCTGGAGCATTTCTAACTGTTCGCCGTTGATATTGATTTTCTGTGTCCCGCAGATCACCGGTGTCAAACATCACTGCGGTCAGAGTGCGAATGGGTGACCACTTTGATCAACCTGCGATGGGACCAAGGGTGTGCGTGTTGGTCTTCGTTAAACTGTTTAACCATGAAGTGCTTCACTTCGTGCGCAGGTCGCCGGGCTACCAAAGTGGGGGTGCCATTCTCTGCAAAGGATCAGAATTGTGATAGCATTTCTTCAGATCATCCTCCTCAACAACCATCAACAATCATAAAATCCTATTTTCCTTTATCTTCGCACCATCGCGTATTCCTTAAATATTTGATTTCGCGTTTTGTTATATATCGTGTTTTAAAAAAACAGGAATTTGAAAAATCATGTAGAAATCTATAGAAATAACTGCGGAATTGAAATTAAAAACTTTCAAATTTATGTTGAAATCGATGTAAAATCGGAACAACGTGATCGAAGTAAGAAAGGGGATTACTCCTATGCGCGACTCAAGATTAATGAATTAATAGTTTCGTTATAAAAATCAGTTAGAAATCAATGGGTATAACTGCCAAAAAAGTTAAAGAAATTATTCAAATGTGTAATTCGAAATTAACCTGTCGTGATAACAACTTATTGAAAATAATCGGGATATCAGTACCCGAATTCCTTCAACAATTGTTAAAAAACTACATGGATTTACCATAAAATCAGTGCTTAAAAATGGAAAAAAGAAAAGTTTCCTTCGAAATTTTTCAGGACCCGTGGACCCTGAAGTATTCATGAAGTTGCATCTCAATTTATAAATTTGTGTAAAATTAATAAATAAATAAATACCACTGCAGTGAATTTTATTACAAGTTGTTGTCATTCCCTGGGAAGGATAGCTACGAAGTCTTTTTCTTTTTATGCCGCCAGATGGCGTTCTTTTTAAATTTGTATGTGTTTGTTTGCTTTTTGTTAATAAACTTTTACTTTCTGTCTGAATCTCGATCCACGGACTACAGTTGGTAGCAGAGCGTGGTTTTGAAAATTATGACGCAGTAAAAAGTTTCACTTAGTTTCGCCGTGATTTACGTCGTTTAGATTCCAAAATCGAAATGAACAGGGATCTGCCGAGTATCCCACTGCTGAACNACATGGATTTATCATAAAATCAGTGCTTAAAAATGGAAAAGAGAAAAGTTTCCTTCGAAATTTTTCAGGACCCGTGGACCCTGAAGTATTCATGAAGTTGCATCTCAATTTATAAATTTGTGTAAAATTAGTAAATAAATAAATACCACTGTAGTAAATTTTATTACAAGTAAAAACAAATTTACAGACAATATACATATTTAATTGTAAAAACATACTACTTTGAGATTACATGTATATGTTGATTCTATAGATTTTTATTATTTTGATATTTCTTTCAAAAAGATTCATAATAATTTATGTTGTATTACGTATTTCATTAATTTTGTTGCAATTTCTCTAATTACTTGATTTTATGCATGGATGTATTTAAGCAAAATTTCAAAAAGGGAAAAAAAAAAGAAAGAAAAAAAACTAGAAAAGGGGGAAGCGCTAATATTTTTATTTGTGACCAGAAATTTTTGCTGGTTACCAATACCAACACTTTTGAAATTCATTGGAGCCCTGATCATGCATAAGTAAAGAGTATGTCTTACTAAAGATATTTTATTTCGATTGAGTGATAAACTAATAAAAGGAAGTTAGTGGTAATGGTGTGGAATTCAACATAAGGACATGCATGCACTTTATGTAATAAGCTGCTACAATTTATTATCAGAGAGTATGTAAGGGCGTTTCTTTTTGCAACTAATTCACCTACTATTCTTACATTACTAAACACTCGCGCGCACATAAAGGTACATCATTAAAGAGGGTCACCATGGAGGTCCAGTTGTTTTGGCGTTATCCTGCAAACTTACACGTCTCCCAAAGAGGCATCCTGATTATTTTATGTATAGGGTAAGATCTTAGAGCCCTATGTAAAATTGTGCAGTTCATTATTATAGATATGACAATACACGTCCATTCTTGGCTGTTCTGACAGAGGTATACCTTGACGCGGAAGATGTTCAGAGGAAGAAGTGGCCAGCTTGATCTCCAGATCTTAATTCTATCGAGCATGTCTTAGAGCGAGTTGGGTATAGAGCAATCGAAGCTCACCATCACTCTCTCTGAACCTTATTGCAACTTGGAATTTCTTTTACGGAGAAGCGGAGTTTATAGCACCGAAATCATTTTATCATCTCGAAACATTTATCAGTCTCCTAAACAAAGTTCATTGTGCGAATCGTATTGTGGAAGTCATAGTTCACATTTAACTATCAAAAGTGGAAATTTTGCTACATCAGTCTTGGACTACCTTGATCTGAGCGTATCAAAAGACCATTCTCTCTGCCTGCAATTTTTTTCCCGCACGCACAAGAAAAGAAAAAAAAATCACATGCGAAGAACTAGTGCAAAACCTGCAATGAAGTTCACATTCTCAAGCGAAAAATCCGTTTGAAAAAAAAATCGCATTCCGTAAGAATGGATTTTAACCCTTGAATTCCTTATATAATCTGTTTCTTGAATTCTTTATTTTCTCATGCCTTGGTGTATTTTCATACACAATTTCATATAATTTGTTTAAGTTTTTTTCTCCTTTTATATCAGTGAAAATGTGTTAGTTTCTTAACTTTTCATTAACACTCACACTAGTTTTAAGGAAGCTTTTTCACTGAATGATTAATAACTGGAGTATTTATGTGTGATTTTGTCTGCAATTTGCACCAAATTGTAAATTGATACGTTTAAAGTATCGCAGACACATATATTTAAACATTCGATGCCCGCCTTGAATAATTAAAATGAATTAGCTATTATAAATGGAGTTGCGTTTAGTAAATTCCGCCCTTTATATACAATTTTGGAAACCTAGTAAAAGCTGGAGGAAAAAAAAAATATCTATCTACTTTGGACCGTCGCTTGATATTAAAAGGAGCTGAAAAGTGATTATTATAAACATTTTAAATTTCATTCAGTCAATCAAACGGGTTTGGATGTTTCAAATCGCATCTCCTGGGAAAAGTAATTTGATAATACTTTTGTTTTTTCCTTATTTATATATTAATTTGTTAACGTTTGTCTTTTCGACTTAATTTTTGACATGAATTCTAAAAATAGAACTTAAAGGTAATGATAACAAACTCCTCTGTACAGTTTGAAAGGGAGCTAATAGAGTTAGGTATCTAAACCACATAGTCTAAAGCTATAAATATTTCAGCGAATATTATTATGTATTATATTCATGCATTTAGTAGTATTAATTTATGATGACACTTTAGGTGAGGAGGCAAAGTGTTTTAGTAGAGAGATTTTGCTAGAAACTGCGGGCTGTTGTGATAACTCGATTTGTAGAAGGTATTCTATGACGGGATTTGCAGTTAATTGAAGGTAGAGCCAGGCAATTTCTTAAAACCTAATTAATATTGTTTCAAAAAATATTGGTAATATTGGTAAAGTATTGTTAAATGTACAATTAAGGATGGTGTAAATTTTTAAGCTAGGAAAAGCTTATATTAAGTTTATTACATTTTACGGATTGTAGGAACATATAATCAATATAGCAATAGCATACAAAAAAAATAAAAAAACAAAAAGAAAGATTGCAAATAGTTTTATTTTTGATTGGCATATTTTTACTTTTAAATCAGATACATTCTCTTACAATGTTACATCAAGATTTTTGATTCAAAAACTTTTTTCTTCCAAGTGCTCTCAATATCAACAAGGGGAATTTTAGAAAAGGTCTTTATATTGATTTTATTTCTAAAATATGAATCATAATTTATTTTTGTCGTTTTGAACGTTTTTTCCCCAAAAGATTTACTTTGTGCGTGAATGAGAGAGAATCTGTTAAACCTGTTTGTTTTATTTTGAAAAGTGCGTTTAATACTTTAAATTTTATTACTTTAAACTAAACCTGGAAGACAAGCGAGCTTCTCGTTCATAGAATACGAAAACTCGCTTTTGCGAAAGATTTTTTTAAATGAAACAAACCTGAATTCGTGTTTCATGGTGAGGAAAACTACGAATACCTCCCGCGATTTAAACACTAACCCATTAACCATCAATCACTAGAAAAATTTTGTGTGAGCATTGAACGGTATGGGTACGAATCAGACGCAGAACCGAATCGATCGTCCAAAATAACTTTTAATAAGTTCTTCCTTGTATTGTTTAAAATTAATGTTCGTCAGTCTTTATTACCAACTTTTATAACGTGTGTGAGCGTTTCTCTTTAACTATTGGATGCGAATGGTTTTTCAGGTAGATAAAAAATTATACGTTGTAGAACCACGTAAAAATTAATTGTAGCAAACTGTAGCAGAATAATAAACAAACGTGAAAAAGAAAAATTGGGAATTTACGAATCCCTTTTCCGAGTTATTAGTGAACAGAAAAACAAACTTTCCAGTTCTAGATGCAGAGATACTAAACCATAATTTAATTTTAAATTTTATTCTTTGAAATGGTCAAATTCAAACTGAAGAAAAAAATAAAATAAAATCTTATTAAATGATTTTTATGATGTCAAGTATAATCATAAAAAGGATTTTTAAAGTACTAAATGCACCCTCACATATTTTCTTTTTGTTTAAACAGAAATAATAAAAATTAAAAAAAAATAAAATAAAAAAAAAATAAAAATAATAAAAATTAAAAAAAAATAATAATAATTTCAAAAAAATATTCTTTCAAAAAATAATCATGAGATTGAGATACTCATGAAATTTTTAATTAAATTATATTAAGCCGTCCCATTAAAAAAATCATTAGTTTTTTAACTAATAAAAAACAGTTCTTTTTTAGCTTTAACTTTGAAAAATTAACCCAAGAAAATTTCTGATATTTTCCATAAATGCTTTTGCCGTAGTGCCTATATTTGCAAATGATTTGCTAATGTGTTATTTTTGATCGTCATGAAAAATAAAAAAAAAATAAAAAAACTTAATAGAACAATCCGTCACCTCACCCTCTTCAAATCGCATAAATCTTCAGAACTAAGTAGAGCTTTTTTCTTTACGCATAATAATATCAAAAATAAAGAATGGTAAATAACAATGTTAAATACACATTTTCTTATAATAATAAAAAAAATAAAATCCCCTTCTCAAATGCTAGCTGAATACCAAAAAGAAGCTCATTTTATATTTATGATTAAGGATGGTTTAAATAAATACTATTGAACACATTAGGAAGAGGTTTTAGATCCACTCATCTCTGTCAGAGATAAAAAATAAATAAATAAAATCGTTACCTTACTTATTTCGAATTTTGTTTTCGAAGTATACTAATTTTTACAATTTATAAGAAATTTTTGACCATAGAGCAGTGCTTTACATAAGCATTGCCCATACCGCCATCTCCCTTGTCAGCAACTATATGTACAATATAATATAATATGCATATCTTAAATCTATATTTCCTTTAGAGCAAACATAATAGTTGAATTCTGTAATATTGAATTGTGATATCAACCCATATATTATTTATCATTAAGAGTTGTATTTTAAGCACTACAAACTTTAGGTTGGATTTCTCTTATCCTCATTTTAAAACAATTAAAACGTCCGATTAAATTTGCAGATTTTGGGGGAATTAATATCTATACATGGTCACTCGCTGGAGAGGGGTCAAGGTATACTTGCGCCCTTTTGCAAATTCATTAAATTAAAAATTATATTTTGCTTTTGAATCTAATTATTTTTTTTAATTTCATGCTTAACTAATGTTTATTTGCTTAATTAAAGGTTAAAAAAAATAAGGAAATAAAAAAAAATAGAATTATTTGTTTTTCTTCTGTGCTCACACCATATTTGAATTTAAAAAAATCAGCTTTCATTAATTTTTTTCTACTTTAAAGTTCTTAAAATGTATAAAATTTTTATTAAAAAATTTTGGTTTAGTATCTTGATTACTTACTCATATATATTTTTGAGAACTATGAAATTTTTTGATATTTTAATGAAGCTTTGCACTCGAGAAAATTCAACGAGCGGCTTCGAACACAAGAAAAAGTAACAACAAATAGAAAAGCTTTACAAAATCAAAAAAATGAAGACTTAAACAAAGAACTTCTTTTTAAATAAAACAAAAGGAAACATAAAATGTTTACAGATTTTGCGATGGTTTAATAGCAAGAAAATGTTTAAATTTAAAGTACAACTAAAAATTAAATTAAAAAAAATCATGTGCCATTTTTGAAACATTCTTCAGTAAATGGTTAATAAAAATAGTAAATATTTAAAGAATAACATCAAATAAATAAAAAATCTTAGTTCTTTGATTAATATTCTTTGAAGACTCCGAGTGAAGAGAGTATTTATTTTCAAAATATTTTTCCAAGTATATAATTGTTCAACTTATTTGTTGGGGTTCACTGAAAGAAAATAAGGTACTCTATTTTTTTTCACTTATTACAATCATTAAAAAAAAGCACATTTTCAAAAAGAAAAATCTCTGATGAAGAATACGAAAAAATAATGGTTTATATTTATGAAGAATACGAATAAATTGTTCTAGTTTATTATCGTTTAAGAAAAAATAAATTTGTAAAGATTAATTCCTATTTATTTCACTCTCATCCTACAAACCAAAGAATCAACAAATAATATAAGGTATTGTATCTTGTTTTAAATGGGCCTGAACTTGAGATCGTATTTATCACGAAAAAAATATATTCCCTAAAGTTCTGCCGATCTTCTTTTTTTTATATAATTCTTCCAATCTTGCTTGTTTCCGCTCAGTAATTGGTCGAAATATGCGGAGGGATTCTTGTCAGTTAAAAAGATTCTTCGATACCATTGGATGATTTTGTGCGGCATATATGAAATTATCCAATGGCAACTGCTCCCGACGCTACCTACAGAGAACCTCACTTGGAGCGCTCTTGAAGCGGCGGCGTGAGAAAATCCTATGTAGGAAATCAAGTAGTTCTGTATAACGCTATTCGTACGGGCTAAGCTTGGAAAATTCTATCGTAAGTATTTAAATAGAATCTTAAAAATATATTAAGTGTTCGAAAATTGATTAAAAATTCGTATTTAATTTCTCCATACTGTTAACTTTGATTCTCTAATAATAGTTTTTCTGAAATAATTTTAGTTTAATAATTATTCGATATTTATTGAAGTGAAGCCTCTCCATAGACATAAAGGAGGCTACAGACGCCATACTTTTGTATTGGGGGAATCGTATTTGAAGGTGTTTTTGAAAATCGAATTATAGTGTAAGTAAAGTTAAAATAAATTTTCTAATGAAGGAGAATTGAAGATAAGATCTTAAATAAAAAGTTTTCAATTCAAGTTTTCTTTCGAAATTTCTTTATTTAAGAGATATTGATTTTTCAAAATGGTATCCCAAATGGTTGCTGTGCGGCTTTAGTTATATTCTTCGTAGTAAAAGCTGTGTAGGGTATTCGCTAACGTTATACCTCAATAGCAATGTTAACTCTATGGATAGGATCGGACATAGAGTTGCAATGGTAGCTTCATGTAGTATTGGAAAAATGATTTTTAATTAATTACTTATCTGATTCGTCATCATTGTTGGAGGATAGGTAGCCATTTTATGTTCTCAAAAGCTGAATTCAACGGGGTTTTCACTAATAGAAACATGGTCTGGAGATATAAAAAAATGAATAATACAGCTTACTATAGAATTATATTGGAGTTAATGCGCTTTTGAGAAGTAAGGTAAAAACATAAAATTTTAATATTTTACTTATGTAAGTAAATTAAAAAATAAATTAGAATTTATTTCTACATTTTTATGCTGCATTTTAATTACTTAATCTTATTTCTTGCTTTTGTGATGACGTTTTCTAAGTATGCTGTTGTTACTTAACAAATAAATTAAAGAAATATTTTTTAAACACTTAATAAAATTTACAGCATTAGAGAAATGAAATATTTATTAAGTTTGAAAATTTTTATCTCGAATCTTAACTTGAAATAGATTTAGATTTTTTTTAAAATTAGAAATTCTATATTCAGTTATTAGTTTTGCCTTATTAGTTGAAAATTTATGTATTATTTCCTATATTTAAAATTAACCTTGAATATATTAAATAATAATTATTCAATGTTTTTAAAAGGCCTGTTTTCTAATATTTGATATGGTTTTAATTAGAATTTTTTTTTTGCAATGAATAAGTTATCTATATTTTAAAAATATAAATACACCTGCATGGCTTTTATTGATAAAACTCAACATCATATTAATAAGGTTTTAGGATATGTAAAGTAAAAATTTGTCTTAGAATTTTTTTTTTAAACTTTTTTAATTTGCTGTAATTTTTTTAATTTGCTATGATTTTTTTAAAATAGATATACTGATTATAATGGGCAAGGGAGATAATAAACCTCGTGGTCGGATGTCTGCATATGCATTTTTTGTGCAGACCTGCCGAGAAGAACACAAGAAAAAGCATCCTGATGAGAGTGTAGTTTTCTCAGAATTTTCGAAGAGATGTGCTGACCGCTGGAAGGTAAGATTTAGTTCTTTTGCATGAATTTTGACGATTGATTTTTATATAGATATCTCTTTCAACTGTGATTTAAACTTTAAATTTTTTGGTACATACTTATGTTTGACAATTTTTTTGTTCGCTTCAAAATTTTTAGGTTAAGTATTTCTCTAAATAGGATTTTCTTTTTAAAAATTAAGTATTAATAATGGGACCTGAAATCTATATAGTGTTGAGAATGTGTTATGTAGGATGAACTTACTAAAAATTTCTCATTTAGTTGTTAAACGTTTGTTCAAGTTAGCATTAAAAATTTTCTATGGCATCTTTTTCTTTGATTAAGCTTAAGTTACTGGTTTTTGGGATCAAAAAATTTATATAAAATACTCCATCGTTTAGGTATGCAAAAATCACTTTTTATATTGAACCATATCAATTAAATTGAATTAAACTAAAAACTGAATGCATGTTGGGCTAAACTTTTTGAATTGCGATACTACATAGTGGATATGAAGTTTTATAATAAAGTATTTATTTTGCATGGAAACTCAATTACAATTTACTATTTTGAAATTGAATTGAGAATTTAAAAAAAAAAACACTAATCAGTAAATCCATGGAGAAAAATTTTTTATTACCAGTTTTAGCTAATTTGGATGTAACTACTATCCAATCTTGTTGAATTTTCTATTTTTATTTCCTTACATTTTTCTACAAGTTCTGAGATGGTTAGAGTTATAGAAAACAAAATTACAGTAACATTTTAAAATAAAGATATATTCATAGGTATACAGTGTGTAAAATAAAAAGACCAACCTGATAACTTCAGATATCTTCACCTTCTAGGATTTTATCTTAATAGCTTGAGGGGGTGACCTCAAATAAGCTGATTAAGTGCAGGCAATATTTTTTAAGTTATGCAATTAAACACAAAAATGTACATACTCTGAAAAAAACATAGTTTTTCGACAGATTAGGATTTTTTACCCCTCAATTTATATGGATTAATCACAATCTGTGAAATATGGTCCCAATAGTTAGGACCCTAGTGTTAATTTTACTTTTGTGTACTTTGCTATATCTCAAACTTTTTAAGCTAATTTAAAAAAATTTGCACATAATTATAAAATTAGTTTATCATAAAATAACTCCATGCAAAAAACTTTTAGTAAATATTAATTTTTTAATTTTATTTAATAATGGTTGAAAAATTTTGAATTGTAAGGCATACTAATTTTTGCATAATTTTAAAGTATGTAATTTTACATGGCAAAATACAAAATTTGTGCAAAATCAAGTTCCATTATAGAAATAGTTTCTGAGAAATTAAATTTAATTTTTTGGTGCTTCTAAATTTACATACTAAAACAGTGCTCAATAATAAAAATTCAAAATAGCTTATTAATTTTTAAATTTGAAAAGTTATTTTTTTTTAAAGAGCATTTGTGAAAAATACACTGATGCTATGTTCATTTTATATCAATATCTTATACTTATGTACTTACAGCTAAGCAATTCTATTAGATTATTAATAGATTTTTCAATTTCATCCAATTTCTTTTTTTATTCCAAAATAGGTTTCTTTCAAACAAGATATTAAGCATGATCTTCAAGAATGTACTCTTATCCCTTGTCTTAAATCTTGGATAAAATATTTTTTGGTCCATTTTCTATATTCTATACCCAGAAAATCTATAACTTTAAAAATTGTACCATTCAGCAGTTGCAATCAACAATCTTGCATCTTGTGTACTTTCATGGTCACATTAATTTCAGTGGTTCACTTAAGAAAAATAATTTTGAAATTTCCATATTTGTACTTAGACCAGACAGTAATATGCAAGAACTAATAAATCTCTTCAAAATCAGGAGTCTGTTTAGAAGAAATTTGGGTCCGTTAGTGAACCCTTCAAAAAAAGATTTTTCCTTTATTCGTTCCCTTCACAAATTTGTTTATCTTCATTATTGTTTTGTTAATTGAACAAGCCCTTCTCAGTTCAGAAAACAAAAAAGATGGATGTAAACGAACGAATTTTGTCTTCGGCAGACGCTTCTTCCACTATACGTACGAAATGAATATTCTGCTTTCAGCAGTAAAAGCTAAATACCAAATATTTGCATGTTGCATCTCTAATTTAAAAGCAGCAATTGCTGTTTATTTTTTAAAATTTAATTTTTTTTATTATAATTTTACAGTGCTGAGCATAATTTCATATTTCTTTTCAATTTAAAAACTCCTTGAAATTGTTTTTGCAATAACGACCCTATTTGCACAAATTCATAAAAGCAGGGCTCTGGTTAAAAGAATGTGACTTAACGTGTATTTTATATTCACATAGTACGAGTAATTTTTTCACAATTTTACAAAAAACGGACCTGTCACAAAATGTCTGGACAGACCTCTGTGAATAGACTAAGACTATGAATTCCAGAAAACATATTTTTTATTTTCTGTTCTTTATTTGTTGAATTTGTCAGCTAGTTTACTATTCATTCCTTTTTAAGACTAATTAGCTTTGCTTGTATTCTAAAGAATACTGAAAGCAAACAATTTTTTCCTTTTCAAAAAGGTTTGGAAGATTTTTGCGTCATTATCGGCACCAAGTGATTTTGGTGACTTAAGAGCAGTAGTCGGTAGGAAACTTAAAAAAAATATCCCAGAAAAGAGCAAACTCGAGCCTTATAGACACTCGGAAAACCTTAAGATTAAATTATAAGTTTAAAATTCTTTTGGTGCTTTGACAATTGTGGTTGGCAAAAACTGATGCCAACATGGAAATATCTCAAATATTCCTTTCTGTTGATTAATCCCATTTTATTCAAATTAATTAATTGCTAATCTAGTTCAAAACTTTTTTGTTAGACTTTCTATAACATACAAGAATAGTGCTTTTGATTATCTACTTTTCTTCAAGATAGTATCAGTCATAGAACACTTATATATAAAATATCATTGAGCAAAAAATATTACTTGCTTTGCTTTATTGATAATTGTGACACAGCTCTGCCCAAAGAATAAATACTGTCTTGTAATATAATAAGTTAAAATTCAATCTTCAATTAGTATTCTTAAAAAGTATAACCATTAAAAATTGTATTTATTTTTTAGACCATGAATGATAAAGAAAAAACCAGGTTTCAACAGATGGCAGAAAAAGATAAGAAGCGATATGAATCTGAAATGGCAAACTACAAACCTTCAAAGAATGAAAAGGGTGGTAAGAAAAGGAAGCGCACAAAGGACCCAAATGCCCCCAAGCGATCCTTGTAAGTTCATAGTGTTTATTTTGGTAGAGAATATCTAGGTTATTTTAAAGATTTCCTTTTGCATAAGTATTTTTACTCTTACAGGTCTGCTTTCTTCTGGTTTTCAAATGATGAACGTCCTAAAGTGAAAGAGTCTATGCCAGATTCAACAGTTGGAGATATTGCTAAGGAGCTTGGTCGACGATGGAATGAAGTTTCTCAAGAAACCAGAGCTAAATATGAAGCTTTAGCTGCTAAGGATAAAGCCAGATACATGAAAGTAAGTAAAATTTTTATGTCGTTAGCATTACTTAAGAATGAGATTTTCCATTTTCATGCTTTAAATTTCTTTTCCTCACAATTTTACCGTTTGTGTAAGATAACCATGCTGTCAAAAATTTTTGATAGAAATGCTTACTGATTTGATCATGCACTAGTAATTGATATAATTTTTTTTATGCATTTCTCATTTCCCCCCTCTCATTTGAAAAATGTAAGTACCAGAAAATTATATTTATTGCAATCCAGTAGGGAACCGATTATCCGGAACAATTGGGACCATCGCTTTGCCGGATAACTGATTTTTCCGGTTTTCTGAATCGCTATAAAATGCGTTTTTTTTTTATTTATTGTTAAACCCAACTAAAAAAAATTAAATTTAGAAATAATCTTAAAAAGAAGAAAAAACGATGAAGTAATACACTAATGATTATTTCCAAAATGAAGGTAAGGTAAAAATCTTTCAAAAAAGAAAGAAAAATCCTAAAATCTTATGAGGAAAAAAAATAATTTTTTTTTTGAAAATGGCAGGAAAATTCATCGAATTTCATTCCGGTTTTTTGATTTCCGGATAACGGGTTCTGCACTGTATAATCTAAGTTTTAATTGTTTTTTAAGATAAGATGCATTTCTCAAGTTCATGTGCTTTACTTTTTTAAATCATACTTGCCATAAGTTAATGTATCCTATCTTATTAATATATAAATAAAATTTAGGGCAATTGTACTTTGCCATTGTTAAAAACATTAATTAGGCTTGATAAGTTTTGTTTAACGATGCATTAATTACAATAACTTTATGATTAATAGATTATGTAATGTTGAAAATGATCTTCTTTAGAGTTGACATGAGTCATTAGTAGGGTATGGTTAGTTAGGTATTTGATTAGATATAATTTTATTTATTAACATCAATATATATTTAAAAACATGTTATTTTTGGAAAACAAAATTATATTTAAGTATCTTTTTTATGTTAAATTATTATTTTGTATTGCAGGAAGTAACCGCATACAAAAACACTGGCGTAAGTGCAGGTGGTGGCGGCGGCGGTGGAAAGAAGGCCAAGAAGGCACCTGCTAAGGGTAAAAAGAAGGCAGAGTCTGATGATGAATCTGGTGAGGAAGAGGAGGAGGAAGAAGAACCAGAAGAAGCTGAAGGAGAAGATGACGAAGAGGAGGAAGATGAAGATGATGAATGATCAATATATACCTCACCCATCATTTAGACAGCAATTCAGATCTGTCTTAGTAAACTTGTTAATAGCATTTTCAATGTAGGGGTTTATGGAATAGGTGTGTTATTTGTGCATCATTGTCTCGGCTCAGAAAAGCAACTACATGCTTGCTGTTGACATCATTCCTTTGGCATTAAAATTTATTGAAAAAAAAAGAAAAAAAATCTTTATCAGCTTGAATGTAGGTTTGCTCTTCTGACATTCAACGGTCATCCTCATTATTCATATTTCTTTTCATTTTGATGTACTTATGTAATAACTTCATCTACCAAACTGGCTAAACACAATTTTCAGGGTTTATCTCTTCACTAATTCATCCACTTTGCCATCTGCTTACGTGGTTGCATCTGTACATATTTTCCATTTTAAATTCTTTTGTTTCGTTTAAAAAAAAGATGCAGAAACATTTTTCTATTGTATACTTCAAGCTGGTTGAATAAATCTACCTCTATAGTTAATTCCAAATTTTTAATTTATTAAAATCCCTTTACTTCTTTAAATTGGAGAATTAAAAAAAATTGTATTTATTGTCTGAATTTTTGAATTGACTCTGAAAGTTGTTTGATTGAATTAGCAAATCCCTACATTATTTTTTCAGACTGTACATTTTTAAATATTGTTTAGTGAAGTACATCATTTTAATGTGTTAACAATTTGTATTACAATAAAACATGGTTTTGTCACTCTTGTTCTTTTTCCTTATCTTCTAATATTTTTCCATAATTTATAGCAAAATAATTTAGCTAACTGTCAGAGTTCCAAGAAGCTTAAGCATAGATTATTTAGGTTTCTCATACATCAGAGTTAGTAAAAAAAAAAAATTTGTTTAGCATACAGTGACTAATACATATGGTAGATGTAAAAGAATTAAATCTGCTTTTCAAAGTTATGTTAAAAATTTGCATCCCAAAGAACATTTTGATAGGATTTGCAGTTGAGGCATTGGAACCAAGTGCTATGATGCTTGAAAATAATTTGCAAATGCTGAATCTAAAAAAAATTAAAACTTTAATTTTTTAAAAATTTAAAGCAAATTTTATTAATAATAAATTATAGGTACTACTTTTCCTTCAACTCTCTTATAAGTTCAACAAATATTTAGCAGTATCTAATAATATAATGAAACATTTTAAATTTAATGCATTAAAAGTATCCAATTTTTAAAATCGTGAAAGTAAAATTTTTGATTACAAGATTTGTTGCTGAATTCGTCAACATAATTTGATAGAGTAAGATTATTTTTTCATAAAATTACTGAATCCCTAAAATTGTTTGAAACAGTGAATCCTGTGGCTGAAACAATTAGTAGACTTAGCCTAAATTACAAGCATAATTAAAATAAAAAATTTTAGATTAAAAATTTAAATCTTTCTTCAGACTATTTTAAAAGTCTTAATTCATGGAAAAAGGACAGCCTGGAATGTAATTGGGAAAATTTCTAAATCATGATTGGGAAATAACCAGTCTTAAAATGTGGATAACAGTAATTGATTATTGAGATTAGATTTAAATAATTCTAACATCTATTAAAATTATTTGATAAAATTCTACCTTTTTAGTGAAACTTTTCATGTTGCTATTCTTCTGTTTTTGCTCACAAAATATAATATATTACAAATAAAAGAATTCAAAGTTTTCAGATGAAAAATAGCTTAGTATGGATTTTCAATAAAATTTATCTGGGAAAGAAAAAAAAATTCCTGGGAATTTTTTAAAAAATTAATCAAGAATACCAGAACAAGACATTTCTCTTCAGAAAAAATGTGATTCCTGTAACTAAAAAGTGCAGCAATAATAAGGTATGTACTCTATTTGTCCATCATTTGGAGGTGAGAAAATAGTTACCAGTTTATTGATATTAAAATTGACAACCCTTTGACGTAGATGGGACATCGATGTCCTTATAAAGTTTTCTTCTGACACTAATTACAAGCAAAAGATAAATTTTGGAATTTTTTAGTTATAAATAAATGCCTAATTGTTACTAAAAAATCTATTGTTTGATTATAGGAATTTTTGTACTAAAACAAAATCCAAAAAAAGAATAAAATTTTTTGTTCATTTACATTCAAAATTTTTTAAATGATTGATATGGTAAATAGAAGAAATTTCAATGATGAAAAACTTTCTACTAGATCTAAATAGCTGCTAATTTGAAAAATTGTTCGGAAGCTTATCTAGTTAGCCTTTTGCAAACTTTATGCAGAAATAAGACTAGTGTTTCACGCTGTATTTTATAATCGTAAGTTATTCAAAAGCTAAATATAATATTTTTCACTTTATGTTTTTACCTAAATTAATACAAAATAATAAAAAAAGTATCAGAAATGTTTAATAAAAATTTTACATCAAAGGGTTTACATATGATCTGTGTTTCGTCCTATATTTTTCTCAATTTTTTTATTTAAAACATCCTAAATTTTATGAATTATTATTCTCTTGCATTGCTACACGCAATTATTGTTAAAGATTTATTAATAAGGAAGTCATGTTACGAGGAAACTTGTATACTTAATTGTAGTGAATTCATAAAGGAGGAATTCATTATTTTGTTTTCACTTGGGGGGGGGGGATTCAGTTAGTCAGAAATTCTAGAGTTTAAAACATTCAAGTGATTGTATTTGTTCTATTTCGAGATTTTAAAAAAGAGTAATTCTGTAGAATTCATGATGTAACAAGAGGCTACTGCATAGGTTTTATTCAGTCAGAATTACTAAATTCAAAGAAAAATATTTCGGTTAAAAGGAAAAAAAATATAGAGAAATACAGAGATTTAAATCTAATGATGTTTCAAAGTTATGCTAAACTGGAACTGTTTCAAGAATTTAAATAATGNTTTTCAGGGTTTATCTCTTCACTAATTCATCCACTTTGCCATCTGCTTACGTGGTTGCATCTGTACATATTTTCCATTTTAAATTCTTTTGTTTCGTTTAAAAAAAAGATGCAGAAACATTTTTCTATTGTATACTTCAAGCTGGTTGAATAAATCTACCTCTATAGTTAATTCCAAATTTTTAATTTATTAAAATCCCTTTACTTCTTTAAATTGGAGAATTAAAAAAAATTGTATTTATTGTCTGAATTTTTGAATTGACTCTGAAAGTTGTTTGATTGAATTAGCAAATCCCTACATTATTTTTTCAGACTGTACATTTTTAAATATTGTTTAGTGAAGTACATCATTTTAATGTGTTAACAATTTGTATTACAATAAAACATGGTTTTGTCACTCTTGTTCTTTTTCCTTATCTTCTAATATTTTTCCATAATTTATAGCAAAATAATTTAGCTAACTGTCAGAGTTCCAAGAAGCTTAAGCATAGATTATTTAGGTTTCTCATACATCAGAGTTAGTAAAAAAAAAAAATTTGTTTAGCATACAGTGACTAATACATATGGTAGATGTAAAAGAATTAAATCTGCTTTTCAAAGTTATGTTAAAAATTTGCATCCCAAAGAACATTTTGATAGGATTTGCAGTTGAGGCATTGGAACCAAGTGCTACGATGCTTGAAAATTATTTGCAAATGTTAACAATTTTTTCTGAGCTATGAAAGGCGTATATGTAGAAACCATTGTAAGGCAACTCTACTGATCCCAATATTATAATAATAAAAAGAATTTTATGACTGAATTTTGTAAATCTAAGGAAAGGAATGTACTGAGTAGCTGAATCTAAAAAAATTAAAACTTTAATTTTTTAAAAATTTAAAGCAAATTTTATTAATAATAAATTATAGGTTTTTCCTTCAACTCTCTTATAAGTTCAACAAATATTTAGCAGTATCTAATATTATAATGAAACATTTTAAATTTAATGCATTAAAAGTATCCATTTTTTAAAATCTTGAAAGTAAAATTTTTGATTACAAGATTTGTTACTGCATTTATTAAAAATTATGAGTATAACTCCTGAATTCATCAACATAATTTGATAAAGTAAGATTATTTATTTTTTCATAAAATTACTGAATCTCTAAAATAGTTTGAAACAGTGAATCCTGTGGCTGAAAGAATTAGACTTTGCCTAAATTACAAGCATAATTAAAATAAAAAATTTTAGATTAAAAATTCAAATCTTTCTTCAGACTATTTGAAAAGTCTTAATTCATGGAAAAAGGACAGCCTGGAATGTACTAAATCATGACTGGGAAATAACCAGTCTTAAAATGTGGATAACAGTAATTGGTTATTGAGATTAGATTTAAATAATTCTAACATCTATTAAAATTATTTGATAAAATTCTACCTTTTTAGTGAAACTTTTCATGTTGCTACTGTTAGTCAGAAATTCTAGAGTTTAAAACATTCAAGTGATTGTATTTGTTCTATTTCGAGATTTTAAAAAAGAGTAATTCTGTAGAATTCATGATGTAATAAGAGGCTACTGCATAGGTTTTATTCAGTCAGAATTACTAAATTCAAAGAAAAATATTTCGGTTAAAAGGAAAAAAAATATAGAGAAATACAGAGATTTAAATCTAATGATGTTTCAAAGTTATGCTAAACTGGAACTGTTTCAAGAATTTAAATAATGAAAGGAGACAACTGATACTCCTTTAAACAAGTTTAATAAAAAAGAAAAGCGTCTAAATTTTGAGTAAAACTTTAAAAAAAAATCTGAAATATTTGGTTAAAAAGATAACTTTATATAAATAAACAAAGCTCTGAGATATTACATATTTTAAAGTTATGCATACAATTTAAGTAAACAACAATTTACAAAATTTGAAAGCTTAAGATTTTGAAAAATGCATGTTGAATATAAAATCATATAGAATATATAAGATTTAAATAAAGATTTGTCACAAATAAAATATAAATTTTTTTTTCAATTCCTAGAGAGCTAGATTTTCCTTACTAACGGTTTTCCTGATTTGAAAACATCTAACGATAATGATCATTTCTGTCAACCAATATGCAAGAAGGTAATCTGACAAATAACACTACAATACATATTTTATAAAAAATAATGAGTTTTATAATTGTTTTAAACAAATTCAAAATTTTCCCTATTCAACATTGCCTTAACAAAATTTAATGAACGATAAACATTCTGTAAAACACTTTAATGCATAACAAGATAGTACAAGCAGATATTTTACAATAAATGAACAATATATTACAAATGAGGAAATGAAAACAACATATTAGAACTGATGTTTAAAGCACATTTTTTCACTTGATCCTGAAAAGGAAGAAAAAAAATTATATTAAATAATATGCATACTACCTATGTGAAAAGGCAAGTAAAAATTACAAAAATAAGTTAGGAAGAAAAAGAAATGTAAACAATTTAAAAAACACCAACAATATTAAATCATGATGTTTGATGAATTAAAACAATTCAATGTATTGAAACTACAATAATTTATGATAGAAAGGATTTTTTTAAAATCAGGATTGATAAATATTGTTTTTGTATTTTCCCATCAAATAATTTCTTTTTTAAACACGGTTTTGTTATAATAAACTTTTATCAACTAATTATTTTTTTATAAGTCTTCTGAAATTATCTGTCTGAATTAATAAAACAAAGAGTTTGCATGCTCGTGTGCCTCTCTCTTATATGTGCTGAACTGTTAGTGCTATGATCTTGAAATTTGGACACCACGAATAAAGGGAAATTTTAGCCAATAATCATATTAATTAAAAATTTTTACTTAGTTCTTTCTAGAGGAATTTTTGAAAGATGAAATTTTTTATACATTTAATACTAGGCATTGTTATAACTTTTTTTCTTCGATTATTTAAAAGACAACATAGGGATGTTTGCTAGTCCATAACTCTAATTAAAAAAAAAGAGTTTTTTGGAAAGCTTTTCAAGATCTAATTATTTTTTATTTGTTATGTCATGTAAGCTCAATGATCAGTGCCAGACTTAGCCTAATTGGGGCCTGGGGCAAAAACTTCTTTGGTGCCCCCTGTCTGCTTCAGTAATGAAGAACTGAACTTTATGGAGGTATTTAAAATTTTCACCTCATTATAGATAAGAAGAAAATTGACTGGAACTGAAAATAGCCATAAAATCCCCCACCTCTCCAATGGTCAGAGGAAATATCGTTCTATCCATTTGATTGATTTTCAGACAATACTATGTCCACTATGCCAATACAGTTCTTTGATTATTAATGCAGTCATCTAGCTGCTAAAATTTCATATCCTTGCTGACATTAGAGATGAGTTCAGCTAAATTTTTGCAATTACGATGACTTAATTAAGCCAATCAGAAGCCTGTATTTTTTAAAACATCGCAGTTTGCGATATGTAAAAATACAGGCTTTTGATTAGCCATATTTATCTATCGTAATTGTGAAAATTTAGCTGCATTCCGCCCTAGAAAGCCACGGATTTACGAAATATAGATTGTGATCATATGATAGATTAATGAAGAAGCTAACATAAAACTGATGGATTTTACATTGTACTTCTATTTTGTTTAAAAAAGTTCATTAAAGAAGGAAATTTGAAACAAACTTTCTATTCGATTTGGCCCCCCCTCTAATGTGGGGAGGACAACTGCCCCATATACCCCAGACCTAGTCAGGCTCTGTCAATGATTAATGTGAATAGCATGTGAGGGTTGCCACTGAATTAATATTTCTGAAACCACATGTTTATTTTGGTTAGAGTCATGCTTTTAAAATGTGTTTTTATAATACTAAATGCTAATTATTTAATTTTGATAACAGATGCTACTGGCGTTATGTTAATTTGTGCTGTTTTACTAGGTACGAAACATTCTAATATATACCTAAGTACTTACAATAGGTACTGTAGTAATAGTGTTTTACTACCCCAGAGTAGGGATATGTACCAGAAAAAATTGCTTGATTGTGGTACATTTCGGCTATCATCAGTTGGCTTTGAGCAACAAGATCATGTCAAATGATACTGAATATAGTTAATTGTTATTTTGATGAGATGAACTTCTAAAAACGTGTTTTGCTTGATCTACTAATGTAAAAGCCTTCAGAAAAGGTAACTAATAAAAAATAGAAATTATTTATGCTTNAGTACGTTTTTGTGTCTGATTTCGTAACTTAATTAATAGTTAGCACTAATTAATTAGCATATTTGAGGTCACCCCCAGGAACCATTAAGATTGACACTTAGTTCGTGAAAATCGGATCATTAGAACGAAAGTTATTCAGGGTGATATCTTTTTTTTTTTGCGGACTGTACTTCTATTTTGTTTAAAAAAGTTCATTAAAGAAGGAAATTTAAAACAAACTTTCTATTTCATTTGGGGTCCCCCTCTAATGTGGGGAGGGCAACTGCCCTGTATACCCCAGACCTACTCAGGCTCTGTCCATGATTAATGTGAATAGCATGTGAGGATTGTCACTGAATTAATATTTCTAAAACCACATGTTTATTTTGGTTAGAGTCATGCTTTTAAAATGTGTTTTTATAATACTAAATGCTAATTATTTAATTTTGATAACAGATACTACTGGCGTTATGTTAATTTGTGCTGTTTTATTAGGTACCAAACATTCTAATATATATTTAAGTACTTACAATAGGTACTGTAGTAATAGTGTTTTACTACCCCAGAGTAGGGATATGTACCAGAAAAAAGTGCTTGATTGTGGTAAATTTCGGCTCTCATCAGTTGGCTTTGAGCAACAAGATCATTACAAATGATACTGAATATAGTTAATTGTTATTTTGATGAGATGAACTTCTAAAGATGTGTTTTGCTTGATCTACTAATGTAAAAGCCTTCAGAAAAGGTAACTAATAAAAAAACGGAAATTATTTATGCTTTATTAATTGCATGGATAAGCCTTTTAGTTTTGTGCTTGATTTTGTAATGTTGATTAATACTGATTAACATATACTGATTAATTTACATTTTTCACCCCATACAAAGAACAGTTATTCAGCTAGTAAGGTATAGAAGTATTATGCTTTTGTAACTGTACATTTTTTACTGAAATGCACCAATATACATAAAGAAATGAAACAAACTTTTCTGAGGTTATTAAAAATTAGGTTATATTAAAATTATTTAAAGCTAGTTTAAGAACTATAAAATATTATTGAAAGCATTTGATAAAAATATATACAAATGTAAGTAAATAAAAGAATGGAATGGATATAGAAAAAAGAAAATTCTCTATAGTAATATAAAAGGAATATTACATTCCTTCTCTAATTATATAGTCAATTATTATAAATTAATATTACTTTTCAAATCATGGGCAAAACTTTATCACTGTTGAAAAGAGAGGAAATTGTGCTGAATATCATTGTTGAAAGTAAAAAACAGGGGGATAATATGTATTACTTAATCATTTGACTTCATTAACAGTTAGAAATTTTGAGAATTGATTTAATTTTTTGTAACTGGTCAAAAATCCACCAACAGCAAATTATTGACTATAACTTACATAAATCTTTTAATTATTACAACTTTAGCACAGAAGCCATTTATGAGTAATTAACTAGACAATTAGGAAAAGTATAATATTCCTCATAAACATAAAATGGAATATTTTTTTTCTTAACTCCCATCACATTTCTTTCAAAATCAATATAATTGTCTAGATTTGTAACAAAACTTTATCACTTTTTATAATATGAGTGATATAAAGTGAAAAACTCTATTTTTTCTTATTGATTTCCTCTAAGCTAACTTGTCTCTCTTACCTGTTTGTCTGGTCTCTCTAACCTATGCAGATTATGGGTTATGACTAATCTAAATTTTTAATTAGTACTATAGTTATTCTTCAGAAACTTTAAATTTATGCCCCAACAAATAAAATACATTATTTAAAACGTTTTTTGAGATGGAGGAAAAAATGCAAGGTCAAAACTTTATATACACTTTGTATAAATATTTTTATAAAAAATTTAAATAATTTGCAGATTTACCAATATCCTAAAATGGAAGTGAATGTAGTTTTAAAAAATGTAGTTTAAAATTGCAACCAAATAATGTGAAAATTTTTAACATCCAGTATTCCTAAATCTTTCTTAATCCTTAGTCAATTTTCTAATCAAATAATGATGGGTGATATGCATAAAAAAAAGGTCAGCCACCTATAAATAAGTGAATAAAAACAGTACATAAGCTAAAAAAGCAAATTGTTATTACCAAACCTTTTTATTCCATTTGTTTCACAAAGAGTTACCTTAATATGATTTAAGATTAATGTAGTAAATTGTAATTTTGCATTGTGTCAGAAATACATGCCATATAACAAAACTACAGTGCACTCCCGATTATCCGGGTTAATCACCGGGATAGGTCGCACGGACAATCGAAAAACACGGATAATCCAAAAACTCCTTTTATTAAAGAAAAATTCAATATCAGTACAAAATATAAAAAAATTACTGACATTTGCATGCATAACATCAAACTAGGAATTTTCCTTTTTAAAAAATGTGTAATGCGTCTTCGCCATATATCGATACACATATTTTACGAACCGCAGTAATGTCACCGTAATTAAATCCTCCCATATTATCTAATAAAGATTCCACAGAGCAGCAGAATGAGAAATTGTATTTCATTCATTTACTACATCTTTGGCATCAGTTACTATCATCACTATTTGATTTAACAACATAACGATGTCTACATCAGTCAAATACTGGAAGCCAGGCTCACACGCATCACTTTGAAATCAATCTTCTAAATTTTCTTCATAAAGAATTTCCAAACCTTAGATTTACTTTTGCTTGTTCGAGAATACTGTTATCATAGTTTTCTTGAACATCTGATGAGGATTGTTCATCAAGCGGTATCATCTTTCTCCACGATCGTGATAACGTAGACGATTTTACCTTTGACCATNGGAAAAGAAACGAGTGACAAAATTGCAAACATGTTTCATATATTCAAAACACTTTTGAGTATTTAACACAATTACATAACATAGGAAATATTTAATAAAGTTTCACAATTCGTCCCAATACATAACTGAATAAATAGTACAAATGTCTTAAATAATTTATTTTAAAAAGTTATATGAAACTACATAATGTTGCTTAAAATATTGATTTCTCCAGTAGCTCATCATGATTAAAATATGTGACAGTTTATTAAATGAAAAGGCATGTAGGGAATGCATAAAAACTTATCACCATATTAAAAAATGAACTAATAGAATTTTTTATTATTGTGTCGGATGTAAACATTGATAGTCAGCATATCAGAGAATGAAGAAAATACAGTGAAAGTATGATTGTAATCAAAATGGTTTGATTCTTATAAAAATGCAAAATAAAAATTAGAAAGGTTACAGTTAAGACAGGAAAAAAAGTTACTATTTTTAGAAAATAAGATTGATTTGAATAATTTTAAAAATAATTTTGAAATTCCTTGTATTAAAATAATTTATTGAAAAATTTTCAAACAAAATATGTAAATTAATGTTTTTTTTTTTGTTGTAAATTATTAATGCATTTAACAAACAATGAAGAAATTTAAATATATGCACACTACCAGACGTTAATTTCAAGTAATTAATGAAATAAATGTGTAATCCACATTATAGTTTCAGATAAAGTTATCCAGTAGCAAGTAATTACTAATAACATTCTTTGTTAAGGAACAAACTAAATGGAAGATTTTTGCTGCTGTTTCATAGAAAAGCAAGGGATGTAAAAGATAGGCAAATGATATAAATTGTATGCATTTTACAAAAATCTGTGGTACATTCTTGTGTCTGATTTCATAACTTAAAATATCGTCTGCACTAACTAAGGAGATTATTCACACCTATTAATATAACTTAAAAATAAAAAAAATAACAGGCTTTTCATTCATTATAATCTTCATAAATTTTTTCCCCTGTTATTTAACAATGCAATGCATGTAACAGAACTGCTGTAAATTTTTGAACATATTGCATCATTTTATGAGAGGGAAACTTGCATAATCTGAGCTTTTAACCTGATTTGATTAATCCTAAATAACTATTTTAAGAAGATTCTATTTTAATATTATAAAGTTTTAGCATGTTTTTGGATTTTATACTATAATTTATAGTCTCGGAAATAATTTAAGTAATATAAAAGAAATGATAAAAAAATATTAACATTTAATTTAACAGTTGAATAATAAGCAAATAGAATTCTAAAATTCGGCTGATCCAGTTATGTTCAGTGCAAAAAAAGAAAAGAAAAAAAAAGTATTTGTTCCACGACAGATATAAACAACACAATTGACATAAAACAATAATATACATACAAGCTTCAGATTTTCAAACTGGGCTATTTCTTTTTGACTTCGAGTTGAACTTAATCTACTCATAAGGTTACAAAAGGATGAACACAACTCTAAAATTTCATTAAGAGACAAATGCACCTAAAGGAAAAAGTATGAAAAAAAAAAAAACATTTACACATCCTGCTTAAACATTATAATAAACCAAAATATTGCAATGTATAAAATATTGTAAATTTTATTTCCAAATGCCGGGTTAAAGTTGAAACCCCTTCCTACGTAAGCAAAATAGGCAGCAAAAGGGGGCTAGATTAGTATCTATTTGAGAGAAGTGTAAATGCTGGCATAAAAGAGTCTTGCTTTCCCATGATATAGTGCATATTCTATTATCTATTTTAATTGGGTTATTTTGATTGTGTTTGTCATTCACTAAATGATTTTGCTAATAAACTTATCAACTTATTTTATTAAGCAAATACTTCTTAACGAAACAAAAATACAGTTTGTCATCATGAACTAATATTTTCCAAATCATAAGTAATTGTTTTTACACTTGAAAAAAAAAATTTTTTTTTTTCTAGGAAAACATTTCATAGCTGATACAAAGTGTATTGTTTGATTACGAGAATATGTCTTTCTTAAAATTACATTTAATAACAATTCTCTTGTCTACAATTTGTTAAATGAGTAATTTAAAAATATATTTTTTTTAAATAGATTTTTTTTTTTTTTAAAAAGGAAGATAGAAAAGCGACACATAGTTTGCATAAATGAGAATAAGAAATTAAGAAAATAATTTTTTTAATAATGTTAGAGGTTTATAATTGTGGAATACAAATATTTTTTATGGATATGTAAATATAATATCAAAAAATAATAACAAATGGCTCAAATGATGATTAGCAACATTTAAATAGAAAAGAAAAGCATTTAAAAATTTATTAGTACTTTACAACTACTAGTTATGTAATATTTAAAATTATGTATAAGATTAGTGATATATTTTAAAATCCTCTAAAAAAAGTAAATAATTATTTCATAATAGTGTAAAATATATTGTTTTATGCATCATTAGAATTTATGATCATTTCATTAAAAAACACATAACTCCTTATCATAATGTTTAAGCGCATGTTTTAAAAATTAGAATTTTATAATAATAAAATATGTCATAAAAAATAGAAAAGTAAGAGTTTTTAAAAGGTGTTTAGCTTTTCTCAGAATTGCTCTAAGAATAGTAGACTATATATAAATCTCATATTTTGCATTATGAAAAAATATTTTACAGTTTTTACTTTTTAATGTAGCAAGTAGAATAACATAGATTCATAGCAACATATACTTTGAACTAAAACTAGAAAAAATTTGGATTTTATTATTTTAATGAGAGAAATTAGAAAAAAATAAGATATTGAAATATTTGCAATAAAAAAAAACTTTTTTTTGACTAAAAGTTAAATGTATAGAGTGAACATAATTATAATTTTTCTAATTGCATATGTAGTTTTTTGGCTTTTAACAAGATTAATATTTCCAAATTCTTAAGCAATTTTTATGTAACGAATTAGTTTAAATTTAATTCTATTCCTAAAATGTGAAAAGCATCGTTGAAAATTTTTAATCTTCAAATTAAAAATTAATTACCAATCTTAGTTAAATTTTGCTTTAAAATGAATTTTTTTAAAAATCTATATAAAAGCTATACTACACAAGTTCAGTTAAATTCAGTTTTTTTAATTTGAATATATATTGTTTGAATATATATCAACTTAAATATACACTTAAATATACACTGAAAATATATATTGAGAATTATTCCTGGAGGCTGAGAATAAATGATTTTTTCTCAAATCCAAACCATAAGATAGATTATACTTCATAGATTAAGACTTATTTTCATACATTTTTCAGAATCAATTTTCTTTTAATTTTTTGATGAAAACAGCAAGTTTTAGTAACAGTAATGATTAAAAAGTATTTAATTAGCCAAAATTAATCTAAAGAATAATTTGAAATTCCATTTTTCTTTCACTATAACAATGTGCAACAGAACATGACAATCAAATATTGAATTACTAAATTAGTAAACTAACAGCATAAGAAAAATCAAAGTAAATAAATCTTCTTCGAAATTAAATTAACATGTGACCATGACGTCACATAAGATAACCATTGAAGTTGAGTTGAAATCCCAGGTAGAAAAGAAATTTTTTTCTCCCTTCTCATTCCAATTAAAATCTTTGTAAGTTTTTTTTACAATTCACATTACATTTGTGCATGCAGCAAGGCTGTTTAGAAAAACTTAATATTCAATAGAATGGAAACCTGCGATATGAACTCCAGAGATATATTTTCTACAAATAAGTTTCTTTTTTCTCCACACCAAATTGTTACAACTAAGTTGTCATGCATGTTACATAAAATAATATTTCTATAAAACAAAAATTGGGACAAACTTTTTTTTAAGTGAAAAAGAAAAACCAAAATTAACAAAGAATTAAGAGCACAATATATAAAATTTTTAAAAAAATAATGTATCATATACTTAGAAAGGTAAAAACCAAAATTTCAAGAAGAAAATAGTAATTTTTTAAAACCATTTAAAAATTTTAATTTTTGTGCAATTTTTTTCTTGTTGAAATGAAAAAAAAGTACTATAACATCTTCAACAGTCCTACTACAATTTACATTAACTTAAATTTTATAAATTGGCAGAAATATTCTATTTTGCTGGTTATGGAAAGAAGTTTCAAGAACAACTTAAAATTAGTAAACAATTTGTGTAATTTGAAATTAAATATTGAATAAGTTTTTTTTAAAAATATAAGTTTAAATAAAAAAAAAGAAGCGATAATTAATAAAATCATAAATGTCTTTCTACCGTTTTTAGTTCCAAGAAGCATCGTGAAATTACATCAGTCAAAAACTGTTCATGAGACTGTTGTAATTCTTCATAATCTTTCACATTTTCCATTTTAGAGATTAGTTTGCAGAAACGAGATTCTAAAACATCAACCTAAAAAGTGAATTTGGCACATGAATTTACATGCACTACAGTGAGCAAAATAATAATAATAAAAAAGAACAGAACACTAAATAACTAATAATCTAATGATTAGACTCAATCTTAATGGTTTGAGAGGTTCAAACTATTGGGACTAAATTTTCCAGATTGCAGCTGCCTACCATATTTTGAAGAACAAAAATCTGAATCAGAAAAAAAAGTATGCTTATTCAGAGAAAGTACATTTTTGTGCCTGATTTCATAACTTAAAATATAGACAGAACAAATTGTTAGCATATTTGATGTTAAACCATTCTGAGTCTTGGTCCGATCATTTGATTAAAAGTTATGCAGGGTGTTTCATTTTTTACTTAGCATATAGAAAATTTATGACAAATCAACTAAAAAAAATTATGAAGTTAACAACTAGAACAAATATTCATGAGACATACCAACACATAATACTGAAAGTTATCAATCAGAAAAGACATGTGAGATCTTAAGGTCCAAAAAGGTATTAATGAGGAATCAAGGCAATTTCTTTTATTTTGCATTTGTGAGGCCCAACACTGATGCAGTTCCATTTGTGCTCTACGAAGTGATAACAAGAATCTGAACACCATATTGTACCTAGGGCATAAAAATAGCACAGTGTTATATAAATGTAAGCAAATGGGTATACTCAAAAATATTTTTGGTTTCTTTAGGCTATAATATTTTATGCAATAAATTAAAATGCTTTAGTAAAAAATATATATGTTTATTATAAGCTGCTTGAAATAGTTTTTTTAACACATAAAATTTCATTCAATTTATTTTCTTTTGAAAAACGAGAAAAAATTATCTTTCCATCAAGGATTTTTTTTTGCATGAAATTTATGCATATTTAATCATTTAAATAACAATCATCAAAAGTGGACTCAAAATAATAAGTACAAAAAATGATCTCACGTGAGAGCCAGCAATAGTAAGAGAATATAATATAATAAAGGAAAAATATATTAGTTTAATTATATTAAATTTATAGAAACTGTTTTAAAAAAATACTTATACTGCAATAGAAAATACATACTGATCAATAACATTAGGAGTAAAAAGAATGTGAAGAGGTGAAAGTACATCATAGTGCAAACTTATAGCAGACCATCCAGTTTCGAGTTTTGCTTTAGATAAGGTACCTTTGTCTATGTCTTCAATATCTGAAAGGTAAAATACTCTTAATATTACAATGTATATTAAGCCATGATACAGTAGGGTGTTAATATACAGTAGGGTGTAGCAATAAAAACTTTTTTCTAAATTCAAAACTTCAAGTTGATTATAAGTTGTCACTTTCTTTTTCCGGTCAGGTTTAAGCACATTAAGATCTCCTGGAATAAGTCAAAAGTCTAACTTTTTTAGGTTAAAACGTAAATTTTAATTTTTCTTAAAAATATTATTAATCTAAAACAAATATAGTTTTCAAAAGTAAAAATGTAAAACATAGAATGTGCAATGATTCTAAGCAGTAAAAAAAAAAAAAAAAAAAAAAAAAAAAAAAAAAAAAAATCATATATGAAGTGATCTTATATGATTTTTTGGAATCAATATGAAAATCTTAATTTTCAGTTAACAAATATGAATATTTTCAATCCAATCTTTATGTTAGGCTTTTATGTAGATACCAGAATAAATGCTCACTCAATTACAATAGCAGTATTTTTTGACTGTTTTTAAGGAAAATGACAACAAAATTCCAGACCATGTTTTTGTTATAAATAGTACATATAGTTTTCATAAATATTTTATGATAAACATAGTACAGTGAAACCTCAATAAAACGGACACTCTTGGGAACGATAAAATTGCCCGCTTACGGCAGTTGTCCGTGTACGGGAAGGGAACACTAATAACAGAGTTTAACCCCGCAAGTTGTTAGAATAATTGCAATGATATAAAAATAAGTGAAATAATCTACAATCCATAAACATAACCAGTTTAGTCCAGATAAAAAGATGCTACTGTCTGAAATATGTCACATGAGCAGTATCATTTTCTTTCTTTTCTCTGCAAAGATAAAGAAAGGTGAAAGGAGAAAGCTTGATTTTTTAGTAGTGAAATAGCTTAATATTTTCAGTTGTGTGCAAGGTAAAAAAAATTACATGCCTTAAAAATGATGGAAAGTTGCATGTTTTTTTCCTTAAAATTTTAAAACAGATATATTTTTTTTCAAATTTAGAAAAATTGTTACTGGTTTGTAGAGATAGAAAATAATGTTTCAGGGTATAAATGATTGTCCGCATCTGGTAGCGGGAGTGTCCGTTTTGCAGAGAAGGTACAAAATGGTTCATTTACAGAAGAATGAAACTTAATTTTCGATGTTAAATATTTTATTTTGTAAAAAATTAAATATCGCTAGGTTATCGCATATAAATTACAGATAGAGGTGAAGGTTTAGATAGGTTAAGGTTTAAATGTAGATTTTAAAATACACAAGCATATAAATTACAGACAGAGACCATATTTTGCACAAGAACCAGAAAAAAGTAAAAACTTAATATAATATAGTTTATTATTGGAGTAACATGTCATATAGCTATGAATATCTTACTTGTAATAGAAGTAAAATCTCTTAAAATCAAAGTATTTAGAATGCTAAATTTTTTTAAACAATTATTATCAGTGTAATAAATAGTATTATTAAAATTTAAATATGGATATAAAAGCAAAAAAAAATTGAAAGAATAAATTCTTAAACAAAGAGTATTTTGTATAAATCAATATCTTAATAAATCTAAGATAATGTAACCTTTTTTAAGCAGAATTTTTTGAAGTATAAAAAATATTTACTTTGAAAATCATTGGCTATTCATTGTTACAGAAAATTTTAAAAATGGTTTATTCTTCCAAGTTTGTAACATTTTTTGTTGTTGCAGGTTTTAGTTAAAAAATGCATTATTCCCCGAAAATACAAGATTTCTCTTTTCACTGTAGAAATCTTGGGTACATGATAAAAATAATTTGGCTAAAGTAATACAAAATTCTAAAATATTTATAGAAAGAATTTATTAAAGTAATGCAAATTACCCAAACTTTAACTACTTTGCCTCAATTTTATCACATTAATTTTATTTTTAAAACTTTATTTCACACATAACATCAAAAAATTCATCTAAGCAAATCAAACCAATATACTAACTCTTCCTTTTTTCTTGAAATTCAATACGGAACTTTTCAGTTATCAATTCATCATCAGGATAAATTCTTCGGACAACAGAAGTAAATAATTTACTTGCATCTAAAAATGAAATAAACTTCTGATTAAAATGTAGCAAAATATTTGAAAGCTAAAAAACTTTATATTACTAAAATTCTTCAATAATGGCAGAAAAAACCCATTATACATTGTACAGTCAACCTTTGATTAGTCAACTCGAAGGGTGACACTAAAAATTTTGCAACATCAAACATTGAGGGGTCTGGTTCATTTCAATTAGATAAATAAATGCTAAAAGTTTTTTTAAAAATGATATTTTGATCGATTATAATAAAGTTTAGATCTCTTCAGTTTTATGAAACCTGTTTTTGGTGACGTAGCGTTCTCATGCATTCAACTTATGTCAGTGACATCCGTCATGGTATTTTTATTTTCATTTGCTGTTGACATGATTCCTTATCTGTAGTATGAGATAATTTAAACTTCAGTTGAAAACTTATGTGTCTGAGTATTTTTAGGTTTAACATGTTTTTAAATAAATACTTTACCATGGATACTTTGTTTCTGTTTTAATGAAAGTTAATATTTAGTTGCAATGACATTTTAGCAGCTATTTTGGCTGTCAATTTCATTGACAATCACTTAACTGGCAAGCCGTTTTATCAACACCACTTCGTCTACAGATAATTTTATCAACCTGGTAATTTAATCGATAAACTATTTCCTTGATAGGGTCATTTCATGCTCAGGGTCGTTATGTCATCTGCATGTCTCTGAAATTTGGTATATTTTTAAGTGACTAAATTTTTTTAAACTTGCCTAAAACAACTTAAACAAACTTGCCTTTGTGTCATATACTGCAATTGTCAGAAGAGAAATTTTTTTTTTTAAAATTGCTTACTCTTTATGTTGTACTTACTATGTAACATTGCAAAGATTGAGCCTTTGCTCAATTGGAGTTTTAGAGGTACTTTATTTGCATTTCTTGCTAAGATTGTTCGTTAATGTTAATCTTTTGAAGATTATAAATTATACATAATAAATTAGCACAGCAAAGAACTTACTATAATTACTGTAAATGATTCTTGATATAGCAAGTGAAAGAAAGCAGAAAAGTACAGGTGGAACAAAAGAAGAGACTGAATTTTTCATTTTAAGTCATTTTTCTTTTCAACGAAATTCTATATTGAATCCGATATTGCTTAATTTTGAAATAATTTCAGAATTACAAATTGTTTTTTAATTTAGTTTTTAAAAAAAAATAAATTGATAGTTAGTCTGCGAAAATTTAACCGGAATCGGTGATGTACCAACATTTGTTTTTTTAATATCCAAATTGCAATAGAGCAATGCGCAAAGATTGTCCTCAAATAATTACTAAGCATGATTCCTTAACCGATGTCATTGAGGCTCTAGTGTGACATTATTAAACAAAGGATATTTATTGTGAGAATTAAAAGTAATTAAAAGATACTAAAGTGACAAATTGGTAATTATGGGGAGGGGGAGGAATTTTTACACCCATTACGAAAATCACATTTAATAACACAGTTAAAAAATTAAGAAGCATTATTAACTTATGAAAATTTTTTAAAGTTGTGATATCATGAATGCTTTATTTTTTTGGTACAGTAGGGAACCGATTATCCGGAACGATCGGAACCATCGCTATTCCGGATAACTGATTTTTCCGGTTTTCTGAATCGCTACAAAAAGCCGTTTTTTTTATTGTTAAACCCAACTAAAAAAAACAAACAAATATTTGGAAATAATCTTAAAAAGAAGAAAAAAAGATGAACACTAACGATTATTTCCAAAATGATGGTAAGATAAACATCTTTCAAAAAAGAAAGAAAAATCCTAAAATCTCTTATGAGAAAAAAAAACGTTTTTTTTTTAAAAAAAAATTATGGGAAAATTTATCAAATTTCATTCCGGTCTTTTGGTTTTCCGGTTTTCTGATTTCCGGATAACTGGTTTTGTACTGTATTTACAGTTCAAATATATCAAGAAATCACAAAGAAATCGAAATTTTAAAAATAATGTAATAATATACTAAATAAAATAAAACAATGTACCCAGGTCCCAATTAACGATGCATCCCTGATATGTAAACAAAAATAAATAGTTAAGTAATTATTAATCTCATACTGTTCTGAAGATTTTGAAAAATGTTATTTTTACATATTAGAAAATCTAATAACTTGTTTAATGTTTACACCGATCAAATGTTTTGTCCATATTTTCTTATCTTTAACATTCATTTTTCTCTTCTTCAAGCCTACTGATAAAATGACCAGTGGAAGAAATGATTTGCCCAAGAAATGACATAGTTGACAAAGTGACCGAATTGACAAAATTACCCTGCAGACAAAATGAAATTTTGTCAAAACGACCCTGCTGACAAGTGATTCCTTTGCTTTGTTTGTATCATATATGAGCATTGCTTTGTCAAGCTAAATACAATACTCACATTTAAAAAATTGTATAACACGTATTTACTTCAAATAATGTCAAAATGTTTGGTTTTTCATTTTATTTTACATTTTGCTAAAATTCTATTTTCTTATCTAATCTTCTTATATATCTCCCAATGCCATAATATCATTTAATATTTCTGATAGTTCACAAAATATGAATAACACTAAAGAACCATACTCCCATAATTTATTTTTTTAAGCTAGGGAAGAAGATATACATACATATAGGGAAATATGATTTCATAGGTATGCTGATATTTAGACAGAAAAACAGCTTTCTTTAGCAAATAAATTTAAATGCGCATTTTAAATAAAAATGCCATCTACTTTATATTATAGTACAAAATAGATTTGAAACCAAATTTTTTAAAAATTATTTTTAGTACTGTGAGTAGTAGTCAAAAGATATTTTATTCTGTAAGAAAATGAAATAAAACATAAATAAATAAAAAAATTATAGTTTTAAATATTATACCATGGATTTCTAACATTAAATAAAGTAGTAAATACAAAAAGTAAGAATAGATAAAGTACCTAAACAAAACCTGTATTAACTTTTGAAGTATTAGTAAGAATTTTGTTCTTTTAAATGTTATGATCATACCTCAAAGTAAATTAAACTATAACTGTGACATAACTGTAAATTAAAACAACTTTTTTGAAGAATATTCATTGGTTAATAATTTGAATATTCTGAAGAATATTCTTTACTGACTTATACACTTAAATTAAACATAATAATAACATTAATAAAAACAAAATTTTACAAAAACCTGTTTCTGCAGATAAAGTCATTGGCATTCTTAACAGTTGGTTAGCTTCACAAATGAAGTTGAGGAATAGCTCTCCATTTCCCAAAAGGTAAAAATCTTTGAGGATTTTAAAATGATTTTTCACATTACATTGCTTAACAATCACATCCCATAAATACTAAAATTAAAGAGAAATATTTTAACTTTTATATAATATAAATTATCGTTTTATTTAATCTGGTTAACAATCTTACATAATGGGAAATTCTAATTGATTTTCTGCACTTCAGAAAATAGACACTGAACAGCCACTTTTTTATGACCACCCCTTCAATATTTCATTTAGCTATTTCTTTCCTGTTTAATATATTTTTGATTTTTCTTGACATGGACTCTAAGAGATGTTGAAAAGTAGTTTTTGGTATGTTCGTGACACTTTGCAACAGTACGAGACTGAATAGTTGTGAATCTAGATGATAAAGGAATCTTTCAACTGCATCAAACATATGCACATTAATATCGAGATATGGAGATTGTGGGGGGGGGGGGCTTATGCAACAAACTAAAGTCTCCATTATATTTTTGAAAGCAATCCTTCACAATAATAGCTACATAGTAAGAAGGATTATCTTTGCTAAAGTATCCTCCTTCCTCATTGCGATAAATCATGAGCATTACAGGATGTATTTAGTAAACAATGATGTTTAGTTGTACAATGTCTTATTTTCAGACTACCATGCACATTAAATCCCGACCTTAAGCTCAACATTAGCCACCTAAAAACAATACTAAGATGAAAAAATTCATTTGATGAAACTGTTAGGTGGTCATAATAAAGTTTTCATTCAGAGTATATGAATAATACAAAATGAATTTAAAATTGCTTCACAACAAGTCATATATTTAAAAAACTGGAAATATTGTATATTTGTACATATGCTGTCATGTAATATTTACATTTTTGTACAAGTATTTATAATATGTTAAGGTAAACTTGCATCCATCGATCTGAAAAGCACCTACTTTATTATTAATATTAAGATAGTCATTGTTAGCTTTGTTTCAAAATTTAATTTATTAACTATATTCAAATTTTTACAATAACTTGTTTATAAATTTAAACATTTCAAAATCAACAGAAAAATTCTTACAAATAATAAATAATTAAATAAACAGAAGACATTTCTTAGTTTCTTCATTTGATTTTCATTTCTAAGATTAAAAAAAAAAAAAACTATACAATTTTACGAAATAATTCATAGTGTTAAAAAAAACTTTCTGGTTCTAAAACTAGCCAAGATTCCAATAAAAAAATTGCATCTAAATTGTATCAACTAAAATATTTTCAAAATACAAATAAATAAATTCATAAAAAAAAATGATTTTCTTCTGAACATTGAGAAAAATTACTTTTGAGTAGGAAAATAAAAAAGGTTACATTATCATGTTTAATAAATGCTAATGTCCGTAAAATTGTATAGAAAATACTAATAAAATGAATAGGTTAAATTTTTGTCAAAAATAATTTTTGCAAGCCACTGCTAAAGATTTAGGAAAAGGAACATGAGTAACTATTGGGTTTAACAATAAATAAATGAGTATAATTTTTTTTAATACAATAACAATGAAAAGTTTGAAATTAACAATTTTGTATTAAATTTCTTACTTAGTTTAGATAATGTATAATACTAATTAATTCAGCTGATTTAGAGAAATTTCGAAGCATAATTTTGCAATAAATGATTGCAAAAGTATCTAAAACCTTTCTGCATAAATGACAGGGGTGTCATTCATGATACCAACTCAACTGTATTTATATTTGTTTAATCTACATTATAACTATCATATGAATAAAAATTTTGCTTCATCAGTTATAAAAGTTACAGAACATTTTTTTTCCATTTTTATATTACTTCATGAAACTCAAGGAGAACAAAGCAAAAAATTTTAAACCAATTTATTAGCATTTTACTTACAAAGCAAACAAAGTAACTTTTTAACTGAATAACCTATATAACATAAACAATATAAAAATTTCAAATTTTTTTTTTTACTTCAGGCTTAAAATTATTAAAAATTGAATGGTATCTTTAATAGGATATTATAAGTTTTCAACAATCTTGATTTTATTTTACAAATATATTTGAATAATAGAGGATAATAATGTACTGAACACAATTAAAAGTTTAATGTAACGATAAAAGAATCAATTTCAAGCACAATTTTTAATGCTAATATGCACTTGTAATTTAATATTATACAAACAAATTTCTTTTTATGAAGTTTGAAAGTTCATAAAATTTAGAGAACAATTTAGGTCAAATTTAAGTTTTGAAAGTTGGTCAAAATTAAGTTGAACTCTGAAAATTAAGCCTTGAAAAATCAATTTAAAAGAAAAAAGCTGCAATAAAATTATGCTGTTATTACTATTAATTACTTATATTCTTTCTCTACTCTTTCTATAATTGAATATTTTAATAAGCTAAACAAGTTTACCGATTCATTTATTTGAAAACTAAACAGTCATAGCACAGAAAAAACCTAATTTTTAGCTCAAAAATACAGACCTCAGATGCACACTTTCGAATATCATCAACCGTTGTTTCAAAATTAAGTAGAGAAAATGATGGCTTCTCAATTAGTTTCTCAAATTTCTTAGCAAAAACCCGTTCTTTTTTTAAAAACAAGGAGTCTGTAAAAAACGAAATATTCAGTAAAATCTCTTTAAATAAAAATAAGATTACAAAAGTATTATATAAAAAATTTTCTGTTGCTGTATTAACAGTTTTAACAAATATGCAATGAATAAAATACCTAATAAAGCATTCATTACAGAGATGTTTTTTTCTTCTTTTAATTTGATTTAAATGTAGTGTTCTAAATTGCCCCAAATATTAATAACAACATTCTTCTTTTTTTTACAGTAAAAAATGTACTACGTTAGCCAGAGAAAGAAAAACTTTATTTGTTTTTGGGAATAAATCTAAGTCATTGTTATTATTATAGATTATTTGTTTGTGGAAACTTATAAAATAAAATTTGACTATTTTTGAATATTTGATATTAAATCTACATATCAGAAAAGATTGATTGTAGATTTCTCTATAAATGTAAGCCGGAATTTTTATCTTACTGGTTGATTCAAAATATCATATTTTCTTAAGATAGCTTTATTTTTGTTAAGATCAACTATTTTAGTTTATCAGATGCTCTTCAGCCCAGATCTGGGAACATATGTCTTATTTTTTTTTCTTTTGATTTAATTGTTATTTATTTATCTTTTCAATTAGCAAAAATTAATCAGTTTTTTTTTTCAAGCTCCATATTTTTTTATTTCTTAGATACGAAAAAAAAAAAATTGTTCCAAAGCAAAATTTCACTATGTATATTGTCCCAAATAATATAACTAAGTACTATGAAACTATTTTGAATCAATTAACAAATAAAATAATTATTTAATCTTCCTATGTAATATTTTATTATTTTTTAAATGTCCTAAACTGAATTTGTTATATGAATACTAGACTACACCATAAAAATGTTTTTAAATTTTTTTTTTATCAATGTTATTGAAATTAATGACGGTTTAAAATACTTTTTTGCCAATTAAAAAAGCCTATTTTAAAAAGTCTTAAAGCTTATTTTAAAAATAATTTATTTCGAGCAATACCATTATGGTATTAATTAGGAGAAAAAACATTTTTCTTTAAATATTTATAAGCTGAATATTACAAAAATATATCCCAGTGTATAAATCAAAACCCAATTTTTGATTACTAGATAGAAAATTTCTGAGACGTCGGGTATATAATTTAAAAAAATACTTACAAGAATCTGAATTTTCAGTTGCTCCCAAAATAGAAACATATTCACCAACAAATTGAACTTTTGCTGCTAAGTTAGATGGTATATACGAGGGAAGAAGTGTAGGTTCTATAATGTATTTTACCTATTTGAAACAACTTCATCAGTAATAAAATCTTAAGTTATAAGAAAAAAATTTGACTGAATGTCAAAACAATTATAAAATTAAATATTTTATTACATTATCCTTATCAGAAGCAAAGTTACTGTTGCCTTGTGGTCTTTTTGCAGATGTATCTTGCTGAATAAAAAATTCCCTAAATGGATCTTCAACACTTCCATTCATCATTAAAGAAAAAACTTGTCGATACATAACAGAATGGCAACTTTGAAGAATTCTGGGGGGAAAAAAATAAAAAACAGAATAAAATTTAAATGTGTTAAATAGCTGCTGATACAGTTTTGTAATAAAGGAATATTTTATATAATTTTTTAACATGCTCCTGCATCAGACCTCTCGGTTATAAGTCAACAAGAAGCCTTACACATTGAGGAGCGATAAAAATAAAACTAAAGACAGTAAAAGATAGTCTTCAACATATAAATATAACAGCAAATATATTATATTTAAACAATTCATGTTTTTAAAATGAAATGTATAATATAATAACTATATATAATATTAAAACGAAAATTATATTGTCCAATTTCCCCAGCCAAGCAAGTAAATATTTAATTAGCTATACCTTTAGATACTGTAAAAGCACCTCTTCAAAATTTTGATTACAACAGAAATTTCAAAAAAAAAAAAATAAATAAATAAATAAATAAATAAATTAAATTTTTTCAATTATTCCCCAGCTTTTACTTTTTTTTAATTAATGTTTCTTTTACTATGTACAAAAAAATAATAAAAAGTTGAAATTGAAATACAAAAGAAGTGAGAGTGATATCAGTTCAATTGCTTATATGTAACATCTGATTGAAATCTTCAAGGGAATTTGGAAATGTTAGAGCCTCGTGGCAGAATTGCGGTGACACAGCGACATTGTTGCAGAACGTTACAGTGTTTTCACAGAAAGATTTTTCACTTGGGAAGAGGAAAATATCGTTTTCTTTTCTCTGCATAATTTTTTGAAAAACGTTTTTTTTCTCTGCAGAAATTTTTTTCAAACATGTCTTTCTTGCGCATCAGAGAGAAGAATAATCATGATTTTTCTATTCTCATTTGAGATTTTTTTAAAAATCGGTAATGACTGGCTTCAACTAGAATTTCAAATAAATTATATAAAATGAAAAATTCAGAAATAGAGTAAGTTAAAAAGATAGTTCGCTCTAGAAATGTTCTTTCATTTATTTTTCTGTAAAGAACACCATATTTTACATACACTTATTTAAGAATCTCTTTTTTAAAGAGTTCCATTCATGTCTTTATTTTGGGAGATACTGCAGGGATTTTACGATTTTTAATTTATGTAAGAATTGGGATTTATTATTGTTTAATTTATTTAAGAATTTTAATTTGTGTAATGATTTACAAAATTCAAAAGAGGAAATAATTAGTGCATTTTTCCACCTACAAAATGTGAAAATATCGCCTATAATATTAGAATTAAAAAATATTACTTTTAAATTTAAAATTTTTATTCCATACTTTCTTCTGTAAACACAACGTTTCCGTTACTTTAAATTAGTAATTGTTATAATTAAAGGTATCTTAAAGCAAAATATTAGTGCTAGGGAAGTTTGTCACAGAAAGCCTGAAAACATTACTGCCAGAGGGTGTTAGAGGATGCAAGATTTTTAAAAAAAATATTTATTTGAAATCCAGTCTTATTTAATAGAGAAGTTTTATATGGTCATATTACATTATGCATATCAAAATTTTAAGAAGAAGATAACTAAGATATAATGAATACACTAAATATAATTAAGATATATTGTATGCAATTATCTTTATGTTAATGAATTTTTTGAATATAGGATTTAGCAATTTTTGTCATATATTTTTTGCTTTTTTACACCTTTACTCTATTTTGAATTGAACAATTTGATATTTATTTGAAAAAAAAAAAGAAACATTAGAAAAGAACATATGTTGTAGTAAACATTAACAGACTTTTAGGAAAAACAGCAAAAAATGTTTGATAAAAAATTATTTACTTATTAATGGCAACTTCAATGAGAGGAACACCAGATACAGAATGTTTGAAGAGTAGCTCTAAAATTCTACAACCATGGGTCTGAAAAGTTATATCAAGCATAGAGATCAGTGAGAACATTGTTAATTAAAAACTGAATTTAATGCATATTTATATGTTAAATAAAATTTATCAGTTTGCTCACAATCATAACTTAGTCACAATCATAAGCCTACTTAGACTTGAGAATTGAGCTCCATATTAAACTAATAAAAAAAATAAACTTTAACATAATTATCAACCGTATTGTTTATAAAATTGTAAGAAAAAATTAGCAGTGAAAGTTTGCTGTTCAAAACTTTTCATATGGAAAGACATTGTTAGAAAAGCGTTATAATGCAATATAAAATTAAAGAGGAATGGAATGATAATTAGGTCATCTCATTAATAAAGTTATACAGAGTGAATAGAAAAAACTATGGCTTATTTCGAGATCTAAAAAAATATTGATAAGGCAATTTAATTATACTCTTGGAACAAAAATTTTGATATCTGAGCAACCATAGACTATTCTTTTCTTTTTAACTAATACTGAGAGCCAACAACTTTTCCATTTTAGCACATCCCCTCACATTCGTCAAAACCAACAAACTATGTTTTCTACTTTCCCATGTTCTGATTTTAATGTGACTCTGGGAAATCCTCCTGGGAGACAAGATCACAAAAGAATTTCCATTTAGAATGTAGTAAGGTAGAGAGCACAGTTTGTTTGTGATCTAAAACACATGCCATAGGAGTCCAGAAGAAATAATTGTCGGTTTTTGGCCTCGGTAAAATTTGCTGATTTGAATGTAATGATTTTTGCGTTAACAGCCATCCCTTAATTATTGCAAACACTTGTAAGTTAATCTCAAGTCGGAAATTATTTTGCAGATGACTAAAAACTATGCTGTTTTTCGTCGATTGCAAAATAACACCTAAATGAATTTTTAAAGTCTCGCTTTATAATAAATAAAAACAGCAAAAATGGATTTTTTTTCAAAAAATGCTAATTGACATCAGATTTTTACACATACTTCTGCTAACTTAAAAAAAAATGGTGGGTTTCAGAGAGAAAATACAACTTAGGAGCTTTCTTTAACGCACAGATTTTAGACAGCATTAAATTTCACAGTAGGTATTATTTTAGAAACATATACTAGACACTGAAAGATATTGAAGCATTTTTGAAAGAAGTCATTTAATATCTATGCTTAAAATAAAAAGAATTGTTTTTGTATTTAAAATGAATTCATTAAATACATTAAAAATCATTTAAAAATTTTCTATTACTTTTCTAAAAAATAAATAAGGGTAAGCTTGAGTAATAAATATACAAAATTAATATTCAGATTTGTAACAAGAAATTATGACTTTTTATAGCTACCATTTTCTGTTCATCTTGAATTTCTTTCACTATACTGCATAGTACTTCAAAGAGAGGATCCCACTTTAAAAACAAGTATTAATTTATTTAAAAAAAATATGCTTATAAAGTTTTTACGTATATATGCATATAAGTCACTATTGAGTGTATGATAAATGAAATTTTATTAAACAATTGATAATAAAATTTCTTAAATAAGTTCTTCTGTTTTCGGAGATTAGTTTTAAATGACATAGCAATGCAATGATCTTCTAATTCTAATCATATCAAAAATTTCTGCACATACAATAATATTTAAAATGTATATGGATTAGATATTTATCAATAATAAAATAAAATACATAATTTGTCAGCTCTTATAAATAAACTGACATTGAGAGTTTTAAAGGCTTCTTTTCAACATACAGTATAGCTTAGAAGAAACTAAATACATGCTGTTGTTGTTAATTTACGTCGCACTAGAGCTGCACAATGGGCTTTGGCCACGGTCTGGGAAACATCCCGGAGGATGATCCGAAGACATGCCATCACAATTTTGATCCTCTGCAGAGGGGATGGCACCCTCGCTTCGGTAGCTTGACGACCTGCGCGCGAAGTCGAGCACTTTACGGTAGCACAGTTTAGCGAGGACTAAATACATGCAGATTAAGTGTTTGTTAATGCCGAAAATATATATGAATAAAAGTCTAAAGGAAAAACATTAGAACAATAAAATGAGAATAAACAAAATGAAAATTGAAAGAATGTAGAAATAAATAAATAAACTTGTCAAGACATTACTCTTTAGTATGTAGGGTAATTTCGCACTTAAATGTTAATATCTTATGTATAACAATAAAAATTTAATACTTTAAAACTATTTTAATATTTGAGATGAAAATCATGAAAAAATTTACAATTTTCAGCCCAAATATTAAAAAAGCTCCAAAACTGTTTACCACTTAATCAGATTTTTTAAAATTGTGAAAAATCATTTATTAATTTAAAAATGAAAATTCAGTTATTTCTGGGTAAAAATTTACCATTAAAAATTCTTAAGTTAATTTTAAAATTGTAACTAGCTTACGATTTTATGAATAGATTGTAAAAATAAAATCTACATTAAAAAAAAATTAGTGATAAATACCTTTAGCAATCTTGTTTTATTATTCATACTTAATAGCATTTGGTAATGAAAATCAGTAATGTTATTTATAATTATAATAATCGTAATCCAATTATAAAATAAAGTTCTGCTATATGAGCGGAAAGTAAAAATTGAAAGATATGGGGGTTTAGCCCCCTGCTCTCTCACCAAGTGTGATGATCGTTTAACATTGTATCTACACATAAAACAGTTTTGGTACTTTTCAGTTAGCTTGGCACAAGCAAAAAAATTAACCTAAAAATATAGACCTCCACTAACTTCTTACCTTTTTTTTAAAAAAAAAAAAAAAGTAGCTGAATTTTCTTGTGCTCAGCAAACCGAAAAGTACCAAAACTGTTCAACAAATCAAAAGGAATATTGTAAAAACTGATTTGTTCAAAAAAATGACGCCATATGGACTCGAAAAGAATTTTTTTAGAATTTCCTTAATGATTATGCATTTCACGAAATTTTTACATTAACTCTGAAAATAATCTTTTAATTGGAACAGTAAACACATTTATGGCTTTATATTGAATATATTACACACACACATATGTATATGTACATACATTGTAAAATGATGGAAGGAAAATGATTTTAATTAAACCTTTTCCAACACTTTTCATAATATTAAGAAAGTAGAGTAAAGTTTAAAACATAGCAGTTTTGAAAGGAAACAATTTGAGGCAAACTTAAATATATTAAATTTTGCAGGAAAATTGAAAGGTAATTAGTATACTTTGAGATATTAAGAGTTTTCCTGAGAAATGCTTTTTAAGGCAGTGGAAATTTAATTGCGTAAATTTGATACGAAAGATATTTAAACTATTTTATAAAATAGTATTAAAATTTTAATACTTTAACTAGATTATGATTTTGCTACTCATAAAAATGTATATATTACATACTACCTTTTCTAGCTTTAGAAAGTGGGTCAGAGGCAGAAAAGGATCTTTTAACAACTCTTGCTCAATTTCAACAAGTTCTTGTTGATACATGTTGAGAACTGTTTCTAAACCACAACAAAATGACTTTAAATAAAGACCTTTGACTTCGTAAGGATCTAAAAACATTAGAGATAAAGACATATGTAACAAACCTTTTGATATAATTAATTTGAATTACAGAAGAAATACAATTAAATAAAAAATGCAAAAAATTAATAAACAAAAATTTCTGATGACCCCAAACCTACAGTTGGCAAAGTTATTATCACAAAGTAAAGATAAAATCAAAAGACTTTTTGAATAAATGATTTGATTCTGGATTTTTATTTTATTAAAAAAAGTATGTTTCTTTAGAGTTCGTAACTTTAAACATTGCTTGCACAAATTAATTAGCAGATTTAAAGTTAGGCCCTCGAGCCATTAAGATTGAGTGTTAGTAAGCGAAAATCCAATCTTTAGATTAAAAGTTATTCAGGGAGTTCCATTTTTTTTTATGCACTGTACATTATGGGAAATTAAAATAAAACTTTGCATACAGTGCTCTTACACGTGAAAAAGTTTTGAGTAAAAAGTGATAACACATATTTTTTCAAAATGTCACTTCCTTATAGTCAATAATTACACAGTACAGTAGTCAGAAAAATTCCTTTGTTGCTACTCAGGGGATATCCAATTACGGTACTGACGCGGAAATCCCAGCCTTCTTCGCCAATGAACAGCAGTCAGCAGTGACCCATGCACAGCAACTTTCATGGAACCATCATTGAGAAGAAAGTGCTGAACGATTGCATGTCTATTTGTCCAAATGCATATCCGCAGCCAATGTTCATCTTTGTCACACATGGCTTGTGATGAACCATATTTCAATGTCTCTAATTTTGGAAAGTGTTATTTGTCAAACACGCTATACTTTTTCCATGTCTGCACATGAACAGTTTACAAAATTAGCCTTTTGCAAAATGCTTCCCCCCTTGGCTTTAAAGTCAACGAGTATGCCTTTTTGGAAGCCGGAAAAATTCCTCCATTTCTACATTATGTCATCTGCAATGTTCCTGATTCCTTTAGATACCTTTCATACACACTGCACTGACACCTGCCTTCTTTGATTAGTTATTTCATGTTGATGTCAAAAGAAGGTGAAGGTCACATTAATGTGACTGGACTATGTATACCCAGCAAGAGCTTTAATTCTGCCCAAGTTAAGTATAAGTCTATATCCAAAGATGCTTGTGGCAATAACTTATGTTTTTTATTTCTACAGTTAAAAATATTGGTTATTACTTTTTACCCTCAAATTCATACGAATAATTATTTTCCCAAATGAATTTCATTAAACACACTAATAGTTAACATAATTTTTTCTCTAAGTGCAGTAGAACCTCGATTAACCGAAGTTAATTGAGCCGATAAAGAAGTCTGTATATTTTTTCTTTCCTGAATGAGCCCTGAAAACACTCAACTTCCAAGAAATATTGACTCTGAGAAGTCAACAGCGGTGAACAATGCTTTTGTTTCTAGTGGCCGTGTGGTTCATTGAACACCAGGTGCAATCCGACTGTACTTTCCTAACAATGTACTTTTGCAACGAATTGCAACTGGATATTTCAAGATATAGCAATATAAATTTAACAAATTAATGTATATTAAATTCAAAAAATACAATCATTTTTGAGATTTCTGTGGTATTTGAAAATGCATCTTTTAGTTTACTATTAAAAATAGTAAACGAATTTCTATTTGCTTTTTAAAATTTATTACTAGTAGTTGATTTCCTTTTTAAATTTCTGGAGCTGTGAAACATAACTTTATATATGTTTATTTTTATTATTCAAAAAAGAGTTCTATTGCTTTTTATTTCAAAAGATGTTAAATTTGGGAGCAAGGCGAGTTTTTATACAGTTTCTATTAACCAAAATTTCCGATATCCAAGGTACTATAGGTTCCAATTAACTTGGATAAGCAAGGTTCTACTGTATATGTAATCCTTATTTTAAAAGAAAAAAACATTGATGAATGATTAATAATTATTTGGTTAGAAGGATTTTAATTTAAAAACAAAAGAAACTATATAAATGATTTAGCTTTTACCTATTGCAGATTCTGAGTAAAATTTACGGCAAAATGGACCCATCAAATTTAAGTATGAAAAAAACTAACATAATTTTGCCACTTATTAACAGCAGCATAGTTTCACTGAAAGTAAGAAGCTACATATATATAAAAATGCAGCTTCTTGCATTATACATTTATGCAAAAATTAAAATTGCAATTGATTTAAATTTTTTTAAAACTATATCACTGTTTTTTTTTATTCAGTTTAATAATAAAAAAAGTCAGAAATTTTGTGGTAATTTACGCAGCTAACACTCCCTACGGCTAATTGAAAATTATATATGGGGATGCGCGCCTAAATGGATTTTAAATAATTACCTCCAGATAAATCTGCAGAAAATTTATGTACTTTCCCAAAATCATGTAAACGTCTGTATTTTGTTGCAATCAAACATAGACGATCCAGAATATTTCTCTCACCAGGGTGTAAATTTGGAACACATGATGAAACCTGTAATTATATAATTAAACATATATATATATAAACACATATTATTAACAAAATATATAATTATCAAAAGATTCAATAAAATATCAAAAACAAATTAAATCACAGTATTTATATCATATTCCTCTTCCAAAAAAATAAATAAATAAAAATAGATAAAGATTATTTACATCTACCACTTATTTATAAAAAAAATTAAATTGAAAGAAATGTATTATAGATTCATAAGCAAAAGGGAGTTTCTGAATACTGTAACGTATGAGATGGAAAAGGACATGTATGTTTAAATACATTTTATTCCCGAATTCAATTGTAGTCACTATTTGGTGCTTAAGGCAGTTCCCAGGTATAGAGGTGCACCCTTTTGCCCCCCACAAACTACACCTCTCTGCATACAAGCATTATCAAAAGATTTTATTTTCATAAGACCTAAATGTTACGGAAATTCATCAAAATAATATTTCTACCAAAGCTAGTCTATTCTTTTTTTTACTCTACTAATCATGTCAATTTTCATGAAAAAAAGTTTGCTGAACAATTTTTAAATTTAAATTCATCAGTCACATTTCAATATTGGTTGTTTTACACGAAAGGAAATAAGCAGATTGAAGAACATGCAATGGCAGATAATGCTTAATATGTCTGACAAGAATTTTTCTCCTTTATTAATGTACTAATCTCCTTTATTATGTACTAATGTAGTAAATGCACTGCGTTCACTACATTAGTACATAACAAACAACCAATGAACAATGAAAAACAATACAATCAATGTTTATTCATGCTTAATTGTGCTCAAGTGGAGATTAGCTTATAATTTTTAATCGCCATTTGTTATAATTAGTCAATCTGTGTCTGTTAGCAAGGGTTCTTGATTTTTTTTGATTTAAATTGGATTTTTTTTATTTAAATTGGATTTTTTTTATTTAAATCGGATTTTTTTGATTTAAATCAGATTTTTTAAATTTTTATTCAAATAAACTGTAAGAAATTTGATTTATGATTCAAACAACTTTAAAAGTGTTTGATCAAAATTAAGTTATTAAAACTATATTAAAACAATATTTTAGAAGCTCTAACTACCTAAAACAATTTTTATTATAATACATAGATTTGAATGCATAGTAACCTTTTTGAAACAAATGCATGATTGAAATTTAAAGAGTAGATGAAATAGAAAATTTAAATCCTATTTTTGGCATATTAGGGTGATTTCTTTTTAAGATAACCTCAAGCTTTAGAAATATTAATGGATTTTTACAGCTATGCAAGTCTATATTAAGAGGGCATTAAATGTTTACTTTAATCTGCACTTTCAATCTGAAGAATCAAAAGATTTTTAAAAGTGTAATTTCAAATGTGTTGGAATTCAACACACACCAGGAAAGAAAGTAATTTCGTTACCTAAAATTTATTAATGCAGCAATTTATTTAAAATAAATTTTCAAACTAAGAAAAGAAAATAATAAAAGTATCAATAATTTAAAACACAGTTTTTTAACTTTTTAAATCAATATATATAAATAAAAACATCAGTTGATTTAAAAAAAATAATAATTTGATTTAAATCACGATTTTAATCGCGATTTAAATCAACAAACCCTGTAGCAACATTTAATTTTGCTGTCTAACCCCTAAATCACCTACGGGATAAAGCAATGGGGAGATTTTCATATAGTGATCTGTGGCAGAATAATCGCCAAATTTTGGCAAATTCCGGGCAGCGGCTTGTGAGAAACGAAAAAAACAGCACAGAAAGGTATAGCTTGTAGCTATCCCTGGACACACATTTACATGTTTTTTTACAAACATTTACAAGTTTAAAATCTATTTGGCACCTTGCCGATTGTATTTGGCACGACAGATCACAATGCGGAAATATCTCCAAAGGAACTTGCCCGTGAATCTTTTGCAATCCCAATCTCTGTTAGCTTCTTCTTCTAGCATAAAGTTACAACTAAAAATGCAGTGAAAACTCCCCACCGCTTCACATGTTTCGACAAATTAAGTTTAGAAAAAAAGTCTTGAAAAGTTGCTTCTCCTCTACCTCACATTAAAATTATTTATAACATTAAAACAGTATACTTAAACATTTACAAATTATTTCAATGTAATGTTGACTTTTTATTAATATTGACTGATACTAATCGACTAGTTTCTTGCTTACCGTAATATTTTGTTCCTTGGATGAATGATAGAAAATTGTACCAGGAAAGCCACTCAGGGCCATTAAGAGCTCGTGAAACATATTGTTGCTAAAAAAACAAAAGACAATTTAAAATCGATTATAGAAAAAACTCATTATTTAAAAGATTAAGTTTTTTAATGAATATCATTCAGCTAGTAATATAAATTCTAGTTCATTAATATGAAAATTTATTTTTTGAAGGAAATTTCCTTTTTGTACAAGAAATATAGAAAATGAAAAATTTGTAGCAATTTGGTTAAACAGTAATATATAATAATATATAGGTACTATAAAATTTCATCACAACATAACTTTAGTAATACAATATGACATAATTTTAAAAATAAATAAGCTTGCTTGGATGTGGCAAAAGGAGAGATTTCTATTTCGGTATCTGTGTCAAAATAATTTTCAAGTTTTGGTGATTATGAGCAGTGGTCAGTAAGACACTTAAAATATAAATATATATATATCATAGAACTATCTTGAAGGGTATAACTCACAGCCAACTTTTGAAGATCATTACATATATAAATATAATATTTTAATTTTTGCAAGTTTAAAAACCTTTTGGTGTCTTGGTAATTTTAATTAGCACAAATGGGTACCAATGACTATGAATTATATTGTTCCAATAAAAGCCTTTCCATGCTATTATTTTTAAAATTCACATGGAACTGCCCAGATATAGTAAAGATGAAGACTATTTTGGCACAATTAAGAAAAATCTTACTTATTTTTCAATTAATATTAAGGATTTTGAGGCATGGTGCAATAAGTAATAATAATAATAAAAAAAATAATTCATAGATAAACTGCATTTAAATAATTCTGTGTTACAGTGGCAATGATCTGAATTATAAAAACAAATATTCAAATTTATCTTGACTTTACGAGTGTAATACATAAAATTTTATTTCATATTTAATATCATAGTTAGTTTGGAGAATTTATTTTTTATTGTTTTAGGAGACATTTTCATAACAGTAACTATCTGCGTTTATAATAATTGCCAAAGTGATTTTGAACATAAAAATGTGGAGAAAAAAAATTATGTAGAAGTTTGCCCAAGAGTAGCAATGAGCTTACCTTTAAAGTTAGTTATCTTCTGTGATGGTTTAGATAGATTTCTTGTAACTCCGAAAGTCATCAAAACCAAGAGATAGAGATCATTTTGAAGCACGTGTCGATATTGAAATATTCCCTTAATTCCTAAATAGGAGACAAGTAATAGATAATAAGTTCCTAAATAAGAAAAGTTCCTTTTAGGTTTGTACCTTTTTTTAAAGCCAAAAATTAGATTTATATTCTCAAATCCCTTTTGTCATATTACAGAAACACAAAAAATGTGCTGTTAATAATGATCATTATTTTTACTTTGATATTCAATAAGTGATGTATTGCAAACATTATATTTTAATGTTTCAAAATAGTACATTTGGTAATTTTGAGACCTTAGCAACAGTATTATACGAAGGTTCACATAATAAAAAGCCTGTGCTGAGGTTCTCCGAGAATATTTCTCAATCTTTATCTGCAGCAGAATGATTACTAAATCTTGGTAAATAACAGCCACCAGCACACAAGAATTAAAAAGAACATTACAGAAGGGGATTTCAAAGAGTATAATTTATAGACACTATAAAAAAACTCTATTTTTAAACAATTTGTAAGTTAAATATCTACTTGGCTCCTTAGCAAATGTAGCTGGTGAGACAGATCATGATACCAAAATATCTGAGTAGTTTACATTAAGTGAATTGGATTATGAACAAAATAAAAAAATATGCGTACAAACTAAAATTTGTATTAAATCCTATGTTTACAAATAATATATATAGTTTCCTAGAATAAATTATTTCATCAGATTTTGAAGCAAAATTGAATTATTAGAAATATCCCCGTTATTAGTTAAGATAATTATAGTTGAAAACCTTTATTTTTATTCAAAATTACTGTAAAAATTTTCTTATAACCTTTATGAAATAAACTGGTCTATATAATATACTGCTAACAGAGATTTTTCATCATTCTGTATCTGATTAGGACTTATAAATAAACTAACTTTGAATTGATTTTAAAATTTGAAAATGAAAAAAAAAAAGAGCTCAATCTTAAAAAGTTCATTCGTAAATGAAGAACAAACATAACTCAAAAAGATTCGTAGTACACTATCCATACGTTTTTGGATTTTGGTGCGCATCATTGGTGCGCATTATCAAATGGGTACTATTTTGCTTTACGTGTTTTTTCAGTATATTTACAATGAAGCAGAAATAGGAAGTCAAAATCCCCAGACTCATAAATTTTAATTGCGAGAACGAAATTTCTCGTTAATATAATTCTACTCTGAAATTTATCTCTCATCATTTTCAAGTTTTTTCATTTTCCAAAATGGAAAATGTACATAAAACTGCCACACGTCCATGGATTTCAAAACCACTAAGCGTGCAAAAATTTTTGACAGATTGGATGGAAATTTTAAATTCCGAAACCGAAAACTTCCCCGAGTTAAAAAGTATTATGAGTGAAGAAGAGTTTTCTAAAGTTGAACAAGAATGCAGGTATAAGATTATAAAGTTATTTAACTACTCTTCTGTAATTGTTTCTTAATTACTGAAATAACGTAAGTCTGGTTCATATTCATATGGATCTATTATCACAGTATCAGGTTTAGCTGTTCTTCTTCTTCTAATTTTTAAAGCATTGAATATTTTTGCTGCATCAACATATGGAAAATGTTCTATATCTACTTTTTCATCAGCTATTCTCATTAGGTAGCTCAAATGCGTATTTGTTTCGTTTTGATCGTTTCTACCCACATTTGTTTCATTTTCATTTGTCCGTTTCGGAGTAGAAGATATTGCCTTTACAAGGTATTTGTCCATCTTGCATTAATGCGCAAAAAATTTGAACGTCTTACATGAAGAAACCTTACCTACAGTAAACACGTGGTTGCAGAGAAATGCGTTCTGAAAGAGGTTCGGAGGGATGGTGTTCTGTAGTTCTTAAAGATTCTGAACAATACTGGTAAACAGGGAAGCTAGATAATGGGGCAGATGTTGAAAATAATGAAAGATCCAGGAAGAAAAGTGAAACGGATTTTATTCTAAATGGCGCAATGAGAAATTTTTTTCAAAATGCGAGAAATTCGCGAATTATGAAATTGGTTTATAGAATGCGCGAATTTCTCGCGGTAATCACTTTTTAATGCGAGAAAAGAAAAAAATATGCGAGATTCTCGCGCTGTAGTGAAAACAGTAACACTGGTACTACCACTTAAATTTATGAGAATATTTTCGACTGGGTCATAAAAAAAGTTTCACAGAGAAAAAAAATTTATAAGACAATAAAGGTCTTTTAGAATAAATTTAAAGTAATGTTTAATAATAATGTTGAGATAATAGTACCAATTTCAACTTCTGTAAAGATTAGAGAGGAAGAGCCGTCCTTTCATTTAAAAAAAAACTCATCAGAAAAAAGCTCGCTATAATAGGGCTTAAGTGACCAGTTAGGTTTACCACACCACACTATCTCACCAAAGATGTGAAAAGCGTTTGCATAGTACCAGTGTTTTCATCTCAGAAAAAAAATGGGTGAGAATTTCTCCCCCTTTCTCAAAAACAGGGTGAGATTTCAAAAAGTTAAGTGAGATTTCTAAAAATTAAAAAACAAAAACATAAAGAGACATGAAAAAAATCATTTCTTTAATTATAATACATTTTTAATATCTTCTAATTTTTAAAGCATTGAATATTTTTGCTGCATCATCATATGGAAAATGTTCTATATCTACTTTTTCATCAGCTATTCTCATTAGGTAACTCAAATGCGTATTTGTTTCGTTTTGATCGTTTCTACCCACATTTGTTTCATTTTCATTTGTCCGTTTCGGAGTAGAAGATATTGGCTTTACAAGGTATTTGTCCATCTTACATTAACGAGCAAAAAATTTGAACGTCTTACATGAAGAAACCTTACCTACGGTAAACACGTGGTTGCAGAGAAATGCGTTCTGAAAGAGGTTCCGTGGTTCGGAAGGATGGTGTTCTGTTGTTCTTAAAGGTTCTGAACAATACTGGTAAATAGGGAAGCTAGATAATGGGGCAGATGTTGAAAATAATAAAAGATCCAGGAAGAAAAGTGAAACGGATTTTATTCTAAATGGCGCAAATGAGAAATTTTTTTCAAAATGCGAGAAATTCGCGAATTTTGAAATTGGTTTATAGAATGCGCGAATTTCTCGCGGTTATCATTTTTTAATGCGAGAAAAGAAAAAAATATGCGAGATTCTCGCGTTCTCGCGCTGTAGTGAAAACACTGATAGTACCTACTAGCGCCTTTTCCTCTATTTCAATTAAGAAATGGAGCTGCTGACGCTCCCTTTCTCCCTGAGTGTTTCGGGATCCCGGCATGCTCTCAGCCAGGCATAGGGAGGAAAAACTCTCTTCTTACAAACCTGGTGGGAAGGGAATTCTCCTACTATGTCATAATAGCAATCTGCGGGAAGGTTCCATTGCTATAATTGCAACTCAGAATGCCTAAGAAACAGGATTTATCATTTTTTATGGGGAAACAAAAACAAAATTTGGAGAGATTTCTGTATTGTGATCTATGGCAGAATAATTGCAGGGATCTGTCTAGGTTTTTCTGAGAGGTACCTATTTCGTGAAAATTTACACATAATTTGTGAAAAATAAAAATAATATTAAAAAATGAAAACAAAAATATGTATTTATTGTTTTTTATGGGATAAAATTTTTTTTTAAGAAAAAGTATTTTGTGAAACTATTGTTTTTCCTAAAGTCGAATTTGTGAACGTACCACTAAACGGTAGTAAATTTGGCCTGGATATATGGATTCTTACACATAGTAATAAAATAATAGAAAAAAAAAATACCCCAAAATCTTTAAAAAATACAAAAATGACCAAAAATTAAAAAAAAATGCCTTAAACATTTTAAAAAAAGTGTCCAAAAATGCAAAATATGCTTAAAAATGCAGATGTCATTATAATAAAACTTTATATTTTATAACTTTTCTTGTTTAGTACTGCTGCCATGAAGTGTCCAAATCAGCATGTTATAGAATTGTGCTCAGCAGACTTTACTGTACCTGATGATGTTGATCTGGAAACAGTAAGGTAATTAGTTATTAATATTTTGATTACTAAATTATCTTAAATTTGGATACATATGTAAATTAGTCGTTAACTCATCTAATCTATTTGACATGGTTGTAGTGATTGAGTGCATTTAGTTCGGAAAGGCACACATAGAAATTTTCAAGTTAATGCTCAGTTTTTATTAATTTTTCAGATGTTTATAAGTGATATACAACTTTGATTTACCTTTTTAGGTTAAATAGTTCAAGCTGCAGAGAATGCTATTTTACAGCAAAGAGTATCATTATTTGTATTTGTTCCATTCTGATGCCATACTCTATTAAAGTTTGCTTAACAAAAAGAAAGAAAGAAATATTATTGATTGCTCAAACATATTTAAGGGCAACATAAGTGGTTTTTCGATTTTGTAATAAATTAGGCCATATTTTTTTCGCCATATTTTTCATTTTGACTCCATATTTTTCATTACAAGAGACTTATTTTGCTTTAAATACTATTGAGTTTCCATGTTCACTTTAAATGATTTTACTGGCAACGTTTTACTAATACCAAATCGCATCTTTAATCTAATCTCTTTACATTTATCATGATTAGTTAGTCTTACTTTTTTAAAAGTCAAAATGAATATGACATAGTGTGTAATTGAAATGCCAGTTGCATAAAGATTTATTTTTCTATCATTTTCAAGAAATATACTGTAGATCAACGAATGTTGTACACATTTTATTAAGCTTGATGGTTCAAATGTAGAGATTTTATTTAAAAGGTTGGGAATGCAAAGGATGGACAAAAACTGTTTAATAATGCAAAATTCATTATTGGATTTGACAAATGCCGAGAGAACAAGTCACATGCCAAAAGATTTCAATTAAAAAGCAAGATTCAAAAAATATTATCATTATGCTTCAACAGTCATGGGAATGATCCAGGGGCAAAAAATTTTAAATCCAAAATCAAAGCAAAGAAAAAGATTTATAGTGCCAATTGAAAATTACGCGAAAATACTCAAATTGAATATTGAGTATTTTTAGATATTCACTACCAGATATTGCTTCTCTCAATTATCTTTTTTTTTTCTTCTTTTTTTTAAATTAAGGATTTAAGGCTTGCATGAGTAGCAATTTCTTTTGTCAGAGGAATATAAAAAATTGGTTTTTAGCTTACCTTTAGTAATCAGGTGTTGTTTTAATGCAAAATGCATATGTGACCAGAAAGATAGCGAGAAGTTCTAGCTAGCAATATTTTGAATCGCTTTGTATTTAGTGCAATCAGTTTTGTGTAATTTAATATCATCTTTTACAAAAAAAAAAATTCTTCTCCATAAGAAGCTTAATAGTAAAAAAAAAAGTTTCCAAAAACAATAAAAAATTTTTTTATATGTTTCTCATTTCAATAATAGTTACAAGGCTTCATCTATATTTCTCAATTACTAGTTCAGTAACTTTGTAATTTACTAAATATTTCTGTATTATAATATAGCCCTGTATTATAATATATATATTATAATATATAAACCCTGTATTATAATATATAATTATAATATAATCAGTGTCATGCAAAAAAAGTTATCAAAGGATGTTTGCATTCCTTGTAGTCCCCTGTGACTGAATCGTGGCGACACAGCGACATTGTCGCCAAACGATACTGAGTTCTTGCTGAAAGATTTTTCCTTTAGGAAGTAAAGAACTTTAGTTTCTTTTCTGCAGAGATTTTCGAAATTTTTTTCTTTTCTTCAGAGTTATATTCAAAAACTGTTTTTTTTTTCCCTCTCATCAGAGTGGGAAAAAAATGCTTGTGATTTTTCTGTTCTCATTTGAGAATAATGAAAAATAAAGAGTAATAAAGTAAACAGTTTGGGTTTTTCTTTTCTGCAGAAATTTTCATTCTATTTTTTTAATGCAATTATTACTATTGATTTCCTCATAGCTTTTAAAATCAGATATTTTTAACACTGTATTATTTATTTCAACAACTGAATCTGAAAATAAAAAGACGCACTTAGTAACCCCTTTTTGAAGAGTCCAATTTACATGATTTTGCCGTCAATCTTTTTTTTTTTTTTCATTAGTTACTGCTGCGGATTTCACAATTTTTTTTAATGTGATGATGATTTACAAAAGACGAAAAAAATTTTTTTTTTGTCTTTTCCCCATACAAATTGCAATAATATTAGAATAAAAAAATATTACACATTCAATTAAAAAAGTTTTTTTCTTCTTTGAACTTGATGCTTCTGTTACTTTAAATTAGTAACATGTATATTTGTAAGTTTTAAAAGCATCTTCCAGAAAGATATTAGTATTAGAGAGGTATATCGCAGAAAGCCCGAAAAAATTCTGCAGCAGGGATGTAGCCTGTGGAAGAAATATGTAGTAGATCTCATTTTACCCAACATACAAATTATAGTAACTGACGCCCATTCATTGTCATTAAAACCCATGCATTAAAGGGCAATTGAATGCGTTAAAAAGTTACATTAAAAAAATTTATAAAATTTGGAAAATCTAACATGGAAAAAGATGCAATATTCAGCTTAGCTGAAACCTGTTCTAGTTTTAAAAAAATAATAAATTTTGGAACAAAGCTCCAGAAAGTTACGGCTAAACAATAAAGAAAAGAAGAAAGTGAAAGAGAAAATAATGATGTTTATTTTACTGAATTCAAAATAACAACTTTGAAAATGCTGCTTTTGATGAATTCCTAAATTTGGTAAATTTCTACATTCAATGCTCAATATAATGGGTTATCCAAGGAAAAATAGGCACTATTATATGAAGTTATTATAGCATAAACATACAAAGATGTAGTAAATATTATTATTTATTCATGGCTAAAAACATTAGACTAATTTTAACAAAACAAACCTTATTTTATTTTTTAAGAATTAAAAAACTAACAAACTAATAACTAACAAGTGGCATTGATAATAATGCACTTGTTTTTTTTTTTAATTGTTAATACATCCATTTAAATACATATTAATTGTTCACTAATGGTAAAATTTTTTGTTATGTGGCTTATTATAGATCATAATGCTCATAAAATTTTTAGAAAAAAAAATCTTTAAGAAGAAAATTTGATTTCAAATTTGACCCTGCCCTTATTTTTGTTACTGATCAAAACTTAGAATTGTTTATAGATACAACTGATTTTAAATTGTTATTTTAATTACAATCGATATAAATTCAAACTATTTAAAGTATAAAATTGAGCAAAAATATAAATGTTGGTTAAAATGTTTTTTAAATATTTGCTGACAGTAAAATTCTATCAGCTATTGTTGTACAATTGGCAGTAAATTTTATTGTTTTACTCTATCTTTTTTTATGCCATTTGTATTTTTTATAGACTTCAACAAGAAGAGTTAACAAGACGAAAAAATGACCCACAGTATGACGCTATTGCTTATAATTCTATAAGATTTCACAATTATCCTCTTTATCAGGTATTGCTTTACTATATTTTTATGAAATTCTAGGAATAGTTTTCAAATAGTAACTAATACTTTTTTAATCATAGCATTATTGGAAAATCAAAGCTAACTTGATATGTAACTACTTGAAGCTTTAATTATGTTTTGTTAGAAAAATCTGAACTTTTCTAGCTATATGTTCATAGGTAGAAAAATTACCCATTAATGTCTTTTCATTAATAATCTTCTTAGTGATAGGTAAAAAATATTTCTGAATTTTTAAAATAAAATTATCTTTAAAGAAATGCAACCAATGCAGAAAAGATTATGTGAAAACTGATTTTAAAAGAAATTTTATACTAAGATTTAAAAACGAACAAATTCATTTTGTATAAAAATGTTATATGGATGGTAAATTTATTTTAGATTTAATCTAATTAAACAATAAATTTCAATTCAAAAATTAGATTTTAACGTTTAAATTATATTTATAAAATTATATAACTTAGTACATTTACTTATATATTAGCATAATTTATAGCTAGTTTTTAGAAATTTCATGTATTTTATATTGTTCTTCAATTTCTTCCCTATTGTCTTGAAAAAAATATGTTTCTTTCAGAAGAATGCTCAACCTGAAGTTTAAATTACTTAATTTCCACATGATTATGTTAAATTATGCAAACCCTTTTAAAGTAACAATGCCCCAAAAAACGTAGCTCTTCCACCTGCTGGTTATAATTTTTGGAACTTTTTTTTCTCCATAACTGTAATATTTTGCATTTTAATTACCTATACACAATGCATTACATTTATAGTATTCTTAGAATTGTAATCAAGACAAATCATATTTATATACTTTAAAAATGACTGAAAAGTATAAATATCCTTATTTTTGGTGTATTCCAAGACAGAAATAAATACTCAATTTATCACTCAATTGTATTTTGAAATATTTATTTATTTATTTTTATAATAAGCAACGATTATTAATATAAATAAATAAATAATAATAAATGAAAAAATGAAGTTGTGTACTAAGGCTCAATTTGAGAAAATTTTGTTACTGTGCTAAGAAAAGAAATTTTTTTGATTGTTAAGAAACATTTGTTTTGATTGTTTAAAATGATTATTAAATAGTAGTGCTGAATTACTTCTTATTTCCCAGAATAATTCATACAGATTGTTAAGTCTCTAAATGTGCTTTTTTTTAAAAATTTTTTTTGAAAGTTAATTCCAGTTTAATAATTAGTCAATTGACTATAAGACTTAGTAATTTCAATTTGAATTTTATTTTAGGAGAAAAATAGTTTTTAGATCAAAATAAATGAATATGTCAACATATTTGAATTGAATAAAATAATTAGTAGTTTTTTTTTCCCCAGAATAATTCATACAGATTGATAAGTCTCTAAATGTGTTTTTTTTTTTTTTTNGACTATAAGACTTAGTAATTTCAATTTGAATTTTATTTTAGGAGAAAAATAGTTTTTAGATCAAAATAAATGAATTTGAATGATATTTGAATTGAATAAAATAATTAGTTTTCAATTTTAGAAGATTTTTGTTAGAATTTTATAGTTTTATTTGTGTGTGTGTAATTTTTCAATTGATGTAAATATTTGTTTAATGTTTCCCTTTTCTATTCAAAAAGACTTCATACTAATCTTACTACGAATCATTACTTTATGAAAAAATTTTTTACTTAACACAACATTTAAAATGTGTTATATATTAATCTGTAATAGTAATTTTTTTAATATATTGAATTTTTTTAAAGAGTTTTAAACATTAAAGTTTAATATTTTAAAATACACTCAACTAGTAATTTGAATTCATACAGATTATGACTGGTTCATTGGTTGAGTAAAGATTAGGACTTAAGCTTCTAGAAATGATATTTTTGAAAATGGAAAATTTGTCTGAACTAAATTATGCAGAAAAGTTGGTTCTCCTTGTTACGATATTGGCTTTAAAACTTATTCTTTTTTCTGATAAATAATCTTTTTTGCTCTTTTGCAAGAATATTTTTGCTCTATGTACTAAACTTATGTTTCTGATAAAAGAAATGGTAATTAAATAGATTTTTGTGAATAAAAGTTACTTTTGTTTTATTTTCATATTTGTTATGATATCACTTATTTTTAAAATATGACAGAACTCCAGGGGTACAAGTAATTCGGAAAAGTTTGATTTTGTTCCTGTCAAAGAGCCAGATGTTGTCTTAACTGTCCAAATATTTCGTCCCGAAAAGCGATATTCAAGCCATACTAAAAATGCATATGCCAGGTTTCCTATATTTCATGTAAGTACTATTTTAAATATGTGGTACCAAAATAAATTCTTTACTTTTTAACAAAATTTTAAAAAAAAAATTTACATTTTCAAGGGAGCAAAAAATGAGAAAATAATTATAATTTTGTCACCAAGACATAAAATGTAGGGCACATCAAGTATAAAAGAAGAAAGGAAAATTTTGAGTTATAATAGTACCTGATTATAATTTTATTGTATTTTATGGTTTTTGTTTTAGTGTAAGAAAATTTTTATTAAATTTTTTTAATTTGTTCCTATTTCTAGTTATTGTCTGCTATTTTATATATCTCCAAAAGGTGACAAAGTGGTCATTGGGATGCAAATGGCTATAAATTTTAATTGCACCATTAATAAAGCAGTGATAACCAGCCCTTTACATTAAGTACTAAGTTTTATTTGAGTTTTTAGCACTGTAGCTAGTCGAAAAAGTGGTCAAGATTTTAATTGATATTAATAAAATATCTACATAAATTCTGCTTGTAATGGTAAAAGAAAATAAACAATTACAACTTGTTTTTTCATTCAGATCAGAGCTCCAGTTAAAGTTTAGCACTCTAGATTTCCAATAAGTAAAAAAGATTTCTGTTAAAAAATAGTTCAAGTTATGATTGCAAGATTCTTCTCTCACAGAAGAAAGGGGGTTAAAAATTATTGTAATCATGCATTACCCTGCAATAATTAAAGAGACACTTTTTGACATTGCTTTAAATTTTTCATGAAATACTTGGAGGATAATTTACTTTAGAGTTGTTTAGTTTGTGAGTGGGTTCAGTTCGTGAGTTCAGTGGTAATAAATGTATTCTTTAAAATTTGATGTTGATTTGTTATAAAGTAATTGTGACCATCCAGATGTATGAGTAATTCAAATATTCAGATTAAAAACTGTGATAAACATGTGATATTTTTAAAAGCTAACAAAATTTTAAAATTTCTGTTAAACTTTATTGATGTTTAATTGCAACTATTACGAGAAAAATCTGGTTGAAACTTAAAATTAGCACCTCTGTTTATGCAAACGTAATTCGAAATCAGAAGATTTTCCATTAAAAATAAAAGTATTTTCTCATAATATTAAAATTATGAAAAGTTTTCTTGAAAGTTTTTTCACACTTTTGATTATTAATCATAATCCAAATGTTTAAAGTGTATGTATTAATTTTAAAAATAAATTATTTTATTTTATCAAAATAATGCATTTATCATGTTAATGTAATAATAACATGGCTTTTAAAGAATAATATGTTTTAAAACCTTTTAGGTTGATCAAGAATTTTTAATACTTGGATCTCAGTATTTGACAGAATTACGAGATCGAATACAATGTGTTTCTGACAAGGCAATTCCAGGAGATTACAGTGAAAATCCTTTTCAAAATATTGAAATTACTTGTAAGGTGATGTAAAATTTTGAAATAAAATAAGTTTGGAATTTTATTGCAATAATACTTATATAACTTCTAACTATCTAAATTGTTTCATTTTTATTTCTTTAATGAGTTAAATTTCATTTTGCTTATGCTTGTAGTGTATTTAATCAAATGCATAAGAGCTTTCCTGGTTAATAAAATTTTCTTTATTGTGTAATATCTTTATTTCTTAGTGTCTTTATTTCTGATATTTTTTTATTCCTTTAGAAATAAGCTAAGTTAATTATTAATAATTTGCTCCTCTTAGTAGAGAAGAGGTAACTTATTGTAAATTTGTTTTACACTCTCTAATTTTGTAAAAATTGTTTTATGAATTAATAGTTTTCATAATTGTGACTTAATCTTTTGTGATTTATAAAATTTTACTTATATGGTTGTAGTAATTACTCATATATTTGATAATCTTCATATGTAAAATATTCACTATAAGTACCAAAAAAATAAGAAAAAAAATAGTAAAAAGACTTATAGGTCAAAAATAAATTTGTATTTTATTTAGAAGTATACAAGAATTTTTTTTATATATTTTTTATTATAAAAGTTTGATTATTTTCGTGGTTTTGATTATTTAAAGCCAGGAAAAAGAGTTGTTTTTATTATTAGAACTTACTAATAATAACATTTGTTAGAGTTTTCTCAGTAATCTTTTCTTAAAGATAAAAAGAAATCATGATTTTAAAAATATTTTTAAACTAACTGAATACCCGTTTTGTATCAAGCAAAGAAAAGTAAACAGCCATCAAATCAGTGTCGAACATCACAAAAAAAAAAGAAAAAAATTCACAAAACTGAAATTCACATACAAACAAAATTAATAGAGCAAAAATAATTTCAATTATTTTATTTATTATTATTTTTTGCCCTTGGTAATGACTTTAACATTATTAGATTTTTAAAAAAAAATGCTTTTTTATTAGTTGTTCATCCCATCGTAATAAATTAGTTGTATTCGGTATCGCTTGGCATAGTGCTTTTGCTCAAAACCTTGAAAAAAAATTATAGATTTAAAAAAAAAATTATAAAAATAGAGAGAGAGAGAAACAATTAATTTGAGTTGGAGGTATACATAAAAAGATAGTTTTATAATAAATTTTTTGAAATTGTTTGTTAGCAATTTTAAAGGCAAGTTTTATGTATTGTATGTATAAGAATAAGGTATATTTGAAAAATTAATTATAAATTTTATGACACTGATTGCAAAAATTTGGGTAATTTGATATAATCTGTCTAGAAAAAGCAAAGAAAAAGGCACAAAAAAAGTTTTTTTTTTTTAATGTTTGTGGCTACTTCAGCTAATTCAGAAATTTCAGCTAATTTACTATTAGAGTAATCCCATTTATGAAAAATGTAAGCAATTTATTGAAGCTGAAAATATTTTCAAAATTTTTTAAATTTATACGTGTAATTTACTTGGAATGTGTGTTTGTACGTCTTTATTTCCATGTTTATCCAATCCATTCTTGCCTAAAATAATTTTAATTTAGGTTGGGTCCAGCGTAGTGGATACCCATTACCATTTATTTCAAATTTTTTTACTTTTATATGCTATTTTTAATATTTTTTTTTTAGAATTTTAAGATATTTGTGTAGTGAAAAATAAAATCAAAAGAAAAACCAATTTAAGTTACATGATGAAACATCAGCTTATTTTTAAACTAAGTACTTAGATTATGATTTATAGATAATGCTTTTTTTTTCCCCTCATAAAAAAAGGGGGGGGGAATGTATACTAATTTGGAAGCATGTTGACTGTGAAGTTGTAAACTTCTTTTAAAATTTTTTCTTTTTCTAACAAACTGTTGAATGCACTATAAAAAACCTGTATCCAATTAAAGGGATCATTTAGCCCCCTAACTACATTACAGTGAACCTTTCATTCTAGATTCAAACTTTTTCAAAAACTATTATGATTTATGCTTTGGAAAAAAAAATCACGGAGAATTTAAATTGTTATTTATTTTTGTTATTATTAACTATTATTTATCTACAGAAATTTTTCCTGTGATTTGATATTTATTTATATATTTAAAGTTTAGAACAATTAAAAGTAGGATACAATCCCTTAATATTATGGAATTTATTTTTCTGTAATTACTTATTTAAGAAATTGCAATTTTTAACTACATTATTTTAATATATTATCTACAAACAATTATATTTCTTTCACTAATATGGTTACATATTACTTCGAACAAAACAGTTTGTTCATATTATATCTCTCTCTTTTGGTACTGTTTGTTTTTATCAAAATTTGTAATGTTTGTTTTTCTTTCTAACTTTATTTTTTGAAATTTTTATAAAGGACTTGCATAAATCTGGTTTCTTTTATATTGATGGGATTTTCTATAATGATATGAGACATCCTGATTGTCGAGATTATAGCGAGTAGGTATATTCCTTTATTCAACAGTTATAATGATGCGACTAAATATTATTATAGTAATTCAGTAGGACCTCAATCGATCATTGTTCATGTGACCATTCATTGTGAATGATATGTGAAAATGATAAATGCAGATTGAGGTAAAATATCACATAATGACTTGAAAATTGATGAAAAGTTATAAATAATTATTAACTTGAAAATTGGTTAATTTCACAATAATTATGGAAATTTTATTTGAAAAACTATGAATTAACTGCAAAAATATTTAAAATGGAAAAAGAAATATGTTTATTTACAGGAGTCTGTCCAGGCCAAATTTACTACCACTTAGCGGTACCTTCACAAGTTCAAATTTAGGAAAAACGGTTGTTTCACAAAATACTTTTTCTTTAAATTTTATTTTTGTATCCCGTAAGAAACGATAAATTCATAGTTTTAACATATTTTTGTGTTGATTTTTTAATATAATTTTTTATTTTCACAAACTATGTCTAAATTTTTACAAAATAGGTATCTCTCCAAAAAACCCAGACAGACCCCTGATTTATTTATTTTAAATAGTTGCAAATTTTAGTTTAAACACACACTTTTTTTTCTCAGTGCAAAGAATAAATTTTCAACATTAGTAACAGATTGCTATTTATTTTTTGAAAGTTTGTGTGAATACAGAAAATTTTTCATTATTTCAAAGGCTTCAAGGCCTTTTGTAAATGTTGGCCTTGATTGAGATTTCATTCTGCCGTCTTTATCCCCGGCCCGTACAACCGTTTCTTGAGCATACAACACCATGAGTTTCAACATTTTCATCAACTAATGCATAAACATTTCAAACATCACATCATGTGATGTTTGAAACATTTTTCATCAACTGTAAAAAATCCTCATGTTCTTCTCAATCATTAGCTTTAGAGTTTTTCTTTTCAGAATGTAATTGCTTAAATTTTTTTTAAAATGTTGCTAGAATTGCTAAATGATATTAAATAACTGAACGATTGGTGCAATCACTGATATATGTGAGAATCTGATAGTTTCAAAAACAATCTAAACAAATATTATTAACATTATAAGAATGACATATGTGTGAAGAGACCATTAAAACAAGACAATGCATATGGGAAAACGAAAGATTCAAAAATAATGGGATTAAAGTTTGAAATCCACACAGCTAACACCAGTATCATTAGGCCATGAATAATGTGGGAAAGATCCACTTGATCTCATCAATTGATTCAAGCATTTTGATGCTCATCGCCAATTTGCATTTATTTTTTTATGTACCACATATTGTTAAACACTAAAATGAAATCTTCTTATCTTAAAAACCAAATAAAATTTCTTATTAAAACGAAATTGAATATTTATTTTTTGTTCTATAAATTGAATTAAACATCCAGTTTTATATGAAAAACAGTTTCGTCTATTTTTTATCTGGGTAGTTTATTTCACTGTAAACGAAACGTTTCAATCTTGTTTAAACTTAATAAATTTTTTTTTCCAATTTTTCCTTACATTATGGTCATTGTGAACTCTTTACTTTTGTGTACATGTGAATAATACTCTTTTACTCATCTCTTTGCTCTTCCATATTTAACAGCATTAAGCAAGAAAGGTAGTACTGAATCTATCAATGCTCTTTGATTTTCTTTTTCTATAAAAATCTATCTTTTTTTTCTGAAAAGATCATTAGGGGGACACTTAGAAATTAAGAGTCTTCACAGGTGAACTTTTTTGTGCTATTTACAGATTTTAAAGACATTATTTTATGTATAGTTAAGGAACTAACTCTAATTTATAAATTTTTTTTATCCTTTTTGAAAGATGACAATTTTTGTGTTTTCTTACTATTAATTGATTTATTTTTTTGTTTTACTAATAATGTCTTTCTAATGCCACTTCTTTTGTAACACCTTTCCAGCACTTTTTATTGTCATAACATTCTCAAAATCTATAAAAAAATGTAATGTCCTTTTGATCTTTTGTTACCTTTTTAATTATATGTAAAATTTAAATTATTTTTCTGATCTACTTTGATTATGAACTGTTTTTCCCTTTCTGGACTTGCACAAAGAAAATGGCTTGACTACCCACATGCTTTCTTGTAAGCAAACTATTAGTTTTATGCTAGATGTATAGAAATAGTGAGGATGGAAACAAAGCTTTCTAAGTTATATCAGTTTAAAATTTTCAAAAGGATTTTTTAAGCTTATTTTTTAGATTAGTTTCTGGTGTTAACCTGCTATATATAACAATATAGATCCCCCCCCCTTCTGTTTATAGATCAGCATCATTTTTTCACTTATATTTACTTAATTCTTTATTTTTTTCCTTATAGTTTTTAATTCTGTTTGACTTATTTATTTATTTAGTTGTTAATTATAAATGTAATTTTTTTCAGTATAATTATGAAATGGTCTGAAAGTGCCCAACGTGGTATTGGGCCTTTTCAGAAGAGGTTGATGGAAAAAACAAAATTTATAGATTTAAACTTACAACTTGGATATCCTTATGTATATGTTCATCAAGGAAACTGTGAGCATTTCATCGTATTCAGTGATTTGATGTAAGTTGCATAATTTTTCCTCTTTGTGCTTTTTTCTTCTTCTATATTTTTCAATTTTGTACATTATTTCAATTTTTCTAGATTTTATGTAAATTATAATTTTTAAAATTTTATTTAGGTTGTTTGGTTCCCATCATAACAATAACAGGAACGAATATCCCCTGTATACTGTACCAAAGCCAAAAAAATGTGTTGTGTGTATGGTCTGTCACATTCATATTGCTGCGTAAGTAAACTGTGACACTATATTATTTAAGTATTTTTTTCTTTAATTAATTTCTGTGAATATACATGTTTTTCTCTTCAATTTCTAAAACCAATGAAACAATTGCAATTTTATTTTAGCTTTTATTATTTATTGTGAGTCCATCTCTATTTCGAACACATATCAACTTAGTAATCAACTCCAAATAATTATTGCGAAATGAATTCCAAATATTTTATGATTAAAAAATATGAGAAGCAGAAGCAGAACTGATGAATGAAGTTAAGAATTTGAGAAGTAAATATGTCACAGAAATTGTAATTTTATGAGCACCTAACCAAATTTATTTAGGTGTTTTGGATTCTAATTGAATTAATTCTTTCTAATTAATTTTGGAAAGAATTAATGATAAATGTAATGTAATTTCGGAAATCTGGATACAACAATATTTTGATAAATCCTGGAATAGAATCAAGTGTCTTGATGAGAAAATAGATGAAAAATTTTTTATAGTAAAATTATTCATATAAAATTTTTTTTCTTCTCTAAAATGTACTTGATGTACATTTTTCTAGATACCAAATTATTTCAGGCGTTAAATGTTTCAATTTTTTTATGGTGGTTTTATGTTAAACAGTGGTTTGAAAACTGGTTACAAGAACGTCTGAAAAAGGAATATTATTGTTAGGCTTTCTTTCAACTATAGATTAAATGCATGTGTCTTTAGAATCATGAGAGTTTCCTTAATTTCTAATTGAGGTTCATCCAATAGAACTAAACAGTCATCAACATAATGAGTCTAGGATAAAAACTGTATGGCTTCAAATAACTAGAGTTCAAAATGGTGTATATATCCTTACATTTACTATTTTGAACTCCAATAATTTTGCATTTTTTCAATCTCAGAAAATATTTTAGTATCATAAATTCTTTTGTTCCGTTAGAATTTTTGACATTAAAGTTTAACTAAGCGTTTATACAGTAGCCTCTCATTTTTGAAGACTATCTAAAGAGAGCACTTTTTGTCTGTGTCTGCTCTAGTCAAAGTTTGCATTATATAACATTCCTTTAATTCAATATATATAAAAATGAATGTATGTGTGTGTGTCTTTTATAGACTCCTAAACCATCCGATGGAAAGCTATGAAGTTTAGCATACAGATAGTTCAAGGCTCGAGAAAGGTTACCATCGACATTAGAATATTTTAAGTCGCACCGTCCGAGTGGGATGAGCGAAAAGCGAAATGGAATTTTCTGTCTGCTTAAGAGTTAACCATTATTTTAAATTTAACGATTCAATTTTTCACGTGTTTTAAAGATATTATCATTGATAATTTTTAGCTTATAGCTTTATTTTATCAAAAAATAGTTTATTGCATGTATTTAAATATTTAGTTATTTTATTTTCACTATGTCAGATAAATTTAATGAACACTATGTGGTCTACGTCACCAAATTTCTACTTTGTCTGATACTACATGCTTTTATTTGAATTATATTAATTCTTTTAAATGTGTTTCTAAAAAATTACTTATTTAAAATCAGCGGTAATGGAATAGAATGTAAATATTTGTGTATTCAAAAGCAAAATTAATGTGAAAGGGGTACTAATTTGTTGAGCAGAAACATCAAGAATTGATGCCAATGAGGCTTAATTAATTAAGGTAACCTATGCATATTGAAATAAAAGAAATAAGCTATGTACTAGAAAGCAAAAGAAATGGAGTAAAGATATTTATTTGTCTAGAAGAACTGTAAGAAATAGTCAAACTATCATTGACGAAAATGATGCTTAATTAATGTTGGTAATATATATTAGTAATTGAAATTAAAAAAAATTACTTCTAAACTAAAAAGTAAAAATAAGTAGAAAAGGTACTTATTCGCATTTTGGGTAACTGTAAAATATCTACATATTATTATTGACTCTTATCTTAACTAAAATTGATAATGTGTATTAATTGAAATAAAATAAAATAAGCTAAGTGCTAAAAAGCCAAGCTCATGGAGGAAAGGTTAATGGAAAATTCATTTAAGAAAACCATAAAAAAATCGCCAGTCACTGATGAAGCTTAATTCATATGTATCACTGACAGTAATATGTAGTACAGGTATTATGGTAATTGGCAAATTGGTTTTGATAAAACTTCAACAACATATTTTCCATAGTTTCTGAAAATATTTTTTCCAGTGGTAACTAAGATAGTGTATTAATATTTTAATGAATTAAAATTAAAAGAACTTTTTCTACCACTACTTAAAATATTTTAACCGTAAATTGAAGGCCAGATAGAGAAATGATCATGCTCCAAAATCCTTATGAAGTTCTAATATTTTTTTAAAAAAAATTCTACTTTAGTTGGCTGCCACTCACTCAAATGTTAAAGGGTTGTGTACCAAATATACTAATATAGGTATAAATGTAGGTATAAAAACAATATTTGGTGATTATTAAAACAGCACCAATCAGTTCTAATGCCGATACTTTGGAATTAAGCGTTTTACGGCCCCACAAAAGGGATATGCACCTGAGAAACACACATTACATTTTAGCTATCATGAATTGGCGTGAGTAATATCATCATGTCAGGTGATGCTAAATACATTTTATCTTAATTCCAATGGTATGAATTACAAACAACGAGCTTTACTTATACTACAATAATGTAAAGACACCGAAGATTACGACATATAACATTATATTAAAAAATTTAAATTATTTTAGCTATATTGAAAAACTTAATGGCAAAACCAGGAAGTGACATTTTCAGAAAGAAAAAAGAACACATGTATCCGAATTATTTCTTTACCAATTTATTAGAAGGTGGGACTACAACTGTTTGCTTTATTTTATTTACCATTGCCTAATTTAAAATAAAAATCATGCAAACATATTAAAAACTAATATGGATTAGTTATGTTAAGATAAAAGTAAAAGCAAAAACAGTTCTGTTACATTAAACAAACCATATTGACGCCACCACTTTATGTTATTTTCTTTATTTCATTAATTCCCTTAAAAATGTCATTCTCCTGGTTTTTCCATCATGCTCTTTAATTTTGTCGGTATATGCCTTTCAGTTTTTAGCATCATTGTGTTGTGTTTTTCAGTATTGATTCTTTTCTTCTTTTTATTCACCCTGAAGAACGGATATTCCGCTAGTTGCATATAAATGTATATAATTTCAAATGAATGATTTTTTGATTTTGTGACTGTAAACAGGGTGGCCACTCACTCTGGAAACCGGGAATTCTCAGGGAATTTTGAAATACGACTAGAAAACCGGGAATTCTCAGGGAATTTCACGTCGATTCTGGAAAATAATTTTGTTGCGCGTCGCCGCTCTTTTCTTCCCATTCCGTTATGTTTAGTTTTTCGGAGCGAAACGCATCTGCTTCATCGCGATCAAGCATCACGTGATTATCCTCCAATGAACGCTTCGTGTCCCCGCGAAAAAGCGGAGATCCGGTTTTTCCCCCCCTAATTTTTAAAATTTCCGACCGTGTTCCAAAAACTAAAATTTTTTGGGAACTCCTATTGGAGAAACCCAAGCCGCCCGAACGATAGTCGGATTACTGCGAATTCCGCTATAGAGTGGAAAAGAGTCTAAGCATTTCGTTTCGACCGCCAATATTAGATTTTTTGTTTCTTTTTTTTTGTTTGGCTGATTTTCGGAATTTTAAATATTAGGAACTGCACCGGAATCTGCTAAAATCGCGATTTTTAATCAGACGATTGTAATATCAATCATCGATTTTCGTATTTAACGGATTTAAAACTTACGTGTTGCAATTTTTTTACGCGATTTAAAAATCGTACTAGCAATTCCTATTCACCCAATATCGCGATTTGTATTTAAGCGTTTTTAAAACCCAATATTGCGATTTGTATTCTCGTGAGTTTAAAATCCAACGTCGCGATTCGAATTCACGCATATTTAAATCCAATTTTGCGATTCGTTATCACGCAGTTGAATATCAGATATCGTTTTTCGTATTTGTACGCTATTTAAAAATTACTCATTGCGATTNTTGTATTCTCGTGAGTTTAAAATCCAACGTCGCGATTCGAATTCACGCATATTTAAATCCAATTTTGCAATTCGTTATCACGCAGTTGAATATCAGATATCGTTTTTCGTATTTGTAGGCTATTTAAAAATTACTCACTGCGATTCGTAATCACGTGATCTAAAAATTATGCATCGTGATTCCTATTTACGCGATTTAAAAATTCAATATCGCAATTTGTACTTTCGTGTTTTTAAAAATCCAACAGCTCGATTCATATTCACGGGATTTTAAAATCCAAAATCGCGATTCATATTCACGCGATTTTAAAATCCAACCGCACGATTCATAATCACGCGATTTTAAAATCCAATATCGTGATTCATATTCACGCGATTTTAAAATCCAAAATCGCGATTCCTATTCACGAGATTTTAAAATCCAATATCGTGATTTGTATTTTCGTGTTTTTAAAATCCAACTGCACGATTCATATTCGCGCAATTTTAAAATCCAACAGCACGATTCATATTCATGCGATTTTAAAATCTAATATCAAGTTTCTTGAAAGAAGTAGAAGTAAGTTTTCTCTTGAGTTAGTTACTGCAAAGATGTGATATATTTTTCATTAGTAAGTAATTTAATAGTCGTGCCTTCCTATAATTGCTTAATTTTTTTTAATATATTAGTGGTCAAAATTTTAAAATTATATTTAAGAAAAATTTAAAGTTAACTGTCTAAATGCTTCTGCCACTTTAAATATTGAATAAAAATCTCCCAGCATAGTTAAAAGTTGCTTTTATAAATCTCAGTATCATATAGAGCACTCCCTCCCCCCCTCCTCCCAGTGATCTGCGTTGTAAAAGTTCAGCTTTTTTTATTTTTGTCCACTTTCATGCCTGATTATAGGGAGTAATTACAAAAAACCATAGCTAGTTGTGATTATTTAGTTATGGGCTTTGATGAAAGTCTAAATAAAATCGCTCAGAAACAACAAATGGACGTAAGTGTTCGACTTTGGAATAAAGATACAAATAAAGTCCAGACACGATATTTGACATCAGTATTTTTTGGTCATTCAACAGCCAAGGATTTGTTGGATAATTTCAAAGAAACCCTTACCCAATTTTCCATCAATAAAAATAAAATAATTCAAATATCTATGAATGGACCTAATGTCAACCATAAATTTCGTAATGATCTTAAAAAAGAACTTGAGGAAATGCCGCAAGATCCTGTGCTGTTAGATATAGGTAGCTGTGGACTGCATACAATCCATTGTGGATTTAAACATGCAATAAAGTCTACAGGGTGGAATGTAGTGGACTTTTAACGGACGCTATACTACATTTTTAAAGATGTACCATCACGTAGAGCTGATTTCGTATGTTTCACTGGATGTGAAAAATTTCCAAGGAAATTTTGTGCAATCCAATGGGTTCAAAATGTAGAAGTTGCTGAGAGGGCATTAGAAATGTTGCCTCATATTTTCGAATTTGTGAAAGCAGCAAAGAAGGAGAAAAAAATCTATGTTGGCTCAAAATATTTCAGTGTACTCTCGGAGTGTATCAAGGACAGTTTCTTTGCTGCAAAATTCTCATTTTTCCAATCATTAGCTGCTTTTATTGAAACATTTCTCACAGAATTTCAGAGTGATGCTCCATTAGCTCCTTTACTTTTCTCTAATTTAACATCAATTTTAAGATCTCTTCTTGATAAATTTATAAAACCCGATATTTTAGTGGAGAACTCTTCAAAATTAGGTAAAATAGATTTGTCATTGGCAGATAATCTGCTTCCAATCAACAAAGTTGCTCTCAGTTTTGAAGTTAAGGTTGAAATAAGGAAAATAAAAGATTCTTCACCTTCTGAAGACTTTTCATTTAGGAAAAAATGTGCAATTGCTTATAAAAAATTCTGTTAAAAGATTTCAGAAAGATCACCTTTTAAATTCCAGTTAACAAGGGGGCTATCTTGTCTTGATCCTGGTGTAATTTTAAATACATCTATTGCTGAAAAACGGCTTTCATCTTGCCTTTCAATGTTGGTATCTAGATATTGGATATCAGGTATCAAGGCTGACAGTGTGAAAGATAGTTACAAAACTTTCATTCGGAATCCTCTAGTTAAGAAAGAAATAGAGCAATTTGAGAAGAGGGAAAAACGACTGGATAATGTTTTCTTCTCTCTATTTGAAGTTTGCAATGCACCAGAAAATTTATGTTCCTTTGTTAAGTTTCTCCTCATATTGTCACACGGAAGTGCTTTTATAGAAAGAGGCTTTTCTATTAATTCAGATTGTTTAATAGAAAATCAACATGAAGATAGTTTAGTTGCTCTAAGGCAAATTCATGATGGTGTTATGGATGCTGGTGATGCTGACAATATAACTGTGACGAAATCCATGATAAACTATGGAAAACAGTCTCACACACGTTATATCGAAGTATTAGAAAAAAGGAAGGAGGCAAAATGAAAAATTAAAAAAAGAATTGCACGCTAAAAAACAAAAATTTACGGCTGATTTTTATTTAGAAACTTCTTTAATTGATGAACAATTAAATGCTATAAGAAATTAATTTTTAAAAGTTTTCAATTATTCACTTGTTGAGCTATTTATACTGTACAATTTGATTAACTCCACTTTTTAAAACATCTTAAACTTAAGTGTCAAAGAATATATTATTATATATATAGGTATATTTTTTATATTTGTATTTAAAATGAGTTTCCCAGATAATATAAATGAACAACATTATAAACATTATATTTTTGGCTTTTCATTTATTGATAATTTATTTCACAAGTAATTTCGATCTCAATTCTAAATTTTTAGTTTGATGGAGTTGATCAATTTATAACAACTATATAACAACTTTTTATTTTATACAAAATAAAGTTTTTAAAATTCCTTGAAATGTAGATTTTTATTTTTATAATCTTTATAAACTATTATTAATTTTTAAGTTTATTTTTATGGTTGAATATACAGCAGTTATTTTTTTATATGTAAATTTTATGACTGCTATTTCAATAATCTATATTTTTAGCAGAAATATGTGTATTAATATATATTTTTTGGTGCTGGAAATGCCTAACTTTTTACACCTGTTTTATCAGAGAACATTTACACTTTTTTCCTCATTCCAATGTGTCATCAGATCTTGTAAAGTGTATCCACATTTGTAAAAGAAATTCATACAACACATTTTAAATGCATCACAGCTGTATATATAATTTTTTTTTATTTACTGTGTATCTAATAAATTTATGAAGTCTCGTTAATGTTGCGTTGTGGTATCTGGAATTTTAGAAATTTACTCTGGAAAGTCTGGAAAACTCAGGGAATTTTTTTTGGTCTGGAGAGTGGCCACCCTGGTAAATAAATTTTTCTACTTAAAAAGAAGGAAAATAATTTACGATTTAAAACGCTGTTTAAAATAAATTTGAATTTGAATTATTTTTTAAAGTAATATTATCAGATATTGTATTTTTTGAAAATAAAACTAGTCATGCATTTCACTTCAATCAATAATTTTCTTATATAATTTATGATTTAATTGCTAACTCATTAATTATTTCTATTTGTCCCTATTATATCTATATAATATCAATTTTCTTCTGTTTATTAAAAAGTGAAATAATATTTTTTTTAAAAAAATTGAAGATACTACTTTAAAACTAACCAACTTACTATACATCTTATATGACTACATAGAATTCTGATAATTGAAAATTTTACCAAAAAATTCCTGACAAATTAGCTAAGATAAGATGGATTTTAAATCCTAATTTTTGAAGATTTAATTCCATGTTGTGTGAACATTTGAAGCTTGATAAAATTTTTCTATTTGCATTTTTCAGGTGGATAGTTTTCAATAACCAGCGTGTTCCTGAAACACCATTTTATTTTTGCAAGTCCTGTTTTTTTAGCTTTAATTATGATGAAGATGGAAAAAAAATTGGAGAATTTGAAGCATATCATCATATTGATCGAAGTACCATCCTATGAAAGATATTATTGTTTCATCATGTCCATTATTCCTTTTCATTTATTTATTTTCTTTTTTCTTTTAAAGAAATATTGATTTTGTATATATTTTTTTTTCATTGTTTAAAGATTTTTCATTATTAAATAAATCCTCATATCTGTCATTTTGTTTCAAACATTGCTCATTATTTTGTATGCTATTATTAGCAATAAAATTCTCATTTTAACTTTAGTGTCAAAAAATTAAATTTTTTTCTGTAATGCTCATTTATATTAAGGATTTGTATTTTTCTAAAACACGGTTATTTCTCGATTGTGAGATGAAATATCTGAAATAGAAAGATATTCTAGAAAAACCCAAATTGAAATAAGTTTTTTCACACAAGATATTAACAAATTGAGTTTCTTTATACTATGAAATGAAATATAATTTATATTGCCTCCACTGTACTATGCCTCCATTTTAAGAAGCAAAAAACTCAAAATCGCTCTGCTAGGGAGGCCCTTTCGTATTTGAAAATGTAAAAATCTCTATAAAAAATGTTTTTTATAAATCACATTACGTCATTGATAAATTTAGATTAACATAGATATGCACTGACTCAATCTGAAATTTAAGGTGGTTAGCAGGGTGGACACCCACCTGGAATTATCAGAGAATTTTTTTATACTGGAAGAATCAGGAAAATTTTAATAAAAATCAGGAAATTTTAAAGAAAAGCTGGGAATTTTTTCTTCAATTTTTTTAACTCTATTGTACTCCCATCCAAAAGAATTTTTGAATTATTTTTTCTCAGCCGAGCCAACCAATCACACATTTTCTTAGAATCGCTAACAGCAATGTATGTCGACAAATTGTTTCATAATTGCTAATTTTCACGATTTCGTTTGAACCTTTTATAACATATTTAAATTTTTTTTAAAAATTTTAAGAACTAATTATATATTAATATTTAAATTTACTGTTTTGTTGTTAAATATTTGATTCAAAATTCGAATTGTATAATAATGAAATTCACAAGATCGAAAGTTTAAAAATGTTGCTTGTATTCCAGGGATGATATTTTCAAAACTATTTCTACTTTTACCCTAAAAAGCTAACAACGACTAAGGCATGTATGGGAAACATATTAAATGATGTATAAACGTAAAATATATTTTTTTCCCATTCATATGTGTTTATTAGGAAGAAGGAAAGCAATACTTTGTTTTCATGTTCGACACGGAACAGGTGCAAGTTTCTAGTTGTAAAAACATAAACAATTAGCTACGCTAAATTAAAAAACCATGTGTTTATTAACCATGTGTTTTTTCCATTAAGTATGCAACAAGAAATGAGACAATTTTGCATTAGTGACGTTCATTTTTGTATACTGAATCTCTTAAAATAATATGTTAAAAACAATATTACTATTTAAAAATTTGACTTATTGGTTTATTGGACATTTGTTTAAAGAAAATATGATCAATGAATTTTATAAGAAGCTCTGTTTAGATAAAATACAGTATAAAATGGCTTTATATTGAAATGTAAATACAGTGACTCACAAAAGTGTTCATACACTTATGACTTTCAATGAAATAAGACCAGTACTGTCTTCACGCATGGGCACCACCAGGCAGTGCTCAAGGGCCCCAATCACTCAGGGGACCCCTAAGAATCTCACTTTTTATAAATTGTATTTAAAAAAAGACTAAAAATAAACAAAATTGCCTTATATATTTTTTTTAAATAAATATATTCTATTGTATAAAGAGTGTAATTTGTTTTTCTTTCTTCAAATAGTGATTGATTATCATGCAAACAACAATAATTTGAACAGTTTATCACCAGGGAAACATAAAAAAAAACAAGCGTAATCTATTTTTCTACGTTCCAATAAAGTTTTTATGAGAATTAAGTTTTTTTGTGTCTACTAAAAATAAATTTAAATACATTTAAATCAAAATTTGTTCATTTAATTTAAGTTTAATATTTAAATTTGTTCAAATTATTGCATATGTTAAAAATGCTTTATTTTGTGTATGTGAAGTTTTTTAGTTCGATTTTTAGCAGTATGACCTATGTAGGTCCCAAAACATTTCTCTGCCTAGGGGCCCTGCGTGTTATTAAGACGACCTTGAATGAGATTATCTATTAATTAAAATGAATATTTCAGCTTGGATATTAAATAATAAAAACTATATTCTATTCTTAGCTGAATTGTATGGAATATATTTAAAAAACTCAAAAGTTTATTTTTAAGGAATCAATCATCAAAAAGTAACAAAAACTTTATTTCACAAAAGTCATTGTATACTTTCAAAGGATTTTTTCTCCTGCAGTAAATATTCTAATTTTTTGTTAAAATAGCATTCAGTAGAGTTTCTTTTCGCATCTACAATGGCTTTTAAAAGTCTTTAAATAAATGTAACTAGTTTTTTTTTGTCAGGGTGAAATTCGAGTGAAATATTTTTTTTTTTTTATTAAATTTTACAAAACTTTTACAACACTCAGTTGTGAATTTATGAATTTTTCCCCAAATTTTATAATTTTAATCTCTGGTATGAAGTCGTTCTTTTAAGCATTTTATTTCATAATGCACTGTGGAATAGGACACAATAAACTAATTGAGCAATATTCAATACTGATTTACCTGGTATGATGACAAATAATCAACTGTCAAATATTGCCTATTGTTTTATTACAACTACAAGCCATTTTTAAATGTTAAAAGAAAATATTATGGAGTTAGCTAGTAAAAATTAAAAATATAATTTTGCTATCATAAGTTTCATACTAAATTGCAAATAAACAAATTATTAAATGAAAAATAATTGAATAGAAAAATTAAAGCAATAAACGATAATTTTAATTCGAAAATCCGAAACATTTAAGTGTCTGATGATTTTTTTGAGGCAAAATTTTTGTTACTTTTTGATTGATTTCTCGAAAAAACTTTCCCTTTGTTTTTAAATATTCCACGCAGTTTTATTAAGAATAGATTATACATCTTATTATTAAATACCCATTCAGAAATATTCATTTTAATTAATGAATAGTGCCCTATTTCAATAAAAGTTATAAGTGAGCAAACACTTTTGAGAGCCACTGTAATTATAAAAATTTGTTGTTGTATAATCATCTGGAATGGTTTTCTTTTGCTTACTGAATATACATATATATTTGGCAATAGTTATCCAAGGTTTTTTTGGTCATTCTGTACTTGCCATTTGGTAGGTAATCAAAACTACTTATTTGAGCAAAAACTACTTGAAGTTTTTTTTTTTTGGTTAATCGCGGGCACTTGGGTCTAGAATTACTTGAAGTAACGCATTAAAATTATTTTATTCAATAAATACAATATAATAACAAGCTAAACATACTGTTTTCTTCACATATCTTTTTTTTTTTAAATTAATGTTGTATCAAAACAATAAAAAACAAAATCTTGCCAAATTGTTCAAATAAATTTAGTCTAATTATTTTTTCACGATGATGTATAAAAAATAACGTTTTAAATAAAACACTTTATACTATTGACATTTTTCTTGTACCCATTCAGGGAGAAAAAAAAAAAAAAAAACAAGCTGACCTGGAAATTTTAAAATTTTTACTTGGAAAAATCAGGGAAATTTGAAACCTGATTTGAGTGGTCACTCTGGTTAGTAATCATGTAAAGCATAGGTTTTTAACAGGAGATGAGTCGCCTTGGTGGCTGGTGTTTACTTTAAGTGGGATGCTAACAAACTAATAGGTATTTGAGGGATATTATGATTTTCTAGAAGACTATTAAATTCCTAAATTTTTGGTTTCGTATGGAAGAATTTGCATTTCTAATTTTCAGTATATTATTTGTTTGAAGCAGCTATGTTATTAAAATTATTATTACTATTATTTATCAAGAGGAAGACAAAACGCTTTTTATCGATGACAAGAAAATACAATATAATACTTATCAAAGGGCTGATGTGCCCTTCAAATAAACTTAAAATTTCTTTGATCCTGCGACTTTGCTAAATTTTGCCTAAAAGTTTGATTTATTCTTCAACTTAACTAAGCATGAAGCCTAAAAGTGGTCAGAAATTTATTCAAGTCATTAAAATTCATTCTCTTCTTTTATAAATTTTTATTTTCTTTTCACTCATTTTATTTAGCACTTTATTAAAGAATTCTGAATATAACAATGAATTTATTTGTATAGTTTATGTGTTTCTTCTGTTAATAATTCAAAGAGATATTGAAATATAGTTGTTCTTTTGTTGACTTACAAAATGTAACTCTCAGATTTGATTTTAAGATGTATTTAGTCATGGTGCAACCCAATTTCAAGAGGGACAGAATTAAAATAAACAACCGCAAATAGCTCTCTAAATTTCATATGTAAGGAAAAAATTCTTATTTATTTCTGCTAAATATTTGCAAGAGAATTAATTACTTTTTATTTTATCTCTTTTTCGCTTTAGCCTTGATGAATTTAAATCGATGATTATTTATAGAAATTTATCTGAGTGTGTCTTTTAAAGATTTCATATTACTGTGGGAGTTATGTACCCACTGCAACCCCCTCCAACAAAGCCCTTGAGACTTAACTCAGTCTTCCTTTTACCAAAGCATACATAGCTATTGCATTGCAAATTGATATAATAGTATATATTTCTAATATACCTAATATTTCTAAAAATAATATAAAATCATAAACAACATCTCTGATTTCTCTCTCTCTCTCTCTCTTTTATATGTATATTAAAAGATGATTTATTTAACTTGAAAGTGACTTATTTACTTTATTTTTATTCAAATGCTTAAAAATTTTACAACTTAGTTAATTTTATTAAAACAAGTTTAAAAAACGTGACCAATGAATGGTTTTGGAATTCAGTTTATTTAACTAATTAAAATTAATAATTAATTTTTTATAATAACCAATAACTATTAATGATAATTAATTTTAGTAACTTAAATGCATGGATGCAGAAATGCATCATGATAAATTTTAAAAGATTTAAATAGGACTAAAAATACCTTTTTTTCCTCCCAAAAAAGCTGGAAATATTATGATGTAAAGGACCGAGTTTAAGGTAAAGTGTTCAAAGAGAAAGAAGTGAATTACTTGCTAAATATTTTTCTTGAGAAAAAGATTTTATAAAGAATAAAACAATTTTTAAAATAAAATTGATAATGATGTTGTGAGTGAAAGTGAAAATAAATGTAAAGTATTTTATAATTTAGAGAAGTGTGCATGAGCAAATTTAAAAAAGAATAAACTTTTACTTTCGGTGCCTAGGTATTTAAAAATATTTAAGAACATAATCTGCTTACTCTGAATCAAGCTTTAAGATCTCTTTTAAAGCTTTTTTATTTCCCCGCCAGATGACGCAGAAGCAATAAAATTACTGCCAAATTTTAGGAGCTATTCGCACTGTATATAAGAAATTTACTAATTCCAATTTTTCGTGATTAAATTTCGTGTCAAACCAATCAGGTTCCGAATTACATGACTGAATTCTTTTTTCAAAGTTTTTGTATGCAGTGAGAATAGGACCTTTCTTTTTTTGTGATATGGGAATCGTAATCGAAGTTCAATCTAATCATAAATTATTTTTTTATTATTCTTTGCATTTCACAGACAATTATAAAGATAAACGCCGGAAAATTTACTGTTGAATTTTTTAGGCTTTAGTTGTAAAGTAGAAATAAAACTGAGTATATCTTATTTGATAAGATTTAAGTAAGTACCTACTTGTAAATATCTTGCTTTTATGAGAAGTATTTTTATGTTTTCTTGATGTAGCATATTATCGGTGTTCTTTTTCACGATTTCCTAAGTGAACTACAAACTGTTCCGAATGCTTTAATTTTCTAATGTTATTTAATGTTTGAATATATTTTTTAGTAAGTATGAGTAGATACTTTAAAATATAAACAGTATAATTAATTAATGAACATTTTGTAGCTTCCAGCTGTGCCGACATTTTGAAAATGGCGATTTGAGTTCTTGATTATAGTTTCTCTTAAGACCACTTTTTTAATTTACCTCGTACGTAACAATCTTAGTTTGCAGGTTTAGTTTTGTAAAAAAAGCTTTTGGTACACAAAATGAAATATAAGCATATCTTAGATTCTTTCCTCGAAGTACCTACCTAAAAATGTCTCTTTTAAATTTATATGTCGAATTAATCTTATTTATAAACAATTTTGATTACTGTTTAAAATTTTTTTTAAAAATCTCATTTACTGAATATATAGTCAGCTTTATAAATCACTTTTTTTGCATGCCTTCACATTTTAATTATCATTATTAAAATGTTTAAAGATTGGATTTAATGTTCTTTTAACATAGATTTTATATTCTCCAAACATATTAATATTTGAATTATTTTTTTCAGGTGAAGATTTACTGTGTCACTTTTTTTTTACCTTTCCCATTCCATTAGAATTTTATTTTTATTAGGATGACTGATATTGGTGAGTAACTGAATTTTTCTTTAAAGTGTGTTTTATAGTATTTGGTTCTTTTCTTAATTGATTCTTTGTCTTAGTAGGTCCTTACAAAACATCAATTAAGCGTGAAGCATCTCAAGACATGGGTGATAGTGAAGGTCCACCTAAACGTCCTAGGAGCGGTGGTCGTGCAGTTGACGTTCGATTTTTAGTACAAAGTAAAGTAAGTGTATTCGTAGTTCTTGTTTTTAATCAATTGTCAGATAGTTATATTGTTTATACTATTTTGAATACTGTAAAGCTTGTATAATTTCAGAAGGTAAAATTTTTTTCCAACTTTCATTAAAATTTACCTAATTTGAAAGTTTTCTTAAAAAGTTTTCCAAAAGATTTCCTTGTTCATTTATTTATTAATACTTATTTTCTACACTATTACTTGCTTCAATTGTTAATTCCTCTAGTTTAGTTATTTATATTCAAAATTTTTAAGTTATTTGTATCATAGAGCGTTAATATTCTCCAATAGGCTATGAACTTTTCTACCAATAGTGCTTAATATCTGACAGGGTGACTTTTACCTGGGCATTGCACTTTAAGCTGCAATGTTTAAATATTGAATCATAATTTGATCAATTGTGAATGCCTGGACTATGAAAATAAATTTTAACTAGCATTTGTTCTCTAAACTCTTAAAGTAGTTCTATGTGTATGAATTTATTTATTTCGAATTTTAAATGTTATGCTGTTCATTAAAAAAAAAGTTCTGATGATCTGCTACCGGATTATTGGGAGTTCGTAGTAGTTGAAAATGAAATGTTTAAAGTTTAAATATAAAAATTAAAAAAAAAAAAAGAAACACATTGAAATGACAATTTGAAAGGAATACTATTTTTTCTTCTAGCTTACCTGAATTTAAGTTGATGACTAGGTTGACAATACATAAATGAGAAAAATTGAAATCCTTTATCAAGATTAGGTTCTCTGTAAAATTCGCCAATTCCTGTTATCGGAATAGTTGGTCTTTACACCCGATGTAACATTAAGAAAGAAAAAAAACTAGTTACAATTTCAAAAAATATATGTATATAAGCTTATACATGATTCTTTCACCCATTGTGCAACTGTTACTATATCAAGTTTTCTTAAATTCCCGCTTTTTGTTATGAAAAAGCTCCACATGTAATTTAGATAGCCATCATTGTAATATTTTAGTGTGTGCCAAGTTGCACTAAACTGTTCAATTCTTAATGGATTTGAAATGCCTGAATGAATGTTCTTTCATTTTTGCTTTAATTAGTGTTCTGCTTAATGTGAAGAAACTGTTTTCAATTCTATTAATTGAAACAAGCGTTTATTTTTATTTTAGAATGCTGGTGCAATTATTGGAAAAAGTGGTTCAAACATAAATAGGTTAAGGACTGATGTGAGTAAAATTAGATTGGTTAATGTATCATAATAGTTGATAGTTAAGATTTGTTTATCTGAAAAATCCCTGTTTAAATACTTTATTATTTTTCAGATTATTTCTTTAATATTGGAATCTATTTCACATTAAAATGTAGTTAGAATAATACATTAAAAATTAAGTACCTGTCAGAAGTGACTTATGATTCAAAAAGTTTAAAAATTCAGGCACAGTGAATTATATGAATTTTACCTTGTCGGGCCATTCTGAGATCTTATATTACTGGAAACACTTATCACATGGTTATAATAGGCCTGTAAACTTCAATGGTGGCTTGTAACACCCATAATTTTTTTTTTGTTTTTAAAAAGTAGATACTATAAAATTTACATTACTTGGAAGAGTTATTTTAAAACAAAATCTTAAATATACATTTATTATTACAAGAGAGTTAAAGAAAAAACACTATTTTTTTAAAATAATTTAAGTAAAAAGTTTTATTAATTTTATTGTTCATATTTTTTAAAAAAATTTAATAGTTTATGTAAACTCAAAGGCCTTTGGTGTAGAAATTTGGAAATAAAACTGAATAATGATATAAATAACAGATTTCTTTTAATAATTGTTTTAATGTATATCTGTAATTTTTAAGAGGCATAAGTTTATATACTTTTTTTTTATAGCCCAAATTTAAATGGTACTTAAATTTTATAATGATGGAAGCTATGTTTCAAAGAATAAAGGATACTAACTTTTGGTTAAATTCCATCAAAAAAAAATTTTTTTTTTTGGCATTATAGTCATAGAATATTTTATTTTAAACCAACGATAGTTCTTAACAAAAAGTTGTAGTTGAAAAGGCACTTCAAAATTACTAATTCTAAATAATTTGATAGAGGGATTTTTGAATAAATAAAATAAAATGAGCATTTTGAGAAAATTATTCTATGCATAATTCATATATATATATATATATATATATATATGATAAATAGTTANATAGAATAGAATATATATATATACATAGAATATATATATATATATATTTGTTAAAAGTACGTACTATTTCTATATCTTTTAAAGTTCAGTTATAAATGATAAGGTAGTTCAAGATCTTATTTTATTTTGAACCGTTTGGGAGCTACTTTGAATTATTGCTCAATATTTGAAATTTTAAAGTAAGATAGTACAAATCGTTTGTAAATTTTATAAAAAATTAGCATAATACCATAATTGTCAACTGTTGAGTATAATATGAACAAATTGTTAGATTTTCACTTATCAATTTTTTATAACTTTTGTTTGGGGGCATTAAATATTTTTTATAAATCTGTACAGCTTTTTGATGGACTAATATAATATATTTGCTTAGTTTACAGATTTGAAAACATAAGTTTGTCCATGTGGGCTTATTTCTTTAGGAAATTTAGTAATAAAAAATATTGCTAATTACCTCAATATTTGTCACTCATTATGCTGTATAGATTAATTCTAGATATGTTTTTCCTGTGAATTATTTGGGCTAATGAATTAACCTTTCTTTCCCTTATATGCCCTGTCCTCAACATGGTTCACCCTTTGCCCTGCCTGTGCTGATGACATTTTATCTTACTTGAAAATTTATTGCCACCTAAAAATATGGAATTCTGATCTTATATGGATATCTGCATTTCGAACATGACTAATCATGTTCTGTATTCTCCACAATTTTGAATGCCCTTGCGGAAATGGGTCCCTCACCCCTGAAGTTCTCAGCAAGTGTTACAGTTCCCGACTGCCCTGGCCCAGAACGGTATGCTCTTGTGACTTTGCCCCTTTTACATTTTTACTTTTCTATACTTTTATGATTTTCAAAATCTGATATTTAGCGACAGTTATTTCATGCTTTGCTTTGTAAAAAAAAAAAATTTCTTTGCACAAGGTCTTGCTTTTAAAAGAATAAAAAGATTTTTTTTTTGTTTAAGTCGTAATACAAGACATTTTTGCAATTATAGGTTATACAAACAAGTTTAGAAATAATTTGTCTTGAATTAAAATAATTATTTTTTTCGGTAATTAAAAGTTTAAATACAGTGGAGAAATTTAACTAAGATATGTCTTAATTTTTTATTTGAAATAACTGTTATGAGCTAAAAAATTTCTCTAAAGAAAATGAAGCAACAAAGAATTATAAGGCAAATTATTGTATTTTTGTTCCACCTGGCCTGTTTTGTACGCCTTTACTTTTTTATAATGAAATACATATTTAAATGCATTTATTTTAAAATATGCATTAACATAAACAAGGTGCAACCTTATTTGAAGCTGGAGTTAAAAACATCTTTTTACATACTCCTTTAGTTTATCATTTCTTAAAGCAATATATTCATTATTATGAGATTAATTTTCAGGTTTCCACATTTACTTTTAACACATCTGATTTTTTCGATATACTTTAATATCGCTAATGTTTTCTTAAAGCTATGGTTCAATTGTCATTCAAGGTATTTTTTCATAATATCGATTTTTTTTTTTGTTGGAATAAAATTTGTTTGAAAAAAAAGCTATTTTATTATGCTACATTAATTTGAAATGTCTAATGTTGATAAAGTGAAAAGAATGTGTGAGATAATAAAAATTAAAAAATATTTTTGCTTTGTATATAACTTTTTGTAATTATAGGGAATCAATGAAAGGTGTGCAGAAAAACCAGAATACATGAGTAACTTATCAGATTTTCATGTTCTTATATGCAATCATTGTCATTCAATGGTTAGGCCTCAAATGTACTAATTAATACAAGTAATTTTAGAAATTATGAAATCTTAAATTCATTTTCTTAAGTGGAATTCTCTTTTTTACGAATTCCTATTTTTGTCCTTATTAATGTGGGCAGGGTTGCCACAGGCGACTAAAATGCAACTATTTTCAGCATGAGGTGACTATGGCAAATTTTTTTTTTCCTGCCTGAGAAGGCTAAAAAAGAAAAAGCCAAAGAACTATTTTCTGGCAAAGAGAGTATTGGGAGACTTTTCTGTACTACCGGCAATGTTTTTCTAGCATAAATTTGGTTGAAAACCTGTGGCCCACAGGAGATTCTAAACATTCATTTTTTTTTTTTTTTTTTTGTTTAAAAAATAAAAATTTTGAATTGCAAATTTCAGTCATCACTTTCTTAATTTGCTCAATTTGCACAGATTCCATTACAAGTCTATTTTGTTTCTCAATCATCTTTTCAACAGTTATTGCTACAAAATTCTGCTAGCTTTAAAAAACTAAACAAAAAACAAATTTATTACGATGGGTGAATTTCGAATTTGAGTAATCACCATTTCACAGTTTATATATATATATATATTTGCTAAGTCAATTATTGACAAAAGGGAAATTTGTTTTAGAAAAAAGTATGTTCTTTTTTTAATGAAAGTGTTTTTTCAATAAGTTCTAGTAATTAAAAGTATATAATTTTCTGCAAATATACAAATTTTTTTGATACAAAAATTTTGTGCTAGATCACTAACGTTTATATAAAAATTATATTGGCCACCAACTTGACTAAATGAATCATGGTATATGACAAGTCATTTAATGAAATTTTAGTCATATTTTTGTTCGTATTTAGGCAACTATTTTCATGCATTTTGGCTACTAAAAGCAACTATTTTGTTCATTTTTTTTCTGGCAACCCTGTATGGGGAATAATTATAATCAGGAAAACATGGGGTCCTAACAAGAGAATGGTTACAACATAGAATATCTTATCCTTGGTTTTACTCCTTTTTTTCATCTCACCAAAATCATTGAAAATTAAAGAAATTAAGGAGAAAAAAAGTTGAAAAATAAAAAAAAAATCAACCCCAGCTTAAATTCAGGCCATTTTGTGACCCCTTAACAAAGTTCAAATTTTAAAAAATGCCCCCTTCACAAAATTTGAATTTGTAAAAACACTCCCTTTTCATAAAGACTGCTTCTTCGCAAGGTTTCGCTTTATAAAATTGATCACACTTGGTGGATTCTTGGAACTTAATAAATTTCGGCTTGAACTGAACCTGTGGTTAAACATCAGAAAAAAAGCAAATTAAAAAGTTAAGTGTCGCAAATCATGCTCACTCGATTTTTAACGAACAGATTTTGTATTTGTGTGGATCTTTGCAGTTTGATTTCTATTCCATGACATGTTAAAGCTTGTGTTAGGATAGTTGTAGTTTTTGATTTCTATTCCATGACATGTTAAAGCTTATGTTAGGATAGTTATAGTTTTTGATTTCAATTCATCAAACAAAATAATAGAACGAGTGAAAGGTTAAGAGTTAGCAGAAGAGCTTTTTCCTACAATGTTCACTTTACTTTTGTCAAAAAAATTTTGATGTAAGTATGTGCTATCTTGTAAGCAACTAATTACTCCAACTAATAACCATTTATAAAGACAAAGGCATTGTAAGAAATGTAAACCTTTTACTTTATCAAATTACTGCTTATCCCCCCTTTTTTTTTGAAATATTGATATTAAACATAAAATGTAGTAATTGCTAAAACTGGATGCTTTAAGAAATTTTCACAAAAATTTCTACTTTTCACATTAATGGGTCTAAGATAATAAAACCTGAGGCAACCCATGATAAAATTAACATTTAAACATTTTTTCTTACATTCTAAAATTATTTTTATTACTTTCATTGAAACATTTTTTGAAATGTAAGATACATAAATTCTTACATTTTTGACTAATCAAATGATTTGACATTAGAAAGCAAATTGAACAGGTCATATGTATTTAAATTCCAAATTATAAAGTATTCTTCAAGTTTTGTAGCTCACTAAAATAAAAAATAAATATTTGAGGCACTTTTAAAAGATAAGTTATTTATTATTGAACATTTTTGAAAATTTTAGATTTTTTCTAAAAACTAATAAGTATTGTAGAGAAATAGATTTTGTTTATAATTGATTTTAAAATGTATTAAAGAAGAAAAAAAATAAGTAATATAAAAAGTTAAGAACAGAGTAAAAAAAATTTAATGAGTAGATTTTACATTATGAAATATTAGATATATATATATATACTATGAAAGTAAAACTGAAATAAATTTTATCAGGCATAAATGTTCATAACTGTTGCTTTTTACGCTTATGTGAATCTGGTAATTGGGTCGATACAATGTTTTGAATATAAAAATCTTAAGTTAGTAACTTTCATTAAAAATCAAATTAAAAAAGAAAACCCTTCTAATATTGATTTCTTTAATTTATAACTGAAAAATTAAACAATACTTCTAACAATTAATTTTAACAAGTAAGCAATATCTTGTCTTTATCTTTATTGATGTGGTATTTTAAATGTGGACTAAATGAGCTTTGACATGTGAAATAGCATGTTATGACATTTGTTCAGACTTCAAATTTTTTAAAACATTCAGTTATTTGGCACTTTGATTTAGAACAAAGTATATTCAAGAAGGGTGTTTATGTAAATTTTTTTGAACATTAAAAGTGATTGTTGATTGGTAATGATTCATCTGTAAGAAGAGTGAATACAATTGTGCTGTATAATTTGTAACTAGCATAGGTATGAATAGCTTAGTTTTATTCATAATTATTGTGCTATTATTACTATGTGCCATAATTGAAAATCACGTACATAATATTTTTTTTATGGAATTCATGAAATATAAAACTACTATAACAGACATTTGCTGACATAATAGATGTCATCAAATGTCGGACCACTTAATGATGTAGCATTAAAAAGGCAAACTTTCTTGTTCATTTGTGGTGGCACGATAGATGTGATATACAAAATAACTGCACTACTTCCCTTTATAATGACTGCCAATTTCTAATTTCATATTGATGATTGTTTCCAACATCCCTGGTCCATATGGGTTTTGGATAATAAATCACTCTGATGTATATGGGCTAATTCTGCGGTGATTGATGCAATTTCTAAATGTTTTATTTAGAATAAAAATATAGAATGTGACTGATATTACTTAGAAAAGACATGGAATGAAATAGGGGTGCACAACCTATTTCAGTGAAGGGCCACTTGCACAGCAGGTAGATTAGCGAAGGACTGCACCCATATTTAGTCATGTTAGCTGCAAATATAATTATTTTTTTATGTAAACATTGTTTTAAGCACTAAAATTTTATATCAGTAAATTTAATAACATATTTGTAGAAAATTAATTACTTTTAATTATTTACATTTATTTAAAAATAAATTTTTTTTTTGTAGTTTAATTTATTAAAATATATAAATATATATGTTAAAAATATAGAGAAAGCAAGGGAAAAAAGATGTCGATTTCCCAAAAGAGAAGGAAAAAAACTTATGTCTTTAAAAACATTCACAAATTTATAATATTTTTTTAAAAAAATTGGAAAATAAATTTAGGAAAAGGTGTAATCCATTATAGTACAAAATAAGATTCAATATTTAGTATTTTTCAGATATTTCTCTTGAATTATTAGAGCTTTTAGGAATTTTAAACATTTTCTTTTTAGTTTTTTCCTAAAGAAATCACCTAACCTGAAAAAAATTTAAAACAAAAGAAATTATAAACAGTAAATAAACTTAGTTGTACTGTAAAGTTGTAACATAGCTGTCAATTTTCCAGGAAACTGTCTTTATTTTAAGTGATATTTTTCTTTTGTTTCCTAAATTTTTAAATTTTATTCAGAATGTCTTTAACCAACATTATTATTGAATAAATTGAATCGATTCATAAATGAATGGCAACATAGGTGTCTATCATATGAAGGTTCTGGCAAAATATAAAAATATTTCTGTTAACAATCTATTTTTCAAATCTTAATTGGATAACTCTTGGAAAAATATTGTTAGAAAGGCAAAAGTTGGCAGGTATAACATAGGTCTGTTGAAAATAGTAATTGGAATATTAGTTATTTCGTTACGTTTGTGACAAACATAAAATTTCTATTTTTTGTTTTAATCTAGGATATTGGCTATTGTTGCTGATATTGAAACATTAGGAGACATTTTACTTGATGTATTGCCTAAACTGGAAGATGTGAGTATTTTTTATCTCATGAACTTATTTTTAATACGTTATATTTTTTGAAAACTTTGTTTTAAATGAAAATTAATTTTTCCAGTATGCTCATAACCGTTCTATGGAATTCGATTGTGAGTTGCGTATGTTGTTGCATCAAAGTCATGCTGGGTGCTTGATTGGCAAAGGTGGATCTAGAATTAAAGAATTAAGAGAGGTACATTTTTGAAACAATGTTTTGTGTGTATTATTTTTCTGTTCCAATTAATTTTTAGTAAAGCTTTAAGTATATGGGCTTGAAGTAATCTTATTTCTTAGTTTCAAAGGCATGCTTGTTTATATTGATTTTTTTATTTATTTCCAATGTGCTCAGATTAAACTAAAATTACAGCAAAAAAATAGTACAAATAAAAGAAAACAATATGTACAAAGTAAACAATATGCTAACATTCGCTAGGAGTAAGGTGGTTTCGCTATTGTTTCTGAAGCTGCAACAACCGCATATGAAAGTTGAAGATTTGAGAGATGCACTGCCAAATTTCTTTTTTAGATCATTTTTCTTCAACTTTCTATTTTTATGAAATCTAAAGAGACAAAGATGTTTCATATCGCCTGGCTTAAATAGCAAAGCTAGTAACTAGCAAAGATAAAACAGCAATATAAGAACGTTGCCCTAAATACAAAAAAATGTTTTTTTTTACAGCCCTTATAAAGTATACTATATAAATCCTTACATAAACAAAACTCCATTATCTGCCAGACAAATCTTCATAGTACAGTAGGGAACCGATTATCCGGAACGATCGGGACCATCGCTATTCCGGATAACAGATTTTTCCTGTTTTCTGAATCACTACAAAAAGCCGTTTTTTTTTTATTGTTATAAACCCAACTAAAAAAAAATATTAGGAAATAATCTTAAAAAGAAGAAAAAACGATGAAATAATACAGTAATGATTATTTCTAAAATGATGGTATGGTAAACATCTTTCAAAAAAGAAAAAAAAATTGTAAAATCTTATGAGGAAAAATTTTTTTTTTTAAAAAAATGGTGGGAAAATTCATCGGATTTCGTTCCGGTTTTTTGGTATTCCGGTTTTCTGATTTCCGGATAACGGGTTCTGTACTGTACTATCAAAAATTTTGACAGTGTTTGTGATCTTTTCCTGTGGCTCTACTGCTACAAAGAGAGTAAAGCTGAGTCTTTAACAAACCCTTACAAAAAAGTTGAACAGTGATAAATCCAATGAGCATAGGTGTCGCATAAAAGGTACATATTTTTTTTTGAAAATTTCCTAATAGGTAATTGTGGATTGTGTCTCATCCTTGTTCCTGATGACACCTCTAACACCACTTGTTCTGATGTAGCAAATTCTGACTAAAATTTTTTTTTATTACTGAAACCTTGCTTAGCAAAGAATAGTATCTATAACTAGCTCTATAAAAATGCCGAAATGTCTTAGGGGTTCTTAGTTCTATCTAAATTTAAACAAAATTTCTCTTTGATGTCAAATTAATATTCCAGGATATCTTAAAAAAATATAATTATGAATGAAAAAAATCAACATAATGTACCTTAACTTTATCTCTGTGGTAAAAAAATTTATGTGCTCTTCTGTATAATAAAATGTTTAAAATTATGTAACTCGCTACATGTTAAACTTTTAGTAGTTAAAACTAAAATAAAGGTGTATGTAAAGTTAGTAGTTATAGTGTTAATTTTATCTATTTTGGTTGTAGAAAACTGGTTCTCAGATAAAAATTTTTACTAATTGTTGTCCAAATTCAACTGAAAGAATAGTGCAGATCTCAGGGTATCCAAATGTGGTTGTCAATTGTGTAAAAGAAATATGCCATATAATCAGCTCGGTAAGTATTTTTTGCTATTCTTCCTTTCCTCTTGAACTTTTCATGTTGATTGTACAACAAGATTTTCCTTCTCTTAGGCTCCTATCAAGGGACCTAACAAGCAATATGATCCTCATCATTTCAATCCCATGTTTTGTAATGATTATGGTGGTTATGAAGATTCTGGTTCAAAAGGACGTGGAGGGCGTGGTTCTTTCAGAGGAGGAAGGTTTGTATTAGTACCTTTACTTCACAAGTAGGGATGTCAAAATTATTTATCTGTCTTTGTCAAACTTTCAACCTTTGAATACCAATATATTCAAGAAACTCTTTGAAAATTTAACTTTAGATTTGTTTTTTGAAATGTTATTGGTGACTTTTGCCTAAAAATCACTGTAAAATATATATTATATATGATTTTTTTTCTTCAAATTTTTTTCGTTTCTGTTGCCATCTACAGACCTTAAAGTACTCTGTTGCGTTATTAGTCTCAAAATTGGACAAAAAATTTAGACTAACATTTTGTATTCTGTTGCTGTCATGTGCTAAAATATTTTTTATTTTTAGGAGTTCAAATTTTAATAGACCACCACCTCCAGCCTGGCGTGATGAAGTAGTAGATAATTTTAGTTTTGGGGGTCCTGACAGTGGATCCAACCGTAGCCGTGGTGGATTTGGTGGAGGAAACAGTTATTCTGGCCGAGGGGGAGGACGTGGTATGATGAATCAAAGCCAGGGTGGAGGAAACCGTTGGAATCAAGGATCTAATACCGGTGGAAATTTAGGTGGCTGGGTTACTGACAGTGGCAGTAGCTATGGTAGTAGGTGAGTAAGTTTTTTCAGTTATAAAATAAATTATAAATTAAAGTAATGAGATCTATCTTAATTATTTTTAAGAAAAAAGCAATATTATAAGTTAAATGCTTCTAACCTATTTATTTTGATTGACTGTTGAGCATTCCATATTTTTTTAAAAAATAGGGTACATTAAAAGAAATAATGCTGCAAATTTAAGCACAGAAAATTTGCTGAAGATGTCAATATTTGTCCTTGTAAATATATAATAATTTAGTTGAAAAATTTTATTAAATCTGCAACTAACAGGAAATTTTTTGATTAAATCCTATTTTTAACATGTAATTAGCAGAAATTTTCAAAATTTTATTTATTTATTTTTTAATTTTTATATAATTTTGACTTTTTTTTATATCCATAGTCCTTAGAAATCCTTAAAAATTAAGTTTTATTTTGGAAAGTAATAGCCCAAAAAAGTATTTATTTAATTTCAGTTCATGGTTTTTAAAAATCCCCAATATCCAGTAATCACTAGTTGATTGGAAAGATTTTTTTGTCTTACAAAATATTAAAAAAAAAAGTTTATTGCAATGAGTGCCTGCATTCACTATAGAGCATTTTGTGGGTCAAGAAAGGTTATGTGTAAGAGGGGCTGCGTACCTGCGGTAGTAAGCATGTCCTCTATATGGTTTTTGCTCTAGTTCTATTTCATTCTTGAAATGGTTGAAATTCTAAACAGTTGGCAATGACATTAAAAAAGAAAAGAAAAATACTTATATAAAGTTCAACTTTGTTTTCATAAAAGGTATTTAAGTGGTAATTTTTTTCTTGATATTAATTTTGATAGGATTTATTTTTGGCTCCTCATAAATGAATTCTGTGCTGTTTCAGTGGTCGTATGATGGGATCTGCTAATGGGCAGTCTGGTTACATGGCTCAAGGATCAGCTGAAAAATCTATGGGACCTGGGATGGGTGGTCCTCGAAATCCAATGATGAATAGTGGCATGGGAGGATATCAAGGAAATGGTGGTCCTGGAGCTGCAGGAGCTGCTAATAGGTATATGGGAGGTCCTGCACGGGGACAGCCTAAGCAACAGGGCGGATACAACACAGCTTCCCAAGTAAGTTATTGTTAATTAAAGTAAGTTATTGTTAATTAAAGTAAGTTATTGTTATTTAAGATGCAGTGACCCTCTCAGTTTTGTTACTAATAGTTATTGTTGAAAGCTTTTTATTTTGAAAGTAAGGTGACCAGGTTTTTTTTTATTTTAAAATATTTAGTTTAAAATACTTGTTTTTAACATGTTTAAATTGTTTTTTTTTTCTGAACAATAGATCTTTTTTATAACATTTGTTNTTTTTTTTTTTTTTTTTTTTTTTTTTTTTTTTTTTTTTTTGAATCTCGTATACTTTTAAACTTTTAACTTTTTTTTACACTTGCTACAATTTTTTCCACTGAATTCATCATAAATCAATCTCAAGCCATGCAATTTTTAAGAAATTAAATTCATAGCTATAGATTTTGGTTATAGCTGAGTTAAAGTGACCTTTCTAGATACAGTGTTTGAAGTTGTTAACAATATCTAAAAAGAAAAATGAAAATCAGGCTTTAAGATGCAGGAAATTACTTACACTATTCATTTACATCTACGTCAACGTGTTTCTGTCCGGCATCCTATTTACAACAGAAAATAATCCTAAGAATTTTTTATACCCTCTAAAGCAGTGATTTCTAACTGGCGGCCCTAGACGTTTTTTTTTTTTGCGGGCAATTTTCGTGCGGAAATCTATGGGTTTTAAAATACTTTTCTTTCGTTAAAAAACCCCCCTAATTTCTTCGTTTCTGTGAAATTTAACATACCAACCGTGCAAAGAAATTTATTTTGCAGGTTTTGCATTAAAAAAAATATTTATTATTATTTGTAATTCAATACTTTTGTTTTGTACAACTTGATAAAAATCTGGCTGTTGTATTTAATGTTCCTTTAAACATAAAAGAGTCCTATATAAAATTTTGATAAAGTTGCGGCCTGCCATTTGACTGGTGTTTTTAATTGCGGCCCCCGGCCTCATGTAAATTGGAAACCCCTGCTCTTGAGTTAGCTTCTACCATATTCGTGGTTTGTCCAGTTAGCTCTATTTTTCCTACCTTATTTATAATTGGTCCAATTAGCTTTATTTTTCAACTTAGTTGTCATTATGCAATTATCATTATTTTTATGTGTTGATAAAATCTCCTGGGGAAAATTAAACAGTATATCAAAAAATTTCAATTTATTTTCAAAATCAATTAAAAAATTAAGTTGTTATTATTATTATTAATTGAAAATATATGAAAGCATATTGCAATACTTAGTAATGAATTTGTTTTAAAAATTGTTTTAATTATCAATTTCATACAAGTAGGGTATTTATTCATGGAACATGAGATAATTTTTTTATAATTGTAGTTACCCCTAGTAGTTTTCATTTTAACCTAAAAAGATGCTTATAGTAACTCAGCAATTGAAAATCTTTCATTGCTAATTTTCACTTCTTATATTGCCAACTTGCTAATCTTTGTTTGAAAACCTATTCTATAGACACACAAATTGTTTATCAAATAGCGTTCTTCTTAGGATTAAAAAAAGGGCAGGGTGCTTCCGCACAGAAAAGAGCATTTTGAGTTTTGAAAAGGCTCTCACTTAACACCATAAATATTGATAAAAATGTGTAATATTATGCAATTTAATTTGAGCCTCATAATTTTTTAAATTACCCTCTTATACTATTTTATGTGTATATTTGAAAGAGTAGTTCTTACTCATTATTAAATAGGAGAGAAATTTGTATGCAAAAAAATAAAGGCTTGCTCTGCCTTTATTTTTTTTCAGTTTCTCTGCACAAAAAAAAAAAAAAAAAAAAAAANAGAAATCAATGAGAGGTTTTTCTTTAATTTAAACTGATAATTAGGAAAATATATGCTTTTAAATATGCATTTAATATATCTTCCTCTGCCCCCCCCCCAAAGATTAACTTATAAAAATTTAACCAGTTGAAAATAATCCTAACAAAGTAAATATTTGTAATACTTATCAGAACCTATGAACATTTATAATACAAACATTTTTATGAACTATTAACATTTTTACCAGTATATAATAATTATTTAAACAGTTAATGACTTTTTAAAAAAAATGGAATATGAATAAAAAATCTGTTTTTAAGGGATGGCAGCTTATTTTTACAAAAACGTCGCATTTATAGGGATAAAAGAGCAGGCGTGGCGTCGCAGGCCGCTCTTCTATAGACGCTTAGGGAGAACACTGATAGAGATAGATCATTTATTAATTGATAAATTATATTTATTAATTGATAAATTATGAATTAATTGACTTTGTTTTATGGAACGAAATTTTTTTTATGGAATATTTGTAATATAACTTTTAATAACTTTTTAGTCTTTTATTTGTAAAAAGGTGACACTTATTGTTTTAGTTATGTGATTTAAATATTTAAATTTCTTTGATTTACTTAATCTTAGTTAGTTTTCGTTATGCTTATTTAAAAGTGTTAATTTGTTACTGTTAGATTGACCAGAGTTAAGTCTTTGCTTCAGTTGTGTTAGCTTCATTTGCACATAACCTCATAAAAATGTATAGCTTTACTTATGTTATGTGGTGTATGATTTTTTGTAGTATTTTTTAACTACTTGAAACGCGCAGGAAATCTTTTTTGTTTGAAATTACTACACAGAACTTTTTTGTTAAAGCTACAATTAAGAGTGTTTGTTAATTTTTTTTTTTTGTGTGTGTGTGTGAATTAGTTGATTAGTGAAAAAATTTGTGTAATCAGGATCGGTGTTTAACGGAATATTGTATCAAATTATTTATTTATAAATGTATACCTAATGAATAAAATTAGATGATTTAAAAAAGTCACAAATAGTATTTATTTTCTCAACTTTTGCGTCAGATTAAAATAAAAGTTTGAGTTAAATGGTAATAAATAGATTACAGAAATAATTTATTTCAATGAATAAATTTTACGTACATATATTAAGTTCATTCAATCGCATTTCAATACTGATCAGGAGCAACACAGGTCAATTAAGTTTTGTGCCAAGTTTCATCTAAATGAAAAATTCTATTTAAAATTTAAGGGAAAAATTATAATTAAAATTTACTGTTTCTAGTTTATCTTTAAAAATTATTTTGCAAATATTCATTTTTTTAACAATAAATATAATGTTGCTTAAAGCAATTGGTGGATAGCTATAAAAAGTCAATATTATGAATCTCTACCTATCATCATCTTATTTAGCAAACGAAGAAAATAATTAGTATCATAATTTTGAAGAAAATGCCATACAGGACGTCTTCCTCAGATTTTAATTTAGTTATGTTATATTTTTCCCCCAATGAAGTGTTGATTGTATGGTAAAGAGCTGAATCTTCTAATGGTTTCTCACTTAAAATATCCATTAAATGATGATCTTAATGTTTTTCCCATTCATTTTATGGAAATGAGTTTTTTTTAAAATTCCATTTGCAGTTAGTTAGGTTCTTAATTTCTTTTAATTTTTATTGGTTGTTAATTCTCTTTCATTATGTTTCTGTTTTTATTGCTTATATGGACCCATTCAGTCTGAACAGGAAGTAAACAAATTACTAAAATGCGTTTAGAGCAAGTACAATGTTAGTATACATTGGTGGTATTTTATAATTTGTTTTACTATTGAATTTTCATTAAATGAAGTTTTAGTTTAAATCTTTTAGGGTTTTTTTTTTTAAAATTTAATATCTTGAGCTTTATCATTTTAGTTAATTTGGAAGTTTTTTAAAATAACATTAAAAATTGTTTCTGTAAAATTTATGATCTGTAATTTAATATCTTAAACGAATTTTGTATCCGAAACAAATTATAAATTTTAGAATTTAAAACTTGTTTATTCCACTGTCTTTCTCGTACAGTTTCATACGAGTTAAAGACCCATGAAAATCACAAGTTTTGATCAGTTTAATTTTATAAATATTTCTTAAACTTTTCTCTGTGCACAGTCGTCTTTAGGAGATATAAGAAACTATAAATTTAAAAGATTTTGTTTTTTCGCTTTTAATTTTGTTTATTATTTTAGCAGTCATAGATCATTAAATTTGAGTTTTCAGTTTTTTGCTATTTTCAATCCGGTTAATCAGGATTCCCTTGTATTTGATTTTATCTTGTTAATTTCTTTGCAGTGGAACCGCAACCCCAACCCCAGATTCCAGAAGTAGATGGTAGAATTATATGAGATGTCAAATATCTAATCTCCTTTGAAAAGATTTAGTCTACAATGATGTCGACTGTGTGTTTTACAGTGTATAATATCATATTTTAAGACAATTTCTTTGACGTCAGCCCTCTAAACTTGTATTATAATGAATCTTATATTGTGGCGATTGGATTGAAACATCTTCACTTTGTATATCAGTCTTCATTCGTATAGAAGACATGATTGTTAACATCACGCTAAATTTTTAGTCTTGTGATTTAGTTCAAATGAATTTATATTGTTTCTTTCTTATGACTCCATGGGTACCATATTTCATGTACATTTGGTTTTGAAATAAATTATAAGTTCAACATTTTTATTCCATATTTATTACAATTTTATTTGTCACTACAAAAACAATTTTTTTTTTTTAATTGAGCAATTTTGTCATAATAAAATATATTAAGTCAGGGTTGCCACTCCACAGGGAGAATCTGGAAAATACAGGGAATTTAAAAATCGCCTAAAATAACAGGCAAAATGCAGGGAATTTTGATTTTTTCTTTACAAACTGGGAAATTACAGGGAATTTGTTTCTTATTTTTGTTTTTTAAAAAATCGCGACCACTCACAACGTAATCTATGGGATATTTAACCATGATATTTTAGCTAAAACTAAACTATTTTATTTACTATAGCATTATTTAAGTATGTTCAGCTGTTTTTCCAGCAATTAAACTAATAAATATAGTTAGCCTAATATAGCTCACACAAGAGCACAGTAATTGTTGTTTCCCCTTAGTATATTGTGTATAATATGTACAGGGAAATCACAGGGATTTTTTTTCCAGATTTGAGTGGCAACCCTGTAAGTAAGCTTGCATTTCATGGTTAATTTTTTCTCTCGATAAAATGTAGACTAGAATAAATGTTAAATTAGTAACAAACCTAATGTACTTAAAGTATCATAAACTTTTTGGCTATGGGATAAGAATCTTCACGCAAGCAGTTGCAATCTGTCTTCAAACAGCAAATATATTTAAAGAAACAAAACAAAAAAATTGTATAATTCGGTTCCTTAAATTTAATTAGTTTCAAGTGTGACTTGAAAATATAGTGTTGTGAAGATTTACATTAACATTTCTCTCCTTGAAATATTGCCTTATCTCAAACTTTTAGAAGTGCAAAGAAATAGAGGTTGACAGGGAAGAGTTGATTTAATAAATATAGGTATATATATATATAAATTTTTGTTTGTTAAAAAATACTTACTAAGGATTTAGTATACTATAAATATGCTTGCTAAAATAAAATCAATAAAATCCTATATATATATATTTACTAACAGGGGTCTGATAAATTTCTAGGAGTTAGTGTGCTGTGAAATGGAGAATAGACCAAACACTACCAAATTTTATTTAAAGCGCCTTTAATATTATTTGTAGACCTCTGTATTTATTTATATATATAGAAATAACTTATAGAATTCAACTAATTTCAATACAAATGAAATTAATCTTTCTTTATAGGGAAAGGGTAATGAGTTGTAGGTGATAAAATTTTCAGATATATTAATTCTAAGGAACTGTACTGATAAGATTTATTCTCAAAAATTATATTTTTGTGTTTAATATGTGCAGGACATGTTTAAATTTAAGTGTAGTTCTCCCTCTGAACAACGTTAAATTTTGTGATAAAAATTTTTTTGTGCATTATCCTTTGTTTAAAATTAAAAAAAAAAAAGGGACAAAAGGGCTTGTTTTCTACTGGATGGTAAAAATTTTTCAACTAAGCACAAAAGTCTTTTTTTTTCCTTCCAAATTTTGTGCTGGCATCAAATCAATATCAAGGAAATACAAGAATAAAATTCATTTCATCATTTACGAAACATTCATCATATGCTTGTTTAAAATGCTTATAATTTATTGTAAAGAGTTTTAAAATTTTATTTTTGGGTGGGGGAACACTCAATTACTAGCCTACTAAATATAGTATTATACCTATGTACTTTATTAGGGTGTAGTGGTGAGACTGATACTTGTTTTCATTTTGCAATGTTTTCAAATTAAAAACTAAGACATAAGGCAGTACAAACCTGACAGTCTCTCTTGATTTATCATTAAGTTGATAATGAGACAAATATCTATGCACAATCTATGTTAGTAATCAATGTTCAAAAATTCACCTTTTAATTGTTTATTATAATTCTTGTCTTCATATTTATAATAAATAAAAAAATAAATTGAAGTTATGTTAAAGAATGTAAATTTTTTTTTTACCCTTTATTACAAAATTTTTAGCTATAAATATTGTAAATTATTTTAATTCATTAACATGCTGTAAAATTTGACTTAGCAGAAATCTAAGAAGCATACTTAATAACTATCTTCCCATATATTATTTGGAAAACAAATGACCTTATTTAGAACTTTGCATTTTAATTAAGAAAGAAAAATTCTGACTGTCATAAAAGATTTTACAAAATTGATTTTAAAAAAAAAGGAAAAGTGACCAATTAAACGAATATTATTCATATAACTAAATTGTAGGGATAACTACATTCATAATATACTTCAATTACTTGATCGCATCTGATGGGTCCATTTCAGCTCTTATATTGCCATGCAATTGAAAAAATAATGTAAGTGCTTCAAGAAAGATTTTTGGGAAAATGTCTTAACGATTATTTTCTTTTCTAATACTATCAATGCTAAAATAAAATTTAAACTGATAAAAAAAAATGTGCGAAATTTATAAAAATCCCAATTTTGAATTTCTTTTTGTGCAGCATTATATTTAGCCTTGGCTTTTTAAATACAGTAGGGAACCGATTATCCGGAACGATCGGGACCGTCGCTATTCCGGATAACTGATTTTTCCGGTTTTCTGAATCGCTACAAAAAGCCGTTTTTTTATTGTCAAACTCAACTAAAAAAAAACAAACAATAATATTTGGAAATAATCTTAAAAAGAAGATAAAACAATGAATTAATACACTAATGATGATTTCCATAATGATGGTAAGTTAACATCTTTCAAAAAAGAAAGAAAAATCCTGAAANGTTTCAGCAAAGGTTTCAGGAATCCTCATCATCATAATTCAGAAACTATTGTTATCTTCTATGTTTCGTTCCGGTTTTTTGGTTTTCAGATTTCCGGATAACGGGTTCTGTACTGTACAACACAAATTCAAATACTTGGCTTTCCAAATAGCTCAGCAATCAAAGTTATGAAAACTTTGTTTAACTCACTATATATATTCTTTTAAACTTGTAACTAAATTGAATATTAAAATAATATAGATATAGCTGCCACTTATACTGGATTTTGTTAGTTTCTCCTTTATTCAAAATTTCTGGTGTTAGATTAACTGTGTGAAATTGTCTACAAGTATAGGTTTGATAATTTAACGTAATAAATTTTTTGAGTGATTTTTTTTGTTGTCAATCACAAATAGATAATGTTGCAATTTGCAGTGTAATATTCTTTTACATAGTAATATTCATGTTAACTCTATGAAGTCTGAATGTTTTGCTTTTATTATTCAAGCATTAAAAACACTATTTTAAGAAATTTGTAGTGACAACTTAATAAAAACTATTCATACACTTATAGAGAATAACATTCTTTACTCAAATGTGCATACTAAGAAAATACCTAAGAATTAAAAGTAAGTTTTTAAAATATATCTGCTACTTCTTTAATATATTAAGGCAAAATGGTAGTTAATAAGTACTGATCTTTAAAAATTTACATATCTGGAATATTTCTATAAGTGATTTTTAGAAATATTTTAAGCTTTTTCTTTGATTTTAACTGCATAAATTTTTTATTGTTTCTCTATCCAGTTGTCGTGAAAATTAATATGCAGTTAGCAGGTTAATTATGGATGAAAGATGCCTAAGAAATATTAACTTTTGAACTTAATACTGTGGTTGAGTTAAAAATAGGAAGTAAAACAATGGGGTCACTGTATTTTAGAAAATAAGTGTGTAAAGATTTTAAGGACACTCAAATTGTGAATATTTAAATTAATGAACTGTTATACAATAATTGTGTTGTATGTTAAGAAGTAGAAAAAAGAAAACTTGAGATGTGAGATAAATTCAACATAATTCTGGAGGGAAAAAACTTAAAAACTAGTCAAACCTTTACTTTCCTTCGGGTCCTCCTATAACCTTATTTTCATGACTACAATTAATCTTAGAAACTGTAATGTCTCGTTTTCATATCTTGCTCAACTACAAAAGTTAACTTTCATTCTTTTTTCTATTAATGTAATGTTAGTTTCCATTGATATTTAAGGAAATAAACACCCAATTTAAAATTTCTATTTTATTCTCTAAGTGTCTTAACTTGTTGAGTCAAGCATTTCTCATTAAAAAATCAATTTTTTACCTGTTAAATTGATATTTTTTTAGTCAATGATATTTTCAGATTCTTTTCATACTTTTATTAGAGTTAAGTATGGTTACAATGAAAACTTGGGATTCAACTGATAGGAATATAAATGAACTTTATTTACTAAAAGATCCGCCACACGAATTTTTTCCCCATATTAGGTCGCAAAAGTTTTCCCCTTAAGTTTAAATATTCAAAATATTTTGAGTGTCTTTAAAGTTTTGGTATTTGTTATAATATCTTAATGAGAATCACAATACTTACTGCATTTTATACTTAGAATACTGGAGAAATGTTTAATGTTCCCATACCTAACAGTGATGGAACATATTCAGTAACAATGACAGTATCTAATGAAGTAAGTTCAGTTTCAGTAATTTATTTTTTAATATGATCAGAAAGTTTGTGTTTGTCAAAAAAAAAATTTTACACATTTTTAAAAAAGGTTGCAGGAGCTGTAATTGGAAAAGGTGGACAACGAATACGAAGAATAAGAAAAGATTCAGCAGCAATAATTAAGATTGAAGAGGGTCCAGAAGGATCGAAAAAGCGAACCATTACAGTAACTGGTGCTTTGAATCAGTTACAGAGAGCACAATCATTGATAGAAAGGAGGTTTGTGTCTTATATTACAATAGATTTAATTTTCTAAAGTGGTTGATTTCCATTTAGAATTGAATGTTATAAATATAAATGCTGAGACTTGAAATGATGCATTTTGAAAGAACTTGTTCTTTGCATTGTAGATTTATCTACGTAAAATTTGAGCACACCAGTATTATATATACCATACCATAAAGGTGCCCATATTTTATGTTGGCTGCAAATATGGTAGTTTTTATGGAAAGATTAGTCTTCTAAGCATTTTTTTTAATCAATAAACTTTGTAGCATATTTGCAGAAAATTAAATCTGTTTAGTTATTATAATTAATTCAAAAATAAAGAGAATGATACTTTAATTAAAATTTACATTTTTCACTGCTTGAACTTAATATAATTCTAATTGGTTATGAAACGTATCTAACAGAAATTACTCTAACTGAATAAAAAATAAATACAGGATTTGTTCATAAAAATTTATTTTGACGTAATTTTCATGATCAAGGGGAATGTGTATTTTCTTCGTGGTAGAAAAAATTGTTTGTTAATACTTTCGTCAAAATACAATTTGTTTCGCCGAATGCTTGGCACAGGATCAGTATATATATATATGTTTAAATTACTTGTGTACTGAACAAAATTCTTTTAATTCCACTAATTAAAATATAAAGACATTGCCTTTGGGAAACCACTAGGAAAAATATTTTCTGCATATGGAAAATCAGTAATAGTTGGAGAGGTGATGTTTTCTTCCTTTATTAAATATGTATTTAATATTTTTTTTATAAACATATTTTTTTAAAATATGACAGTCCTCAGGGGGAAAAAACATTTTCATGTATATGCATTTATTATGGAAGGTTTTGTTTTGAAACAGTAATATAGTCAACCCAACCTAACCCTTAAGTGTCATAATTATGCAAGTAGTAATATGTGGGGGGAGGGGCAAATCTCTTCATATCTCTGTTTATAAGACCTACCTAAGTATTTATTCTGTCTTCTTATAATGAATGACTAGTGATTCTTATCTGTCTTGTGCAATTATAATAGATTATTTTGTTTATTTATTGTTTAAAATGTTTTTAGTAAACTAAATACATTTTTCTTGGTTTATTGATTTTTTCCCCCTTCCTTTGTAGCATTCAAGAAAATGGACTCGAGTGATACCTCTACTTATTTAATTGCACTATTTTGTACAAGTCTCCTCATCATCATAATTCAGAAACTATTGTTATCTTCTATGTTTGTTATGTTTGTGAAGTTCAATGAGTTAAGAAATATTTGGTTAACTTTTTGATAAATAAATTAAAGTTAGACCGAAATGTGTTTTAAATAGTTTCATTACAGAACTAGTAATAATTGTGTTTTGCTTAGAAAGTCATTAAATTTCTTGAAAACTGATAAGAATCCAGTCTCTCTCTCTCTTTTTTAAATTATAAAGAAGCCTTAACTTTAAAATAAACAAGTTTGTAAAGTATAGCAACAATCTATTCATCTAAGTTTTTTACATAAATGTTTAATGTTACAAAATGATTTCAAAATTATTTTTTAGGTAATTTTGATCTTTAGAAAGTAATTTCCTATCATTTTATGTAACAATTGTTCTAAACCTTTTTTTGACTTAAAAAATAATAAATGTTAAAATTATATAAAATAATTGTTATGCAAGAAATATTTTTTAATTATGTGGCATTTACTAATTGAATACTTGTGTTAATGTCTTAATAAATTTTTCAATATCTTTTTATAAACTGTTTAAGGCATCTTTATACAGGGTGCGTAGCAAATTCTTTCAACAAAAAATAAGCACCTTTTAAGTACTTTTTAAGCACTATATACATTAACAAAATGCAAAATAATTTTCAAAGATTTTACATGATAAAATAACTAGCTCCAGTTGTAGTTTCTGACAAAGAACTCTTCTTGATTATATTAGCCACTATAAAGAGATAGAGATTTTTTGGTTTGATTTCAGAGGGTGGAAAATGAAACCTGAAATAGAGAATATCTTGCAAAATGCAGCAGATTTGCACACGACAGTGCTAGAATCTCACCAAACTCAGCTCAGTAGGTGCACATGCGGACTCGGAAGTCATCAAACATGTAAAATGATTAGTGCTTTCATATGCTGTTGACCAACAGTACGCTGGAATGGATTGTGATTGAATGAATTGTGAAAACGTTGAATAGAGCAATTTAAAAAGCACATTTTTGCATAATTCATGGCAAAAATCAACATGGGAAAGAAAAAAAAAGGGAAGATTAGGCACTTTTTAAAAACACCCCATGAAAAAAGCACATTTAAGGACTTTTAGAAATCGAAAATAAGCACCTTTAAGCATTTCTTAAAAACGCTACCCGCCATGATATATACAATAAAAATATTAAAAAGAACTTTCTTTTTGAATAATTAAAAAAATATTTAAAGATCCATTGTTTTCTTAAATACGTTAATTTTTTAAATAAATTTAACTACTCACTCCAATGCTTCTTTTAAATATTCTGAAGAAAAGATAAAGCTTTCTAAAATTTCTGGTTCACCTTCCAAAAATATTACACAAAATTAAATATAAACATTAAAGCAAAATTAATTTATGAAATAAAGTTATTGTTTCAATATGAAATAAAGTTATTGTTTCAATATGAAAAAAAGTTTATTGTGACAATAACTTGGAAGAAAAATTATTTATTATAATTACATTAAGTTCTAATTCTAGTTTTCAAAATTTTTAGTGTTATAAAACCATTTAAAAATAGTTACCCCTATTTGTTAAGTTACTGAAATAAGGACATTTTGTAACATAAGAAAAACAAAAGCACACATATAGAAAAACAGAAATGTGATCAAAATTAAACAAAAAATTATCGAGTTTTAATTTAACTTTTAATTTTTCACACTTGGACAGAGCAAAAACATTTGTGCAGTCTACTTAGAAAAGTTTATGATTGTTGTATATTGTGTTATAAAGAATATAATAATTGTTTATTAATATAATATATCAATACATGGATGCTTTTTCTTCAATTAAAAAAAATATTTTTACATCACCTAAAGAAGTAGAAACTATTTCTTCATGTTTAATCAACATGGATGCTCCTATTCCATAAGCTAATGTGGGCAAACCTAGAATGAGATAAAGAAATATTTTACATAGATCAAACACAGCTGTAAAAATTAATAGAAATGGAGGAAAATTAAATGTCTTTTATTGTATAGAAATTATGTTTCACCTTAAAATACCAGAAAAATGTTATATATATCAGATCCAATAAATTATGCAACTATGAAGCAGCAGTTTTTTAAAATGCAAGCAGGCTGCCAATGTCCTCAAAAATAAGTATTTTATAACTAAGGTATTAAAAAAGTTACATTTTATCCATACATGAAAACATAGTGATTATTAAAGTGAAATGAAATAGTCCAAAAGCTTTCAATATACAAGAAATATCCAATCGAGTAAATAATAAGCTCACCGACAGGCCCAAACCATTTGCAAGAATGAAACAGGGATAAGTTGGATTGAGTTTTAGTAATAAAACTAGTTTCGGACTTAAAATCATAAGGACAAACTTATTACAATTGGAGCAACAATAGAGGATACTCAAATCGCCAAGTTATTTGATACTGATTTAATGATCGAAAACTGATTTAATTAAATTGAGTAAAATAGGAGAAAAAAACTTTTGCCAAAAGATTTCACATAAAAGATATTAAAATTCAATTCTGATAAAATACACTAAAAAACAACATAAAAAAGAAATGCATTAAAGAACACCATTTAAAACTATTCATTTTTGAGCTTAAATAATAATAGTAATGTAGCGATAAATATTACACATTAAAAATTCTCAAATAATTTTAGAATATCAGTTTTACAAATCCAATTTTTCTTTACAGTAATTTCATCCATAGTGAAACCTTGAACTATTGTTACTCCAATTTTTTGTAAGTACACAGAAAGTTAATTGTTTTGAAGCCTTCTGAAAATGTTGCCTATGGTTGTGGTTTCACCGTTTTCATCAGTATCACTTTTTGAGTTTCAGCAAAGGTTTCAGGAACTTACAACACAACTAGTTTTAACATTTTCCTGAATCGATGAATAAACATCAAACGCATACTTTGAGACAATGTCCCAAACTGTAATAAATCTTGTTCTCACAAGCAAATGTTGAAGTTCAATCAATCCTATTCTTTCAATGTGGAGTGACTTTATTATTTTGCAATAAATATAAAAAAAAAAAAATCCATTCATTTAAATTTATTATTTTATTTTTAAAAGAAAATATTTCTCCCATTTTTAAGGAAATTTAATTTAAAAAACAATCGGGAGAGAGAGATTGATGGAATTTAGTCAACTGACTTTTTCAAGACTGAAGAGTAGAACCTATGGTTACTGTATTATGTCCCAAAACAAAATAACTTAAATATTTATAATCAGTATAATTTTTGAATGCAAGACACAGGAATTTGCAAGTTTAAAAATGGGATCTAATAAGTACTATTACTGAGATAAGAATAGCATTTGTTACAGAACTGTTAAAACATTTTGATATATTCGGGAGAAGAAAAATGCAGGAACAATGGATCAAGATTCAACAGCAGCCAGTCTATAATTTATTATTCTAAAATTATTATTCTCAAGTGTTAGCTCTCAGTTTATCTCTGGAGCATTTAAGTTCAGAAATACCTATGAAAATGTTATACTCTTTGAGGACTGTGATTACCTGATTCTCACTTCACTGCCCATATATGAAACAAGCTTTTCTAACTTTAGCAGCAAAAGGATGTTATCTCAATTCGGTACTCTAGTATAACATCTCACATTATTTCGTGGACATTTATGTAACTAGTATACATAAACAGCAGTATAACAATTAGTAAATATATATATATACTCAAAGCAAAAGGATCTGTGGAAGAGGTTTTTACTGGGTAAATCTTAAAGGGATTTAACTAAATTAAAAATATTTTAAAATATCAATTAATAGAGTTTGTGGAGAGATTTCCGTATCGCTATCTGTTGTTTAAGATTGCAAACTTTTTAAAAAAAATAATATGTAGAGGTTTGTCTGAGGTTACAAGTTATGTCCCTTTGAGTTGGACCCCTTTTGTAATGTTTTATATTATTAGTTTCTTGTAGGGCACTGCTTGCAATTTGCCAAGGGGAGTTTTGATCGTGATGCAAGGAAGAATACTTCCGGGAAGTCCACCCCCCGGGAGAGATTTTTAATAAAAATGTCATAGAAAGGGACCAACTCGAATGATATAACTTGTAGCCACTCCTGGGTAAACGTAAGCATCCTAAATAAATAAAAAATTGCAAGTTAAAAATCTATTCGGCTGGTGAGATTTCAGAGATTCGATTGTAATTGGCACGACAGATTCTGATATGGAAATATCCCCTTTGCCATGATTTGATAAGGGGATATTTCCGTATCGTGATCTGTCGTGCCAACTACAATCGCCAAGGTGACAAATAGATTTTAAACTTACGAATTTTAAAAAAAAACAACAACATGTAGATGTTTGCCCGGGGATGGCTACGAGTTATACCTTTCGAATTGTTCCCTTTCTGTGATGTTTTATTTTTGTTTCTTGCGGGTCACTGCCCGGAAGTTTCCAAGACTTGATTCTGCCACAGATCATGATACGTAAATCTCTCCGATAATTTTGCCGAAGATCACGTTACGGAAATATTACAGTTATTTTTTCTCGGTAAATTTGGAGCATATATATATATATATATATATATATATTTTCAAAACACGGGATATAAAAAGAATAGTGGGAGAACAAATCCTTGCCCATCCACATTATTGTCAACGCCCTTAACATTTTGTCTATGTCATACATACGTTTACAGTTCAAAAGAAAAATGAATACCCACCTAAATTTAACACTTTTAATAACAAAAAAAACTTGTTTTCCAATTCTAAATTGTGATAAGGCCTTTTAGTACAGTGGTATTTAATATACGGATAACACCCTGTTCTAAGTATATGATAATTTATACCATCCACATCCCAATTAAAATGCGAAAGGCTAAAATGATCGTTGATTACATTTCGATACTTTACAAAATATGATGTCCATTGTGGATATTTTTTTTGTCTTATGTAACATGTTAACACTTCAGATGAGTGTGATTTTTTTGTTTTTAAAACTGGGTGATAATATAGATGCAAGCGAGTGAATGGTCCGTAAATTGTACGATTAATCATGAAACAAAACTTATTATTTACAAATAAAAAATTATCTAAGCATGAGAGCTGACGAATTTTCATGAAGTTGCCATTTATTTTTTAAAAACTTCATTGCGCAACATTTTATTTCTGTCACAACTAAAAATAAGAATGGACCAATTTAAAACAAGTTCAGCAACCTAATTTAACATTTTCATTCATTTTTCAGTAAATAATCATAAAAAATCATTATTTTAGAATTTTGTAAGAGTTTATCTAAATGAAATGGCATTGATTTCACAGTACTAATGCAACGTGTTATTAAAAACCTGGCAACACTCATCCGTAAATACAAAACCAAAAACAGTTTTGATATTTGTTTAGAGTACCGCTAATAAGATAATTTAATTTGCTTGCAGCAAGTAATTTATTTAACTATTTGTTCTGTTGATTTTGATTGCCAAAATGTCTAATCAAACAACACCTGATGCTCTCTTTGAAATTAAAAATTCCTTCTTTATTGGAAATTATCAAAATTGCATTAACGAAGCTCAAAAAACAAAGGTTAGTGATGGTTATTGTACTGTTGTGTTAATTATGGTTAACTTATAATTAATACTCCAGTTATGTAACTAATTAGTGACCCTTTAGTTACTGTTGCTGATATGTAACTTTAAAAAGAAATTTATTTTTTATACATATTTGATATTAGATTGATAGCAAAAATAAACATGATAGAGGTTTGCTGTTTATCGTCGAGGAAAAATTTCTATGTCAGTGCTAACAAAAATAAAGGATTAAATACAACCGGGCCATGACATACAAAAGTAATTATTAAAAAAAATTAGTAGAAGGGGACCAACTGGTAAGGTATAACTTGTAGTCACCCATGAGCAAGCCACAATACACACACACATATATATATTAAATTTTGCCAGTTAAAAAATTTTGGCACTTGGGGAAAGTAGTTTGCATGAACAGGTGTGGAAACGAAAATATGCCTATCCACATTGCCTACTTCTGCAACTTTTTGTCTGAGTCTACAATTTTTTCTGTATTATGTTTAGTTTACTTTACTATGCTATCAGTTCTCGTTGAACAGGGTATATGTTTTTTAACAAAATTAAAACATGTAGCTACAATTTTGAATGTATTGTACAAAAGAGGATGGTCAGTGTAATGGCAATTTTGCTTTTTATGTTCTTAGTCAAATTGTCATAGCTAATTTCATGAATAAAATTAGAACAGACCATTTAATTTATAGGTAATGAACCAACACTGGTCCTAGTTCCGTTTAAGGAAATAACATTAAAACTATGTTTTGCTTTCCAGAGGTATAGATTATTTCATCAAAATATTTTAAAACTTGATAATCAGAACAGTAGAGATAGGTTGTGAAATTTTGTTGTTAAAACAGAGAATTTTATGTAAAAAAAAAAAAAAAAATGCATAACCAGACTTTCTTTTTCGGGAAAGAACCAGAGGTGAAAATTTTGAAATTTAATTCTGAGAGGTTAATTCTTTTGCTTTTTAAAAATTATTAAATTTTTCCTAAGAGCTATCCGATATAATTGTAAGATAATGTTTTCATTAATGAAATAGAATAATGTTCATTTGTGATTACTGATTATCATTGCATTTTAAGAATCAAAAATGTTTCTTTTTAACATGGTTACATGAAATTTTGTTGCCTTTTTAATGTAAGAATTATTTTATGTTTTTTTGAGAATTTCTTGGATGGAACTTTCATAGTACCTGGTCTGCAAAGTAAACAGGGGACACAACCCTTTACTGATCAAAAAAATATTTTTTATTTTTAATTTTCAATTATTTTGAAATTTTATTATATTTTTCTTATCAAATAATTTGCGAAAAATTTTATTTTTAAAAATACCATTCAACAAATTCTGATATCTTTTAGTTTAACAACCCAGCTCATCAGCTTGAAAAAGATATCTTTATGTACAGAGCCTATATTGCACAACATAAATATGGAGTAGTGATAAATGACATAATGCCTTCCAGTCAGCAAGAATTGCAATGTATTCAACTGTTGGCTTCTTACATGAGTGGAGATGCAGATAAAAAGTAAACCATGTGATCCTATATTTATATATATTTCTTTTTTTGTTAAAAAATGTTGGGAAACTTCAAATATTCTATTTGTTATAAATTCTAATTTGTTGGTCAAGAAAAAAAAATTTAAAAATTGACCTTCTTAGTTTAGCAACTACTTGTACAAATTTTCACTTGCCAGACCTGGATAAATTTTAGCACCCAGTTTTCAATCCTAATTGCCCAGTGCTGACAAATTATACTATATTTTCCATACAAGCTGATTCACGCCAGTATTGAAGCAAAGCATATATGAATGTAATTATCTTTAATTTAAGCTGCATTTTATCCAAAACTTTGTTTCTTTCATGAGTGTTGCTCAATAATTCCAAACCAGCCTGATTACAGTTCTCTTAATATCAGACTAACCGTTCTTCTCCTGTCATCACAAATATTGGCAACTTTCGCTGAAAACATTTCTCACAACAACTAGTTTTTCCTGATGCCTTATCCAGGATTTTATTTTTTGGTTGCGTTTTAAGTTATTCAAAAATACAAAGTTTTATATTTAAAATGAAAAATCTGCAAAATTTAACAATTAGGGAAAGCAACTAGGTTAAATGTCAAGAAATTTCATTTAAGTGCTTAGATGGTTTAGTAATAAATTTTTGGAAGTGAACTGATTAAAAAAAAGCAATTTTTTTTCCTTTTATGTATATTTTTTAAATATAGTTTTCATTTAGTATTTTAAAATGTTATAAATTTTTTTTAAACAACTATCTAGAAAAAGTGTTGTTGACAAGTTGGAAAAAAAACTTCAAAGTATCAACCCAGAAGATAAATTTTTACCTCTTGTTGGTGGACTAGTTTATTACTTAGAAGAGGTAATATTTTGTTTAACATTATTATTTTTAAAATCTTTTAATGTAACTCTCATTAACTTGCTAGTATCTTTATTTCATCAACTCGTCCATTATAAGAACAGATGTTTAAAGTTTCATCTCATGGATAGAATATTATGACATGAATTCACTATTCCTTCAAATATGGCACCCTTAATTAAACATAATTTTTTTTTCATTACTGTAAATAATTTAAAAAACAAGATTTATAAGCTCTTATATTTTCAAGATTGAATCAAATCAAAAACTTATTGAGGAGGAATGATTTTATGTGAATAAACTTATTTCTAATTTACTGGCATAATTTTTAATTTTAAATACTTTATTTATATTATTCATTAAGTTTAGGCTCTTTTTATCTATGAAGTTATAGGAAAAAAGAATATAAACCAATTATTTAATGAAACTTTTTTTTTTAATAATAATGAATAAATTGTATATTTTTAGGAAGGGGAGACATTTGTTTGCAGAATAATTTAAGCTGCGTCATAGTAATATACAAAAGGGATATGAACACTGTGCTAGTAACAAAGAAAATCCAGAATTTATATGTTAATATATATATATATATAAATAAGAACAATAGCTGGTGTCAGGTTTTTCTGTAGGATTGAACAAACCTTTTTTAGATTTGATATTTTGAGAAATTGGATAGATAATCAATAAGTTGTACATAAAATTTCAATTTTATCTTCTTGGGAGAAAAATGTTTTCTCTGTTCTGTGTTTATATTTCTTTAATATTGTAATTGGTTTTTATGTTTCTTCCCTTTTTTCAGAATTATGATGCTGTTCTTCGTTTGCTTCACAAAAGTGATAATCTTGAATGGTAAGAAAACAAAGCAATTGGTTCTATATTTCTTGAATATATATATACATATACACACAGTAAAACTCCAATTATCGGAATCAATTGGGACCGGACCCCATTCGGATAATTAGATTTAAAAAAAAAAAAAAATGCTTATTTTAGATAATTACTGTATGTATAGTGGAAATGAGGGAAAAGAACTGTTTTTAAGGAAAGAGATCTTTTTATGAATAATGTGTACATACCTTGCAGTAAATGAAAGTTATTACATGCTAAACATCTCAGTTAAAGTAAGCTGTTTAACTGTCTTCATCTGTTTTCGGGCAGCTAAGTCGCGCATCCGTTTGACAGTGAGAAGTTGCATATGGTCACACTTGGGTTGGTGCTCCATCCACTTCAATGCAGTTTCAAGGCCAGCAAATGCTTTACTAGCTGACGGCCCTGTGTCTTCCTCAATTTCAGCATTAGGGTCATCTTCTTCACTGACACTTTCCTCCATCACACTTTCAATAAGTTCATCATCATTCAAAATTTGAAATCCACAGTCTGATTAATCATGCGTCATCCACTCTCCTATATCTTCAGCTCTGACATCTGAATATACAGGAATCTTCAAAAATATGTTTCTGAATTCCTCAAGAGATACGGCATCCACATCTTCTGTCTCTTCCCTTTTTTTTCTTCATTAACTTCTTTTCCCCTTCTCCTTTTCCTTCTCTTCTTTAGTTGATACGCCTTTTAACTTGTTCCATGCACATCTTAATGAGACATCTTTAACCAAATTCCAAGCTTCCGCAACCATGTACATGCAATCTTTCAAATTTATCTTTTTGTGGTTATCCAACACACCTTCTTCATCTTTTCCCTCTACTAAAAGCTTCCTTAAAAGTTGTCTTCGGTAAAGATGCTTCATTGGTTCAATAACAGATTGGTCCATTGGTTGCAACAAGCTTGTTACGCTTGGTGGCAAAAAGATTGTTTTAAATTGGCCATTTCCTCTTTCCAACAATTCTTCTGTGGGTTGAGTTGGTGCATTATCAACGATCAAAAGCACAGGACTTCCTTCTTTTCCAAGAGATTTTTGGCGTTTTTTCACTTCTAGAATGAAAATTTCATCATGCCACTCTGTAAACAGTGCTGCAGTCATCCAAGCTTTGCATTGGTTTTTATAAAATAGGGGAAGTTTTTTGACATTTTTAAATGCTCTTGGGCGTTTTGACTTCCCTATTAACAGAAGGGGTATTTTATGGCTCCCAGTAGAGTTCGCGCAGTTAAGCACAGTAACGCGGTCTTTACTAGCTTTATGCCCTGGCGCACGGCACTCTCTTTTAGAGGCTAAAGTGGTGGTTAAGCTTTCCATATTAGACCAGTCTCATCGGTGTTGTATAAGAAGTCGGAATCGTAAGAGGCTGCTATAAATTTAAATTTTTCTATAAACTCTTGAGCAGCTTTGGAGTCTGCAGATAACTTTTCACCACTTAAATCTAGTTCATGAATACAGTGCCTAGACTTAAAATTCCTTAGCCAGCCATTACTTGCTTTGAAAGATAAATAACCCAGCTTTTCAGCTAAGATCTTAGCTTTTCCACAAAGAATGGGACCTGAAATTGGGTTCCCTAAAGAACGTTGCTGTAAAAACCACATAAAAACGGCACTTTCCAAATCTTTGTTTGTGGCGGCCTTCATTGATTTTCTCGAAGAACATCCATCCTCATTTTCAAGAACTGACACAAAATTTATTAGAGTAGATTTGCTCTTTTCAATTTCACAGATTGTAGCTTGTCCAGCACCATATATCTCAGCCAACTGTTTGCTCGTAACTCCTTTATCTGACATGATTTTTAGCTTATCCGCTAAGGATAACACAACACGTTTTCGTTTAGAAGCCATACTAAATGCCGCAGTGAACTTAAAAATAAAGCAACATATAACGTGCGAGTATACCAACACAGTCGCAATAACAGACCAAACTGACTCAAAACAAACAGTGTTGAATAGGCTGTACCGCCCACCTGGTGAAGGACCACATCCAATAAAAAGCCGACTATCCGCGTGTTTTGCGTTCAACATCGATTTTTCCTTCAACCCCTCAGGAATTTTGACTTTCCCAACAATCGCCCTCTCACACCTGCAAAAAGTCTCATTTTAATTGCTTCCTTGATTTCTCCCCCCCCCCAATCCACTGGGTGAACTGACAAGCGCCAATTGGCACAAGCAAGCTGACCAGGGGGTCCAGCGTTCACATTTCTTTATCTACAAACAACATTCCTAAGATTACATTCCACAACTAACATCCTTATTCATACGGTCTCCCATGTGCTCTTTTGTCACTGGATTCCTCCTCCTTTGTTATTCCTTTTATTTATTTTTGTCCTATCCTGTAAACTTTCTCTGCATAAATCTTTCCTTGGCTTTACTAACATTTTATTTTATTCATATTAAAAAAGAAAGAGAAACTTATCTTTTTACAATAGTTCCATAGGAATTCTGAAAGCGATTCGGATAATCGGCGATTCGAATAGTTGGAGTTCGGATAATTGGAGTTCTTCTGTATATATAAACTTTTGTAAAGTCGAATTTATACTTTAAAAAGTATTTAGGTAAAATTCATTCTTAAAAACAGATGATATATTGAAATGAATTAAATTTTGGCTAATAACATAACTGTTTTATGCTAAGGAATTTTTGTGGGATGAAGATAAAATAGACCTTGTGTGAAATAATAAAAGAAGCCTGTAATGAGAAGGTGTTTTTCTTTATAATAAACTGTACTTTGGTAGTGTATACATATAAAAGAAAATTGCCTTTTTTTAAGTTGAAAGTTATTTTGTATTTTTGCTGGTGCAGTAAATGGCATCTTGATTTATGCATCTATTGATATTTTTTGTACCCTATTTTCTTCAGTCAAGAATTTTCTCTGTTGTATTAATACTATGCTATGATGCATAACTATATCTGGTATGAATAATGTTTTATAGTCCCGGTGGCAACATTGTTGCAGAAAGACTTTTCCTTTGGGAAATAATAACTGTACTTTTTTTACTAAAATNAAAAATTTTTATTTCCCAAATAAAAAAAATCTTTCTGCAAGAACTCAGTCGCTTTCTGCGACAATGTCGCTGTGTCGCCGTGTTTCTGCCACGGGGCTTCAGAATTATATTCAAAAGATGTATTTCTCTCGCATTAGAGTAAAAAAAAAAATATCCTTGTGATTTTTCTATTCTAATTTGAGAATAATGAAGGCAAAAAATTAGGTTTCTTTCTGTAGAAATTTTCGTTCTGTATTTTCATCCACTTATTACTACTGATTTCCACGTAGCTTTTAAAATCTGATATTTTTAATACAATATTATTTATTACAGCAACTGAATCTCAAAATGAAAACACTAATTTAGTAACCCCTTTTTGAAGAGGCCGATTCATGTGAGCTTGGCATCGATCTCTTTTTCCGGTAGTTATTACTTCAGATTTCACCATTTTTGAATGTGATGATGAATTTCGAAGACGCCCGGTGGCTGAGCGGTAGCGCTTCGCTCTGTCGTGCCACAGGTCCCTGGTTCGATCCTCGGGCCGGGCAATTTTCACTCAGCCTTTCATCCCTTCCGTGGGTCGATAAATGAGTACCAAGCATGCTTGGGAACTAAACACTGGGGGTTCCGTGTTCGGCTGACCACCTGACCGGAACATCTGCTCCTGCACCCCAGAACCCAAGGTCAAGAAAACTGAGATGGGCACAGTAGGCCTTGGCCCTCTATGGGCCGTCGCGCCGCTGAGTTTAGTTTAGTTTTTAGATGTATTTACGAAATGCCAAAAAAGGAAATAATTAGTGTGTTATCTTCCTACGAAATGTAAGAATATCGTCCATAATATTAAAAGTAAAAAAAATATTGAATATTCAATTGAAAAAATTATTTGATTTGATCCTTTATTTTATTTAATTTAATGATTCTGTTATCTTAAATTAGTTATTTTGAAGTATCTTGCAGAAAAATACTAGTATTAGAGAGATATGTTGCAGAAAGCCTAAAAAAAATTCTGCCACAGGGAAAATAGTGTTTTCAAGAATAGCAGTATGCTATTACACAGAAATATAACTAAATTTCATATGATGTATGTGTAATCAAACATGTCATTTATTTCTTTTTCAATCCTGCTAAATTTGCTGGTAGATTTACGTACATTTTTTTAAATTTAAATTGTATTTAAGTTATTAATTTCTTTACATATATTGTTTGTGTTTTTTGAAATAGTTCTTTTGATATTTATTAATGGATTTTTTTTACATAAACCACCTAAATAAAATCATAGTAATTTATGTATTCATTGAAATTTTGGCAATTTTGTATGAAAAATTTAGTATTGAAGGATTTTTTCACGATTTTAAAAGGATTGCTTTAATTAATTATTAATATTCTTTATGTGCTTGCATTTATCTGAGACATTTTAATTTCAAATTAAATTTTTTTTATCTGAAATGTAAGATAAATTTAAAAAAAAAAGAAGAGAAAGAAAAATTTCTTAATTTGTTGGTTTTTCACAAATTAACATACTGAACATTATTTTACCATCTATATGATAACTGTTAATAAATGAAATAACAAAGTTTATAATTTTTTAATCTTTACCTTTAGTGATGTTGTTACCAATGTTGTTACTCTTTCAATTATGAATGTGTCAAAATTATTTTCGATCTTTTTAAGATTTACACTTTATAGATTTTTCTTTTTAAGATTTGCACTTTATTTTTAATGTGCGAATTCTGTGTTTTATAAGAATACATTTGGATTGCTACAATATAATATACTAAAATATTCTTCTTTGACTTACATAGCTTTATAAAAAGCTAAAAATTTATAATTATTTTAAGTTGTATTGTTAAACTTTTTCATTGGTTTTAAGCATCCAATTAACTTGAAAGATTCTAATTGCATTTGGCTGGATTATTTAGCACAAACTGTAAAGTTTAGTTTATAGTTTGCTTTATCATGTTTTATTATTTTTCAAAAAATTATTTTCTGTTTTAATTTTTTATGCCTTTAAAAGAATATTATTTAACCTTTGTGTAAGTTTCACTTTTACCTACAGCAACAAAAAATAAATAAATTATGTACAACGTTTTATATGCTTTTATGAGTTGATAGTTTATTTATTTTTATGACTAAGACTAGCAAATTAAGTAATTAAGTATATTTTTTTATTAATGTTTGGTAATGTTTAAAATTACTAAAGTTGTTTTTATCACTTTGTAAATACAATTATATTGTAATCTATGCCTGTTTTAGTATAAATTTGTAACAATATGTTTTTTTGTTTGTCTTTTTGCAGTTGTGCATTGGCTATACAAACTTATTTGAAGATAAACAGGGTCGACTTAGCTATGTAAGTATTACAAATCATAAAGAGAAAAAATATGAAAAAAATGTTTTTTTTTTTTATATAAAAATTTTATGTAACCTACATCTCATTTTCAAGTTTGCTTTAGCATTTTTTTTAAAAATATTTTAATATGCTATTTTTATAAAAACAGAAAAGAACTTAACTCCATGAAAGAAATTGATGAAGATTGCACTCTAACTCAACTCTGTCAAGCTTGGGTGTATTTAACAAAAGTATGTTTTATTTAATTTACAATTTATATAAAAAAATAGCAATTATATGTAATTATAAATCAATATTTTGTTGTAATAAATATTGTTTTAAATTTTTAAATAGTCCACATATGATTGATTACTTATTACACCTGATCTGTTTACATTCTACTTATGAAATCTCTGGGGGGAAAATTTGGAAGCCATATTTTCTGGTGGCTGTTTTTTTTTTTTAAATTATAATTGTCGATTTAAAATAAATAAAAAATTGAACTTTTGTTTGATTTCTTTGTCTTAAAATAGTAAGAATTTTTCTAGTAGCATGCTTATAAATTATTTTCAAACTCAAATTGAAAAAACTTCAGAAATTATGTACATATTTTTTTTCAAGATACTTTTTATGTGTTTTATAAAAGTAAAACTATAATCAGATCAGTAAAGAATTACACTAAATGATTTAATTTTCTTTAAATATTTTCTTTTAAAACTTTGTCTGCTAATGAAGGTGATCCAGTCTCTTATGTTAAAAAGCTAAATATGATGGTATAAATATTCTTAAAATTTTAATATTAATCTATTTTACTATTATTTATTAATCTATAATTTCATTTTATTTTTAATTATAATTTTTTTTATTTATTGTGTGTTAAAGAATGGAGAAAAAGTTCAAGATGCCTACTACATTTTCCAAGAATTAAGTGACAAATATTCTTCAAGTCCTATGCTATTAAATGGCCAAGCAGCTGCTTTGATAGCTTTAGGAAAATATGATGAAGCTGAGCCCCTACTGCAAGAAGCTTTAGATAAGGTTTAAAAAAACATCACTATACTTCTAAAAATTTTTGTTCTAATTTTCTGTTTTTCATTTCTTATCTTCCATTTCATTTTAGGATTCAAATTGTCCTGAGACTTTGATCAACATGATTGTTTTAACTCAGCATATTGGGAAAAATACAGAGGTTAGTTTATAATTTTAAAATTTTTGTTCAATTTATAAAAGCTTATTTTTGCATCTTAAACTCTGTTTAGATTTATTCACAACTTCTTCATTTGTTGTTGCTCTAGAAATATTAAAATCACATTATTTTATATTATCTCACTTTAAAATAATTGAACTCTGTACATTTTTATCATTGAATTCAGAAACTGCTACTGCTCTTGTTTAGTATCTAATGCGTGTTTTAAATGATTTTATCATTAGTTTCTTCCAAAATTTGGTATCTGTTATTGTTGTTCGTTCAATATAAGAAAGTTAAGTTCAATGCTTTTAGTCATATTTTCAAAATTAAGTGCATAAACAAAAATTTTTAATCCAGTTAACAGCTTCCAAATGGGCCAGAGAAAAAATTCAAACTATCCAAAGTTTGAATTACATATACACTCTCGAAAAAAAAAAATTGCTTAACTTCAGGATCAAATATTTACTTTACCAAAGACTGTTGCTGTTACACCTTTTCGTTAAATCAAATATTGTTCACTAGCTTCATTCTTTGTCATTTTTTAAATTTATGGCCCGTATTTTTTTATTGCTTCATTAAGCTTTTTTCCTTTTTAAGTACTGCAACATTGTCAGCTTTAAATAATAACTTATAATGAACTTACAATTTTGATTGCCATAATAAGAACATAATGATAGCATTGACTCAAAATACACTCTATAACAAAAAAATCGACACCCCAAGAAGGAGTTGTCCGATTGAAACGAAAATTGGTGGATAGGAAGACAATGTACAGAATAGTAAATGATTAAAATTTCAGAACAATTGAATAATTTATTGCAGAGTTACAGTAACAAGTTCAATAAGGTGTTGACCCGCCTCTAGCCTGGATACAAGCTGCCACACGGCGTGGCATAGACCGATAAAGCTCCCGGATGGTCTCTTGCGGTATTTCCTGCCAAATTCGATCCAATTGTCGAACGAGGTCATCAACATTCCGTGCCAGATGCAATCGCCTTCCCATCATATCCCAGACATGCTCGATGGGAGAGATATTTGGTGATCTCGCAGGCCAAGGAAGAGTTTGACAAGCTTGCAGACAGTTCATAGCAACATGTGCCATATGTGGTCTGGCATTGTCCTGCTGAAAAACCAGCCCAGGGCGCTGCAAAAGGCACGATAGCAAAGCAGGTCTTAGGATGTCGTCGACGTACCACTGTGCAGTAAGTGTACCTCTAATGACGACCAAAGGGGTCCGACTGTCAAAGGAAATGGCACCCCAGATCATAATGCCTTGTTGAGGGCCGGTGTGGTGTGCAATAGTGAAGGCAGGATCCCCCCTCTAACCTGTGCGTCTCCAAACTCGTCTTCGATGATCGTCAGGACACAGTTGGAAGCGGGATTAGTTGCTAAAGACTACACGTCTCCAACCGGCATCATTCCAACCTGATCGAGCCATGGACCACTGTAATCTGGCTCGGCACTGTAATCGGATGATTGCTTCTTACTGCGTCGATTTTCTGTTATAGAGTGTATTACAATCACTATTATAAGGACTCTAAAGAGCAAAAGAATCGCTTCTGTTCCAGAAAAAATGCTCCTTTCTATCTTTTCTTTCAATATGCAGTGAAATAGATTCTCCTGCCAAAGGTCCAAGGCAAAAGTATGACCTGCAAAGGTGTCCAAATCTTTTCACAGGTTTGAATGACTTATCAAAAATAAATACAGTTGAGAGAGGATTTCTGTTTTGTTTTTCTTTGAAGGATCATCATAGGAGCAATTTTTACTGTAATAGTTTGAGGGCAGTTATATGAAAGACTACAATTAATCCAACAATAAATCTAATTACCCAAAAGCTTTAACATTATTTTTGTACAGAACTCTAGAGACTGTGCAAAAAGTTTGAAGCAAAAAAATTGCTATGCGAAACATTTTCTATCACTAAAATGAAGGCTAACAAAATTAAATTTGGTTCTAAAAGGTTTTGAAGCAGTCCATTAAAAAAAGTACATTTATGCACTGAATTTCAATGCTGGTTTTATAACACTTTATCAACTGTTAGCTCTGACTTATTAATTCATTTACTGAAAAGCTCTGCCAATTGATGAGGATGGCACATGAAGATCCAAACTTGAATGAAGCACTCAAAAGTATTTTGAATCCCAATTTTATTTGAAACAGTTGCTTTGATTTGCAGTTATATTTTAGCCTGAAATTCGATAGACTTTTTTAAACCCTCCTGATAAGAATCTAATAGCAGTTTCTTGTTTTAATTGTAGTTTGTTTAATTTTATTTGAAGGTTTTGGATTTAAGAATGACTATTCTTTGGATGAGTAAAGCATCTAATCCAAATATATGTTGTTGTTTTTTTATCAGATATTTTGGTTTGCAGTTTCATTTTAATACGTAATCAAAATGGTTGGCTGAAATCCTCCATTGGAAATATAATTAACCTAGTAATTTTTCTTTTCTTAACCTCTTCCTTCTGGCTCCCGTAAAAATGACGAGGTGAGGTTTCGCCCTCTATTTCTCGTTCCCGTGATATTACCGTTTACTTGAAAATTAACCGATCGTCAAGGGGTTAATTATAATTTTTTTAAATTTTATATGAAAGTGTTTTGTATTATGTGAGAGTATTCTTTTTGCTTTTCATGTGCAAAAATATCTTAAGGTTGACAGAAATGTTAGTTTAGACTTAATGCCATAAAAATGCATTTTACTTTTAAGAGAGAATGTAACTGATAATGACATCAATATTGATTATCTAATTATCACTTTCAGGGGTCTGTCCAGACCGAATTTACTACCGTTTAGCGGTACCTTCACAAATTCAACTTTAGGAAAAAAGGTAGTTTCACAAATTTAATTTTAGGAAAAACGGTAGTTTCACAAAATACTTTTTCTTAAAATTTTATTTTTGTATTCCTTAAGAAATGATAAATCCATATGGTTTTTTAAATATAATTTTTCATTTTTCACAAATTATGTCTAAATTTTCACAAAATAGGTACCTCTCAGAAAAACCTAGACAGACCCCTGACTTTTCATTGCTTAATTTCAATATGTATGTTATCTTTGTGAAGAAAATAAATTGTTTGTCCTCACTATTTATATACTTCAATATACTTTTTTTTATAGGTTAGTGTTCGATATTTAAATCAACTGAAGGATTCTCATGCTCTTCATCCATATATTAAGGATTATAAAACTAAGGTTAGTTTAAAAGTTTTAATAAAATACTATTTTTATTCTACTTCTAATTATATTTGTGTTTGTTAATTTCTCTTCTCTTAATTTGTATGTTAGAATTGTGCTTTTCAAATATATTTTTTTGAATTTCTATTTTTTCCATTTATATTTTTGGGGAAACTTATCAAAGAATCTTTTAGAATTTTGTATAATTACAAAAGCAAAAAAATTTCTTTCATAGAAAAGGAAAAATGAAAATACCCCTTTTTTTATTTCTAATTCTAAGTTGTTTTGCTTTCATCATTATTATTTCTTTATTCAAGTTCTTTGCTAACCAGATTTTTTTAAAGTTTTACAGTAACTCTCATCATTGAAAACAAAAAATTTTCGTACAAAAATCAGATTTTTTCCTTTTTTGTAAAAAAAAAAATTTTTTTTTTTGCGTAATAATATAAATGAGGATAAAACTTAAATTAATGCTTGCAATAAGTGAAACTATGAATATATCTTTTTTTCAGAATTAATAACTAAACTTTGGAAACTGAATCAATTTGAAGATCTGTGTAGAATATCAAACTGCAATAACTAATAGATGTCTCTATGACTTTAGAGACAAACTTAAGTCAAAATTTGTTTTCACAAAACCCAAAGTAAGACTTTAATAGACTTTAAGGAAGTAAAAACTGGATACTCAATAAAAGTGAAAAGGACCCGTTTTTAATTTTTGATAGAAAAATGCTACAAAGATTTTTGTTCCAACTAAAAACCGATTATTATATCAAAAGTTATTCAGTGCAAATTTTGTTTTCCATTTTTTGATCAATTATATCCATTTTTTTAACTATTTAATTGTACTTTTGAACAACTAATAAGTATTCCGATTTATGAACCTCAGTAACAAAAAAGCTTAAAAATGGAAGTATAACTTAAAAAATAACTTGTAATTAAAATTTTCAATTAATAATTACACAGAAAAGAAAGCAAGTTACCTTTTTGTATTCAATAACTCGGCAGATGTTGTTTAAAACATTCTGTGAGTCTATTGTGAAAGAATTTAAAAAGGAAGAGTATAAATTTTTAACTTCATCTTGATAAAAAAAATCGAGTTATCAGAAAAAAATCTATGGTTATTTTAAAAAAAATCAACATGGAATTGCGTATAAAAGGGTGGGGGCTGATGAAAAATTCAAGTTATAGGAATATGCGGATTATTCTATATCGAGCTATCGCAAATTGACAGTATAGCAATGGGGTGTAAGGCATATCAATTTGTGTGTGTGTGTGAATTAATTGTTTTGTGTTTGATATTTTGAAGTTATATTTGAAATATATTATGTAATGCATTTTTCATATAATAATTTTTATTTTAGGAACAGGAATTTGACCGTCTTGTAAAAGCCTATGCACCTGCATAAAATTATATTACAACTTATGGATCTTATTGTTTTGTTTTCTGAATTTGTCATCAGAAATTGTATATTATTATTACTGTATTAAATACTTTTCTATAATGCATATTTTCTTCTTACTTTAATGTTTGTATATTCTTTCAAAATCAAATTTTTTAATTTTTAAAGTTGATAATTACTAATTAAACTTGCAATTTAAAGTTAGATCAACTGGACAAAATTTCACTAAGTAATAATTTTTAAACTAAAATTTTTTTAATTAATATTTTAATATGTAACATTTATTTGTTTTCGATAATTCTATCTTTTAACAGAATATTCCGTAGACTGAAAATAGTATAAAAGTGCGCATAATTTATCTAGATGTAAACATACAAATATTTAATTAAGAAAAATTAGAATAGTGCATATCCAAATTTAAATTAGTTAACTTTAATAAGTTATAGAGATATTAAAATTCTATATTGAACTGCAATAAATATGAAAATAGTTATTTTTGAAAGTAATTAAACATAAAAAATAATAAATAAAAATCATTTTTTTGCACTACATTAAATTTTCATTTAATGTTTATGGTGAAACTATTCTAGTTGGTCATTTTTAGTTTCTTCCATTTTGTTCAATTTCTTGCGTTTCTTCCAGTTCTTCTACTTTCTTCCAGTAGAAATTGCAACTCTGATTTCAAATGTAATATTTTACTTAAAATTAGATTTTGTAACAGTAGATGCTTAGCAAATATTTTTGTACTAAATGTAGAATAATGCAATTTCAAAATGAGTTTTTTTTTTTTTTTTCAATTCTGAGAAAAAACTAAATATGGATATCAAATGAACATATGTATCATCCAGTTGCTGAACTACATAAGTATAATTAAGATTTTTAAATTTTTACTGAAATGGATGATACTTAGAAAACTTTGTTGCTTGTAGTTAAGTAAAAACAATGTAGAGTTTCACATTAAGAGTGAAATGTATATTTTTTCCCTTTGGAAATTGTAAATATGCTTCTCAATATAATCATATTTTGTTTCGGAAAATAACAGAAATGGATAAACTTAATTGATTTAACCCTAATTTTATTTAAATTTTAAACAAAATATCAACATGTAACAAATTCAATCACAACTTAACAACCTACACTCAAATTAACTGTTGTCTCCTTCCTGCTTATAAATTTTTGTGACTACAGTAAATTATCTAACAAAGTAGTAAGTAGCTCCCTGCCACGAAAAGTTTAAAATCTCTATGCTTAATGTTATGAATCAATAAAGAATGTTTATCTTGTTTTTAAAAAAATCAGCTTTTGAGATTCAGCACTGAGGAAAAGCTATATTACTGTCCAAGAATAAATAATACCAAAATCTTCAAGAGTTATCTTTAAAAGCAAATAACCTTTATATAAACCCTTTGCAGCACAAATTGTTTAACTTCCACTTTTTGAAATATCTCAATTTTAAGATATTTCAAAAACTCGTAATAATTTAGTTATAATGAATTTCACAAATATAAAAATTAAAATACCTTAACTCCAAACTGAATCACCCTGGATAACTTTTGATATACTGATTGGATTAACTTGTACTCAAACTTCATGGAAGAGAATAAAACAACAAAGAGATATGTTATAAATTATATAGTTTTTTTTAAACCTATTTTGATATTAAATTTTGCTCTGTATAGTTTTAATTAACCAGGATTAGACATTACATAAGTTTAAGTGTGACTAGTGTAGACACTAGGTAGGGCTAGCGTGGACATGTCTACAATGTCCCGTAAAACTTCCATTATAAGAAATATGAATTAGTTACAAATGAAACAAATCTGATGTTATTAATTTTCTAAATAAGAATGATTTTGTAGAGTGATATACCTTTCCAAATAGTTATTTCAAACTCAAGTAAGAAAACTAGCTTGAAATCTTTATATTAACCAATTTTTAAAAGTTTGTGAGACTTAAACATGTTTTATCACATTTGTTAAAAGAAGAAAACAAATTTTTATATATGTATATATATATATATATTTTTTTTTTTTGCCGTACATTAATAGAACAACTCAAATAGAACATTGCACCACCCATATTCTTTTTTGAGACTTGTAAACATTGTTCCAGTGTTGCCTATTTTGGAAAATTGTTATTGAAATAAAAACTATTGTTATTAAAATTGATTCAACATAAATTTGGTTCTGTGCTTTCACATAATTCAAAAAACGGTTTTCATATGTACTGGTTTACGTTCAAAATGTAGCAGGATGATAATTAGAAATTAGTATTTTAATCAGATATTAGTATTTTAATCAGATATTTCAATATTTATTTATCCGATAAGGATGAGATTGAAATTAATTTCTTTTTAGCTTTAGATATACCTTTCTGAGTATAATAAATGATTACTTAATAAGTTATCAAATTAGTCCATATTATCCCCATGTAGTGTGAAAAAAAAACTTTTTTGAAAAAAATATTGTGGAAAAACTAAACAACATTGTAATTTCAGATATAAACCAGAATGCGGGTATGTGTCCAAACTATTCTTAAAAGTTACTACATGAGTTAAAAATAATATTAAAAAAGAGTTTTTTGACGTATTTGTAAAAAAATGTTCCCACTAGCCCTTCCTTCCTTATATCCACATTACAGATAAACCACTTTTTTTGATAATTCTTAAAAGTTAGTTTTAGCTAGTCCTGAGTTTGTCCAGTAAAAGTTGGGAGATCTTGTAGGTGAAGCTCGGGTATGATCGTGAATGTATACAGGAGCTTTTTGCCATGTTTGATCAATTGTGATCCAATAGCCTTTTGCCATGCTTATTTACCTTTAGAAACGCTTTACCTTTAAAAATTTCACTCAATGCTTTAGCTTTCCCGATGAACTTCCTAAGGATAACGTCAAAATATTTTGCCCATCCTTTTTTTTCCTTCTAACATTGAAGATGGTTTTGAGGCAGAATGTTAGCTCTTCTCTTCTTGTGGATGATCATTCACAATTATTTAAAATTTATATAGATTTAATTATTTAGAATTTTTATTTTTTTAAAAAAATCAAATTAAATGTTTTAGGTAGCATTTGATTTGCATTTTTTAAAAAAAGTTGGGCATTGCAGTTGACTGCATCACTTCGACACCTATGCAAAATAGTAACAAGCAAACCCAACTCTAACAGAGCTCATTTGCTGAGTAACGTAAATGGATTGGCACATTTTAATGCTGTCGATCCACAGAACGTTGCCAACAATGAGCTTTTCCGAATCAACTGTAGTGAATGAAATGTCCTTTTAATGTGATTTTATTATTAACATAGAAAAATGATAATAAACTTTTCCACGTCTTTTTTTTTTATATAATAATTTGAGGGTGATATTTTATCATATAAAGGAACGGTTTTTCAGTCCACTCAAATTTGATAAATAATGGAGAAAAAAAATTATAAAGTTTTGAAACTTGACTCGTGAGTGGTCTAGCAATGGAAAACTCCCCACTCACTTCCTGAGAGAGCGTTTCTCACCCGTTCCCGCTAAAATATAATTTTTCTAAATCCTAGGGATGAAACAAATATTTAATATTACTTGAGTAACCTCAGTACATAACCTCATCTCGCCTCTGAACTCATAAGTGTTAAACTCTTTAAAAATAATATTTTTATTTTTAAGCAATTAAATGTAACCTATATAGATCCTAGTAATGAAGAAAAAAGTTACATTTCTCAGGAGGTGGCGTTATACCTACACCCTTATCCCCTAAAACTAAGTTTTAAGTATCTCTGGAGAAAAAAAATTATGCTATTTTTATTTTTAAATTAAGCTATTAAATGTTGGAATTTTGGTAAATGAATCTTATTATTAAAAAAAAAGTTTTTTTTCCTAAGAATGACATTTCCCTCCCTTGCCCAAAACTATTAATTCTATGATGCATCCAAATAAAATTTATTTGCTGATTTTATTTTAAATTTTAACTAAACGTAGAACTTCATTTATATCACGATTAACAACTTATTTTATATTTTATGTACGCACACTCGCTATAGCATAGACTTAATTTACCCTATTATTAACGAACAATTAAATGATAGGGATATTTATCGAAAAAATGGTTTAAAAATTATTGTGTTTTCCAAAAATGTACGAGCTTTCCCTCTCTAATTTTGGAAGAATGAAATTTTGTATGAGTAAAAATGTCACCCATATCTAAAAACTTAAATCCTGTTCTTTCAAATAGTACGAACAGTTTTATACACATAAAACGTTTTTCCTGGACTTATATAGTTAAAGAAAAAGTATGTATGCACATATATACTATTTACTAAAAGATCCATCTCAACTCTAAATTTACGTTATGATTATACAGGGTTATTCATAATTCCCTCCGCCTGTAAACGCCTTTTTTCTTTACTACAACTGGCTTCAGTGGTACATGTTACTGCCATCTACCGGCAACTGCTTAAATTAAATGATTGATTGATGTAAATTTTTGGCGCAAGAGCCATGGTTTGGCTATACCGCGCTCAAACCTAGGTAAAAATTACTGTAACTTTGTTAAAATCAGAACAATTAGGCTGAAATGAGCAACTTGTTCAAAATTAAAACAACTAATTTAAAATTTGTCAACTAGGTTATATCTAGAACTAAATCAAATTGTAAAATCCGATATGTTTGATGTACAGTATTAAATTTGGATGAGGTGTGTCTCCAAGTAAAAATGATAAAGTTGGAAAGTCACAGTTAAAGTACTGTCGTCTTTTAGATTTAAATTTCATACACTGGGTCAGAAAATGTTTTACTGTAAGAGACTCTGCAAAAATTGCATTGTGGAGGTGCTTCATTTAAAATTAAATATTTGTTTGTCAAGCGGGTTGAAAGCTTAAATTAAAACTTGAATACTTTCAGAATAATTTCATATGTTCTTTTTTGCCATTTTTTTACTATAACGCTTCGAAACCCAGGAGGGAATTATGAATAACCCTGTATATACTTTAGCAACATCAACTGTTTAAAAATAAGAAATTTTAAAAAAAATCTATTTTGCTTCGCAATAGTGATAGAATCAAACGATTTAATCCTTGATTGCTCAACATATAGATGAAATGTTATCCCTTTAACGTGACATTGTG